ATATGCGGTGTGGATATAGGGTCGCTTTTCGAGACTTTTTCCACAATCACAGCGTTGGGACCCATTGGCTGACTTTTAGGTACGCCTATCATGATATAAGTTCAATTTTGAGTTAAAGAATGACTTTTTTCCTAGATATATCATATTTACTAATATTAGTGTACTACTTGTGATATCGCGGTGCGGTTTACTGTTTTGGCCTTTGGATGAGTTGACCCAACGAAGGGGCTAGACAGCGACACTTTGATCACCGAGCGCGTTTGCCCCTGTTGGTCTGGGATTGATTTGGCAATCTGGCTGCATATAGGGCTGTCGAATCCTTCGCATGTTTAGTTTAGCATTGATATTCCTGTTCAAACTCGGATTACACATCAGCTCATTGGCATAGAGATCAATGAACAGGGTTTTCGGTAATTACCAGTTGCACTGTGGGTACAGTCGAATCGGAGAAGAGGCCGAAGCGAAAGTGAACCAGATCAAATGCCGAAAGAGCCAGCAAAACGATGAAGTGCTTGAAGGTTGAAATTGCTACCAACAGAGAGTTCACTGACTATCAAGTAAATAGGCAGCAAGCAGATAAAGCTATCATGTTCAGTAAAGACAATATATTTCTACCTTATCTTGAAAGAAAACGGGCTGTTGGGATGCACTTGTCCCTTTTGCAGGACACGGTGCTCCATTGTAAGCATATATTTCTTGTCAATGAGCATCTAAAACATTATTCTCTCCTTTGAGCGTTCACAGCAATTACCAGCAATAATCCTCGAAAATAATGTGGTCCTGTGATAGGGCCACCCTGCTAAGTAATGCAATATTAGCTGAATACCACCAAGATAAGAGCCTACCTCTCAACTCTGACAATACAACGAGATTCAACAGGCGCCCTCGGGTCGAATCAATGACGGTATTTGTGGGAAATGGGTTTACAGTGAGAAATTCGAAAGACTAAATCTTCTTCAAATCAGGAATAAACTCTTGTTTCTGCTGAGCAAAAGAGCACCAGTTATCCACGATCGCATAACTTACCTACCAACGGACGTCAGCAAAATTATCTGATGGGATAATGAATAGCCACAGCAGAAAAAAAAAAAATTGCCAAGAAAGGACGCTTTATTTTGAACCCCGATGAATCCACTATCTTTGAAAACGGCTCTTATTGGATCCCCGTTGAATGCCCCCACCAAGGCAAGGCACTTGTTGAATCTCGTTATATAAGTTATTGAATGCCGTTGAATCTAGCATCGGATCGCAAGCCGATTGTATTTGTCAGGAAGTACAAATATAACGGGACTGGAACGGCCGCCTGGGAAGGCTTCCGAATGTATTAAAAGCAAGAAAAGAATGGCAGTTCCTAGAGACACGAATATTATATACTATGGTTGGTAGTCGACGAAACAGGCTAAGATATAACGGATAAAGGGAAGATGGTAAAAGAAATATAACGAACGATAGTGGTAATACATTGAACCACTGGAGTGTGGAAAACGAGTATGATTCATGATAACGGCGAACTCTTTATATCATCCGACATCCGAGATAGCACACTTGTTGAATCCAACGTCCATGGGTAAGGGCACCATGGAATCCCATGGAATCCCTTGGAATCAGGTTCAATCGGGAATTCCATGAAAAGCACGCCCATGGAATCCGATTGAAACAGGGATTGCATGAACAGAGCTGCCATGGAATCCAGTAAAATCCAAGATTCCATGAAAAGCGTGCCCATGGAATCCCCTATTGTATCAGATGTCCGTGAAGAAATGGAATGAGGGAAAATATCCTCTTTCAAAGACTCGTGCCGTGCCAAAACAAAAGTCCCATAACTTCTCCATTGGATCAAGCAGAGTCAATTCAAAAATGACACGCAGTTACCCATAGTTTCCCGGTCTCCTGCGGAAGAATGTTATCGCCTGAACACGACCATAGGCGAGCCTACAACAGCAGCACTGGAAGTGCCTTACTAATTGTCCCAATCGGCCAAGGATGAAGTTTTTTGGCGATGGGCTTTTGTGATCCTTAGCGAGGGCAAAATCCCTAGGAAACAGACATTTATCATCCCAGTTTATCCAATCGACATCCGGGCCTTCAACCAATCTATCACTGTATGATCTACAACGAAAAAAGCAGTATTTACCTGTCCTGCGATCATGGTAGACCAAAGACCTGGGTTTGGCCGCTTGCAATTTCACCGATATTTAAAAACTTTCACGGTATCACTTTCGTTGGGGACAACGGTCACCCCGTCTCCGTTGATATTCACTTTCCGAGAAGCCTAATGGACTTTATTTCATGTCGGTTTCTTTGGCTTCTGCGGAATGAAGGATCATCGTTGTGGGCCCTTGGCTGGCTACTGAAATTGTATATGATACCCTGATATTGAAGTCTTCCGGGGATCTCGCTGTTGGTAGATCCGTCAGAATTAATGTCTCGTTTTGCTCCAATGAGCCTTGACATATCTGCAGTAGTATGTCTGTATCCCAAGTGATCAAGTCAGAATACCTGGAATTTTGTGGATTACTGATGTTATCGCTGATCTGGTTCCGTTCATATGTTTTTTAGTGAACGTCCGCGGCTGTCCATAGAAATCCCAATACATTATCGGCATTGTATTCTTGCCGGTCAGCTGAGGACATCTTGTCTACACCATGTTTCCCATTTTCGCCAGCCTTGGTGTAAGACTCGTTTGCTGTTCTTCCAGATAGCATGTTGCAAAAATACAATTTCGTCCGTGTTCATACGTGGACCTTTCCGTTTATTCCGGATAATTTCCATGCGACTAGCTTCCACCGCTTCGGCTTGAATATAATCAAGTCTGGTGGTTGTTGCAAGCACAGTCACATTGGGAACCCTTGTTGTGAGTGATCCATAGTGGCCTTATCATCCCCGGCGACTTTGAGTTTTTGTTTCGTCAGTTCCCAATAACTGCATAAGTATTCAGGCTCAATTATCCATGTTATGCTTTTAATTTTTTTTTTTTTTTTTTTTTTTTTTTGTGATGAAGCTTTCGTTTACAGTATTGGAATCGGTGGCAAAGATGATGTGATTCAGATCATGTGCTGTAAGCCCAGCAGGCAGCCACTCTGAACCCATTTTAGTGAACGAAACCCGATGGGACTCCTACAGTGTTGCCCTCTTTGAAACCATCCACTGATGCTATATTAGCTTGTCCTTCCTGTGACATAGCACTGACTGCTCTCATCAGAGAATCAATGGGAGAGACGGTTATCCTATGAGATCGCATTTTTATTTCGGTTATATATCATCGATATGATACGAAATCCTGTCTGCATCAAACCGTTCTCGTCATTATAGTCTTTTTGAAGCAAGCGGCTTGTAGATGTTTTCATGCCAGCCTTCATAGACTTTATCTAAATGTAAATTATCCTTGAAGCTTCAACCTTCATCGTTGAGATAGAAAAGGATGAATGAGAGGATACTGTATTATCTATTTACGGAGAAAGACAAAGACTCTGCCTGATTTGCTTCTTTTGACGGTGCAGCTTGGGCGGATGTCCCGTCCACCACCACGCGCCGAAAACAAAAGTATCAGCGCTATAGTAGTCTCTTCTTGAATATAACTGGAACATTATCCCAAGTATTCTGGTTAATCAGGATCACAGTAAATTATGGAAGTGGACGACCTTAGACGAGACAAAAAATATTGATTCAGGAACGACTTGGGGTCACATGGGTTCTGTGAGGTTTCACTAACAGGGTGGACGACAGAGCAAATAAATGGTGCATATGACTCTTCAGAAATAATTGCCGAGTGTTTTAATCCATGATTTAGAAAACCTGGAATTCATGGAATTATTCGTCACTTCGATACCATCCATGACGAGCGTGTGCGTGGTATCGGATCGGAATATATAGCCTCATTCGATAAGGTTCAGGTTATTACCGAGACTGAATGGGATCTTCAAGATACAGTGACTCGCGCTTCCTTCAATTCTATGGTCAGAGCAAATAATGGTATGTTACAGAAAAAACCCCAAATCAGTATAACATCAATGGTTGGTTGGCAACAAGTCAGTCGGTGTGCAAGTCCGGGAGTGCTTGAGCCAATGGAACAGGTTCACGGTGACGGGTGCCATAGTTACACAACGCGAATGACCTGAATCACGACGTCTTGGTTCACCGAATCCAACAAACAAAATTTTTTAGTCATGCATCGGCTTATGCTTAAAACAGAAAATACAAATCAATGCATTAAATAGTCTGCGAAGATCTCAAAAGGAAAAAACAACAACGACGGGGCTCGAATTTTTCTTGGATCATCAGATAAAGAACAGAAAGATGCCGAGTCGTCATTTTCAGTTGATCAATGCGTAGCGTGATAACTTGTATGTTTTTATATCCTTGATTTGCCCCCCTCCCTTTCTGAAACACCGAGAAATGAAAAGACGGTAGCGCATGCAACATCTGGTCCCCTGAAAAAAAAGACAGACGCATCCGTTTTGCATATCACACTGCAATGCAGTGAGGCATGACTGATGAAAACGCCACGCGAAAAAAAAAGAACCCCCATCACTGACAGATTCATACTGCTTTTTGATGCTAACCATTTTTTGATACCACTTAGGTTTTTGTGGATGCTTTCGTGAACTAATTCATCATGGCGACACTGAAAAAGGAAATACGATGATTACTCCGGCGGGCACCGCCTGATGAGATTGTACAGCAAAATTGATGAGATTGAACAATAGGCGGCATTTGGCTTCAAAAGCTTACTGGACCGGTTGGGGGAAGGGGAAAGAATGGGATGTTTGTGCCCTTTTATATTTTCCGGTCACTTAACCGCTTGGACCTACTTGATAATTGCCTTTTTTTTAACTTCTTTTTTTTCCCCATTATTTATACCCTTACTTTTACTACCATATTAATTTAATAGACGCTCCCTGGAATCGACATTTCGTTTTCCCTGACTGTATTTTGTATTCATGAATGCCAAAACTGATGCCGAGTTCAATGGCTACATTCATCCCATGGAGGAACCTGACATGGTCGATGAACCGACGACATCCTCTTACGGCACGGTAACCACTTGGGAACATAAGGACCAAACCAGTTACGTAGCTTGGCTCCAAGCTTTAGCCATAGTCGCTGTCAACAGTACATGCACTTTGATGTGGTGTACGGGAGCCGGCGCTCCTGGCAGTGTGTCAATATGGTTAGACGTATCATTGACCAAAGTCAACTGGCTTTCCAACGCTTCCGCTATATTCAATACCATCTTCTCTTTGGTCACAGCCTGGTTTTATGAACGTTTTGGATTGAAGAAATCTGTAAGAAACGCGCCAAGAAACAAGGTGACATCGTTCACTCATAAGCTGAGATCTCTTTTTTTTTGTCGGTCCCTGGTTTCTTGTTTTTAGATCATGCTTGCTGCATGCAGCAATATGATTGGTTGCTGGATTAGATGCATAGCGATCTGGCTTCCTGTAGAAAAGCGTTACAGCATGGTGCTTTTTGGGCAAATCGTCGCCAGCATAGGTGGACCCTTTATTTATAAGTAAGCTCAGCTCTGTTTATACCTGCATAACCAAGGAAAAAAAAACTCATATTTTATGCAACCATTGCTAGTATTGCCACCAAGGTAACATTATGAACGCCCGAATTTTCTGGAAAGGCAGGCCATGGTTAAACGATATCATCCTATAGTTTGTAGCATTATGGTTTGCACCGCATCACCGTGGCATGGCCAACACACTCGTCAGTAAGATTTTCATTGTCAAACCCAGTATTGGTATTTTATGTTAATCTCTCTTTTATGTTCTTCTTTCCTTCTTCTATCTCCTGATTCCTGTGCAACCGAAAAAAAGCTATCCAATTTGGCTTGGCCCTTGCACCATTGGTAATCCCAGTGCTGGCTCCCACCTCGGAACACGTACCGCGAATGGTAAAAAAAAGTCCACTTGGAAACCAAAAAAAAAAGTCAATACTAACCCATAAGGGCTTCTTCTCTTATCATGATAGCTTTTCGGTATTGCGATTCTGTCCACGGCGGCTGCCGTACCTACCGTATTTTTGCCGATAAAGCCTAAAATAGCGGCATCGGTCACGGCTTTAGCGGACCGCTTACCGTTTTGGACGGCCGTTAAACAGCTGGCTCGAATTCCCGCTTTTTGGTGCGTGGCCTGGTTAAGTTCGATTGTGATGGGCATGACCTTTTCTATTTCGGTGCTTATCATGGAAGCAATCGTGCCTTACGGTTATACCGAACAACAAGCCGGTGTGTGTGCGGCGGTGATTGTTCTCCTGGGGTTCCTGGGTGGAGGTAAGACCATATGACTGGAACATCTCGGTTGTTTATCTCATCCTCACTTTATTTTGAAATGTTGGGGAAAAAAAAATAGCCATGACCGGGTACTGGGCGGGCAAAACTGCACAATATATTTTGCTCATCAAATTTCTGACGCCATTAATGATCTACAGCTATGTAATGCTGATATTCCAAAGTAAGTTGGGATGATCTCATTCTGGGAATCCTAAAAAAAAAGCAAACCGTTCGATGCCATGTTGACTAACTAAGCCTTGGCTCACATGGTAAACCACTTGTACCTCTGAAAATGATGTCGCTTTAGTTATACCCAATGCCTTTTCAGTCATTCTCGCCGCTTGCGCACTCAATGGATTTCTTTCTTATGCTTTGATTCCTATCTACCTCGAATTAGCCAGTGAAAGTAGGTGCTCCAACATGATCACACATTCTGGTGATAAGAAGGATGATGAGCATGATAGAAAACGTGTTTGCACGTGTCACCCAGATGAAACCGTATTTTTCGGCTGACATTTTATTTGTTTTTTTTCATGTCATGTAGTGTCTTACCCGATCCCTGAATCCATCAGTGCATGCATCATTTGGTCGTTTGCCACGCTATTCATGTTGATTTTCTCGGTGATCATTGATATGCTTAGAGCAGGGCCAGAGGCAATACCGCCCTACAACATGGACAAGTCCATGATCGCAGCGGCGGCCATGATGCTGGTCAGTTCTATACCATGTATTTGGTTAAAAGGAGATCTGAAACGATTATCATTTGATCGACAATGAGCGATCCCCCACCAATGCATAAATAAACAATGAAGACAAGCCAAGGCAAGAAAAAGAAAAAAAAAAAAAAAAAAAAAAAAAAAAAAAAAAAAAAAAAAAAAAAAAAAAACTTGGCTAGAATAATGATTGGTCTTGATGACGAGTTCCAGTCGAGGATATTGGGAAGAGAACAACCTTGCAGCAAAAGGAGAAATAGACTCATGGGCGGGAACCTCTGAAGAGAGAGGAAAGGGGTTGCCGATTATTTTTTACACCGAGAACAATGAAATTTTGAAAAAAAGGGCGTGCATATAAAACGATTTTTTTTCTCTTAATCACCCATCGCATCCACCCCATCGCAGTTTATCATCATCCTATTCCCCGCTAGTTCAACTACAGTACTACCCTTACTCACAGTGATTCTCACCAACCGTCCTGATGACAATTGCATATCAGGGCTGGGTGTGCCAGTACACGCCCTCACGACGATTGTTTCCCTGGAAAAGGCGCTATTTTGTTCTCACCTCCACCGCCCTACTTGTTTACAAATCAGAGGTAGGCCCCCATCTTCTTTTTATTCGATGAGCGTTTTGTTTGGATGATCATGGTCAACTAGACTAAACAAAATGTTATCTCGTGGATGATAAATCAGAAGGCAAGCCAAGCCGCGGTCACTTGCGAAGGCAATGCTACTGTATGCTCGCTGGCCGAGTATCAGTTTGTACAACCGTACATCTGTAAACGTTCGGCTCATGCCATCATTATGGAACCTCAGACGATGGCTACCTGTTCCGCAGTGATTTTTCACTGCAGTACCGGTGCTGAACATCAAGATTGGATTGAGGCGATTCATCATCAAATTATCATGCTGGAAAGCAAAAAATGGCGTCTTGGTGATACAAGGATTCAGACGGTATCGCTGTTGGATAAATGGCTGGATCAATTCCAAAAATCCAATGAAATGCATTCGACGGCTCAACCTCAGGAAGATCCCTATGTCACGCTGATTACCTCTAAATCGGCTCCTTTGTCTCGTCCTCGAAGTAAATCCGAATCCATTCACGGAACTCCGTTGTCAATGAAAATCGTCCCTCCACGGTCCACAAGTCTTTATGGCAATACTTCCAAAACGCGGCTGACCCCTTCCGGGGATCCCAAGCAACGTCCTCAGGAACAACGAATGGTGACTCGGTTGCAACGTCATGGGTCGTTGACACTGAAAAAACGGCTGGTCCATGACTTGGATCATTCCGAGTCCATTACCATCACCGTCATCCCCGCCCCTTGGACCATGCCTCTTCCACCGCGACGATGTGCAACCCAACAAAAAAAGAAGACCATGAAGCATTCGGCCTCCACGGATTATCTCAATATCAAAGCTGTCGGCACCGCCCTTTCTTCACCCACTTTTGGAGCTGTTTATCTTTAATGCAGAAAAACACTCTCCTGTCTCTCTCTCTCTTTGTTGTTTTATCGATCCACACTGAATTTATTTTTACAAATGTCCGAATACCAATCACAATAATATACTTTGCTTATTCCTTTTTTTTAACCGCCAATAATGAAAACAAAATATCTGTATGTCGCGTGAATGTAATTCGATAACGATGGATCTAGAAATGACTGGATATTATGCGGTACATTTATTCGGTGTTGTCCGGTGTATTTTCGCTATCAGGAATCGTTTCGTAGCCACCATGCCATCGTTTCCACCAATTGTAAATTAGATAGCCAGTGGCACCCAAAGCGCCGGCGAAAAGAATGGCCGCCGCCGAAATGATGGTCAAAGACCATCCCCAAGGCAAACCAAATAATCCACGACGAATAGGCGTGAGTACCGTATCGATCTCTAGGACACCCCCGGCCAATGGACCATAATCGCCTTTCAGAAATCGCTTATTCCCCGAGATCGTGCCCCTACCGATCACGCGAGCGTGATGCCCGGTCGGATTGCCTTTCACTTCGACCATCAGCTCGCCATGACCCGCATTGCGAATGATTACTTTATCGTACTCTGACAGTCGTGTCGCGTATTCCACACCCTTTTTGTTCTCCAGCTGTCGATCAACATCCCGGCTGTTGACGATATGCATTTTCGCGACCCGTTCCAACTGCTCGGAATCGTTAAAAAGGACATCAAGATCCATACTGGCAAAGGCTTTATCTGTGGGAGCCAGGAGGACAATGTCTGGCCCCAGTACCTCGATCAATCCCGTCTGTTTCAGTACCTCTTGCATGATATTAGCACCCGCGCCCAACAGCAGATGATGATGGGTGATCTGGACTTGGCTCAAAGGGATTTGTACTTGATCGATTTTATGAACGACGCCATTTTTCACGAGAATATCCTTCTCGATCACCTTGCCCATCTGTTGACGGTTGGATCCTATAGCGATGCGGCCGTCTTCATACCCGACAATGTGCAAAGAATCGCTGGCAAAAGTTGGTACGTCAATGACATACTCTTTCATGTCTTGACTGTATTGCAACTCTTTTGCGGCATGAAATTGCAGCACATGTTGAAGATCGGTTCGTCCACTGGGATGCAAGAGATACTTGGCCACCAAGCCTAGTTGATCAAATGCGTCGTTGGTCGGTGCGAATAGCGTAATGCCTTGCGCGTCTTTGAGTTTGTCGACTACGCCTGATACGTACAGAGTGGCAATAAACGTCGACAGATTCAAGTCGACCACCAAACTGGAAAACAAGTCATATGGCATGGTTAACGGTGCCGCAATGCGATAAATGACATTTTTTCCAAGCATGACTAGAGAAAAGGCGTGGTTAAATTTCATTCATTTGGGCAAAGTCAAAAAGAAAAAGACGCGGATGGGGATGCTTACTCGGATCATTCATGACACTGGACTGACCAAAAGAAAGCGACAAGCCAGAGGGGTGGTCCGTCATATGCACCGGTAACCGTTGGGGAGCGCCTTTCAGTAGATCCGATTGAAATTCGGTTTTGAGCAGCATGCCATTTCGCAAATACTCGGTGGTCCACTGTCCCGCAGCCAAGTGATATTGCAACCAATATGTTTTGGCATTCTCGGGAATGTCGTCTTCGTCAATAACATGATTGGGAGGAACTAGAAACGTATACCATTCATCGTCGTTTGTCAGGTAATCCGACAAGTGGTGAGCGTCCATCATGGAAACGAATTTGGTCGCGTTCAGCCCGTACAGATATTTACGCACATTGAATGTTAAACTGTCCGGTATGAGCGGCTGGTCCAGCACATGAATAACACCTACAAAACAAGGGAACCGCAGGTGAGTATGTTGCTTTCCCTATGCGTTCTTGGTCCCCCTCCCAAAAAAGCTAACCATTTTCGGCCAGAAGATCATGCTGTACCATGGCAACCTCATTTACAGCAATGGTTTCTCCGGATCGTTTGATCGACAATGGTTCGCCTGACAACGTTTTATCTTTTTTGTTTTCGGCATATCAACAGGATTACTATGGTGAGGATTGCAGTGCAACAACTTATTTGAGTGGGTGATCACTTACAATGTGTTTCAGCAGAGGAGATATTGTTGGCATAAATGACATCTTCCACGACAGCAAATGATAAAACTTGGAATAAATCTTTTTGACCGTAAGAGGAGGAGAGATAGGAAGCTTCGACGGAATTGAATTTGGTAAAGAAAGATTGGCGAGAAAAGAAAATGGTAAAGGGACGAGGTTGGGATAAAAGGGAGGACATGCTGATCTTATCCATCCACTGGTATATGTCCTTGTTGATACGGCGAAGAATGGTTTCTGCATATCACTCGAATGGTTACCGGACCGGTCATTCTTTCTTACTTTATCAATTTATTCACCTACCTATGGATGGAGGAGGTTCAAGCACTCGATTGACGACGTGAATATAGGTTTGTCGATTGACGGGAATGTCTTTGCTAATGATCTTAGCCTGATTGATCCAGATCGTATTTCCATGTTGTTGCACTTTCAAGTGTTGACCGGGATCGCCGGAACCCAGGAAACCAGGGCGTACATAAAGCGATTCCAGGATTTGATCATGGTGAAATTCGTCGATACGCATGGGATCCGGCAACAAGTGGTATAACAGCATGGTTTTGGTAATGTCTTTGCGATCGCAACGAGCAAATGCATCGTTATCAGGGGCGAACAAGGTCCCTCGAGGCAGTCTGTTGATATACGGAACTAACCGTTGCCGTTGGATATGGTATATTAGCGTGGAAAAACGGGCATCTTCCGAAAGCACATCAATGATGGTTTTGTAGGCGGATGCACACGATAGTAGGAGTATGAAGATGCATGGAGTGACGAGCATAGATACACAAGAAATAAAAGCAGGAAAAAAACGATAAAAAAAATCAGGGAAATGCCGAAGCGGAAATTTGACTTGATTTTGAAATGACGATGGGGTTTGGTCACGAGATGGCTCGATGATGGCACCACGAAATAGCTTGGGAAACAGGGTTGGATTGTCTGTGCACTTTATTCAGGTTGCCAATTACAGCAGTGACGGTCTTTATGTGCCTGGACTGATGGTTGGGTGTTACGGTTTGTTTTGATGAATTCAGCCTTCTTTGAGGTCATGCGACACTGAACGATCGGGAAATCTACGAGTTTCTGTTGCCGCTTCCGCAAAGAGAGAAAAAGAAAGTCGGTGCAACCCAGGCAAACTTCGGCCAATTCAATTCCCGACCGAGCTGGGTCGAAGCTGGAAAAACTTGCTCGGTTGGGCTTCTGCCTTTTTTTTTCGCTTTCACCAGAGACTTTTTTTTACCCTCCATCTTGTGTACCCCCCGAACGCACGCCATCTATCTATTCGACTAAGCGATCTTTCATAAATCACCTTCATCGTCATGCTCACCGTCAGAGACATTCCTCCTCTTGACGATGACGAAGCAGGTTGCAAACTGCTCGTTCCATTCTCGCTCTTTATCCAACTGTGTCTCGCCGGAGCCGCGTTCTCCACACTTATCATTAAACGCCAACGAGAAAGCCCGCAACGGCCTGTACGGATATGGTAAGGAAACAAAAAAAAAACCACCAGAACGAGTTTCGCCACGAAACACCGCACAGTTCATGTTTGCTGATATCGGAGACATTTTTCTTCCTTGTTCATTTCATCGGTAGGGCTTTTGATGTGAGCAAACAGTTGGTAGGCGGCCTTGTTATTCATACTCTCAACGTACTGGCATCGTACATCTCTGGCTCCGAAGAAAGACCCTCCAATCCGTGTGTATGGTAAGCAGTGCAAGACGCAACCATGGTAAAAATGCATCTTCTCGGTTTTTAACTGAATGTTCGTTTCAAACCCAAAAAAGGTACTTTTTACATATCCTGGTGGATACGACGTTTGGCGTGGGGGTTATTTGGGCGATCTTGAAAATGGTGAAAATCATTACCAAGCGGTTCCACTTGTCAGGATTTGAAAGTGGTGTTTATGGCGATCCACCACTGTGGAGACAGTCGAGACGCTGGTTCAAGCAACTGTTGGTATATATCATGGCATTGATCATGATGAAGGTGGTGGTTATGACACTGTTTGTGGTGTGTCCTTGGATCGAGAATCTCGGCAAGTGGGCGCTTCATTGGACTTTGGGCAACTATAAGCTGCAAGTTGTCTTTGTCATGCTAATGTAAGTCTGAAATATGCGAATGTAACCATGGCCCAGTGCGATTTAGCTCAATACCGATGGCCATTTTTTTCAGTTTTCCCTTGGTCATGAATATCGTCCAGTTCTGGATTGTCGATGTCATTGTGAAACACAAGGTGGATCATTTTATTCGCTTACCAGCCGACGATGACGATCAGGATGTGCTCATCCCTATTGAAGACGAGGACGACGACGTCAATCACAATGACAACAATCACCATGTTTCTGACACGGTTGGTCACAGCAATACCGGGTCACGGCTACGTCGATTGTCGTCGGGCACGGCCGCTTCAATCAAGTCAGCCGCGAGCGGATTCTATCGTCAAAACTCCACTTCCACGGCGCCTGTTCCGTGGATCGAAGATCAATATGCCAACGTATGGAACGAATCCGATTCTCATCTACCATCGCACAACGATTTATCGTCTCCCACATTACAAAAATCGCTTTCAGATGAAAGTCTGTACGAACTACGTACAAGCAACAACCATGTACCCTAAAACCTATTTCGCTATGTCATGTATTTATTCCAACTCTCTTTTACTTCCAACTCAATTTGTAATTTAGTCAAAAACTCCTCTTGCTTTTCTTTCTTCCTCTTTACGGGTTGCTTTCGTTTCCCGGCTTGTTCTCCTCCACCTAACCCCTATCACCTTTCCAGCGTTTCTACCCTCTAAACCCGTGTCATCCGCCACTTTTTGATAATAGTATAACAAATACCTTCATCACCTCTTCAATAAGAAATATCAAACAAAAAGGAAAAAGCTCGAGACTTTTTTTTTTTTTTTTTTTACATCATGATCAAAAGTCAATGTTTTTTTTTCTTACAAAAGAATGTCTTCTTTTTCCCTGTTTGAAATGTGTGATCGATATTAGTTGTAACAATGGGTGCTAAAGCTGAAAATGAGTTTTGATGGCAACTTTTTTATATCCAAAGAGAGATACAGGCGTTGATGACGGCTTTAAAGCTTGTCATAGTATCTGTCAAGACCAGGAATATCTTCGACAAGACCCTTTCTCTTACGGACAGCACGGATGATATCGTAGACCTTGTTACCGGCTTCAAGAGGGTTGCCGGACATTTCCTGCCAGTGATCGAACACAGCTTGAGGGAAAGCCTGACCACCAGTGGCGGCACGAAGATCGGCAGTGAAACCGAAAGATTCGTTAACAGGCAAGTAGGCCTTGACAGCCATCATGGGGGTACCGGGGCGCTGTTCTTCGGAGAAGACCTGACCACGACGCTTGTTAAGGCAAGAGTAGATACCACCAATGACAGAGTCGGGGCACTGAATTTCGACCAAGTAGACGGGTTCCTGGATACCGGGGGTAGCGGTCAAGACGGAAGCGTAGACGACACGACGGCAAGTGGGGATGATCTGACCACCACCTCTGTGGATAGCATCAGCGTGAAGAACAACATCCAAAATGTTGAAACGACAGGCACGCAAGTTTTCTTCGGCAAGGGGACCTTCCTTGGTAGCCCACTGGAAGGCGGCAACACAAGAATCCTTGATTTCGTTCAAGAACTGGACAGCCTTGGTGGTATCGACCATAACGTTGGGACCAGTACCATCGGGACCGAAACACCAGATCTTACGGGCTTCAGTGACATCCCATTCGTATTTGTCAGCAAGGACACGAGCACGAGCCTTGAAATCGTCCTTGGGAGAGATCTTGCCAGCTTCGATCTCATCGGCGAGTTCAGCATTCAAAGGCATAGCTCTCATGAAGATACGGTTATGCTTGTTGGGAGACTTGGACAAACAGTCCATGGAGGACTCGGCAGTGACGGTTTCACGGTACTGGACGACGGGGTCACCAGTCTTGAGGGGAACTTGAGCGTGATCTTCTTCAAGATCCTTCAAGCAAATTTCCAAGTGAAGTTCACCAGCACCGGCAACAATGTGTTCACCAGAGTCGGAAGTGTAGGTCAAGACACAAGGATCGGACTTGGCAAGACGCTTGAGACCTTCGACGAGCTTGGGAAGATCGTTGGCGTTCTTGACATCGACGGCGACCTGCACGACAGGAGAGACAGAGAACTTCATGACCTTCATGTTGTGAGCGACTTCGGAGGTGGTGATGGTACCAGACTTGACCAAGAACTGATCAACACCGACAAGACCAATGATATTACCAGCAGGGCAGTCATCGATGGCTTCGACGTTACGACCCATCATGAGAACAGTACGCTGAATGGACTTGATGGACATATCGGTCTTGGTACCGGGGACGTAGTTGGGACCCTGGATACGGACCTTCATACCAGCACGGACGGTACCAGAGAAGACACGACCGAAAGCGTAGAAACGACCCTTATCGGAAGTGGGCACCATCTTGGAAACGTAAAGCATAAGAGGAGCGTTGGGGTCACAGTCACGGATACCGATGGCGCACTCGTCATCAGTGGGACCTTCGTACAAGTTGACCAAACGGTAACGCTGGGCAGTGACGGGGGAAGGCAAGTGAATACAGATCATCTCCAAGAGAGCATCACCGGCGGGCAAGAACTTGCGCATGATGACCTTGAGGAGCTGCTTACCCTCGAGATCCTTTTCGTCGTTCTTGAGTTGGACATCCAACTTCTCCAAGAGAGTGGGGATCTGATCCTTCTTGAAGTTCATGACACTGTCAAAGATTCTGAAGATAGGATCCAAGACGAACATGTTGAAAGCACGTTCAAGAGGCTTGCCCTTGGCATCGGTGGACTTGGTGGTCCACTTCTTGGTGGCAGGGTTGAAGTAGTTCTCACCCCACAACTTGACCATCATCTTCTCCTTATCAACACCGAACTTCTTGGAGTAACGCTGAGCGAACTGACGGAGGGTGAAACCCCAACCGTGAAGACCGGAGGCAAAAGCAACGGTACCCTTTTCGGGGAAGACCTGGACATCACCAAGGGCCTCATCGACGTAGGTGGAGATGATGACGTTGACGGATTCAATGGTACGGGAGAAGGTCTATTGGATGCAACAAATAATAACACGGGTTTAGTCTCCGGTGTTCGGTTTTATATCATAGTGCCAATTTTTTTCAACTTACGCTGTACAATTCTTCCTTGCTCAATTGGAGTTCAAGAAGAGCACGATCGACCTTGTTGATGACAACGACGGGCTTGATACGTTCGGTCAAAGCCTGACGCAAGACAGTTTCAGTCTGGACACAGACACCATCGATACAGTCGACGACAACAAGAGCACCATCGGTGACACGGAGAGCAGCAGTAACTTCAGAAGAGAAGTCAACGTGACCAGGAGAATCGATCAAGTTGATCAAGAAAGAGTGACCTGAGGAGAGCGCAAAATATGTTAGATTTAACTACACGTCACATTGGCACATTATGTCACGGTCCAAGCTTACCATCGACCTTCTGACCCTTGATTTCGTTAATATCCTCAGGGTTTTCCATTTCGAAGTACATGGAAATGGCGGTAGACTTGATAGTAATACCACGTTCCTGTTCATCCTTACGGGTATCCATGAAACGGGTGTCACCAGCACGACCAGCAGAGATAATACCGGCCTTGGAGACCAAGGAATCAGTCAAGGTAGACTTGCCGTGATCGACGTGAGCAATGACGGACATGTTACGAACGTTCGTAACCTTGTCCATCAAACCGCGGATCTCCTCAATAGTAAAGTTCTATAGAGTCGTCATTGGTAAGTGTGTTTGCTTCAACAAAAGCAAAAAGAAAAAAAAAAGTTGCAACATTGGTGCAATGTACTTACCACTAATTATCATGGTGGCAAAAAGGACAACGAAGGCAAAACACGGAAAAATGACGAGGTAAAAAGAAGAATAAACGTTTGTTAGGAAATAGGATACAACACAAATGGACGTAACCCATGGATGGAAACACTGGATGCATGGATGCTTACCCATTTTGACTTATACTGCAACACGAAAAGGTGATGGATGAAGGAGAAATTATGGATGGGAACGTCGACATGTCGAAATTTCTTTGCCGATGGGAGCGGACTGCGGCGGCTCGTCGCGCAGCACGCGGCGAATCAAATCGCATTATTTTCAAAAAATTTTGTCTCACGCACTTGCTGATTGGGAAAAAAAAAAGGCATAGCACCAAACCATTGAACGAATGACATGCAACAAAGACCGGTCTAAAGGGGTGATCCCTTGGTATTCGTGTAAATATCGAATGCTGGCCAAAAACGAACGGTAAACACACATATCAGCATAATGAACCCATCACATCTGCAGATCACTACAGCAAAGAAACATGTGCCATTTGGTTTACATCAAAATAAAGACATATACACTTTTTTTTTGGTTTTCCTTTCAACACAAGCCTGCATTCAACGCGTATATCTTCGATTTTCCGAAAATGGGTCAAATAGTCTATTAGAATTTCGTTATAATGATGACATGGAAAATTCAAACCGCTAAAAAAGAACGCCAAACCATGAATGTCGCGTTGCACAAGAACTCAAGTTGCCATACCGACGAAAATGAATATGTCGCTCATCAAACTTTACCATGCGATGTAGATGCCAACGCTTCTCTGGGAGTAAATAAAAAAAAAGTCGCAAGGTGTAAATTATATCTTGCATCTACGCGTTCAGAGGAGAAAAGAAAAAACTTTTTTCATGGGTTTTTTTTATACATCGTACCCTTGCGGCAGCTAAAAAAGTCCACCTCTGTACGGCACGAAGAAGATTATGAAGTAGATGATAATGCGAAGCGCGTAGATAAAAGAAAACGAAATATTCATACCTGTTCAATCATCGCGTCTGGAGCATTCAGTAGGCCAATGACGCGTCACATTTGAATATTCTGAAGAGTCCATCAGCCGGCTTCCATGGCAGTTGGTGTTGCATTAAGAGGGCCAAGAGTCAAAGTATTCTTTGCAGTCTGAGTGTGCAAGAGAACTAATTCAGAATGTTTGCTTTTGTTTGACATTATGGAATAAAGTACATAAAAAAAATACTTTGCTTGTTCTACATGATTGCTACAAATCCAACAACGAAAAAAAAAACACCCAGTTGCAGTCGGTCTGAGTGTGCAGCAATAATAAAGAAACAACAAGACGAATAGCTTAGCTGGAATGCAAAAAACGTCTTGTATGATGTATTATATTAGTAGTTAACAGGATTAAAGATTATGAATATAGTTTAGTGATGGAGGTGGATTTGGGCATGGATTCTTTGCTGTATATAATCATGGCGATGAGAACGATGATAGCCCCGGCGATGAAACCAAGGGTAGGTTGAAATGCAAATAAATAAAAACTGATGATGCTTGATACAATGATGGATATACTTGTGGCAAAGCCTTTGAGGATATTATCAGCGTATTTTACCACAATGGCCACCAACAGTCCTCCCAAGGCTTGGTTGATAATCACCAACCACGTCATGCAATCGTATCCCTGGAAGAGTCCTCCCGCTCGTATTAACGGTAAATCGTAGATCATCATCCCCAGCAGCGAGAAAAATGCGCCACATAGACTCAGTTGAATGTTGCGAATCCACATGGACGTCGTGGAAGTCTTCAAGATCTTTTCGAAATAGCATCCTGCAAACCCAGAAGACACACAGCTTGTCAATACGGCCAGTAGTCCGATCCACGGATTCTGAAAGTGAGTGTCCTTGCTATTCGGTTCGTCTGGCACTGCGGCGGTCATGACTTGCTGCGTTTGTACCAAGGTCACACCGGCCATGAGCATGGTCAGTGCAAACCACTGTGTACGGTTCAATGAGCGGCCCAATAGTAAGACGGAAAAAATGGCCGTCGACAGAATTTTCAGTTGATACGTGATCTGAAAGGTGGCGGCCTCCAAGTTACTGAGAGCAATATATAAAAGATTGTTCTGCAACGCATACAACCCCGAAGGGATCATCATGATAAGCAATCCGCGAGGTTTTCCAATCACATCCATTTTGATCTGTTGACCGAAATCTTGCCATGAGGAATGTTGCCATCGTAAAATGATGAAGCAGGCAGCGATTTTCACCATTTCGGCCATGACGACAGCCGTCGATGCAAGGTAGAGAGGTTGATCGGCGGCTTTTTGGGTTCGAGAGTATCGCATCATCAGTACGAGCAGTGTGTTTTGCACTACCAATACAACCAGTGACATCTGTTGCCTTGATAAATAACATATGCGAGGTTCGTCTAAATAGGCAGGTTAGATCAGTAATTTTTTGCGGACTGGCTTTTGGCATTACTTTTTGGTATCGTGGTATTGATGGGAAGTAAATGTCTCGATTTTTTGAATATTCGGTTAGATGCATAGTGTGCCATGATGATAAATGCATGAAGAAGAGGATAACGAAGAAAGACAAAAAAACGAATGGAAAGAGCCAATTCAAGGCGAATTAGAAAAACCTAGCGGATCAGGAAAAAGGGAAAATTTTGTTCAAGTGTGAAAGGTGGGGTTGTGTTGGACAAGGGTCTTTTTTTTATTTTTTTATTTATTTTATTTTATTTGTATTTTTCTTAGTGATTGTGATGTGCCACACGAGAACAGAAGAAGAAAAACACCAACTACGGCCATTCTCTTATGAAGCAGGACCATCGTGAGCCTTCTTCAGCATGTCCGCATAACTGAATGGCGATGACTTGATCGGTATCGCATTGCAAAGACTAGGAAACGCGTCTACTTCTTCCTCCTTCTCCTTGTGCTTCTCCTTGACAACACTATCAGATTTTTGCGATATTTTCTCTTGTTTATCAACCGTCTCAATCGTATTATATGGCGACGGTTTTTGTTTTGACCAAGGTGAGCTTGTTACTGTGCCTTTGACAATGTCGGCTGTCGACCGTTTGTGTGCGCCGCCCATGGTCCCATTCATAACAGTCGCGCCATTTGCGCTATTCGTGCCATCCGTACCATTCGTGCCATTCGCGCTGTTCCGGTCATCGGACAAAGACAATGTATCTTTGGATTTATTGCAACTTGCACCGGTAGGCAGCGGAGGAAAATTAGCTAGACGTAAATCAGGCGGCGGTGGTGGTAACTGACCTATGGGACGTGATGGAAAACAACGTTTAGAGTTGCTTTAATAGACGTCTCTTGATTAAAAGCTTACCGCTGTCCTTTGATCGGCCTTTTCTTCTTTTATCTGGTCGCTTTTTACCTCTCGTCGCATTCATTGCATTTGATCCTGCCGACTCCCGCCGACGTCCCTGATCCGATGTCGCGGACTTGTGCTGGTGTAAATGTGCCGATCTGTTGTCATTCCGTTTCTCTCCTCCGTAAGGCGATTGTGACTTTCGATCCTTTGAAAATTTGTTGTTCCGATGTGAATGCCGTGGCACGGTGTTGGTCATTTTAAGGGAGGCATCATTGTTGGACGTTGCCGGTGAATCGTGTATGGAAAGCTGCGACATCTCATGGGGAAGAGCTTTGTCTTTCATGGTGGCACCCTGTGCTATTGGACTATGTTGCCAACCGTTTCTAGTGTTGGGACCTGGAGAATGTTGATGAACGTGATTCATGTGCTTTGATCTCATCTTCCATCCTCTCGGATAATGCGTGAAGGGATATCGTAAGCTGGGTGCTGATTCGTATGAATGACCAGGATAGGGTATTGTATTTGGGACTTGCGATGACCACTTGTTGCCGTAGGGAGCACCGTAGGAATAATAAAATCCAAATGACCCAGGAGGCAGTGTGGAATTGGAATGATCTATCGCCGCACCGATGTGATTGGTAGTAGTACTGGAAGAGGAGACGGTGTCAGCTTGTGGATTGACGGAAGGCGAAGATGACATATCAGAGTGGCTCGTCTGGCTTTCAAGGTCCGTGGAGGAGGATTTTTTGGTCTGTCTAAAAAAAAAAAAAAAGAAACGAGGGACAAGGACGTTGTTTAAGACCAAAAATGATAACATGGTTCGGCCAGATGCGAGGATGACTTACATACTCCGTAATACGGGTTCGGATTTCATACGAGCTGCAATCGGTTGATCTTTGAACGTTTTGCCGCGGATATCAAATAATATTTTCAAAGCGTCTTCCTCCGATTCAAAGGTGATATACCACATATTCCCCACATCTTGTTTAATCGTCTTTACAGGTGGTGAATTTAATTCTCGTAATAAATCACTGATTTCCTATTTATAACAGCATGAGAAAAAGTAAATAAAAGAAAAGCACAGCCATAACCCATTACATCATCATCATCATCGTCATCTCCAGGGGCTAGGTCTTGATTTTTTTTCCCTCTCTCACACGCTGTCTCTCTGATTATTTTTTTCCTTTACCTCTTCAGTTGCTTCTGGAATATCTCTAAGGATAACGGTTGTCCTTTGTAATGAGATGTTGGGTTTGACTTTGGTCCCGGTTTCGTCAACAATGACAGCCGTAGATTCTTGCAAGGTTTTGACCACAACATCAATATCGGTTGTCCAATCACGCACCCGCTTGAACTTGGCGATCGTGGCAATGGGGACATAAAGATCAGCGTCCATTTGTGATACTACAGTCATCCCCCCAACACCACCAGATACAATCAATAAACCTTTTATGGCTTTTTTTTTTTTTTTTTTTTTTGCAGGAGTGGATTTATTTGATCCGACTTACCAAGGTAGGCATCATTCGCCAAATTTTGTCTACAAGGAAAGAGGAAAAAAAAATCAATTCGATTAAAATAACCAAATCCACCATCCCATGCTCCCTCTTCAATTTCTGAAGGGGTCGGCCTTTAATCTATTTGAATCGCTTTCCGGTCAACTTACCTTGAAAAGTAGTATTCTAATTGTTTTCGTAAATTGAAGTCGGAGATCGATCCGTTTTCACGCGGAGAGGCACGATGAAGGACGGCGGGAGTGGTATCCTCATTATGCATGATTATTTCGAGATCATCCTGTTCGTCGTCGCGTAAAGGGGATTCTGAATGCTTGAGTGACGTCAATGGATGATGAATAGAGTTGTTATTATAAGGTGGATAGTACATGGGCGGTGGCGGAAAGTAGATAGGGGAATACGGCAAATTGGCCGGATACGGCGGTAAAGGTTCGGCATACCGTACATACTCTGGTGACCCTTGGTAGTCTCGAGCAAAGTGGGGTTTCATTTTACTGTAACCTAGGGATGACCGTTTTGGCTTGAACTCTTTCTGAACGGAAGATCCTTCTGTGGAGGAAGCGGCATCGTCATACAAAGTCATGGCTCAAGAGGGACTACAGCGGCTGGTTTTATCAATTGATATATAATATGTGTACGTGAGTGGAGTGGTGTATGTGTATGATAAGAAATGTATGTTATGTATATGTATGATTTTCTTTTGCGGTGTGAAAAAAAAAAATGAAAAAGTGTTGCCAACACAGGAGTCAAGTGTGCCACCAGAGGAGCTGCGACCCAACCAAAACGTACTTAAAATGACCGTTCCAGTGTGCATCCGGGTAAGATGAAGTACTTACATGATGAGAAATCTCGTAGATGGCAGAAAAGAAAAATGGGAGGAAAAGAAGAAACTGAGAATAAGAAGAAGAAGGGAAAGAAAAGGAAGAAAAAAAAGAGACACTTGATAATATGCGTCCAGAAAAAAAAAATCGCTTATAGCAAAGTAAACGAAAATTTCCCTAATTTTTTTTTTTTTTTTTTTTTTTTTTTTTTTTTGGGTGGTGCAGCTCACACAGAAAAACACTGTGTAATTCTTATTTCACCGGCAAATTAACACTTCTTGTTGTCAATTCAGAAAAAAAAATAAAAAACCAACCGCAGACCACCACCAACTAACTGACTGAATAAGTGATTTTCTACTTTACAAGTACTAAATTCAATGCACGTGCATCAGCAAAGTATTCACGTATTCAAAGATATATGAGGCCCAATCAAAGACTCTCGCAAAGGGGAATCGCGGCAAAAAAAGAAGAGCGTATTCAGCATGGAATAAAATCCAGATGTTCTGTACCGTCACCCAATCATATGGTTTTGTGACTGAACGAGTAATTCTGATCGTCTTTTTTGTCGCATATCATATAAACAATGTTTATTCATTGACATAAAAATGAAATTCAGGTTCACCAAAAGGTTGCATAATCACCTGGTTCGGTACAGATCCTGCATGTCCCATATTGAGGATGGCAAGCGACAGATCGTGTGAAACGAAAAGAATCTGACATGCAAAACAAAAAAAAGACACCTAATTTAATCATTAATATCGATCTTTTGCTTTCATACATATAAAGTATTTCCCATCGTTGGGAGCATAATATTTTTGCCTCATGAAGAATCTCGTTGTTCCGGAACTGCAGATCTTTATTTCCGCCATGAACGCAGGGAGCCTATGCAAAAAGCAGGTATCGAACTGTTTCTCGGTCATCAAGCATCATTGAAACTAAGCTCAGTCACTTACTGCGTGTTGCAGTTTAGCTATCAGAACTAATCCGAGACCTCACGGGCTATTCTCTTCTCTACCAGCATTTCCTAACTGCGTGCGATTAAATGGTCTGGAAAAAAGGAGAAGGCCAAGTTGGGATTGGCAGCAGTTTTTGAAATACTGGGAAACAAAGGCATTGAACATTTTACGGAATGGGAACGGTTATTTGTTTACCGGCAGGGCAAGTTAATATTACAGTGGGCCGTATAAAGTTAATTAGTTCGACGGTGCTTTAGAATAAAGGACGTCAGCTGACTGACGTTTTACAATGTCTCAATATCAATATCGGCATTATAGGCTTTATAGAATCTGTTCTATTCTCCTTTGGCGCTGTGGCACAGTCAACTGGCATCATCTTATCAAACGCCAAAGGAACCGATGTTACACACGGTATAAATCTTGACCAGAAAGACCGCAGAGAACCCGAAAAATCTGCCCCATAGAGAACGAGACATTGGATGAATGATATCCTTTCATGAATGACCGATTTTGCAAGCAGTGGTGCTTTGCCTTAAATCTCACCGAATGGTGTGATTCCATGGTGGTGGATCTTTCGGAGAAATAATCAATACATTCTATCGTTTCCCGTTCAATATCCATCGAAATGGATCGCATGTTCTTATCATGCAATTCTCAAAACCCAGAAAAACAGAAGCTTAAAGACGGATAGACATTGGTTCATGCACCTGCTCCTTAAAATTTTTTTATCGGTTTTAAGGTTGACTAGTTTTTTCTTCATCTTGTCATGCATGTGTCGTCCGTGAGTTTTGATTGAAATACATCGATTAAAACGGCGTATGGCTCATTTGTCATGAAAATATCAGCGTATCATCCGTCGCCATACCCGTCATCTCTCAATACCAGTCGAATTCGATCTTGATGTCTAGCACATCGGTAAATATGTAACTTGGCTTTTTTTTTTTTGGATCCGCGTATCTTGTATCGAACAGAAAACGCTACGGACTAGTTGCACAGTATAATGGTTTCATGGAGGTTAAAGCGTTAAGCAGAGTTTATTGATGTGATATGATGCGTTGTAATTGATAAATCAAAAATGTGTTACTGTAAACGACAATAAATTTATGCAGTTCAATGAATGTTCCTGTCACATGCTTGATGATCGTCTGCTGGAAACCAATCATGTCGCATTGCTATCCAGAAGCAGTTTGCAAAATATCATCAAAGATATACTACATCGTTAAATCGTCAGCGATGTATTAATCGCCTAAAGGTGTCCTTTTCCAATCTTTTGCAGCAGGTGAATGCTCAAACATTACATCAATGATCGTCAATCAGAGCCGGTTTAACCATCTGTCTAACATATAATAACGTATGTCACTGTTTCCACGCGCACCCTTGAAGCTCCCTTGCTTTTATAAGCGGTTTGATCGTGCATCAGTCACCAAACCGAGGTACCCAGAAACTAACAGGTGCTTCACACGGAATTGACAACAATATGATTCCGAAAACAAGGGTACACCAAGAATATCATCGCTTCGCAAAGCGACAAATTAATCATCACTGCCATCGTATCATATTATATCCTTATCTGTGGTGAATACAGTAACAACGTCCAAATGTCAAGCTTGATGGTACGTCGTTTGATGATGGCTTCAAGGTTTTGTTGCGAACAGAAATCTGAACGAAAACATTAGAATGCTTGACACTGTATCTGAGTAACAGACTAGACAAGCTCTCCAGCATCTTGATTTAAGCGAGTTCAGGCAATACATGAACACAATTGACCAACAACCAGGGTCGTACGTAAACTTGGACGGTATAAACAACAACTTGGATGCCCAACATACGATCCTGTATTGACTTTCCAGGTGGCGACTTTCAGCAAGTCCGCGCAAACGACGTAGTTAGTCCATGCAATCATTGATTGCATTTCAAATGCACGCGGAGACCTTCCCAGTGTCATTTTCTTTCCCTCCCGTGCGTACAATATAAGACATAACTCATCAATTTCGTCTTTTTTTCCCAGTTGAAAGAAACTCTCTCCATTGGCCATTTGTTTCCGTACAGGAATTTTTTTTTTTGTTTTTTGTTGAAAAAAAAAAGACCATTTTCTATTTCGCCATAAACATATGTTTCTAACCAGTTTACATGCCAAGCAGCCCGCTGAATTGACTAGCATATTGCATCGGTCGGACTTGAGGATGAGGCTATCAGAAAGAATGGTCAGTAGCTTTGCCGAAATGGTACGTCCTTCCTTCCTTCTTTCTTTCACTACTTACCACTGCCTCGAATGTCACATAATCTAACTTCATATCGGGTGTAATATTGATCAATGCGCCCTTATTGCCAACCGTATCGCTAAGTTTTTCCAATGTTAATACCCACATCATCACGTATTCACGCAAGTACCGAATGCTTACCAATAATTCGGGGCGGAGAAAACAGTAACACATTTTCCATCATGTTCAATCACGTAGCCTTCTTCTTTCACTTCATGACTACGAATTAACATATCTAAAAATCCACATTAGTCATCTATCTCTTTCCCAATCACACTTATGATCTCAAAGCTTACCAAGATTGTTGTGTTCCAAAAACTTCTTTGTCACATCGGGACCGAATTGGATGCCGACACCGCGTTTACTTGCGCCACGGCCCAATTCAGGTTGAGGATCGGACCACAAAAGTTCGCACATCAAGCCTTCGTTCGGAGGTTGTCGATGCGATAAGCGATTGATTTTACGGATATCATCCAATGTCACATCATCTCGCGAGAACAAACCGCCATGGACCACCAGAATCTTGTGTTCAATCACATGCGCCAGAGGCAAAGCATTAAAGGTCTCCGAGAAAAGCTTGAACATGAGTTCGCTAAACTTGGCCTTGACTTCACCCTCAAAACCGTACACCTTGTTCATATTGTCCGTCTCATGGTTACCGCGCGCCAAATACAGTCGATTAGGATACAACCATTTGTACGCGAACAACGTAAGAATAACTTCAACCGAAAAGCTGCCTCGATCGACAAAATCCCCATTAAATAAATAAGCATGACTGGGTGAAGGATACCCATTGGTGTGGAAGATATTGATAAAGTCGTAAAATTGGCCTGCCACAACGACAGCATGTCAGTTTTCTCGTTGCAAAAATGAAAACAAGGTGCAAGCTTACCGTGCACGTCACCACATACGGTGAGAAGACCATCCTCCGGTACTTTAACATCAACAAGTGAAGGAGCTTCCAGCATCATTTTACGCACGGCCAAGATGATCTACATCCGTTCACCATACAAAATCAATATGTATGTCAAAACCAAATACGGTGATGTCTACTTACCATAAATGCGTATTTTTTGTGAATCTTCTTTTGGTTTTTGAACCGTTCCACCATTTCATTTACAAAGTCTTCATCGATTTCCTTGGTTTCATCATTGATCTTGGGACCATCGTAGCTGGGCTCAACAGCTGTAGTAACCATGCGTCAAAAACCCACATTCAGTATGCGTCACATATTCCTCCTCCCACCATGGCCATCGACGACTTACTCATGGTATCTGGATTCAATGATTCAGCCACCGATGGGATACGATCGTCAGCCTATTTTTTCCACAAAGGGTCAGACATAGTTTTGTATACATGAAAGCCCATTCCACGAACCTCGATCGCCTTTTCAAATTCGATGCGTTTGACAATCTTCGTACACTCGTTCAATTTCGCTTGGGCGTCTTTGTCTGCGGGAGCTCGTTTGGCAACCTATGGCATAAAAAATAAAACACTGGACATTAGCAACGTAGTGGGGAGACAATGTCGCAACAAAAGATGACATTACCACTTTCAAATCTTTCAGGGCTTCCTTGAACTTGCCCAGGGCCATATTCGCCGTGGCTCGACGGTAGTTGGCCTAGTAACATACTTGTTTTAATATTTGCACCGTTAATGCTACTTTATCAGGTTGAGGTTATACCTTGGTCAGTGCAGGATCGATCTCTAGGGCGGCTTCTGCATCGCTGTGGATAGGTTGAATTTGAGTGACGTTTTATACGATCACAGGTACCGACAATGAGGTTTTACCTGATAGCATAACCGTAGGATTCGAGCTTCAGATGACAGAAAGCACGATTGGTGTAATAGGCGGCTACATTGGGGTTGAGTTCAATGGCTGCTGTGTATTTTTCGATAGCGTCAGGGAACCGTTTTTCTAATGATCAAGGTACTGTTAATAAACCAAATTTATTGAGTCAATGAAGTGCTCAAGATCTATACCAGCAAACAGCTTGTTGGCTTCAGCCTTAACAGCTTCAGCTTTTGCCTTGTTTTCTTCGGACACTTGTTCGACGGGCATGACTAACGACGAGAAGGAGGGAAAAATGGTGGTACTTTGACGATCCATGACTTTTTTTTATGATTTGCTGCAACGGCAACCCACTACCCGTGACTGCCAAATGCATGTCAAAGAGGAAACGCCCAAAGGTCGGATCATCTTGATCACATTTGCCGAAGAAAGATTGACCCAACTCGATCCTATTCCACCTTTTGGAGACACACAACGATCAATGAGGATGCCAAGCTACATTATCAAATGATGCATTCATTTCTTTTAAGCTTACTACATTGACATAAAAAGGCACACACTGATATTGAGGGTTTTACGTGCACATCTTTGTCAGTGGATCAAAGAATGATGACACTTCCCAATGACCAAATGACGTGCATGCATGCATTCCTCTCTGACCATTTTTGCATCATACCGCCCATAATAACCATATTTGCTACCCCTTCATCTTTTGCTGCCACAAACCCAAAATGTCAATTTAGCCATTACAAAATGTTTAGGTTTTTTGTATAAATATCCTTAGTAGACGGATGTGAACTTTTATTTTTGATTTAGACGCTTTCGAGCACGGGGGGTTCGACAAAGTCCTTGGCAATCTTGGCACCAACTTCATCACCGGCGGCGGCGGCACCACCGTGAAGAGCCAAAAGGGCCGAAACATCGAACTTGGGAGCCTTGAGGATCTTGACCTTGCGGGTGTAGGTGTTCTGCAAGGGGTAGATACCTTGGCAAGCCTTCTCGATGCGGACAGCAATGGCATCCTGAGCGCTGTGGGAGGCGGAGCTGGTGACCTTGTTGACGAGCTCCTTAAGATCGCAAGCAACGGCTTCCTCAGTCATGATCTCGAACATCTTCTTGCGGATCTGACGGATCTGAGCAGTCTGAGCGTAGGTGGTCTTCTTGATCTGGTTGCGACGACGAGCAGTGAAGGCGATGGTGAAGAGACGGACGAGGTAACCGTCGGTGGTCTTGACATCGACGAAAGCCTCAATGGTTGTCTGCCACTTCTTGACCATGGAACGGAGCTTGTCCGAGGTCATGTCCATGCGGTAAAAGTTGGTAAGGCAGTTCTTGCCCTGGATTTCATCAACCTTCAACTGAATCTTGCGGAAAGCGCGAGATTCGTCCTTGGACAAGTCACCGAGAGACACTTCAACAACACGTCCGTGAAGCGAGTCGTTGGCGTTGCGGAGACCCTGGGTACGGTTGACCAAGGTCTTACCGACCTGGCGAACGTCGAACATCGAAGGAGCCTTGATATCATACCAGTCCTTACGGGTGAAGGGATCGACGCTACATTATCAACTCAACCATGAGCAAGCCGCACCACAAAAAATCCCAATGAAACCCCCATTGTCAAATCTTTTTCATTGACAAATTCAATACTTACACCTTCTTCTTCAAACCCTTCTTTCCCTTACTGAGACGTCTATAAAACACAAACACAATGTCAGTTCAATGGTCATTCATGGCTGTGTTTCTTTCATTCTATGATTTTTTTGAGAGGAAAAAAAAACCCACTTGTTCTTGCCGACGGCTGTGATAAAACAACGGATGAATCAAATAAAGAAGAAGGAAAATAAGGAGAGGATGATTAGATTCAATGGATATCGCTTGATGGACGCGGATGTCCTTACCCATGATGGATGCGACTTGAAAGAGGAAGCTTAATCTATCACTGGCTTCGACTTTGGTTTTGTCGAAATGGAAATGTGCGGCCCGACAACTTCCTGTAACCGCTCATGTGACAGCGTCCCCTCGGACAAAATTTTTTCTGAGCCGGAATTGACCATCAAACCGAACCTCCATTTGAATTCGTCGTACATCCCCGACCAATTTTTTCTTTTTGCTCGCATTGACACTTTAAGGAAAAGAAGAATAAAAGTCCCCCACATGGTGGAGATCATGGCTATTATGTTATTTACTAGTTCAATGGCTGTAACAAGAATAGTATATCTTTAACTTGGCAGCTCTCTTTGTAAGGCCGAAAAAGCTTCTTTTATCTGAAGACCATGGCGTTGGAAGTTGTTCCTGCTTTTTAAAAGGCAAAAGTTCTAGCAACAGAGTTCATAGAGGTATCTCTTACAAACGGTACATTATTTAATTCAAGAGGGTAATGGAATCAGGCAGCCTTTCACAGAAGCAACATCAGCACCTTGAATCGTTTGAGCAAAAAAAAGTCTATGCCAGCTGTGCGGATCGGGCTAGAAGTATAATGTAAACCCCGCCGCTGCGTCCGACTTAACAGTCACAGTGCTGCTTCCAACAACCGGAAAAAGCTTTGGATGGTCTCTGTTCATCCATCCTCTTTGTAATATCATCAATACATCATGGTAAGCATCGAATCTGCATCATCTAACATCTATCATCTATCCTTTCGGATGATCTGAGAACAAAGAGGATGGATGATATGTGAACTCTCCACAGATGGGAATATGTTTCGCTAATCGAATTCCGTGATTACTCCAACAGGGTAAAGTCCACGGTTCCTTGGCTCGTGCCGGTAAGGTGAAGTCTCAGACCCCCAAGGTCGCTAAGCAGGAAAAGAAGAAGGCCTTGACTGGTCGCGCCAAGAAGAGACAGGTCTACAAGTATGTTAAAAAGAAATACAAACGATTACATGGAATCATTTCAGTTGGAACTAACCTCTCATTTTGCCTCCTCTTTAGCCGTCGCTTCGTCAACGTCACCACCACCATGGGTGGCAAGCGCAGAATGAACCCTGCTCCCACCGCTGGTCCCTAAATGCCTCTCCATTCTTGAAAACCTACGAATTTACGTTGCAATCTTTTGCTCGTCGTCTCTTCGATTCAGCAAACGATTTTGTCAATAAAAGAATCCAAACATTCGAAACACCATGAAACGATCAACATTGTTGCAACACAATGTCTTTATGAAAAATTAACTGGTTGGAGTGAGATTAGATGATGATTCAGGATGAACAGATGCCAGAAAAGCATCAGACATAACAATCCGCGACCTAATTGGCGCTTCATGAACGTTGCTTGGAGCGGGGAGTTGGAGAATGGTATGCAGTCATCGTTTTGGTATATGGATACGGATAGACTATCAAATTATGCACTTCAAGACTGTACTCTATTTTTAGAGTCATGGTTTGAGGGATGACCGAAGCAACGGTTCATACATTTTATGTTCTGAAAATATTCTGAACGGCCGACCATCCATGGCCGAGAACGGGCAACGGCATTTTTGATGACAACCGTTCATAGTGCAAGCAGCATGTCATTTTTCGTAGTTGCAATCTTTATGTCAATGCCATCATATTCAAATAGCGTTATGCAGCAAATACAGCTGCAGCTAATGAACTGCATAAGAAAAAGACACCAAACATCATTTTGAAAATTCAACGTTAAACCAAAAAATCGTCATATTTCTGCTAATACTAGAACGTTCATTGTCAACAGATGAGGATGGGACAAACACAGCAAGATAAAAATACAAGATACAGTGGGCATTTCATTTTTTGGAGAGCATGAGAGAGAGTATAATACATGCATGCTTTAATAGGAAGTCGCTTCATCAGCGTCAATGCAAGTTTCTTGGCCTTGGGAGTCTTGCGGTTGATGGCAAACCATACTCTGATGGTCCATACCGCTGTCCACGGTTGCCTCCATGGAGGCGATTTCGTGTAACAAGGTCACTATCCGCTGCATGGCTAACCGCGACGCTTGGAGTTGCAACGCATTATGGATTTCCACAAGATCGTTGCCGAGAGCGCGCAATACATGGATGTCCTGACGGTAGCGTAACTGGACATGGTTGATCACATTGTCATAGAATTGTCGGCCCACGCGGCAGAAATGCTTGGTTAACGATGCAACAGAAACACTGACAAATAACGCCTTGTCCGCCTCGGGTGGCTCCGGCGGCAATTGGGCCGCTTTGCTGCCCAATGGTCGAAAGAATCGTGTGACACGTCCAAAGAGGGGCCCATGATGCTGCTGGTCCCGTCGCCGTCTCAAAAGTCCAAGCAGCATCGGTCGATAAGGTTTCCGTTTCTTCAACAGATCGTCCCACTGCCATGGTGAGGGAATAAACAGGGGTAACGTCATGTTATTCATGGCAAGGTCATCTTCCGGATAACAAAAGGAAGGGCGCATGGTTGAACGCAAGCGAAGATCGGACGAAGGCCGGTGCACGGAAGCCTGTTCGGTGGCTGGAGGATTATTGTCGGTGGGATGAATGCCGCTGGGATAAGGATCGTGTTCGGTTTCGTGGCCGTTCATCTCAAAATCGACCAGAAGAACCTGGTTATGCAGCTGCCTCAGCCGTTTACTAAGATTGGTCAATTGGCCAAGGCACAACTGTGCGTCGATTTGCAAAAGATTTTGTTGTGCATTCTGTGCAAATATATCGGCAAATCGTTCGCATAAATGTTCAATACTTTGACGTTGATCTTGCCGGGACAGGCGATCATTTTCAAACACAATATGCCGACGTCCGACAGACCGCCGTTTGAATCCCAATTGATGATAGTTATGATGGTCTATCATGACCACATGAGTTCCGGGTCCAAACTCAAAAGTGGCCAGCATTGAGTGAACGATGAGATGGATATCTCGTGTCTTCCTCCACGCTTGACGAAGCTGCTTCAGATTGCGGATGAGTTGCTTCAAATTCGCTTGCTCTTTCGCCTTCAAGTCAAACTGATGACTCAGGTCTTGCCATTCGGACAGCCATCCCTGGGTTTCAGGAAGTTCCTGGATGCGGCCTTTGTGACATGCCTCCTGGTATTTTTCCAACATTTGTTCAGCAACCTGGACGAGTGATCGACGGAGGTTTTCGCCGTTGGCGGTACGGATCAGGCCTACGCCGGGCATCAGTTCTCGGACTTGATGAATGGTTTGCTGGATCTGCTGTAATTGTTGTGGCGAAGCAATCCGTTGCGTCTTACAGAACTGTTGCTGTTGTTCGGAACAAAAGGTATCCAATAGTGTTTCAAGTTCATCCGCAAGACGAGTATAATACAATTCATTGGCCGTCATCGCGGAGTCTTTTTGATGAATCAAATAGGTTCCTCAACAATAGATCGTCTTCGGTATGAAAAAAAAAGTTTTGAAAAAAGGTGACAAAATTGAATTGTTTTGTCTCAAAATGAAGCAATCTCTCACTTTACGGAAAAGGATAAAAAAGATTACAAAATAAAAAACCAGTAATAGCAATAGTAATAAAAAAATTATGGATGGAAGGAGCAAGAAAATAAACAAATGGAAACCGTGCTTAAGAGAAGAAAATGAGGAGAGACTTGGTAATTAAAAAAGGAAACCCTCCTACTTTTCTAAAGGCACAGCTTGTTTTGGGAAAATAAAAAACAATAGCGATAAAAAATAGAGATAGAACAGCAAAGCCTTTTGTTTAGGTCTTTACCCCTCGCCTGGATAAGGGTTGCTATCCAACGTTTCAGATATTGTCGTTTGGGTTGCCGCTAGCCTGTCTATTGATATTCGCTCCTTCCCGCCAAGAAAAAAGATTATTTTACTTTTTGCCTCCTTCAATTGATGATCCTTTACAAAGCTGGTTGTGCTCAGCATGAATATATCTTCCTCTTATTGTTCATTGGATTCTGGTATGTTCCAATGGTTGGTTGACATGCTTGGCTGAGTTTTTTTGGGTAGAAGGTTCAATTGCCGTCATTTGAAGGCGCCTACCATCTCTTTATGCCTCGTCCGCACCGAGTCGTCTTCAAAGATCCAAAAAAGGCTCACAGCATTATCAAAGGCTAAGACCTTTTGTTCCCCCCTATGCACAAAGAAAATCAAAAAACTTTTTTCTATACAAATGGTTTCAACTCCGTCTCCCCAAAAGTGACGTAATAAAAAGTCCAGTGCGGGTTGTGTCGTGTCGCCTTGTTTTTTTTGTGTCACCCAGCGTCCTGGGTTGGGATCGTTTTTGGCTGGCTTTTTTTTCTTTTTTCTCTTTCCTTCTCGATTTCCATAGAACAACTTTACTTTTTTCCTATTTACCCTAATGACGGGGGTCAGGCGAGTGCGATGGTCGCAATCCGACGAAACTCGCAACGAACCTGCATACGTCCATCCGGCAGACGATGTCTACGCTTCAGCGGAGAATCCGGATCCTGAACCTAATGGATCCAATCCGCATGTCATGCAACACCATCCAGAGGATACGCACGATGCAGCAGGTCAACAGTGGGGTTTTCCTGCCACACACAATTTCGCGGCTCATACTACCACTGGATTTGAAGAAGAGGACGATGTCAGTGATGTTGAAGACGATGACAGTGCTTACGGTTATGATGACGACGAAATTGCGTTCAATCAGTTCTATGCACGGAATCATTCGATTTCCGCTGCTCCCGCTGAAATCACCCATGAGCGATTGGAATGGCAGCAAATGCTTCAATCCGTGCTGATGGGTGAAGTTATTAAATCCGAAAAGAAACGACTGTCCAATACCGAACATTTGCAACAGCAGAAACCCATCCAAGAAATTTGGATCGCTCTACGAGCTTTGCTCCGCGGACGTACCGTTGCCGAAGAACAAAAATCGCTTACCGAAGGACGGAAAGAAGTCGATGACGTGCTCAAAATGGTGATGGATTTCAGAGTCTCTGATTCCAATCACCAAGTCGCGCTTCGGGAAGTAGCCGAAGTGTTGAAAAATGTCGATCGCATCGAATCCTTGTATCCAACGAGAGCCGATATGATTCATGCCAATCCAAAGTACGGAGAACCGGAATTTCAGACAAGACTGGATGCTCTCAATTCGTGGTGCACCATCACCCGAAGTCTACACATGCAGTACAAAATTCTGACCGACTGGACAGGATCCGAGGATTTGCAGATTGCACGCAAACACGAAATGACCGATCAGGAATTGGAGGCTAAGGTCAATGACGCACCCGTCTCACCTTACCTGCACGTCCAGCGCACAGACCCGTCGTTTGTGGAACGTTTGCTGAAAGAATCCGCCCTGCAAGACACGTTTGATCGACGTACCTTGTCGGCTCTTTACTTACTTTTGAGCAAGTCCAAGCAAACCATGGTAGCCAACAGCAGCCTGTTTGAAGAAATGAATTTGCCTCCTTTCATCTCCCAGCTTCAGCAATTGGCCTCTTTTCCCAGTACTCTCGTGGAAGAAGCACTCAAACTTCGTCTGGAATACAAGGATCGCATGAATCAACCACCCAAACAGATGGTCGATGCCATGATGGAAGATTATCGAGGTCTGCTCACCTTGGGATGTCGCGTCAAATACCACTACGAAGAATTAGCCCAACCGGCACCTGGGTGGAAACTCAAATCCAATGCTCATACCGATGAATGCTACGATGCGGTTTTGCTGGAATCGGCGCGTTTCTACTTTAAACTGATCAATTGGAAGCTTGCCATGGAAAATGAAAATAGTCTCAAGGAATGTGAGATACTGGACAAGGAATGGGAGTTCTTGAAAGGCACCGTATGTCAGGCCATAGAAAAAGCCAACTGGGAATGTGCCGTTCAGTTTTGGTAAGATCAACTGATGTACAAATTTGGGAGAACCAAAGAAAAAGAGACTTACATTGTCCATGATTTAGTTCGTTAACCAATAGCTTATTGGGCGATGTCATGCGCGATTATATTTCCAATCTCAAAATTCAACCGGAATCCGTCGAAGGAGGCATTGAAATCAAATACACCAATCTCTTGCATACCATGCGTATGCGTGCTCGTAAATTACTCCAGTTTGCAAGGTAAAAACAGCGTCGACTTTTAGTCGTACCCTGTCATGAAGTTCACGTCACTAATACAGTTGGGTTTCTTTTTGGTTTGTGATGCCAGATTTTTCATGGGTCAATTCGAAAATGCAGCGGAATACATGGTGGACACGGAGCATTTGGATCCGTTTGTCACATGTTTGGTAGAATCAGACCATTTCCTTGTATACTCTGGTTCCTTTGAGGAAGAAAGGGTCTACATTATTGCTTCACCTAGCCTGTATGGACGACCGGACGATATCCGAAAGCTAACTCAAGCATGCTTCGCATGTGATAAAAATCTCGCCATTCCCGATATTCCCATGACGAACAGTGAGTCCGACGATTACCTGTTGATTTTGTCCCCTTGGCAAGATATCATGTGGACGGGCGAAGTGGTGGATGTGGATATACCATACGTTCATCTCGGACTTAAGACCAAACGTGTACGTCTCGTGACAGGGGATGCCAAGAATCTTCAGCTGGCCAAATCCGGTTTCTGGGGCGCCGTCCAGCATTCAGGAATCGAAGTCATCCAAGAACATCGCGCGCATATGCCAAAGATCAACAAGGAACTCTACAAGATCAAAATGACGGTATTCAAGCTGGCCGATTCGACCATTTCCAGCGTTGGTACCATTCGCGAGCAAACGCAAGGTTTGAAGTGTCAAGAGTTGGTGGAAGAGTGCTTCAGCTTTGCCAGTGATTTCGGAATTCGAACTGCCCGATTTCTGGAATTGGCAGTTCGTTTACAAATGGACTTGAAACTTGTGCGACTGGCGATCGACTGGATTTGCTTCATCACAGACGATTGTAACCCTTCGGATCGGAAAACCTTCCGATGGGCGGTCGCGGCTCTTGAATTCGGTCACATGATGACACGAGGTGTCAATATCCTGGCCCTGAATGAAGGCGAATTTGCGACACTGCAAACCAAGGTAGCACGGTGCATAGCGCTCCTTATATCTCACTTTGATGTGCTCGGTACACGGTGGACATATGAACTGCAAAAGGAAGAGCAGCAACGTCGACGTGGTGTGACATCCAAGCGTAATTCGTACATGAGTCGTTACGCCGATGATAAGGATAATATCACCACCAGCTCTACGTTTGGTGCGGCCAATGATACGGCATCGGCTTCCGGGGGTGGTATTACCTATATCCGTGATGAATGGATGCGAAAAATCACAGAACTGGAAGAGCAGCGCAATGCCCAAGAACAGGAACGAAAGATTGTGGGCAAAATCTTGGACGATCAAAAACCGGAAGACCAATCCCTCGTGTTCTTAGCGCCTTCTTCTTCGAATATTTCCTTCCGATGGCAGCAAGGCAGATTTATCGGTGCTGGCACGTTTGGATCTGTTTACTTGGCCATTAACCTTGACACTTCGTCCGTCATGGCCGTCAAGGAGATTCGATTCCCAGATTCCAGCGCCTTGTCCACTTTACATAAAGCGATCAAGGAAGAAATGAAAGTCATGGAAATGCTCAACCATCGTAATATTGTCCAGTATTTCGGTATGGAAGTCCATCGTGATAAGGTGTACATATTTATGGAATACTGTGAGAACGGCAGCTTGGGCTCGCTTTTGGAACATGGTGGTCGTATCGAAGACGAGCTTTACATTGTGGATTACGCGTATCAACTGCTGAGCGGACTTGCCTATTTGCACGAGAACAACATTGTCCATCGTGACATCAAACCGGATAGTAAGTTGTCTTGAAAGAGTACGAGGAAGCAGTATTCGTTATTCTAAACCCCATTCGTCTCTAGATATCTTGATTGATTATGAAGGACAATTGAAGTTGTCCGATTTTGGTGCAGCCAAAATTACCGCCAAGGGGCAAAAGACGATGGGTCGTACCACCATGAACATGAATGTCAACAGTTTAGCTGGTACTCCCATGTATATGGTAATAAGCGAGATGAAAAAGAAAACCAGAATTACAGAACCGAGATGACTAAAACGTCGCGGTTTGATGCATAGGCACCGGAAGTTATTACGGGAGGAGACACGGGACGGAAAGGATCCATGGATATCTGGTCATTAGGTTGTTGTATTGTCCAAATGGCCACTGGACGCCGACCATGGAGTACGTTGGAGAACGAATGGTCGGTGATGTATCATGTGGTGACGGGCCATCCACCGTTACCGGATCCTTCGCAGTTGTCAGCTTCAGGCATTGACTTTTTGAAAAAGTGCTTTACCCGAAATCCTATGAAGCGACCGACGGCCCATGAATTGCTGGACCATCCATGGATCCAAGAATATTTAAATAGCTATAATGGGGAGGAAACGCAGTTACCGCCGATCACGGAAGATGATCACGCCATGGAAAGCTATCGTAGTCAAGAAGAGCCGCCCACTTCCATCCGTTCGTTTGACCGTCCCTTGGTTCGAAGTATCAACAACACTTCGATGATCGAAGGCATGGCCGGCAGTTTTACTAACAGTGCGCAAGCACAGACCTATTTCAGGGAGGTGGCGGCGCAGAACACGAATGACATACCCTGTCGAGGAAGTCATTGATGAGGATCGATTTTTTTTTATTTTCATTTTTAAATCGTAGGCCTCTTTTTATCAACATACATTCTCCCTCTTTTCCACACATACATTGTTCCTCTTACATTCGCTGTGACAAATAGTTTTTCTTCTTCCTTACAGATAGATGGACTCTCTTTATTCACTTTTTTCCATCTTCAGTGTAATTAGTTTTCTTTTGATTTTCCCCTCTTCGAGAAACATTTGTGCAAAAAAAAAGACTAAACAAAGCATATCATTCAGGTCCACCTTGCAAACGGTTGAAACCATTGTAAACCCCTAAAGCAACACTTTCTTAAAAAGATCAGTTTCGGAAAAAAACAACACCCTTTGTAATTGACCCACAAAAACCTTTTTTATTATTTCTTTTTCTTACAGCGAATTCGTCTTGCTTACTGCTGTCACTTCACTGTTCACTCACCTTTTCTCCAATTATCACAGCACAAAGTACTTTACCATCAAAAAAAGGTGTGAATCCTTCTCCTACGCATGTCAACATCATCTTTAATTAGTCTCACTCTCCTTCCTTGCTTGGCATTACCGTTACACGCAAAAAAGTCCTTGTAAAAAAGCATCAAGCACTCTGGTCCAAAAACTGCCTTTTTTGGTAAATTCGGAACAAAAATTTCCTAATTGAGAAAAAAATGGCAGAAAAGTTACCACAACCATCTTTTTAAGATGAAAAAAAAATCTACACACATGCATATCGAAAATAGTGGGTTTCTAAAGCCTCAGTCAAAGAAAATCGTCAGATACAGAGATCAACAGATACGATAGAGTGAGCGCTGATGCAACATGCTTTCACAATTGGCACATTTCTTTATCGTACTGCCTGTGCGATAAGAAAATTTTCATACCTCGTCCTACCTTTTGATATCAAGTCGTGTATTTAATCCTTTCAATGGTAATATACGCTTATGTACCACTATGTGTAACCGGCTACCATTTCCAAAATGTCGTGTGGCAATGGACGATAAACGTAAAGGGAGACGACTTGCAACCCACTGAGTTTATAATCGAAAGTAGTACAATAGTGTCACCGGAGACATAGTTCATGATCGCAAATGAATGGGCTTGTCGCTTGCTCATCTCATAGCGCTGGATCAGCTCGCACTGTTCTTGGAAGGCAAATGCTATGTGACGTTCTTCAAAAATGTTCGGGATGACGCAATTCGTACTGTTCATATAACGCGTAATCCAGCCAAGAAAAGTTTTCTTTGTCTTTTGACTCCCCCATTGTTATTTCTTACTTTTACTGTTGTTACTTCTCGCCATGTCGCACGCCAACATTTTCCAAACACATTCTTCCACCATCAAACAGATGGAAAACCTCCTGAAACTGTCTCGGTAAGTGTTGGCTCAAATTATTTTGCATTGCTTGTCTAATGACCCGTTAATGAAGTAGCACCGATGATTTGGCTGGCTCTCTGATCCTGGAGGCCGCCCCAAAATTTTTACCACCGTTGATCAAGTGATCAAAAAGGACACGCAACGCCCTGGCCAGAATGGAGAACCGCGGCCATGTGGCTGAATTAAAAGAGTTAAAGAAAGAAGTCCGAGACGCCGTCGATGCCGCAAACCTGACCGTCGGTTCCTCTGCGCCCAGTTCTGTGGCTGCTTCCTCCTCTGCCCCCTCTGTCGTGCCAAGTCCCATGGCCTCCGCTGTCCTGTTATAGGTAGGATTAAATTTGTAAAGTCCAAGATGTCAATGAGATTGAAAATAAAATTGTTTTATATACAATGAACGCTAATGGCTATTTGTATGATTCCTGGATAATCGCCTCTTTAAAGGTGAATTTCCGATAAAAAAAATCGATGTCTCGATCTGAGGAGGAGATGATGAGCGATAGAAAGTATACTCGGATAGATGTCAATGGATCAGACTGTCTAACTAGGAAGAGACCTTTTATGTAGAAAGCGCTCGGTTTCGGCCGAGCATCCTTCGAGCTCCGCTCTCCGATGAACAATAAGCGTGTGCATGCAACAAAGGAGGATTTGATTTTGATTATGTTTTATTGCTGTCTACGATGCTATACTTGCCTATATATATGAAAGAAGGCAATACTCCTATAACTTTCTATGCTGTACGTTATTCCAAAAAGGGTGTAAGAAATTGTGCTTCTGCTTGCTTTTTTGTTTGCTTACGGTATACAATGTGATTTTGTCCCAATTTTAGGCGAAGAACGCATGCAACAAAACCGGGCACTGTTATAGATAAAAGCTCGAAATGGTGCGGAATATTTTGCACCAGTACAGCTCTCAGATATTGGTTGTCTAGAATTATTATCGGCCAATATAAAGGAAACCTTGAACCCGAACCGTGATCGGCTTCAAACTGTTTTCATGGATTTAGTCATGGTCCATGGCCCAAATACGATATGCTTTCTGGAGCACGAGATCGTTGTAGTACGCATTATGAATGGATTGGCTCACCGAATTGACAATGTAGTCATCTGCTGCACTCAGATGTCCCTGTCGATGTGGAACCGATGGATTTCCCGTTGACCAGTTACATGGATACGCATTCAAATAATTTCTACCCTTTTGACGCTGGCCGATGATTACCACGGCAACGAAGGCCAATGATGCTGGGAAATGGCAAGTTTAATGTGGTATATGACTTGTAAGTATTACCCCTCCACTGAACTGACACTTTGACATTTCTGATATAGCTCTTCGGGTAAATCAATGGTAGTACCGCGGGACGCATCTTCACTTACACTGAGCATCTCTTTTCTCCGCTCGATGCGCCAATCATCAAAAATGAGTGAACCAGTCGGGGTTGATTTAAAATCCTGTAATCCTGCACTGGATTGAAAGAACTTCAGTAAGGCGTGTCAATAGATAATGAGCTATATTATCGCATTTTTTTCTTTATTACTTTATACAGAAGCCCTATAATAGTCAATACGGTTTCAGGTCGCTTCCCTAACCGTGGATGGTGATTTCATTTGATTTAATTTCAAACGGAGAAGGATTCCAAAATCTGTGCTTATGCAAAAGTCAAAAGCAAGAAAGGTGCGATTCCATACAAGTCAAAAATTGCACGCAATTCTAGAAGCAATAAAGCAATCGATTCAGCAATTACATGTGTAAAAAATTAAGTAGGTAGAGTATTGGGATTAATGCTACGCAAATGGATTTTTGATCCGATATCGTGGACGTTTCTGAGCTTAGCTTTTCTGTTTCACCGTGTGACAAAGGTGACAGGACCATAAAACTTATTGAATGCACGCTTCAGGGAAGTGGTTGATGGGTGTTTTGCTTATATTTGTAAATACAATAAAAATACAGCATTTGAAAGTTCTTAAAAACCATGATAATAGCCTTATAAATGAGCCCTGAATGATGTACCTGAGAAAGAGCTGCAATACACTGAGTTTATAATCGAGAGTACTACGATAGTGTCACCGGAGACGTGGGTTATACATTGGAAATGAATGAGCAATGTGGCATGCTCACCTCCCTGACACTGATTCAGCTCGCAAATCTCTTGGGCTGGGCAAAGGCCTATGTGACGTTCTTCAAAAATATTTGATGATGACGCAATTTCGTTTTGTTGATATTAACGCGTATCCGGTCAAAACGAGTGTTCTCTTTGTCTTTTGACTCCCCATTACTTTTTCTTTCACTTTTATTATTGTTACTTCTCGCCATGTCGTTTATTAACGTTTCAAAAACTCAACTCGCAACCATCAAACAGATGGAAAATCTCCTAAAAATGTCAAGGTTTGTATTTGCTCTCAAGTTATGTTTGCATGGCTTGTTTAATGACCTGATAATTAACTAGCACTGACGACCTTGCCGGCTCGCTCATTGTGGAGGCCGCACCAAAATTCTTCAGCACCATTGACCAAGTGATGAAGAAATTGAACCGAAACGCCCTGGCCAGAGTGGAAAACCGTGGCCATGTGGCCGAGTTGAAAGAACTCAAGAAAGAAGTTCAAGACGCGGTTGATGCGGCGAACCTGACCGTCGGTTCTGCTCCCGTTCCTTCGCCCGTTCCTGTGGATGTTTCCCCTCTCTCTTCCTCCGCGCCCAGTTCTGTGACTCCCACTTCTGTCCCTTTGTGTGCGCCCGGTTCTGTGGCTACCTCTGCGTCTCCCTTCTCTGTGCCCGTTTCCGTGGCTTTTTCTGTGCCTTTCTGTGCCCCTCTTCCTCCCACGCCCGTTCCTGTGGCTTTCTCTCCCTCCTCCGCTCCCGCCCAGTTCGTGTCCCCTTCTGTGGCTTTCTCTGCTTCGTCCTCTGCTTCTGCTCCTGCTCCTGCTCCTGCTCCCGCCCAGTTCGTGTCCTCTTCTGCGGCTTTCTCTGCTCCTACTCCTGCTCCTGCTCAGTTTGTGCCCTTTTTCGTGTCTTCTCCTTTGGCAGTGCCCAGTTCCTTGCCCGCATTTGTTCCTGCCTCTGTGCCTGTTTCTGTTCCGGTCGCCCAGGCCTTCATGGGCAAAGAAAACCAGCAAGGCCAACAAGGCCAACAAGAACAAGAACAAGACTGGATCGACGATCCAATGGACCTGGATGATCCGTCCGAATTGGTCGACTGGATGGACGTGGATCATCCCACTGAACTGATCGACTGGATGGACGTGGACCGTTAGATGTCCATCCAGACGCTTTACAGTACCATTCGAAAAGGTAAACGAGTTCCAAACGCAAAATGGACCATATCGTCGTCTAACTTGATTGTATTACCATTAGCAACGATAAATGGATCATCCTACGTTGGGTGATTCAAGTTTGGCAGTCGTAAGTGTTTTATCATCAGCTGGGCCATATAGACACATGCTAAGGAATTTCTAGACAAACACGATCGCATACACAGCGAAACCTTTGCCGTCATCTCCATGCCGTCGCCTGCTGACGGCGATGCAAAAGGCGACGGCAGCTACTCGACCTAGTGCATCGCCCGCACCTTCGATGCACTTTCTCTGGGCACCGACGAGAGCAGTTCTCACTTGGGGACTTCCGAAAAGGTAAATCCACAGATGCTCTTCAAATTGTGACTATGTTGCTGATTTTCATTTATTTCCATATATTGCAGTTCAACGAACGACTCAAGAAAAGCCGATAGGAGGACAAGATGCCTCCTATCGGCTATATACACTGTACGATATCCAATGATTTTGCAAGCAGAGCACCGTAGACTATGTATATATATTTTTTTTTTCAATTGATGGGATCCTTACAAGAGAGAGAGAAAAAAAAAAAAAAAGGGGGGGCGCAAAAAAAAGGAAAAAAAAATTTGGACGCATACTAGTCTCAGTAGCCGCCGTGGTCCCTGCTCCGTCACTGATACAGAGTACGCGAGTTCTTGCTTGTGCGGAACCCACCAAGTCCGACCCCCATGCCACCTTCCAACGCACGATCCTATCCATATGCAACGACACGACCTACTGCTCTCATGATATGGCAAAGGTAAGCACAGGAGACAAAAAGTCAATGGAAATGTTTTTAGCAAGGTGTCTAACTAGGAAGAGACATTTATGTAGAGGTGCTCGGCTTCGGCCGAGCATCCCATCGAGCGCCGCTCCCCCGGTGGACAATGGTCGTGTGCATGCAAACAAATGGAGGATCGACAGCAATACAGGAAGCTTAACTGGCTGTAAGAGGGGATGGATGGGAAGTGGGGGAAGTGCAGGTGAGTTCGTTCAGCGTAGTAGATGAGGGTCTTTGGTAGCAGTGGATCACACACGGGCGGTGAAAGGCTTGGTATGCGTCCTTTAGTATTAGCGCCCCGGGATCCCATCCCTTTTATTCTTTGTATTTCTTCTCTTTTGATTTGTACTTTTGCTTTCGTGCTGGCCGACAAAGGCTGTGCATTTATCCACATTCATCTATCCACATTCATCTATTCACATGTATCTATCCACATGTATCTATCCACATGTATCTCTATTCACATGTATCTATCCACATGTATCTCTATTCACATGTATCTATCCACATGTATCTCTATTCACATGTATCTATCCACATGTATCTCTATTCACATGTATCTATCCACATGTATCTATCCACATGTATCTATCCACATGTATCTATCCACATGTATCTATCCACATGTATCTATCTACATTCATCTATCCACATGCATCTATTCACATGCATCTATCTACATTCATCTATCCACATGCATCTATTCACATGCATCTATCCGTATGGAAACACAAGTTTTACGACTTGGTAATGTCTATCAATGTTCTTCCTTGTAATTCTTTTCTCCTCTGTTAAATATCTTTGTAAAATAATAAAAACGGTGCTCTGCTTGCTTTCAAGTTTACTTCTGTAATTTTCTCCAAACATGGGCGAATAGGCGATTGTTATTCTGTCGTAGTTGTTGGTTGATGACGGGCTGGCCCTCGTGAAAAGAATGACATGGCTCTGCCGACGCCACTGGTGGGTGAGGCGTGCGCTTGTTTTTCCGCCAGTGCGGCGTAAGCGTTTATTTGATCCATGTATTCGTCGCAAACGTGAGGCTATCGGCGTCCTGATCGTTGCGTCGCTTTTATTTTCGCATTCAGTTTTCCTTTTATTTTTTTCAACGATCGTTGTTGAAGAGCTGTTGGTTCATGCAACCAAACGGACAGAAAATAGGATCAGCACAACTTGGATGATTATGTATGACACGTAGGGCATGATTGTCAATAAAGGATTCGACCTGAGGGCGTTTATTGAATCCCGTGAATTCAGCATCTAGGCAAGCGCACTTATTAAAACCCATTGAAAGTGACATCCTAAGGCAGGTCACTTGATGAATATCACTGAATCTGGTATCCATGGAGGGGGGGCAGTTATTGCTTATTGAAGCTCCTTGGATCCGACATCCCTGAGATGGCACTTATGAAATTTCGTTGAATCCGGTGTTCATGAGTAGGGCACCCATGGAATCCCATGGAATCCTGGAGTCCATGAAGTGAGGGCCCGTGGAACCCCTGGAATCACGGTATCCATGAAGTGAGCGCCCAAGGACTCCAGAGAATCGTATTGGATCCGGCAGCCATGAGTAGAGAGTCCATTTAACCCCATTCAATCCCATGGATTCCGGCATATCTGAGTAAGGCACCCATGGAATCACTTGAAATCCGGAATTCCATATAGTGCGTGTCCAAGGAATCCAAGGAATTATATTGAATCTGGCAGCCATAAGTAGAACCCATTTAACCCCGTGGAATCCAACTGTATCCAGGATTCCATCAAGTCCGCGCCCATGGAATCCAACTGAATCCGGCATCCATAAAGGGAACGCCAGGGAATCCTCAGGTTATGCCTCCTATGCGTTGTACTTTGTCTGATAAATGTGGACCAATGTAAAAGGACAACTTTCACTGCAAAATTGCATGTGTAATACGTGTTAGCTTGTTAAATACATATATAAAATAAGGATCATAGACCATAAGCTCGTGCACGCGTTGTCTGTTGCACGCTTCGTTACGGTTTAGTAACCGATCTAGGCGGAGTTTCACTGTGACTGATATTTGTCACAGCAAAAACGATAAAAGCAGGAAAAATTTTCGTGTCCAGTGAATTTTTTTTCAAGGCTCTTTCGAAGCTTTGTGGATATCTCCATTATCCGGAAAGTCAAAAAGAAGCCAAGATCTCCTTATCTTTCACATTAACAAACGAAAATGAAAAAAAAAAAAACCTCTCAATGACTAGTAGCCATTGTACAGATGACTTGCTTCCCATTGGATGACTCTGTTATGGTTGCTACGATAGTTGCTTTGAAGGGACCCAACTGTGTGGTCATATTGCTTTTCATACAGACAGAAATTTATTCTCGTAAAACGTCAGACCAGTTGGGCCTTCATCACGACACAATAATCCTTTGGTTTCAGAGATCTATAAATCAAAATATAAAAAAAGATATGATTACCGTATGAAAAAGGACCGATATATTGAACGAGAAATGGTTGTCATGGAGCACTTACCAAAAGCTGCTCAGTAGCCACGACGAGCGCGATATTTTCTAGCTCGGCAAGCCGTAGGGCAGTGATATGACCGCTTTGTTGTTTGACATAGTTGAGCACGCGCTGGGCTGCTCGATCATCGTCCATGTGAAGCGACTGGATCACTAAGAGCCCACTAGCAAACCTCCGGAGCCGAAAAGGCAAATGCAATGCTTCAAATTGCATACTCGCCTTGTATAAATCTTCCGGTGATATGAGTGCTACAGTAACACTGCGTTCAGCATTCTTCTAAACATCATCCACCATGTGCTTATTTACCAACGCCTCTGGCCCGATTGAAGATACAGTAGATATCTGTCAATGGCTTCATCCCGTTGTTCTCATTCAGAAACTTTCCCAGGAATTCGGCAAGTTCTCGTGCCAATTCTTGATGATATATGGATCCAGCAGATCCTCTGGAATAAAATGAAAAAAAAGACGGCGACAAATCAGAGATTATTCGATCAATTTTATGCTATGTGTTTTAACTCACTTCGTTACCGGACTTGCGATACCCAAGTTCAACAGATAACCACGAAGCGTCGACATATCGCTGTCACTGTTTTCATTGTCTTTGCTCATTTTTGTTGAGATGGATTCTGCCAGTTTTACCATGTCGGTTGCCTTGGCGATCAAACGGTCAAGGTCCTGAAACGCGTCCGTCATGGTTGCATTGGCTTCTTGGGTTGATTGTTGAATGCGGCCCTGGATAGCACCTGCACATCAAATCAAAGGCGTCCTCAGTCACTTACTTGCGCGAATAAAACGGATACTCTGACACTTACTGATGCCTACTCCTCGTCCGGATACCGGTGATGTGGGTTTAGGAGATTCTTCAGTTATCTGATACATCCAAAGAAGGATGATTAATCTCTTTCATTTACCATCGCGCATAACAACTACAGAAAAAAGTCACCTTTTCCCAAGCTCGACCATGCAATGCCGTTTTTAATTTGCTGTAGAATCCAGAGTGTCCTCCTTGGCGAAAAGCGATTCGGACTTGAGGTGTTTCGGAAGTGTCGGTTGATTTGGAGTGAGAGGTAGGTGTGGATGGTGTGGAGGATACAGAGGGCGACAACGAAACGGTGGGTAATTCGGCACCGCACATTTCACACTGGGTCATGCTGGGATGATTTAAAAAGGTGCATAAGCGGCATACAAGTTGATTTTCATCCGTATCGGCTGCAGAACTTTGGACCTCCAAGGTGGCGGTTTGTGAAGGCGATTTCCGTACACCGCACAGCTCGCATTTATCCGTTGAGGCCTTGTTGGAAAAGGAACATACAGAACATACCCATATCCCCGTGGAAACCAATGCCGGAGATGAAGACGTTCTAGCGGTGAGATGACTTTTTTTCGGTGACTGAACCGACATGTCCAGCTGTAGAATGACTTTGGGCGAGGAACGAAGAAATCCACCCTGAACATGTCCGTTGGTGAGATTAGAGAAACGGTAGTCAAAACGTCAAGATAAACCTTACATAGCTTTCTAAGTCCTTGACATTGGCCAGCGACAATTCCACCGAATTCTCCCATGGTTTTTGCTTATCAACATATATAATACGGTGCGTCGTCAGATAAGATATGCCGTCCTGGCAAGAATCGACTTTGTGCTTCCTAGGAAAAGCAATGAATAAAAAGAGCTGTGTCTGCATGAGGCTTCTTCGCGTTTACCCTTCATAAATCCCGGTGTTTCCTTGTTGTACGAGCAGCGATTCCCCAGGTAACAGCTCGGGACGACGCGATGAGGATAACTGGGTGGGTATAAAGTATTTCATGAGGCAAAGCGGGTGGTACTGGCTGCTGAGAAGAAAAACGATGAGTTATCCACTTAAAAAGTGCGATGACGGTCACATTTGCATAATCCTTTGGTTGTCGAAGATTTTCAACCATATAACTATTGCTTGCTAAAGTCTCTCTTCCGATAATGCATTTCTCTCTAGTTGTGCCTTTCAAAAAGTAGTCATACATATGTATCGTGCTGAGCAAGATCCAAAGCAATAACTAACCGCCAAAGAGAGAGCAATTAACAGGCTTACTCCTACATATATACATGTATGACCTATGATGCATCGCTGGGTTATGCGACTGTTACTGCGTTCATCAGTGAAGGTCAATGGATTACGGAACTGTGTCCATTGGCGTCCTATTTGCATAGTAGATCAAAGGCGCTGATGCCAGGATCCATGATTCATGTGCAGGAAAAAACCACGTGATTTTCTGATTTCATTTTCATTATCCATATACGATTTTTTTGAAGCGCCGCTCAGCCATCGTCATTTTTTGCGGGACACCGGACGCCCAAACTTGGCCTTTTTGTTGTATAACGCACAATAAACATGAGGGTAAGCATTCCGCAGCCGCACTGGTACGCCAGCCCTGGTCTAATCATAAGTACGATATCAGTTGATAAGTAAGGTTGTGGAGAAAGACGCTTCTGGCCATGTGACGTTGTATCCCGAAGAATTGGAGGACATGTGGCACGTCTACAACCTCATTGCCAAAGACGATCTCATTAAAGCAACGACGATTCGGTAATTCTGGCTTTTTCAAGTTGATGTCATTATTCAATATCCCTACTCTAATAACAATTTCTCCAGTCGATTGCAGTCTGAAAGTACTACGGGTTCGTCTACCAGTCAACGCGTTCGCATGAAGCTCACCATTACGGTGGAAGACGTCGATTTTGATCCCCATGCCGGTCTTTTGCGAATCAATGGCCGTGTAGCCGAGGAAAATCCATATGTCAAGGTAAATTGTAGAGAATTGTGCCAAGCAAAAGGGGGTAAACTTAAAATTTGACTGTGTATTTTAGATGGGAAGTTATCATACGATTGATCTAGAGTTGGATCGAAACTTTACACTGTTCAAACCAGAATGGGATACCATTGCTTTGGAGCGTGTAGAAGACGCGTGTGATATCACCAAGCAGGCGGATGTGGCAGCCATTGTTTGCCAAGAAGGTAAATAATCCGTGGTCAAGCGCATAAACCCATGATGACTTGAGGGCTGAACACGACTTCAGGTTTGGCCAACGTCTGTTTCATGACGCAGCACATGACGATTGTTAAGCAACGCATCGAGACACCTATTCCGAGAAAGCGTAGAGGATCAGTTGCCAATTATGAAAAAGTACGGTTGATCCATTTTCGAGTCTCGCATTTTCTTTTTTGGAACTAATGCATGATCCATTTTTCTGCAGGGGCTTCAAAAATTTTATGATCAAATCTATCAGTCGATTCTGCGGTTGGTCGATTTTGGCATCATCAAAGCTATCATCATTGCCAGTCCTGGCTTTGTTAAAGTAAGCGTGAAGAGAGGAATATGCACATTTTGAGCCAGTTTGCTAATGGGGTTTTATTTCACTAGGACCAAGTATATCAATACATCTTTGATACAGCCGTGGTACGTTGCACTGAACATTGTGTTTGTTGGTGATCAGTTTTTAGTAATGGGATTTGGATCGGCAGAAAACGGACAACAAAACGGTCATGGAAAATAAGAACAAATTCATGACGATTCATTGCTCAAGCGGGCACAAACATGCACTGAATGAAGTCATGCAGAACCCAGCCATTCAAACCAAACTGGCCAACACCAAAGCAGCATCAGAAGTCAAGGCGTTGGACGATTTCTATGCGATGCTCAACAAAGATCCCGATCGCGCCTTTTACGGTTACGGTCACGTTGCAAAGGCCCACGAACGAGGCGCCATTGGCACATTATTGGTAACAGACGAATTATTCAGGTAAAAATCAAAAGACACTGTAGAGAGAAGTCTGGGGACCAGTTTTGCTGAATGGATGGCTGTAGATCGGCGGATGTGGCTACACGCCGCAAATATGTAGAATTAGTAGAACAAGTGCGGGCCACCGGTGGCGTCGTTCGTGTGTTTTCCAGTTTGCATGTGTCCGGAGAACGTAAGTTTTTTCTATTTTCACCGAATGGGAAAAAAAAGAACGAAGCAAGAGGAATTTGGGCTGAACCTGGGTTTCTTGTTTCTTTTCCTTTTTCATCACGTAGAATTGAATCAGTTAACGGGTGTAGCGGCCATTCTCAACTTTCCTGTACCGGATATTGAAGATGAGGACGAAGAAGAAGAAGACACCCATGATCAAAACAACATAGAAGCATAGAATAATAACAATGATATATCCAGATAATGGAAAAACAAAGGGAAACGACAATTATTCGTTGGAAAAGTAGTAATATTGTACAAGATAAAAAAAAAACAGAATTACATGGATCGTGGCTAAAAAAAAAAAAAAAAAAGTAATGATAGCCACCGAAATTTTTAGACATACAAGAATTGGAAACGTATAAACAGGTATGGATTGGAATAGCATGACGTGAATAGGCTTGCAGTGACTCAACTTAGAGATTCACTTCTTCACCAAACAAAGCGGCCGCGGCCTGTGCCACCACCGCTTGAGCCGCGGCTTGAGCGGCAGCGTAATTCATAGCCAGAATGGCATCTACAGCAGCCAAGATATCGGCTTCCCACCAGCCCATTTCGTAGTCCACAAGGCCGAACCGTTCCAATTTGTCGGCCCATGCAACCACCATTTCTCGTAAACCGTACAAATGCTGATCGGTCAATCGTTCGGCTTCACTGCTAGGTTCATGTCGTTGTGCTAATGCATACAACCAGCAATTGTTGAGACCAGCCCAGAACTGCTCGCGATCGATGGCATTGTAAGGATGATCGTCCGATGTCAATCCTGCAAGAAAAAAACATCAACATGGAGATTAAATTAAAGTTGCCTCTATGGTGCTGAAGGTAGTGTGACCATACCAAGTTGTTCACAGTTGTCAACGACAGCACTGGTGGCTTTACTTAAAGTTTGGAATCCACTGACCATGTTGCGCTGTTCAACATGGTCAAGCGTTTTCTTTAGTTGCTTTTGGATTTCCTCAAAGTTGGTGGTAGATGTTGTGGTGGTAGATGTGGTGGTCGCCGTGGTAGCAGCGGTTGCAGGGGTTGCAGCAGGTGTAGCAGTGGCAGTAGTTGTAGCAGTGGCAGTAGTTGTAGCAGTGGCAGTAGTTGTAGCAATGGCAGCAGTTGGAGTGGCAACAGTGGTGGTGGTAGTCGATGGCTGGGTGGTATTCGGCGAAAAAGGCGATGAGTTGGAATCAAAAGAAGTGGGCTGAGCCGTCGTCACTAAAGGTACAGGATCGTTTTCCACCTTGATGGCGGTTGTATCTGTAGATATATTGCGGTCGGTCGTTGCTCCCACGCATGATACGGATGCGGTTTCTGCTTCGAAGGGTGTCGATGGTTGCTCCTGTTCGTTGCCGCCCGTCATCATTGGTGACGAATAAGATACACTGGTTCGATTCAATGAACGAATGAAAGAAAATTGTTGCCCTGTCGAACAAAAAAACGAACGAACCAAAATTCAGCCGGTGTTTGAAAGACAGTCACGGTCCACCAGAATAGAAATCCCGTCAACGCTGGTCTGGCTTTTCGGGTTTTGCTTGCGTTTCTCCATTACACTTGAATGGCGAAGCATCATCCAGATCTTATCTTTTGCCGAAAGCAGCCTGGCATTGCCATTGGCCGTCTGTGTGAAAAGTGTGACGGTAAATGCGTAATCTGTGACAGGTGAGTTTGAGTTCCATTCAAGAAACGATCGATCGTCACCCAAATTTGCATAACGCTAATCCGCCAATCTTTATGTTAGTTATGTACGCCCTGCCACGCTTGTTCGTATTTGCGACGAATGTAATTTTGGTAAGTCCAACTACATGTACATTTCCAACGGTCATGTTTGTATAATTGCAATACTAACAAAAAGTAATTATGACAGGATCATTCCAAGGTCGTTGTGTGGTCTGTGGTGGTCCTGGGGTTTCGGATGCATACTATTGCGTTGGATGTACCCGCCTAGAGAAGGATCGAGAAGGATGTCCAAAGATTATTAACTTGGGCTCTTCCAAAACAGGTAATGTATCTTGTTGACAGTATAGAGGGAAAAAGGAGTGGGAGAAACAGACTTGACTGACATTGTTCTTTATTGCAGATTTATTCTACGAGAGGAAAAAGTTTGGATTCAAAAAAAGATAACAGTAACAGTCCAAGTAGAAACGGAATTCCATGCGAGCGGACCTGGTTCTGCTTGGACATTCATGTATATTATCCATCATTCATTGTATTCCTTTTGTTTTATATTGCTGAAAGTAAAAAAGAAAAAGAAAAAGCACGCACACTCACACGAAAAGTAAAAGCTCCTGTTTTCTTGTGGATCACGGCATGAAGGGAAAAAGTAAAATAAAAACACACAGTCAGTTGGGTTATTCATCATTCTGCGTTATTGACATCCCAACCTGCAGTCCAAGTGGAGTGAATTAGGGAACGAGGAATATCAAAAAAAGCAAAAACGCCAAGAATTGCTTTACCAAAAAGGTTAAAGTTACCAGATTGGCAGACAGGGGTAAGATGGCCTCTTATCCTATAGGATGCGGATCTCGCAATAACATGACTTGGCCTTACGCCCAATGTTGTGCTGCTATGCTACCATGTCAACTGTGAACAAGTAAATTTACCATCATCAACAATGATGGAAATAGCATGGATCAATGTATTTGGGTGATTTGCTGATATCGCAACCTGACCGGCGCGCACCACAAGGGAAAAAAAATCGTATGCAAGGGGTTGTTCATTGTGTTTCTACGTAGAAGTCAAAGAAGTATGAGGATTTTAAAAGGATGAATCCATATAAAACCAAGATATGATCGTGCTTCATCATTACTTCAACTCTCTTTTTTTTCCCTTCCTTTTTATTTTAGTTTTCTCCTCCTATACATTATCATTGCTGTTGCCTATGCTTCAATCACAAATTATTAATGCGCTTCCTCGTCGCATTCTTGCCAAATTATGGGCTTCTAAAGAGACCAGGATTTCGGTAAGTTTTGTTTTATCGCATACACATACAGAAAAGCTGTTATACAATACTAGAAACTAATGTCTTCTTTTTCTAGTTGTCACACCTTCAATTGATCCAAACGTCCAGGTACGTTTTAGCCTAGAATGGCTGTGGCTTGATAAGATATTGATCTTTCCTTCTTTTTTTGGGTTTTTTCATTTGTAACCTACAGTAACCATAAACAGAATATGCCATTGGCAACCACACCTTCGTTTCTGTGTTCAGAGTTACCTATTCGATATACCCATTTATTACGTCTGCTATCTACGCAGACAGCAGAAACTCTTCAGTCACCGGTGATTAAGCATATTGCTCATCAGTATCTTCATGATATATGCACTTTGCTGCACCCATCCCTTCTTGCCACATCACCTCGCGCATTCACGGATGTTTTATGCCGTTTACGCCAACGACAAGCTGCATCCTTGATTCGCCTTCGTTATGCCTTGCTGTATACGCCCACTGCCGCATCGGTGGCTTTACTGGAAAATATGCAGACGATCGGTTTCGGCATCCATCAAATTATCGGTAAATTAAATAAATATTGGCATGGATGCCTTCTGTGGGGAGTTCTTTCCTTCCCCCTGTTTTTTTTTCCAGTTTCGGATGACTAATGATTTATGTATCCTGCGTTTCCCTTGATTCTCTTTATTGCTGTGGAATATTTTTTTCATCTTGATTAGATCAACACGTGGCCTGGGCAACTCACAGTCGTTCTACTTGTAAAACGAACCGTGTTCAATCGACGTGTGCCGTGGCCATTGCTCGTCAAGCAGCCGAAAATGCACGTAGCGCGTTACGGACCAGTTTAGGAGACGACATACCATCCATTCACATCAAACAGCAATCTGATACCATTCCGTTTACGTTTGCACCTCAAGTTTTACACCGAATTCTGTACGAAACAATGACCATTGCCTTACGCGCGAATATTATGCAACAACGTCTTCAGTCAAGGTCATGGCGTGACGTATGGAAAAGATGGTGGCCTCGATCCTCTCATGAAAATGCATTGGATGTTCACGTCTTTGGTGGCCCTACCAGTGTGGGCTTCAAATTGGACAGTCGCACGCCGCTTTTGCATGGCGATCTGTTGCAGGACATCCCTCGGGATGCGATTGGCATTCCGACATGTGCGTCTGTGTTGAGTCGTACAAAATCCGATCAGCTCAGTAGTGATGATGACGATTCACTCCCTGATCTGGAATGTGAAGTGCACAATGGCTGGCGATCCGCCAAATTATTGGCCAGCCATTGGGGCGGCAATCTTGATGCTATTTCCATCGACGGTTTGGGCACCACCATGTATCTCGCTCTCGATCGCGATACTTCCCTACTCGAACGGTATCCGTCCCGTTGGACTTCCACCCAAAACACTGCCTTGTCATTGAGCAATGCAACAGCACAATTAGACGCTTTTCTCTACGCTATTTCCGATCCTCAGCAAATTCACCAATATCAACCTTTCAAACACGATCATCATGCCGTCTCGCTTTCTGCAGCCGTCGGTCATGCCTAAAATCTAAGCTATCTTTGAATCGGTCCTTTCCCATGTATCCCCCGATTATGTATATATGCAATGCAACCTTTCTTTTTTCTTTTACTTCTCTTCATTTTCCTTTTTACGCTCTTGCCACCTGTAGTGTTCATCTCACATAACCTTTTCGTTTCTTCAAATATACACTGTGGGTCTTATTTATTCACACTTTTTTCTACAACACCAACAGCGGCAGACAGCCGATGTTTTTGCAAAAAAAAAAAAAAAAAAAAAAATTGCACGATTGTTTCATTGTACGCAATAGACAATAATAGCCAAACGATCCTTTTTTTCTCCTAGTTACTGATCAATGTGCAAGTAAGCAGTCAAATAGACGTTTATAACGAGTGAAAAACAGTAATCATGAATTGATCGCAGCACAACAGATCAGTATACTATATTAGATCGAGGGAAAAACCCGCTATAAGAAACAGAAATATACTGCATACTATATGAGAGAGTAAAAGGAACAAGAGAAAAAAAAAAGACAAGGGCTAGTTTTGACAATACATACAAACAGAAAAAAAAGGAAAGAAAAAATGAGAGGGAAACGATTGCAAAATAAGAAGGTAAGGGAAAAACAGTACCATACACACAGAAAGAACACAAAGTTGATTTTTAGAACCGCAACATGCCTGATGACGCGCCTCCTGCCATCATACTGTGTTGATGAGGCGGTGGTGGTACTGAGGACGATGAGTGATGAGGCGACTGCCGTTGTTGTCGTTGTGGTTGCTGTGGTTGTGGTTGTTGGTGGGATGCAGGTGCTGGCAGAGGATGCCGTTGAGGAAGCTGAGATTGAGGATGGGGTGGCATATTCACCATATTGGTATGCGGAAATTGAGATGCAGGAGGGCCCATGGATGTGACGTGAGTAGAGGAGGTGGGAGAACGAGAGGGAAGCATTTGATTATTTGCCGGGTATCCTGGAGGAGGCTGCTGAGGATACTGAGGTCGCATCATCATGGCCGGCATGGGCTTTTGAACAGCCGCAGGATGAAAGCCGTTGGCCTGAGCGACAGGACAGTCTTTGTGGGCCAACAATAAAGTTTTCAGATTCACAATTTCCTCTCTCAATGCTTCCGTCTGCATCTGCAACCGTTCGTTGTCGTTGCTCAGATACTCCACCTTGGATTGAAGATTATTCAGCCACTGTTTCTTTCGTTGACGACATTTTAATGCAGCTAAGGAAAACGAAATCAGCAACCTTTTTCTTTCTCCATCCTCATGGTAATTCCATGCGGTCTTACCTATTCGATTGCGCTCGAGGAAATTCTTCCGCTTCTCATCGTCTTCGGGCGTCTTCTCTTTGGATGTCATTCTCTTCCGCTTATTGGACGATTCATTATCTTTTGCGGGAGCGTTGTTCTTTTGAGAGGCGGTTCTACGACTTGCAGTAGCCGTCGTATCATGTTGACTCGTAGCCGATGATAATGATCCAGATCTTTGTGTTTCAACTGGCTTGGTCTGTTGTGTTGTCATGGTATGCATATACATATCCATATTCTGGGTTGGATCATTTTCAACCTTGATCGGTGAAGGTTGCACATACATTTCCTTTGTTTGGTATGGATGCGCGGCTGTAGGTTCTACGAAAGAAGGCAGAAAAGTCAGTTGGTATAATCAAATAATGCAAGACGAGGAAGAAGTAAAAAAGAGATGGCAAACACCATGGTACTCAAAAAAAAGTATGATGAAAGAACTTAAAAAAAAAAAATTTAAACCGTGTGATCTACCTGATATCTGATTGATAAATGCGGCCGAGGATATGCCTTGAGAAAGGTGTGAACTAGTTGCGGGTTTTTTCAAGTGACCACCATTGTATCCATTGTAATCGTCTGGATTGGCGGGGCCTTGAAGCATCGACGGCGATAACGGACCAGTGCGCAGGGAGTCCCAAGCGAATTGATTCGCCACTTCTTTTGGTAAGACTCGTCCCCCGCCCAAGAGCGGATGGACGGCGGGACTGGTGATTGCTGCGACCGGCGGCAGCACAGGTTTGTTAGGCGTTTCGGGTTGTTGCGAAGCCTTATTATCATCAGAAAGCGTAACGGTGGCTCCCGAAAAACTTTGTTCAAACGGATTAGGCTCTTGATCCAGTTTGGAGCTTGAATTCAGAGGCAGCGATGCCATGGGAGTGCTATTCGACATGCCAGCAGGAATAGCCGCGGCTAGGGGGATAGAAGAAAAACAAGGTAAGAACGAAACGTTTAGCTGTCTATCGAAAAAGATAAAGACGAGGTGGCAATGCAGCGTCGTACTTACGAGCAGTGCTTTCAACAAGGGAAGTGGCGATCCCTGCTGTGGTGCCATCGTTATTGTCGGTTTCAATCATTCGGAAATGTCCAACTCCAGGGTAACGTAACGATATAACTTTTTTTTCGGTATTTTTCAAAGGTGGCTCCGAGCTGCAACGAACGAGGTCAGTCAACAAACCACTTTTTTTTTTTCAACCACCAAATAAGTATTGTCGCTCACCTGGAGAAATAAAAAAAAAAAAAAAAAAAAAGAAGGGCGATTCACAGAACAAAAAGAAAAAATATATTCAGGGCGCCGAGTCGACCACTGGTAGTCAATGAACTAAAATCATAATGAGGTGCCAACGATGAGTGACGAGAAGTGCAGTTATTACTCGTTTTGGCAGACAAACCTTCTTAATAACTTTGAGGCGAGAACAATAATATAAAAAGTATACGTTTGAGAAAAACTTCTTTTCCCCGTCTTTTTGCGGTTGGGCGAATTAACACTGTTGCAAAGAAATCTCAGACCGGTGTCAACATTATTACATCATTTGTATTACCAATTGCGGACAACAAGCCATGATTGGACAAACCACGTGAAATCCGACATTGGTCACAAAATTGAAAGGAAGGGTTTGGAATTTTTTTTCTTTTCTTATTTGATCTGCCAATGGATAAATTTTTTCTGCTGAATGGGCTGCATTGGAATACTTTGATTGTGTATGTATCGCAAAAAAAAAAAAAAAAAAAAAATTTCATACAGTTGGGCAAAATTGATGCATGGATCCTTTCTTGTTGCACCGGGATCGTCTCACCACAGCAAAGTTTACAAGTGCAGTGTAGCCATGACGATGATCTAAGCAATCATCTTTCTAAATTTAAACCTTATTTCTTTAACCCAATGTCAACCGTTCAACCGATTGTCTGCGATAGAAAGTGGGCCACTAACAATTTTCCACCCATTTAAAGGTCCATTTAAAGGTCCATTTCACAAAACGTTTTCAAATAAGAGATGGCAGGCTTGAGTTTACATGCTGATGCTATTTAACAAACATTACAGTCAAGATATAGATGGTTTTGGAAAAACACCAAATTCAAGATACGTAATCCTTGAGCGTGTCTCTCCTTTCTTTTTCTTGAAAGACATTACAGGGAATTTGAAATAAAAATAAAATAGAGAGGGGAAAGAAAAGAAGAGATACATTGTAAGCGTTTCTCTGGATTCGGGGAGGATATACTCTGTATAAAGCAAAAGATAATTTCTAGAAGGCCAGGACGTGTCTAATCGGTTCGCTTCATTGAAGCCACCTTGGATGCGCCTCCTTCTTCATGTCGATTTTCTGGCTCTTTTTGATCACTTTTCACTGGTTCCGGTGTCACCCGGTTCTCGGCTGGCAATGATGTTATTGAGCTCCCTGTCGCGTTGGTTGTGTTCAACGCGATATTCATCGTCCCGAAATTATCTGTAAACGAAGCCCACTCCTCACTATTGTCATCCATGGAGTTATCAGCTGTAGCGAAATCCCCAAATGGATCGTCGTCCTCTTCCTCTTCCTCTTGTTCTCCCAATCGATGAATTGGATAGGACTGATCAGAGACTCCGTTGCTCACATTACGTTGACGATGTGGCGCCGCATCCGTCATGTGGTCGTACTCATCTCCATCCTCGTCTCCTTCTTCTTCCTGTGCTTGCAGATGACTGTGTGTGGGTTGTAATAAATTATCATCCACATATCGTGTACCGCCCGATGACCAATGGCCCGGATGATCCTATCGCGTCATTGAGCAACTCACGTTCATACCGGATATCACACCCCAGCCTTTTTCACTTTGAATTTACCTCTTCATCACTGCGAAATTCTTCTTCTTCTTCTTCTTCATCATCACCCTCGTCTTGTATATTGTCCAAGTCATTCATTGTTTCGCTATCATTGCGTAGATCGTAACTGTTTTGATATTGCTGGTAGTCGCGGTCGTAATCATCTCGTCCACTGCCATTTTGAAAAAAGGAATTAATATTTCTTTGCTTGGACTTATTTTTTTTTTTTTTTTTTCGTTGACTTACCTGATCCAATGTTCCGCTTCGTCCTCATCATCTTCGTCCACATGGCCATCGGCTCCTCGTTGGGCCAGATATCGTGAATACTTTGGTCCAAACGGTCAGACAAATGATTCCGTAGAGAATTGAAAATGAATTTCTTATTATTACCTGACTTGCTGCGGTACCATCCATCGCATCGTCATCCTCTTCATCTTCACTTAAACCTGTGCCTAATCCTTCATTGGGGCGCGCTCCTCCCAACGGTAAACGATCACGCTCTTTGGTCTGCTTCAATTCTTCGTTACAATAGGCGGCCCATCGATCCAAATCCACATCATCCTTGATCGCTCCCACTACCGTTTCGGGGAATCCCTCAAACAGTTTGATGATCTCGTCCGCAATAAATGTCAAATGTCCCATGTAGCCTAATCGCATGCCATTGGGTTTTGCACTGACAGATTGCATCATATCATGTTAGAATTGGGGATCGGCAATTTTCCACGCACTCCCAAACTTACCATTCTTCATCGTTTTTCTTTTGCACTTCCACCATTTTGTCGGTTAAACGACCATCTTTAAACACCGAGATAGCTAACTGCCGATTGTATCCTTTATCCATGCGTCCGTTGAAAATTTGATGCAGCATATCGTAGATCACGTAATGCAGAAAATTATTCCACGGGAAATCAAAGAACAATTTCTGAAAAGGACCATCCGGTTGTTAAATCACGTGGAAATTTCTCCAAATCACCCTCCATACCCAACACAACTTACGATGCACGTGGGCATAACTTTATGCTCTACGAACTGCGTTTTCAGATAATCGCCAATGACAAGATCGTTGGAGCGCGATGATTGATCTGTCGGCGTTGCCAGATCAACATCCGTCGATGGACTCTGGTCATCGGCGACGGTAGACTCGGCTGCAACTGAATCATCCTCCTTGTCGTCCTTGTTCGATCCATTACTATTGTCTCTTCCTGCTGTATTTGTATCCTCTTTCAAAAGCTCCTTTGCATCTGCCGGCAGATCGTGAGCGCTGGGGGCGGATACCTTGGTATCGGAGGACCCTTTGGGTACATCGGCTGCCAATGTTTCCGATCCCTGACTTTGCATGTCGTCGGCCTCGTCCTCTTCCATTTCCTCTGGAATATGCTCAAGTTTATCGTTTTCCGGTGTATTCAGATTCGACATGTTGGAACAATGCAAGAGTTCAGCAAACAGTTCGCATATTTTCAGTCGCTCGAAACCCAGAGGCATCTGTTCACCTAGAGTGGTTCGTATAGGTCCTGTCTGTAAGGATGCATCCACATCTTTAGAACACAAACACACTCTATCCATAAAATTTCCAATAACTTACGACTGATTTGGGTTCAATTAATAAAGTGTTGAAATCACCCACTCGATCGGCCAGTACGTGCAACATATCCGCCAAGGAGACAGCTGGATGTCCAAGAATCTGCGCCGCTTGGTATCCGTAGCTGGTATTCAACATTGGATCGCTATCCATATCACTGGTAGAGTGTATACAAGTACACAAGTTCAGTCTTCTCCTATACACACACATCCCGAGACTGCCGGCGATTACCTGTTATTGTGTCGTATAAGATCGATAATAATAGTCACACCATTGATGAGGGTGGAAGTAGAATTGGGTGCTCGAGCATCCAGCATATAATTCACCAACGTCTTCATCACCTTTTCACTAATTCATGTGGATAGATGATAAGCATTTTGCGTGAAATAATTTTGATCAACACGCATACCTCTTCAACTGTACAATAAGTTCGTTGAGACCTATACTCGGGGACTCCATCAAGCTTGTTTGCGACATTCGTATGATTTCACAGAGACATTGTTGTGCTATGGAATGTTCCTGTAAAATAATCAACGTTTTGAGCGCTCACTGACTACTGGACATGGCGCATGCCTTTTTTGCCCTTACCTCGCTGTCCAGATACGGATCCAAACGGCTGATTAGATCGTCCAATAACCCGTTCTGACTGAGCCACTACAGAATGCAAAGTCAGGTACAACCTTGACCTAAATTTTCTGATACCCGCAAATCATTTCTTTTGCTCCCTTCTTACCTGCACCATCCCTTTTCCTTCCTGTATTTCTTCCAGGCGAACCAATGTGAGCAAGAGATCCATGATGGCTGATGCGTGTAGATGAGATAGGATCTTTTGTAAATTGTCGGGATCGGACCTGATAAAGTTGACCATCTATAGAAAGAGAGAGACGGATTGATACAAAATTTAGAATAAGGGTGCAATGATTGAAAAGATCGTCCCAACTCGCCTCTGCTGTTTGTTTGGTCAGTAAGACGCTGATGACTCTGCAAAAATAGGATGCTTGAAGAGAATCGAGGACGGTAAAATCGTTGTCTGATGAGGGTACTGGATCGGTGACTTTTCGACGAGGCGGGGTAGGTCGGTCCAGGAGCGCCCAGAAATCCTCGAGGAGTTGCCTCTTTTCCAGTACAATCACATCCACGATCTGAGGAATCTCGCAAGCGATGATTTCACAAGCAAGAAATGGGTATCTGACATGAATATCAGCATGCTACTCTACATTATTTTCCGTCCATCTCTTTTTTCTTTTCTTCTTTTTTTTTAATCGCTTTTTTTTTGGTGCTAGAGTGCTCACTTGAATTTTTTCGGTTCCTCAAGATCATCCGTGGCTGTGATATAACTCAGCAGTTGTGCAAGGATATCCGGTTTGCAAAGACTAAGAAGTAAAAAAAAAAAAAAAAATAGCAGAAAAAAGTGTCAACCATACCATTTTGCAAACATGGTCCCATTTTTCCACCCACTCCTTTTCATATCGGTACTGATAGACCGCAATGAGAAAACAAAAGAATGAATGAGAGCTTACTAGTCGATGAGTTTTTGATTATGAGACTTGGCTTCCTGTAGAAGATCTTCTTCCTCCAGTATCGTCTCGAGTTCAATATCTTCACGATCTAGAAGAGAGTCGAGGGCTGACGGATTATGAATACCAAAACGCCAAAACATGAAAGAAAGAGATGAAACGTTGAAAAAGGAGAATCTTGAACAAGTCAACCCAGAGGGCGCTTTCCACTCTATCGCTGCCCTTTTTTTTGCCCAACCGCCCAAAATGAAGCCGCTCATTTTCCAGGAAATTTATACTCCACTTGAAAATCATCCAATAAGCGTTCTTGGACTGATTCGCGCACTCATTCTCATTGGGCTACATCGAAACCGTAATGAACATCGAGATATTATATGATATCTAACACAACCCGCTGTGCAATGGATGTCGCCTGCCACCGGAGGTCGCCCCCTTACATTGAGCGACTTTCATCAAATAAAAAGCCTAACGCATACACGGCATAACTTGGGCGAGAACTCTTGACGGACTTCGGTATATTAATGACAACCTTATGGCATCCCTTACGTGGTGATTTGTTTCTGAACACGCGCAAAGCAGCACTGATTGACCCCCTCAGGCGGCTATGATAGTTCTAGAAAGATGTGTGGGTATGTTGCGTATTTAAAAAAAATGAGTCAGTAAGTTCTTTGATTGATTCAATTTTCGTTAAGATATTTTACCTTTGTTATTTAAGTTTTCGATAGTCATTGATCGCTTAACATGACTTGGATTATATGACATTGAAAAACGTTGAATTAGTATAGGTTCATTACATAATAGCAAAGGAAAAGAAATTGGACTTGCCTTTGAACCAAATGGTGTACCGGAAAAAAAAAGATGAACACCGACCTCTCGATCATCATAAAATGAAGAGAACGAAAAGGACATAGATAGTATAACTGACAAAAAACAACAAATTGAATGATGCTACAGAAGAACGCCAGTCGTATCATCAACCACTTTTCTTCAAAAAGAGCTCTACTCACATTTTTATTCGAAAGACGGCGATACTCTGTTTAACCACAACTGGCGCAAACGGCATCTTGCTGCTGATTGTTTCGCCTATTATTGTGAAAGTAGGCAGCGAGGCATGGTTGAAAGATAAAAAAAAAAAAAAAAGGTTTAACAGGTCCTGATAATTTGTAGATCATGTGATTTACAAATCGCTAATTTCTCAAACATTTTAATAAGGTGGGAGATAGCATTTGCAAACGTTTTGTCCTCAGGTTGGCCACAAGATATACGATATACCATAAAGTCATAATCCTTTTTGAAGAACGACAAAATACCATTTTATTGTTGAATAAAAGTGCAAACAAACGAACAATAAGCGGTGAAATAATAGTCGCTTACGTTGTAGCCAGTATATCATCAATACAGTGGAGCGTGCAATGCAAAAGATCCTGAAAATGTCCGAATCAGTTTACGCAATTTACGCTGCATTTTTATCTTTTTACGATGTCATTTGTAGTAGCCTTTAAGCTAAAACTTTTCAGATAAATATTCTGAAAAGCGTTCAATCTTTTGGATCCAGTCTCATCGATTTTATTAACGACCTGTGTGCCAGCAAAGTTATATCATAGCCATAAAGTGGCATGATACTCCTTTGTCAATAGTAACCTTTTCAGGCAACCAATACTTCAAAGTGGATTCGTTGTTTCTAAATCACTTTATGAGAAAAAGTGTGTCTTTTGCCGTCTATAAAAAAAAAATACTCGGTTCGAAGTCTTGGCATTGCTCCGAAAAAAAAAAGAAGTGCTGAAACGCGCGACGCCACGCAAAAAGAGAGGTGGCTGCTTGATCAGGCAATCAACCGATCAATTTGAACTTTTCAGCCAATGATTAGACAAAGAACGAAACATCCATTTGCTTCAGACAGCGGCCATAAATTTAATTTCGAGCTTCACTCTTTCGAATAGGATTGGAATGACACAAGAGCATATTGTAGAGATAATGTCTCCATCATCCATAATGGAAACACCAATATGGATATGGTCATATGTAGTATGATATAATCTGTCAAAATAAGATTTGACCATACAAATGCGAGACTATATTCTTTGGATGTCATCTTTGTAATCAAACTATTACCAACTTTTCAGACGCACTTCAGTTAGAGCGCTACTTATTCAAAATAATTGCTACCGTCACCATGTTCTATAAACAACCATTGAAGCCAGTGCTTGCTCCATGTAATACTGTAGGATGAAACCATGTGAAAAATAGAAATCGAGATATTCATTTCATTCACACGTGATTGTGCCTGCCATGGTTTTAAATTCCGAATTGTGCCTGATATTGTTCGTCTTCCTTATCCACTGTCGAGATGACCCACCGTGATCCGATAACCGAGTATGACTTGATCGTCGTTGGCGCTGGTATCTTGGGATCCGCCGCCGCCAAAGCTTTTGGCCAAGATGGTCGACGGGTACTCTTGTTAGAACGTGATTTAAGTGAACCCGATCGCATTGTCGGTGAACTCTTGCAACCCGGAGGAGTCAATGCATTGCAAACACTGGGTCTTGAAGGTATAAAAAATAAGGCATCCGAAACTAAACGATGAGTGAAAACGTCTAATCTTGGTTCTTCATCGGCTCATCGGTCCATAGACTGCATTGAAGACATTGATGGTATTCCTTGTCGAGGTTACAGCGTGTTTCGCGACGGTCAGTGGGTGGACGTTCCTTATCCCATTTTGGAAACCACCAATAAGCAGGCACTCGGCAAATCGTTTCACCACGGAAGATTTGTTCAAAAGTTGAGGCAAGCCGCCACATGCGTCAAAAAGTGAGTTCCCTGTATTGTCGTCACGGCGTACGCAGCAGACCATGGAAGTCTGATCTTTGCCTAGTGTTACTGTTAAAGAGGCTACAGTCACCCAATTATTGAAGGAAAAGGACGGGAAAACTGACCAAGATCAAGTCATTGGTGTTTTGGCGCAGACCAAGGATAACGAAGAAGTCCGGGTATGTAGACTGGACATGGGTACAAAAATGGACACCTTGACGTTAACTGATCGGTCGACCTCGCTACTTTCAGTATTATGCACCTCTTGTCATTGTTGCCGATGGGTTGTTTTCCAAGTTTCGAAAGGATGTTACTGTCCGAACCCCAGATGTACGGTCGCATTTTGTAGGGTAAGTTAGATTATAAAGCGACTTCAAAAAAAAAAGGAACGAGCATCACAACTGAGTATGGGTGCACCGTTTGATAGCTTTGTGATGAAGGATCTTGATATTCCATTCCCGGAACGGGGTCATGTTATTTTGGCCAGTGTCGCACCGATCTTGATGTATCAGATTGGGATCCATGACACAAGAGTGTTGGTCGATGTCCCAGGAAAACTGCCTTCAGCCTCCACCGGTGAACTCAAACGTTACATGCAACAAGTTGTGGCACCCGATCTTCCCGAACCCATCCAGGTAACACGAGTACATCCTTGAAAGCTTGCTTATTCCTACGCGCTCGTCATTCACGTGAAAATAGTCCAAATTTCTAGAAGCATTAGAGACTGAACGATTACGATCCATGCCAAACGGTTTTCTTCCTCCTACCACCAATCGCTGTCCTGGTATGATTCTTTTAGGTGATGCCATGAATATGCGGCATCCCCTGACTGGAGGTAATGTAATTTCTTCTTCTGAGAGGGGTTATCATGTTAGATGTGTTACAGAAACCTGACGCCTTTTTTCATGTTGGGTAGGTGGCATGACGGTTGCTTTGAATGATGTGGTTTTATTACGTGATCTTTTGTCAAAGGATAATATACCCTCTTTTACAGCCACTGATCTTATTCAACAACAACTGAAGTCTTTCCACTGGCAACGAAAACGTTACTGTGCAGCCATTAATGTACTTGCCATGGCTCTTTACCGCTTGTTCGCCGCAGCCAATGGTAAAAAAAATAATTCTTGCAAAACACCTTGAGTCGATCATCGTACCAAACATTAAAATTCTGCTTTTTATAGATCCTGATCTCGCCGTCTTACAACGAGGCTGTTTCGCGTATTTCCAGCTGGGTGGAGACTGCGTTATGAAACCGGTTGGGTTACTTTCAGGATTGATTCAGCGTCCATCGGTTCTCGTTTATCATTTTTTCAGAGTCGCATTCTACGCGATTTATTTGGAGTTCAAAACCGCTGGTTGGTCCAACGCGCCACGAAGCATGATACGACTCTTCACCGTTCTCTACACTGCATGCGTTACAATTTTCCCCTACCTTTGGAGCGAGACCCGCCGCTAATATTGATTCATTCCCATTCTATAATTATTCTGTCTTCTCGTCTCTTTTATTACTTTGTTATCGTATCTACTCATCCTATTATCCTAGGCACACCCGTCATAGGTTCATCGAATTTAGAAAAAACTAGTATGACGATCACTTTAACATTGACTTTATTTTAGCAAACCAATTCCCAGTATCAGGAACAAATGCAGTGCTTTGACAAAGGAAGGTTGCACAACAATACAGCAGGCAGTCAAATAGATTGATCCTAAGGTGGTTGGCATGTATCATATTTCATTTCGGCAGTAGCGAACCAACAAGGGACATGTCATAATAAATCGATCAAGAGTCATTACATGCCTTACATTCGCTGTGACATAAAAGGAGAGCCTGATCAAATGATTTATAAATCCGCAAGACATTGGTGTTTATTTTAATTTTCGCAGACGCAACAATAATAGCCGAAAACTAAATAGGATAGGTTCGTATGTCTAAATGGTTTCTTTATAACAAAAATACCAAGGTCGAATCGAGATGAAATCGAAAATGGTGTTTTTTTCAGTGATGGATTATGCAGAGATGGAAGACCGATGCGGGAGAGCAAGTGCGGGAAATGCTTAGTTGGCATCCTGGTCAGTACCGGCAACTCGGCTGTTATCGGAGAGAATACCAGCCTTGAGGAGGTTGTTCAAGGCACCTTCAACACGGCCTTCGTTACCAATGCCACCGGCATCCTGTTGGATGCTGCTACCCTTGTGGTGTTGACCGGGAACAGCGGAAACGGCAGCGGCGAAGAGAGCGACGATGGCGAAAATGCAGGTGGACTTCATGTTTGAGAATTGAGTTGTTGTAGATGAGATAAGACGAGATGAGATAATGTTCGACTGAGGTGGGGAAACTGGTCTCTATTTATACAAAAAAATCCCAGGTGGAAACTGTCAGATCATGAAAGGAGGAGCAAGCATGCTGTCAGATTGAACCCTGAATCCACATCATTGGCACCTGTAGGACACGTAAAAGCCAAGGGCCAAAACATTAACGCATTACTGTGACATTCCCTGGCTCCTGTTTAATTTCGCTATAACCATGATCTTCTTTTTTTTTCCCTTGGCCCCTGGGAGTCCCACTTCATCTCCTCAAAAAGGTCAGCGCAGCCATCCGTGGGATGTGAATCGAGCCATATTTGGACATATTGATCATAAACAGATATCCAATTCCTTATTCAGCATCTCGATCAGTAATAAATTTTCATTCCATGACGCTTCATGCAATGATCGTACAGGGGCCGGTAATTTCCTAGTGTGCATGGGAGGCCTAATCTCCGCCCAATTTTTTTTATTGCGTTCATGAGCTGAAAGTAGACATGGGATCAAGGATGCATGATTGTTACGGCTCACTCTACGTACCTTGTTTCGTAGCAATTTTGGTAATATTGAAGATCGCAAATATTCTTGACCACTTTACGTGCTAACCCTTCTTTTTCAGCAGCAAGATGCAAGAGCTCCAGTGTGTTGTTCGCTTTAGGAAAAAATAAAAAAAAACATATCCACCTTTTTGTTTAATACCCAGGAGACATAAGCAGCAAATGTGACATGTCATAACACTCACCTTTTCTTTGCAAATCGATCAATCGATCGTCAGTGACAGGTGTCCTGTGCTCCTCAAACCGACGACGGATTCTTTGACGCATGTATGGCTGACGATGTTTGGCATGAAGTACCGCTGCATCGCCGGCTCTCAAGAACAATCGATAACATTGCAGAACTCCTGCTTTCGTTTGTATAGACAACGTCATACGGATGGATCCCAATGAGAAGAGAATGGAAGGAAGAAAAAGGGAGATTTTTCCCCATTCCTCATAAACAGTGACTGCCTGAGCGGGCTTCCAAACTCGGATAAGCCCTTCTCCCAACTTCAGCGCGGGCATCGGGATTAGCATACCCCACACGAAAATTCGCGCCACATGGAACAATCGCGTATCCACACGCGTCAGCAATGGTCTGGTAAACCATTATGTTACCTATAGGTAGTGCCTGTAAAATCAAAGTCACAGCCAAGAAAGCCATAGATTGTTGCTATTATGAATTAGAATCGTCAAAACGATCGCGCTACTGTTGTAACACCTCATGCATGAATGCTACACAGTAACACTGCACTTACTTTTCAGAAAATCCTTTTAATCACTTTTTTCTGTCACTGAAAAATAAGTCGTAGTTGCAATTATCAGAACATAACAGTTACGAGTACATGGCAGGTTTTTACTGATGATTTCATTCATTTATAAATAAAATATAAATTATTTCTTGTGATCGCAAGCGATTTAAACAGTCTTTTTACATTGAGTGGGATAAAAAATTCATCCGAAATACATTTTCGAAAAATAAAATATCAGACTCATGTATATATTACCAAGAAATATAGTTTTTTTTTTATTATTATTTTGAACTGAAAAGTTCTGATGTATATTTCAGATCGATGTATCCGCACCTCCAGATTTTATTGATAAACCACTGTATTCTTCGTACCATGATACTAGAAAATTGTATGAACCTTATACCGGGAAGTAGGACTTCTTTTTTGTGTATGTGCGAGACAAATTTTTTTACCCGTAATGCTGTAAAAGGTACTTAAAATGCTCGGATTCATGATTAGTTTGCCTGAAAACATGAAAATATTCGATAGTGTAAAAAAAAATCGGTGAGCTTTGATTATTAATAACATTTCGGACCCTATAGAAGGTGGATATGTCTAACGGCCTCGAATGGTCTTGAGAGATATTGTATACTGTAAATTAATTATTCAAAAAGCTTTGAATAAAGTAATTGCCATCGTATCCACATCCTATGAAGCAGGTTATTCAGCAATGAGTCCAACAAAACAAGGAAAAGATCACTGTATGTCATCAACGTAGTGTCCTCCGAGAAGTTTGCTTAACACTTCCGTTTGAATTTCTTTTTTCTTCTTAATTTAACATCATTAAAATAAACATTCAACGTCGTCTTCAATCGCTTTTATAGAAATCAGTAGCGTATATGAATTTGACATCCTCAAATTGTTGCTTCTTTCCAACTTGACGTGGTCCTCAGCTTATCTTCCAATACCCATTTCATGTTAAAAATATAAAAACGGATCAATGGGTAAAAAGAAATTTAACCTTTTGGTTTCACATTATTTCTGAATTTTATGATTTTACAACAGCGTATTATTGCTGAGTGGATAGGGCAATAGGACGTATGATGAAATATCAGCGATAACGTGAGATGATATCTTTGATATGTTATGAAAATGAAAACAAGCTCCAACAACGTTAAAATTACCTTCTCAGCGTTTGCTCGGGTTTCCCCGTTTCAAAAAGATAAAAATAAGATTTATAAAAATTGTTATTTGCTATCTAAATGACCGTGTTTCCATACATTTTTGGCAAGCCAACATATATCCATTATGTTTGAAATTATAACTGTAATCCACTTGTGAAAGTTATTAATGACTTTATGACGGAACATCCTGATCACTTCTTGTAGGGTGGAAATCAGATGACCCATACAGTACAGGAAACGATAATCATTTGAAAAATAACTCCAATGGTATCATGACAATGCTTTACTGCTCCCCAGAATTCACGTACTGATACTGCATATACGTTATAATCAGTCTCCGGCTAAACTTCTGTGTGTCTGAAAACCATAGATTTCATATGAACTATACCCATACAGACATACAGTAAGCTGCTATTTTATACATCGTTCATTGTCAGGAAGCCATTAGCGTTATCCAAGTCAAGCTTATTTAAAATGAAATAAATCAATCCGCACTCAGTGTTTGGTGGTACAGTATCAGAAAAAACCCCAAGCTCAGTAGCCATTATGAAGCCAATATGATACTCGTAAATTAAGCGGTCATCATGCGGCTGGCAGCTATCTATTTGCTCCAGTTGTACGATTGTGCTCTTTTTTTTTGGTCTGAAATGTGATTTGTATGTGCCATTGCCCTTAATTGTTCTTATTGGTTCTTATTGGTTCTATTGAGTTATAATGCGTATCATCGGTCATCACAGCTGTGTACAAAGAGCCTTGACGAGGGATCGGCCTGATTCGAGTTGCATTTAGTCTAGTGTGATGTGGTTGGTTGGGGAACCACACGCCGTGGGCGGTTCACTGCAGGCATCCACAAGCCGACATGATTCGGTGTTTGGGACCGCCATCAGCACGACACGTATCAGCAGGGAGAACAAGAATTGACAGAATACGGCACCCGCTGACCCAACCCCCTTTTTTCTTTTTGCATGTATCAAATGTTGTGGTGCATTGACCACGCATGGTGGATTAATCCAGGTCCATCCACGCGATCGAACCTACACCCTGCGTTGGGATTCGCAGCTTGCCCCTAGATCAATTTTGATCTCTTTTCATATCACCATTTTCGCCACCTCGGGCCGTGTCATCCTCAAACAAGGGACTGATCTCAGTTCATATCATTTTGCCGCTCGCATGCATGCAGTATTTTTCTGATAAATAAACAAAACATAAAAGGAAATCATGAAGTATCAATAAACTCGATTAAGTGGTAAAGAAAAAAAGGATATGTAGATTTCTATAGCTTTAGGTCTAAAAAAGTCTAGAATGAATGAAATGCGCATGCTAACATAAGAAAATAATGATCTATCGATTGAATTGGGAAATACTGCTCCTTCCTATTAACGTCCCTGTTAAGCTGGCACTGGTAACGTGATCGATTTGGACTTCAACAAAGTCGCCTTTGCCCAGAGACTCATCTACGGTATCTTGTGCAATGAACACCTTGTGTCCACCATCCGTCCGTCCGCTGATCCGCGTTTCCTTGCCATGCTTCATCTTGGTTCGTTCAGAATCGATCAACACAAGCTGTCGTGAACGAATGAGTCCTTGATTTTTCTCCGCTGCGCAACGATGATACGTGTCCACAATTTCCTGCAAACGCCGAGCCTTGTCCGCTTCAGGAACATCGTCGATGTAACGACGATGAGCATGAGTTTTCTCACGCATACTGTAAAAAAAAAAAAAAAAAAAAAAAAAAAAAAAAAAAAAAAAAAAAGACATACTTAGCGATCCTTACGAATTCCCTTTTGGTAACATGGATTCAATCGCTCCTTACCTGTAAGCAAACATAAACGCCATATCATACTTGACCTGCTCCATCAATGACACTGTATCACGATGCTCGGCTTCTGTTTCGCCGCAAAAACCAACAATGAAATCACTGCTAATCCATACATCAGGGATAATACTGCGCATCTCTTCCACTAATCTCAGGTACGCTTCACGACTGTAACCTCGGCGCATTCTTTCCAAGACACTGGTGCTTCCTGACTGGATAGGCATGTGAATGGAGTTGCACAAGTTGGGTCGTGATGCAATCAAATGCAGAAGATCCGTAGGAAAGTCCTTTGGATGAGGAGACGTAAATCGAATACGCATCTATTCAACAAGCTTTGTTATTATTCCATGCTCACCGCCTTCCAGTTTTTCCCTTGGACCTACTTCAGGATTGATAAGACTGATTTTATCCAGGAGTTCGGTGAATCGGCGACCGCCATCTTTGCGCTTATAGATCGTCTTGAAACCGGGATTACTCAATTCCTGTCCCTTGTTTCCTTGCGACTGATAATAGGTGGATTCCGACGTATCACGGTAAGCTATGACGAACCATCAGTTTCTGAGGATATAGAGAACCAACCCATGGATGGATCGACAACTTACAATTCACGTTTTGTCCGAGTACAGTCACCTCTTTCACTCCTTGATCGCTCAAGTATCGAACCTCGTCCACGATGGAATCGATCGGTCGACTTCGTTCATTACCTACCAAATGACCGTCTTTAATGTTTCCCTTTCTCTCATTTTTCGGGTCCGATCCATGCATCCAACTTACCACGAGTGAAAGGTACGATACAAAAACTGCACATATTGTTACATCCTCTCATAATCGATACCCATCCAGACACATTGTCATTGTCCAATCGCATTGGCATGATATCGGCATAAGTTTCGTCGGCTGAAAGCATGACATTCGCCACACCGTGATGGTATTCATTTTTCGCCAGAGAAATAAGATGCGGAATGGAGCGATATCCATCAGGGCCACACACAATATCCACCAAACGATCCTCTTCAAGCATTTTAGCCTTTAATCGTTCCGCCATGCACTAACCAAAAGAATTACCATTTTCAGTTATGCTGCATATTCCTATCCCCCATCAAAATTCCCATTACCCCTAATACACCAACAAGCGGTGGTCGATCCACATTGACCTTCGTACGGAAATGACGCAAAAATTTTAGTCGATCCCAAATACGAGTTTCTGCATTTTCCCGGATAGCGCACTGGACAGATTTTGTAGTATGAGCTTTTCCCCGTTTCATCAAGCGTCATGATCCGGACTCAGCACTTACTGTCACGAGAAAAATAATATCTGCTTCTTCCATGCGATCGGTACGTTCATAGCCCGATTCGGTCATGATGGCATTCAGAATCTCAGTATCGTTGACATTCATCTATCGCAATATAAATAAAGATCCTGCGTGGTCAACGTGGATCCGGTTTTGGCTAGTTGCTTACTTGACAACCGTATACTTCGATATGGAACTTCCGGCCCGCACCCCAATTGGGTCCATGGGTAGTAAGGTATGGAATGTTGTCTGGGCGGACCAGATCCCGGTTGATTTCCTTGGATTGATATTGCTGTGCCAAGAAATCTTTCAAGGACGGTGTGCGATTGTCGAAAACAAGCTGTCTCCGCTTCTTGGCGGCTACTGAAGGAACCGCCGCCGCTGCCGTGGCCAACGATCGTGAGCATAGGGTTATATTGGGACGTATCAGAGTATGCCCTTGCTTGATAACAGAACGGGATCGCTGCATGTTGTACGGACTTGATTCCAAGATCGGCTGCACGAGCACTCAAAAAACATATCATTTTTCCACACAAGCAGGGCTCTGTCGATGATTGGACGACTGTGACCGTCTTCTCCATCCCCGGGATCAAGCATGATGGTGAAACTTGCTGACTTAACGCGGATCTTAATGGTATCCCTGACTTTATGTAGGCTGGCAATCAGGCTTTATAGTAATTAAATGAAAAGCTGAAGAAAGTAGCGACAGGAAAGCTCCATTGGAAGACACACAGCATCTTCTTTCAGATTCGGAAAAATTTGTGCAGAATTTATTCAAAATTACAACATACGTAGGAAATTCGATACAAAAGGGGGAAAATTCTAGGTTGAAGTCTCGTTTATAATCTTATGTGTAGGCGGACTGGTACGGAAAGGTGGAGAGCAGACATTCAATGGCAGCTCGACTATGATATGGTGGTCAGCAGTGCCCGTTTACGCTCTTTGTTTCCCTTTTACGATGCAGGATGTTCATCGATTGTCAAAGGGAATAGACATTTTTCGAAGCCATCCTTTCTGAAATCATGAACAGTCTATGATATGAAAGCAGACAAGCTGGAAGAAGAGAGGGACACAGTGAATACCGTCTCTCAAACTGAATGAAACCAAGGAAAGCTAGCCCCGTACTGCATACGTTTTCCCTGCGCAAGTTGGATGTAGGAACGTTATTTATCACCAAACTTTATTGTACAGCTGGGGTTATGCAAGTATCGCAACCAGATCGAGGAGTGCTACTGCCTCCTTTCGAATAGACTGTATGCTGTAACTTCCTTGTTATATAAAGTGACATGTAGAATTTAAAAAAGTCTAAGTAATTACAAACGTCTTATGCCAAAATTTCCTTGGATTTGGTTTTAAGCATGTCATCCACCGACTTGTTGTACTTGTCGGTCAGGGCTTGCACCTAGATATCCGCCAACAATAAATAAATAGCCAAAAAAAGAATGCAGCCTGTCCCGGTACTCACCTGTTTTTCCAACTTTTTGATATCATCTTTGGATTGATGGGCGGCGTCGGCTTTGAGCTGCTTCATGCCATCCTGTCGAATGGCACGAATTTTGGATTTGGCTTGTTCGGCGGTTTGATGAGCTAATTTGGTCATTTTATCACGCGATTCTTTGGAGGGTCTACGTAATATGGCGTGAGCATTTCATATCGTTGTCGGATAAAGGCCTCCAAGAACGCAGGGATTTGGGCTTACTTGGGAATGGGCACACGGATAAGTTTGTTATCTACCACCGGATTGAGGCCCAAGCCGGACTCTCGGATGCTCTTGTCCACCGCTGATAAGTACTACCCTAGACGATCAGTTTTCCTCTTCATTTATCCACTAGGCGAAATAAGTACTCACGTCGGCGTCATGGACTGTCACCAGCAGGGTTTGGGGATCGCGAATAGTGATTTGGGCAAGATCACGCAGAGGATAATTGGAGGTCTCAATACGGACACGCACATTGTCCAGCAGGGCTATATGGTTACCGGGGTGAAATAAGTTTATCGTCAAGGCATGCACGCAACAGGGTTGTATGGACTAACCTGGATTAGCTCGACCGACTCTCATGGTAGCAAAGTGGTCTTTCAACCAGTCAATGGCGTGCGTGAATCGTTCTTCCGTTTGTTTAGTGTCATATTGCAGTTCGACGTCGGCGGCAGCCACTTCGTCTTCAGCCCCTTTGGAGGCGCCACCCTTTTTACTGGCTTTGCTCTTTTTGGCATAACTACGTACGACGATGGACTGGACAGCAGCAGCAGTAACCGGACGCTGGACACCCAATGCAGGTCGGACGTGCATACTGAGCGCCATTGTCGGTTGTAAACGAATCGAGCGAGTGGCCGGTCGAATGGCTCTCAGTATAGTAGGTGCGATGCTCATTTCTTATTTGAGTTGTATGGATAGAAAAATGTTTTTAATGCCACGGTGCAATTCCCTAATTTCGCACTAATGTCACCAAATAAAAAAAGCCAATCAGTGAATAGCAAGCGCCTTTTGAAATACAACAATTTCTGGGATGCTTGCAGTCTTGGGTGTTCGCAAGTCCACAAAAAAAAACATACCACAATTTCAAGGAACTGCTACCGATATTGTACCGTAATAACATAGATAACAACCTCCAATATGGTTTTCAATGGATGCTCTACATTACAGTTTTCGTAGCCTTTTTTGACCCTGTTCTTTATCGTGTGATCCGCAATCAAGCTCGGGCTCTAAAGAACACCAATTGCCTAATGTAATTTTTAAAAGAGAAAACAACAAGATGTCCATTGTCAACAGGGTATAACAGATAACGACATGCTGGAAGACGAAACACTCCAAGGTTGGTTTAAGCGAAAAAAAGGGCCCATGTGGGATATCAATGGGGTGGTATTTCCACCAAATTTCAATGTCAGGTGGCTTGTTCAACTCAAATAGGAAAATTGCGAAATTTTCGACATACTGCTTTCAACTGAAGATGAGTTTCGGAAGACCACCCAACATTGAATCATTCACAGGTGCACCGCCTCTTTTGGGAAGTTTTCCCGTTGACCACTATGGTACGTTCCTGGAAATTAGCAGCAAAGTGGTCATGTACTTAAACCTTTATGCTAGGTGAATGCAAAGACTTCATGAAAGAGTATGTCAAGTGTATGCGTGCCAACAAGAACAATAACGGAGAATGTCGCCATTTCTCTCGAGCTTATCTGCAATGCCGTATGGACAAGTAAGTGGAATGACATGCGTGCGTAATACACACACCGAGAAAAGCTTACTCAATTTTCAACTGCTTTTTTTTTTTTTTTTTTTTGGGGGGCAGAGGTTTAATGGAAAAAGACAATATGAATAATCTTGGTTTTGCCGATTTGGATAAACAAAAAAACAACGATGCTTCCCCTTCAAAAGACGCCTCCCCTTCAAAAGATGCCTCCCAAAGCTCCTGATATTCCTAGTCTGATTGTATTTTCGCTTTGTTCATACATCATTTCTGTAAATAGAGAAAAAAGAAAAAATAATCCCATTTTCGTATTGTAGACGATACAGCGTAGTGTGTACCGGTATACCACGATGATGATGTTTTTTCCTTCTATTATTGTAATCGCTTATCATGGATTGATCCTTTATTTGGCTTTACAAGGCTTAAGAACTGGTATATTTAAAGGCATGCTTCACTCTATTGGTTCGCGGAGCACGGAAGACGCGCAGATCGAACATGTAGTCATCATAAGTCGCTTGCTGTTATTCCAACCAGAAGAGAAAAGTCAACCATCTCGGTCATCGTCGCGATTTCGTCGCCCTGACAACAACGCTGTTTCAGTAATTTAATCCGTTTCCTTGGGATCTTGCTAGGGCATGATTTGCAGCGCTTTTCCTTTGATACAATTCACCGTGTTTTGCTGCGTCATAGATACCTTTACATTCATCCCGGTCGATTTAGAAATGCTCGAATTTGGAGTATATTCGAGTCAAAGAATGGGCTTTTTGTGATTCCTGATAATGTAGGCTGTAAAGTATTCCTAGATTCGATTTAAGGGGCCTTCTTTCAAATCTCTAAGAGCAGTAAACCACTAGTTCCCCCGTGGCCGCTACCGTGTTTGTCACTGTGTTGGTTCTTTTAAATCCCAATGCTGATCGTGAGAGTCCCATCGTTACGAATTACACTGTGAGGTGCCGCATTTAGGCTCCATGTTGGAAAGCTTGGTGGACTGTTCCTTCCTCAGCAAGGACCCCCTCCCCTCTATTTCCTGCTTTTATAGGTTAGCAAAGCACACCGTGAGAAAAATAAACACCTATAGAAAGTGGTTTCTGTTGAACTGATGCTGCCAACACGCTTCCTCGTTGCTCGTCGCGTTTCGGAGTCGTTTTTTAACGTCAAGCGTGGCCTTCCTCAGTTGGGACGAAACAGCTATAGGGCCGCTTTGACGTCAGTTGAGCCAAGTGGCCTGGTTGAAAGTGCACTGCGACAGGCAGAACAATAAAGAGGTTGGTTTTCGGACAAGTGTTTAATGGACGTTTTTATTGAATAGAGAACAGATGAACGACAAACAATATAAAAAGGTCTATCCTGTTGTATTCTTTTTCAATTGTCTGCTTTTTTTTTTTGGCCGGTCCACTTTCTTGTAAAGCAGAACGCTTTGACGTCGCTTTGGGCATCAAATGAAAATGAACGTAATATAAAGGAAAAGTAAAGAGTTTTCATTTTATTTCTTTATATATGAAGTGGCGTAGTTCGCGTCCACACGAACATTAAGCTCTCTTTTTGTTTTATTATTCAACCCACAAAGGGTTGAGAAAAAGAATAATAAAGACAAAAAGCCTTTGTTTTTTCATTTACCTTTGTTGGGCGATTGAAAAGCAAACCCACCGACATACCTTCCAACAGTGAGCGCGCTGATGGCTAGTCAGGCGCCCAAAGGGAAGAGCCGACGGGAACGAAAACAATCTTCTTCACAGGATGGCCAATCCTATCATTAGAAAATGGTTTTCGGATTTTTCGCCATACCCCGAATGCTTTATCAAAAACCGGAGCGTTCATCATCACCAGTAACCACCAGCCTAGCAGCCCCTGATTCCGAACTGGCGCACAAAAGAAAAAAAAAATGAGGAAAAACGCCCTCTTTTATATCTTTTGCTGACCTTCGATTTGTGACCCTGTTTTATGACCGCGAATGCACCTCATTGGCTCGATTCTCGCAACAAAACTGGCGAAATTCAGAGCCTCACACTTCTTTCGCTTAAGCCTGCAAAGAGGGGACTGCGCCATGTCATTCATGCTGCCATCAGCAATCCATGTGCATCACAGTCACTCTATAACTTTCAATAAAGCTTATGTTCGAACGCTGATGCGACATGCTTCAGACTTTACGCACTCTTCGTTTTTTTTTTTTTTATCTATGTTGTTATATGATAGGATGTTTCCCTACATTGACCTGCCCCTTTGTGTCAGCTTTGCTTTTGAACCGCGTATTCAATATTGCTGTGACAATAAATGCTCACGTAAGGCTCCATGAAACCAGAGTGTCAGGTCTCAGTGCGCCATGTTGCAATGGCGACAGAAATCAGAGAGCGCAATGACCAAGGCCGATACGGACGCATGTGAGCATGTCAACAAAAACGAATATTCTGGATTACGTCAAAGAAACTCCTACAGTAGATAATGTAGCAATGGACACATGCACAGTGCAGTGACAGCATCTGTAGCCTCGGTTTCCCCATTTGCGATGTGCCATATTTTTCGCATAAATTGATTGACTTGCAGGACCCGGTGTCATCTCCTCTTGAAATTGAGCACTCCTTCTCCGCTTCCCTGCCCGATAACAGGTTGGGGCCTTTGTGTTCGATAAAATTGCTGTCGATTGTGCATTTGATTCGTCTGAAGCTTCACAAATCATCAACGAATCGTCGCTCAGTTTTGGAATCAATTTTTGGAATTTTCGGTCATCAATTATATTATTGATTTATACGTTGAATGCTACATCAAATTCGATTTAGGCATAACTTTTTGTGCTTTCCCGGGATGATCCCAAAATTGAGTGGCGACTGTATACATGGATTAGCTTCTTAATCGCCCTTTTTCTCCGGAAGCTAATGAATACCTATAAATATGCAATAAAGCATTGCTGATCAGAACGTCATCAAGTAGATAAGGCATAGGAACCCACGTTAATGTGAATTGCAAAGTCGATGTGTCTCCTTGAACATGATACAGTGGTCATCAGTTCATTCTGTCTATCTTTCTATTAGCACTTTATTACTGACACGATGAAACAAAATCTCCTAGAGTATGACGCATTGAGGTAGATGTATGAGAAAAAAAAAGGAAATAATTGAGCAAGGTAAAAGCATCATAATCAAGTCATTATCTTCAGCGTGTCTAACATATGCATGCCCTGGATGATCAAAACTATTTATGAAAGATAAAAAGTGAGAAGTCAGTGCTGTGTGCCTCAAAAAAAAAGAATGAATATCGATGCTCTTACTCTGATTTGGTAGGAACCGGCTTTGGTCATGTATCGTACCCATTTGACAGATTGGTACCCGCTCTTCTCAAACACTTTTAGGAATCGCACCAATAAACCAGAAGACGTGAACATTAACACCTGAACAACGATGGTAAGTACCTTTAAAGCCATTCTCACAGGCCTTTTCCTACTACCAATTTTTACCTGGAAATCCATCGATATTGGTGGTCGCGACCATACGCGCTTGTTCGTCATGGAGGTAAGCTCAGCTTCACCACTGAGGGTATATTCAGATTGCCCTTGGAAACGAGAAATCCTGCAAGACAAAATGGGATGAATGAAAGGCCAGCGCAAACATACACCATCTACTGCCACCATATTGATGCGTTTCACTTACTTCCATATAATACAGTTTTCCGAAGGCTCGTATTTGGCTTTGCCGCCCGAGCCTACTCGCACTTCCACCTTTGCAGAATTCAGCGGGGTCGGAATCTTTAGTACGACGTTATTCGCATATAATTTGGGCGAGAAATTGGCCTTCACATTGATCTTGTACTCAACACGGGTCTTGCCAATTTCATTAACAACAGGATGTACTCGGAAGGGTAGATTGACGTTTTCCGTGGTACGATATCTGTCACGAAATCCGTTAACAATCAGAAAGATCATTGCTGCATTCCTCGTATATTCGAATCGTACCTCATCAGCTCAAATTCACCATCGGGAGGCACAAAGCTGATTGTACGGTCTGTATCAAATCTTCCCAATTTAACACATTGGTGAAACTGACAGTCATCAATTTCCACAGCATCTGAACGTCGAGCACTAGGCAATATCACGCATTGAGATGAATACACTCTGTTTGCAGCTAGAAAATTTCGATGCCACTTACTTTATGCCGTTGGCTGTCCCTTTTTCCAGTAAAAGTTTGTCATTCAAGCCGAATTTACACTCTGGAACACCCGATAAATACGCTCGCATGAGAATCTGTCCCGCCACATCCGACCGTAAAATGGTTCCTTGAAAATAAGTAGAGAATTGATTGTCAACAATAAGGCAAAGATGATCTATTGAGCCACAGGCAGATAATGCTCAATAGGTTTACCTGTATTGCTCATGAGCATATTGACGCTTTCAATAACATCGATGAACGCCTCATTCTTTCTATATTTGATATCGTTTCGTCGCCACGAGATAGCACCGGTTGCTTGGATAGTAATTCGGCTCGAATCTTCTGCGGCTCGTTCGGATTTGACGCCTTCCGTTGTAATATACATTTTTAATGTATCGGTTTCGCTGTTCTGTGGATAACCGAAATCGAGAATTTCTAAACCGAAAACGCCGTATGAACATCACATCACAGGTCAGGCTGCCCACAAGAAAAGTAAACACAATGCTTACCGTCCAGCAATTCGTATATGAGAACAAAGTTATTCTTTACTGCTTCTTCGTCAAATTTGCCAAAGTAGCTTCGACCAATGTTGACGACCCGGTAACAGAACTCGAATATCAGAGCGGCATTCGCATTCCATTTGGTAACAGCGACGATGTACAAGTTTTCGTGACGGACGTGAAAGAAGGATGTCGAGCCTAAAGTGACGATGGGCGAACGCACGTCGGTGTTGGAGATGACTTGAATACGGAAAATGTCAGCTACCGATCGTCTAGATGACCCTGGTGAATAACGTGAAAAGCTACTGACAGGTCCATGTTTTGGACCTGGTTTCTCTTTCTGCTTTACCTCAGATCATGGCGATATAATCGAGAGATGAGCACCTCGCCTTTTTGGTTGTAAATGAAAAATGCGCTTATCATTTCCCTCGTCGCAAATGATGACAATATGAGAATCCCAGAGATAATCGACTCTTTTTCACCACCAGCCCTTTTTTTGCGGGACCACCGCTTCATTAGTGGAGTTTGAATTTCACGAGGAAATGCGGCAATCGCCCTCCTGCACATCCACTCATAATCACAACAGCCACTTCCACATGGATAAAAAAACACCTAATCCTTTATCTTTTTTATTGGCAACCTAGTCAAAGCATCTTAACTCGATAGGCTTTTTAGAAGTGACAAATTAGGGAGAAGATGGCTTTTTTACGATATTATCCATAACAGCAAATTCATTGCAACTTGGTGGACTCGAATTGTTTCATTGTTTCATTTTCACCAAACAGAGAGTGCAATTGGCAAATGAGTACCTCTGCAAGAATTACGCTCAATCCAGTACCTAATTTTACAGGGTAAAAAGATGCAGTCTTTTTTATTTATTTATTGGCATGGCATCTTTGAGTTCTACTGTGATAAGCACGCATGGAAATATAGGCCTCAGAAACAAGAGCCAACCAACACTTCTGGTTTCAGCAATTAAGTAAAGGACTACCACCGAATGGATGTGCCGCGTCAAATGCGAGAGGGGAAATGGATGTTCCTGCCATTTTCGTGGTTGGACGGGGTAGAAAAGCAGTCACACTAGGGTTGAATGAATCAATCCGCTTCTTCAGCAGGAAAGACGGAACAGAAACCGTATTACGGGTTTTCTCAAAGCTACGGCAAAATGGACGATAAGGTCGAACTTCGACGTGCCAATAGGCTGGCTTGGCAGAAAGAAGGCACAGGTGAGTCTGACTGTGTACTTGCTTAGTAATTAAAAGTACTCACGAGAGCAATCGCAGACGATGCGCAGTTTAAGAATCTCGACAGCAATATCAAGAAGAATACGGCATTTATCAAGAAATGCAAGACGTCTTTGGCAGCCGATGTCAAGCAGCAACTACTGAACGATATCAAAAAGCTTAGTCTGGAGAAGTTCATTTCTGAACTTGCGACCAGCGTCATGGAAGGCATGCTCAAGTGCAAAACGACCGTGGACGTAGCAGCTTGCATTGAAGTAAGAGATTCGGATCAAAACTCATCAACTCAGAATTCCTAATGCTGATATTCTTTGTTCTTAGGTGCTATCGGCTCTTCACCAACGCTTTCCCAATACGTTCACTCGATTATTAACTTACAACATGGCCAAAATCTTGCAACCTCCTTCGAAGCAGCACCTTGCTTCGCTTACCCAAGAGCAACGAGAAAAAGAGGAACAGTCTCGAGTATTTCGTCAACGGACATACCTGAGAATCGCAGTAGAGTTATGGTTAGTGGGCGTCTTGCGTAAGGTGGAGGACGGCATTCCCTCGTTAGCCTCCGCAAGCTTGGAAGGCGTCGAAACCCAGCGAGACGGCGTAGCCGGTTTGGGAGGGTCTTCCTCCACGGATGCTTTAAAGGAAAAAAAGAAGGAGGAAAAAGAAAATGATCGAGCTACCACTCAGGGCGGTTTTGTTTTTCGTGTTTTGAAGGACCTGGTAATGAGAAACGCAAACGGAAACCAGGAACGATCATTATGCTAATAGTACATGCCATTTGAGCAGCTTGCTTCCGATATCGAACAGCACGTCAATCTTCCTCTGGCGGTATCGTTTTTGAAGAACTTTGGTCAGCCGGTCTTGGGCATTGTGCCACGAAAGAATCAAGCAGCTGCTGCGCAACATAAAGAAGAAGCCGAAGGAGCCGGTGCAGATTCAACTAGTTTGGCAGCGGAGGAATCGGCTGAACCAGTCCCGCTCACGGCCGATTCAGCCATCACGCCGGAACAGCGAGAATTATTCAAGAACTTGTTGATGGCTTATTATCGTTCGCTGGAAAAGCATCTTGTGAAGGAGCACAAATATATCAAAAATATCGATTGTCGAAATCGCGAAATTCTCTTCACTCGGGGTGAATTATCCGAAGAATCCAAACAAAAGTACGAAAAAACAACCAAGCTCTATGAAAAACTGCTCAACAACACACAGACGTAAGTAGCTTTCCGTCCTTAGAAATGATCTCTTTCAAACATATTACTCACGTTCGTTTAGGTTGGCCGATGCCCTGAATATGGAGATGCCTGAACTGCCGGAAGATGAAGGTGTGACAAAGGTGTCCATGGTCACCGCAGGTCCGTCCAATACATTTGCTGAAGGAAAGGTACATTTGGGTCCAAGGCGTTCAAAAATAGACAACTGTGTTCACCATCGTTTATGCATTTGATAATCCTCAGGAATCCACTGGCAATGGTATTTGGGAAGATGATTATGCTCGCAAATTTTACGAAGACCTTCCAGACCTTCGTATCCTCGTTCCTGGTGTATTCCTGGATTCTGAAAATCAGCGCAAAGCGGAGGAGAAAGAAGGAGAAGCAGAGAATGCTGAAAAAGAAGAAACACCAGCAGACGTAACAACCGAGTCCCCTGATGCGGCCGCAGCAAAGGAGGATGAAGCAGATACCATGCCCAACGACGCACCGGTGGACGACGACAGTGCAGATGCGGATGACGAAACTTTGCTTGAAAATGATGCTGATATTAACGTGGATCCTTCAGCTATTGTCGATGAAGCATTGGAGTAGGTTCATTCCAATGGTGTATAGCGATAATTGATTTATTGACCCCTTTTATTAGTGCGGATAAAGACGATTCAGCCGATAATGCAGCGAATGTGAAGCCTACGCAGCTGGCTCAATTGGATGCCCTATTGGCAAGACTACCTACATTAGGAAATCGAGATTTGATAGACAGTGCCGCCGTGGAATTCTGCTACCTTAATTCCAAAGCTGCCCGTAAACGGCTGATCAAGGTGCGAAATAAGAGGCATGATGTGTGTGTTACGAGCAAAAAATAGAAATGTCTGACATGGCTGTTTTAGGCGGTTTTGAGTGTGCCACGTCAACGCGTAGATTTGTTACCCTACTATTCCAGATTGATTGCCATTCTCAATCAGTATTACCCCGACGTTGGCGACACAGTATTGGCAGCGGTAAGTATCTGCAGCAAAAGTATACGACCAAGGAACTTGTCGATAAATGACATCGACATTCGGATATATTTACATTCGTGATTCTCAACTCTGCTATTTGCTAGTTAACGCACGAGTTCAAGGGTTTGCAGAGAAAAAAGACCGCGGATTTGCTGGAAACCAGAGTCAAGGTAAAATGATCATTCTCGGTTAACTAAAGCAAGCATGAGCGCTCATTGTCGGGGAACTAGAATATCCGCTTCCTTGCGGAACTGACCAAGTTTCGCGTGACCCCAGCTCATACGATCTTCCATATTTTCAAAGTCGCTCTGGACGATTTCACGAATCAGAACATCGATGTTGTATGCAATCTCCTTGAAACATGTGGACGCTTTTTGTTGAAAGCGCCTGAAACGGGCGTGCGAATGGGCAACATGGTAAGTAATTTTCATCAACAGCTTACGATTCAAGGTCTTTTTTTCGTAATATGAACATCCTATCTGTCTTGTCTTAGCTGGAAATTGTCATGCGAAAGAAAAATGTACAGCATCTGGACAACCGACAAGCATTGATGGTGGAGAACGCGTACTATCAAGCGAATCCTCCCGATCGATCAGCCGTCGTAGAAAAGCATCGTTCGACAATGGAACTGTATTTGCGCAAACTGATCTACACGGATCTGAACAAGAAATCATTGGACAGGATTCTCAAGCAGCTGCGAAAGCTTCATTGGGAAGACCCCGAAGTCGTTCATTTGCTGTCGAAACTATTCCACAAGATATGGAAAATCAAGTACAGCAATATTCATTTAATGGCAATTCTCGCTAGCGGATTGAACCGATATCATTCCGATTTTGGTATGAAAGTCGTGGACGGGGTGGTGGAAGAAATTCGCGTTGGTTTGGAAGTAAGTGGTGATTTGTATGATAAGTTCGAAAACCGCCATGTTATAAACTCGTTTTGTTAGCAAAATATCTTTAAACATAACCAGCGACGCATTGCGGTGGTAAAGTACCTTGGCGAACTTTATAACTATCGAATGGTGGATTCGCCATTAATCTTTGACACGTTGTATACCATTGTAACTTTTGGTCATGGTAAGAATTTGAAAGGCACTTAGATACTGTTTGTTGGGAAATGGTGAATTTCTGAGCTCGTTGGTACCATTTTAGATTTTGGCAGACCGGCACGAGAGCGACCCTGTCCTATTGATGCGCCTCATGACTTTTTCCGTACGCGATTGTGCTGCACTTTGCTCGATACCTGCGGCATGTGTTTTGATCGTGGCAGCGCTAAGCGCAAACTAAACCAATTTTTGGTGTTTTTCCAAGTAAGTGAACATGGGAAGACTCCTTGAGGATTGGGACGATATAAATTTGTACTGATCGATTATGCCTTTTTTCCTGCCAACAGATGTATATCTTGAGTAAGATGAAACCGCCTATGGATGTTGATTTCATGGTGACGGATACGTTTGAGATGCTGCGTCCACAAATGCACATATTCGCTTCTTATGAAGAAGCAAATGAAGAAGTGGACCGTATGCTTTTGGAACAACTTAAAGCCGTCCAAGGTAGGTTCCAAAAGTTTTCATTTGCTCAATTCATGTTTTATTGAAATATTCATTTAGGAGCGGATGGAAAAGCGCAAGAAGAGGGATTTGAGGATAGCGAATCGGAATCCTCGAGCGACGAAGGCGAAGATGAAGACGAAGACGTGGAAAAGGACGAAGAAGAGGAAGAGGATGAAGAAGTACGTGTTTGTAGATAATGCGTCATAAGAACAATGCATGATTGATTGATTGATATTGTTGTGTATAGAATGATTCCGCCATGGCCAACAATGACGGTGAGGAAGACGATGTGGTTGTTTTGAAAAAGAAGGAAGAACAAATTTCCAAGGAAGAAGATGAGGAATTTGAAAGAGAATTCAGCAAAATGATGGCCGAAAGTATCGAGTCGCGAAAATTCGAAAAGAAAACGGCGGTGCTAGATGTACCTATTCCTATGAATCTCCGCGGCTTGCAAGGTAAATGGAATTGGGTTGATGCAATTGCATGATATTAACTTTGCATAAAAAAAGATCGTCGCAGTGCGGCACAAGAGAAAGGAAAGGCGAATGATGGCAAGATGGCGTTTACCTTGCTCACACGCAAAGGCAATCGACAACAGGTAAACTTTGAACAGTTCAATGTTTTGTGTTTCCGCGAATCGTGGAATAACCATTGGGGTTATTTAGACAAAAATCATGGAAGTACCTGCCGATTCTCTTTTGGCGGTAACGACACGATCAAAGCAAGAAGCCGAACGCGAAGAGCAGCAGCATCTGAAACAACTGGTTCTCAATTACGAAGAACGAGAAGAAGCGGCGGCTCGTCAAGGTAATATATACCTCGGTCCGCTAACGCTGCATTTTTGATCTTGTTAACTCAACATCTTGAATTTTTTGTTCCTTTAGCTGCATTAGAGGAGAGAGCAAGACAACGTGGCCAATGGCGAGGCAGACGTATCCTTCACATGGGAGGCGGCGGTGGACAAGCCTACTCGTCTTCTCCAAGGTAAAGCGCAGAATCGACATTCTGATTTGAGAGAAATAGAATAGCCTACTCAATATTTTTTTTTCTTGCTTAGACGGTAATCTTTCTCATCCAACCTGGCCATTATCTGAAGAAAGCACCAATCAAGTGCTGGAGACGCTACTCACTGGACAGCTATACCTAATTGCTTGCTGTCGGCTTGTTCTACTTGTCTTCATTGTATGATTGATTTCGAAGCGACATGGATAAGGAAGAGAAAAAACAAAAAGACATGGTTCCAGACATGTGACAGAATATCGGGTGTATGTAAAATCGAGAATGATTACGTATCATGAGGTTGGATAATATGTATGTACAATTCTGTGGAAAAGTGTCACGAGTATCTACAGTATTGGCGACATGGATCAATGCAAAAAAGATTTGTCATGACACCCATGGCCTTCTTTCTTCAATAAACAAAGCGTACATCACGGCAAGTGGAAATAATTAAAGCAGTGGATCTGGAAGCGGCAGGTTGCGTGTAATAGGATCCAGACTATCCATTTCTTTTCGAAAGTTCAACTCGTTCGTTGCTCCGTGATATCGTAGCGCGATCTCGATGGCTTTTGCAGTTGCCTCGGTCAATACCTTGACTGCTTTGGTGTTTTTGTAGAAAGCCTCCTTTTTCACGTAAGGTGCACATATCCACGGACCCCAGATGGTTTCCAATACAGATCGATCGATCTATGTCGCTGCACCTGTCAGTTTCCATGGATAAATAAAAAATGTATCAGATCGTTACTTACTTTACTTGCAATAGAGGAAGGTTTTCGGCGCAAGGCTAGCCATTCGCGGCTGTTGATCATCTGTTTAATTATGGTGCGCCACTTTGATCGAAAACTGGACATGTTGGATTGACACCGGAGAATCAAGGGATCATGGTCGGAAATGGTGGAACGACGATACACCGACTGGACGAGGTCGAGCGCTTCTTGACGAGTAATACATCGACTTCGAACAAATATGCGTCGTTGTCGGCGCCAATACTCCTTTTCTTGATCTTCGGATGTACGAAGAGCGCGTTTGGGAGGAGGGTCTTGCTTAAGCGTCTGATTATGCAACGGTCGGCCTGGTAGTTGCTTGATAACAGAAGGCAAACTTGGAGACGGTTGCTCTTTACTACGCTGTCGAGTGCGTCTTGCGGTTCGAGGTTTTTCTGTGGCCGAATGCACGGTAGGAGATGCCACCTGCGGCTCGGGCGAGACGGTGCTGCGAACCCTTGATTCGGTAATGTTGAGCTGGTCCAAGTAGAGTGAGGGCATGTTGCGTGGTGAGAAGTCTGGAGTATTATCGAGCGAGCCTACTTTGAGAGAGGTAGGGTGCTCTTGCTCTAAAAGTTATCACAAGTGCGTTGTGGGTGAGCAACTGAATGGTGGGCAAGGGTAAAAGAAAGCTTACGACGCGAGGTAGCATGGTGAAGCGATGTCGATGGTTTAGAGGAAGACGTAGCATGTTTTCGCTTAACCATACAGGAATCGATGACAGCCAAATCTCATTCTCTGCAAAGAGAATGAAATGGGACTTATTTTTTTTATTATTCTTTGTTCCAGCGTCTGCTGAAAAAGGGAAAAAGAAAAAAAGGTTAATAGTTTGTGTGACAGGCGGAACAATCTTCGACACGGCGCCACACAAAACAATAGAAATTGCTGATTCGACTGGTTTTTTTTTTTTTTGTCACGCGTTCGCTCACCATAGATCACAATAACAATGGCCGACGCTTCAGTGGAAAAACAAGAGCTCGAACAAGTGCAAACTACCAATGACGATCAACAGGTTGAACAGGTTCAAGCTGCAGAAGATCAAGAAAGTCAGCCTTTGGAAGAGACCGTAGAAAGTAAAGTGCTTGAACAATTGGAAGCAATCTACAGCAAGGAAAATCTTGAAAAGGATAAGTTTTTCAAGGAAATGACCGAACAACATCCCGAAGGCTGTAAGTGACAATGGGATCCTGTTTGATCTTTGAATGGGTGCCTTACTGACGTGGAACGATCTTCGAAAGGGCTCGCGTTGAAGAAACTGGGAATGATCAAGCGATTCAAGTTGTTGATCAACGGCGATCTTGCGATCCTTGCACGCGCTGCCGAGTTGTCCGATAAATTTGAAACGAACGAAGACAAGACGATGCTTCGCAAAGTGCCTGGGACCGAAGAACCAGAGGAGACAGCTGACGCGCCCAGCGCTGCCGAAGGTATCATGTTGGATTATATGATTGTTCAGAACCGTCGATCGATCTATGCGGTATGTTTCAATATCCACGCGACATGCGATGAGTACAAACGGATGGACTAATATGTAGGGACTTTACAGAAAGGCTTCCCTGCTGAAGCTAAAGTGCTCAAGGAGACCGTGCGTGCTCTATTCGAACCCTTTGGTCGTGTTCTCAGCGTGAAATTGAGATTGGACGAAGAAAAAAAATTCAAGGTAAACTATTTGTCATGAATACAAAGAAGCTCAGGGCGACGGATGATTGATATGGGGTACAACAATGATATTAGGGCAGTGTTTTTGTTGAATTTGAAAAGAGCGAAAGTGCTGCTGAGGCCGTCGCCAAGCCAGTTGAATATGAAGGCACCCCCCTGCAAACAATGATCAAGTACGAATCACATCATATAAAAGCCAAGAATTGTAAGACTAACACAAAATGTACAGGCAAGACTATGTTGACATGAAGTCGCGAGAAAAGTTTGGCAATACCGCATTTACCTTTAAAACTCGCGAACCCAGTTTCTTTGTCGAATTTTCTGGAGCTGGAGAGATGAATATCAAGGAGATCAAGGTGCACCATCGACCGATCGTGAATACGTAGACAAAATATGTTTCAATACTGATGTTTTAGTGAATGAAACATTAGGAACTTATCACTCCTGTCACCGATATGTGCAGAATTGAGCTCTTTGAGGAGAAGCCCGGTTGCGGTGTTGTGCGAATGAGCAAATTCACCCCGGAAAATTTCCTTGCTTCCCTGGAAGACAACAAAATTGGACCCTTGACGTTCAGACTCGCAGACGGTGAGTTTTCAATCGCCTGGTATCGCATCCCTGTGACGACGTTACTAAACAATTATCGCCATATATAGAGGAAGCGCGTAGTAAATTTTTGGATATCCAGAAAGCCTTTGAGGACAAACGACGCGGTCGTGGCGGTCGCGGTGGTCGAGGAGGCCGTGGAGGCCGTGGCGGTCGTGGCCGTGGTGGTCGCGGCGGACGCGGTGGTCATTTCAAGGGTGGTGACAAGAGAAAGCGTACCGAGGAAGGTGACGATTCTGCCGACAAGAAACCCAAAACTTCGGGCACCGAAAATGAGGCTTAAACCTGGACACCTAGAAAAAAAAGAAAGGTCTTGTCCTTTTTTTCTTACATCATACCCGGAGTGGCCAACCAATTTTTGTGCATCGTATAGAATAGAATAGAACTCAGCATGGTTTTTCGTTTTTTTTTTTTTTTTTCATATTAAAAGTTGCATCACAATTTTCATATGTTCTAAAATTGGGATGCTGAGCGGGGAAACGGTTTTCGGATACTGATAACAGGAAGATCCATGGTGTGAATGGATGGGAGAAGGGTCGGAAATACAGTTTAGATGATTTATTAAATCGCGTTTGCGCGTGTTTCTACAGCTTTTGTACTTCCAACACTAAGACTCTTTTGTTCAAGACCCATTAAGGAACACCAACCAAAAGTGAAAGGACCCATTCGGACGATCTTTAAAGATTTAGGTTTTTTTTAATTCAGTATTTTTTAATGTCACACATACAGGATTGTGCGTCCTTGCACAACAAGGGCCCACACAAGATCTGCGATATCCTGAACACACGAAAATCCTTGCCCATTATTTTCACGATGATCGATTTCATTTTATTTTATTTTTCAAGACAATAAGAAATTTGATCCCTGTCTCTCCGTAATTGGACATATGGGAAGATTCCCTTCATTAAAATATAGGATAAAAGCATAAAAGGAGTAAGAGATACAACAACAAAAAAGGAACAATAAAAGGAAAAAAAGTATGAAACATGAAACAGCAAAAAAAAAAAAAAGAAAAAAAGAGTCTACGTACAATAATACATAAAAAAAGGAAGCATAAAATATATAAGGAGTGATGCGGTAAAAAAAAAAAAGGGTAAAACGATCAATGGGAAATTAATAAATCTAGGAACAACCAAAAAAAAAAAAAAGGTCAAAGAGACAAGGTTCACGATCCAAATAAGGACTTTAGCCGTAGGTGCTCACAATATTGGCGAGCTGTAAAAGATCTGAAGGAGAACTCATGGCATTACTTGGGCAAGGGCTGGGCGATTGCATCGGCGGTGGCGAAAATAAAAAAGACGATGAAGTGGAAGAGGAACACGCCGAGGAAATGGAAGCACTTCGTTGATGCAATCGAAACGTGGGTGTCGCTGTAGAAGGCTCCATTGGACGTGGTTTAGGCAATGCAGGGGGTGGTGCCGAAAGGGGTTGAAAGAGATCAACAATGGCGCTCGGGGACGGTGTAACCATTGGAGATGAAGAGTAATAAAGCTGCATAACGGATGGATCATAATTTGGTTTGGCAACAGTGGCTGAGGCTGCTCGTTCGTGGCCGTAAGGAGGAAGAACCGCAAGTGGAGCTGAACCGTGGTGGTTAGCAAAAGGTAATCGATGAGAACCGCTCACGGCTTGCGTATGATGATAAGGATGATAGTGAGACATGACTTGTCGACGTTGAGCATAGTAAGGAAGGCGTCGTGATTTAGGTGACATGTGGGTTCGATAATGTTGCATCATATTATCTTGGCGGGAGAATCGCGAAGGACATCCCGGATATATGCAATGGAAATTTTTTTCGCCGGTATGAATGCGATTGTGTCGCGCAAGATGGCCACTGACATCAGAAAAACAAGAAAAGCATGAATAAACTGGACCATGTCTTTTGAACTTTACAGTCAATCTTACCTTGTTGTAAAGCTTTTATTACATCCTGGTTCCATGCAATGATATCTGCGACGCGCAGGTGGCGATGCGTTCTGTGGAGTGGTTGTTGTTGTCGCCGTTGACTCCATTGGCTTGGAATAGGTGGTATTCAGAGGACGAGGTTGATGTGATGATGGGTGATCGTCATTGAGTAGACTCATCTGTCTACCTGTGGCATCTTTGATTGAAAGCCGATAGGAACCCATGGGTGGTGATGATGGTGTCATAAAATAATAATAATAAAAATAGGGCTGGTGTGCAAGACAATAGTCAACAGAACAGAAAGAAGAAGAAAAAGAATCGATCTGAAAGTAAAAAGATACGATGGATATTTGAATGCTTATTTATAACAGCAAGAGAAAAAAAGACTAGTGACGAATTAGGCAGGTGCAATGCCTTGTGTCGCCATGGACCCCACTCTGATCTTTTGTCTTTTTTGTCCTAGATTCGTTAGCTTATCTTCATCGGGTGCACTGATACAAAACAGGTACAGTGGATAAAAACGTGGTTGATATGCAATGTAGTCCTGCATATCCAAAAAGGAAAGAAAACGTGCTTGTTTTTTTTATCGCGTTTTTTATTTCCACTCAATCATTAAGGATCACCCTTTCATCCATATCCTTTTCAGTATATACTGATCATGAAGTCGTTTTCAAAAAAGAAAACAAAACGCAAACTCGGGCTTTCTCCTGAACTTGTTCAAAGTTTTGAAATCATTCCATCTCAATGAAAAAGAAAAGAAAATAAATCCAGCGCTCCACAATAATTTTAGCAGCAAGTTGTGGATCACCCTGTCTTTGACAAAATTAAAATTAATTTTTTTTTTTCATTTATACAGTACTTCAGATCATGCATCGTCGGGTGAAGATCAAACAAGCATGGCAAAATAAGAGAAAGACAGGCAAGCCATGGAAAAAACGAGAAAAAAACAAGCATGGCGAAAGTGTCGATCTTCGTGGTTTATGTCGTGTCCACGTTGATATGCATCTGGCACGCGAGTCTGGCATGGGGTCTGTTTCTTGCCACAAGTTTTGCCTTGCGGTCAGCAAACCCTTGAATAGTCATTGGCCGATGCCAACAGTAGCGTGGATACTTCGCAGAAAATAGTGACAGAAAAAAAAAGTTATTTTTGGAAAGACTCATTGGTTGTAGTAATAATCTTAATCTATTTTTCAATTTTTTTATCCAATGACCGCACCAATCGTCGCGCGAAGTTTACATTGTTCTCCGGGGTTCACCTCTCCTTCGGGTGGCAAAATGCGAGATAACAGGGCACGGTGGTTTCAGCGTGTTGCTAAATGATCGACGCAACACATGCTCTCAGGGCTCAACCTTGATCTCCTTTTTTTTCTTCTTCGCTTCTTGGCGTTCCACTGATGTAAATCACGCTAAATTTTTTCATTTCGTCCGCTTTTGCTTTTGAAACTCCACTTCCACCGAATCACTTGTTAATATGTTGTGAACAGATCAATCTTCAGGGTCGAGAATCCAGTCCATCGGAAGATGGCCTGCTTCTGTTTTTAGATTTTTTTTAAGTCAGTAGAAGATGACGCGTCCTTTTTTTTTCTCGGGGTTTCGGGTTTTAATCCAACATTCCGTTTTTGAATAAATGACTGTAAAAGATACAAAATATTGGGAGATCATTTTTATTGAGAAAAAAAAAACCCACTCAAAAATCAGAAGTTTGAGCTTTAAAGGTACTATAATCGGAAGCTCGATGGGCGAATTAAAATTTATAAGATAAAGTATTAAAACAATAGATGTGTAAACTTATGCAGAGGCCGCCACAGTGGCAGATAACGATGGCTGGTCAGCAATAGCCACAGCTTCATCCTTCACCTCCTCTTCTTTGAGAGCATCGACATCCTTTTTCTCTTGTCTTTCGTTGTTGGTTTCATTGACTATAATGACCTCTTCGGCAACTTCCAGTTGAATCGTCTCCGGTTCAGGGGTGGAGGTACCCGACACGTCACTGTCGGTAGTAGCTTTGGAAGATGATTTATCCTTCTTGCCACTAGGGATCTTGGATAACAAATCGGTTAAGCGACGTCCCAGTGGAGATGAAGGTCGCGATAACTCCTTTTTGCTTTCATCTACAGCCACTTGCTCAATGATAATGGTTTCTAAACGAGAGACAAAAAACACAAACGTCAGTGCCCCGTGACCGTGATTATGCCGCACACGAACATTGTCATCCTGTCATTACCTGGTTCCACAGGACCCGATGAAGCATCGCTGTCCTCGATCTCTTCCTGCTTGTATTGTTTGGTTTCTTCCTTTGGTTCTTCCTTGATCACAGGCTCCGGCTTTTCTTCCTTGGGATGCTTCTTTTTGCCGAATAACTTGCTGATAAAGGACTGACGTTTCTGAGGTTGCATAGTCGTCACTGGTTTATCTTCTTCTGTCGCCGGGCTAGATGTTGCGACTTCACCTTGTTCATCCGATGCTTCAGCGGGCTTGATTTGTTCAGATTCCGTGTTAGGCTCGTCTTTCTTAGCTTCACTTGTTTCAACCTGCACTTGGTCGTGGTTTTCGGGAGTGACCACTTGAGGAACATCGTCCTTGCATTCGTTTACCACAGCTTCAGTTTCAATCGGTTGGAATTGTTCGATTGGAGGTAATTCGGTTGTAGTGGAGGCAGTATCGTCTTCCACAGCAGGAGAAGAGTGGGTGCTTTGCGCGGCCTTGGGAGTTGACTAGTGGAAATAAAATAAAAAGAGGGGGTTAAATTACAAATGCTATAAATTGATTGCTATCAAAACTTTACCTTGGATCGAGAAAATAAGGAAGCAAACCCCTTAGACTTTTTCTTCTCGGGTGCTGCTGGCGCTTCAGAGGCATTCTCTGTGGAATCCGATGCATCCAACTCTTCTTGCGATGGCTCAGCAGGTGCAGATGTCTCTTCTTTTTTGGGTGACTGATCTTCCTTTTTAGACTTGAAGAACGGGTTGAATAAGGTGCGACGCTTGCTTAGCGTCGTTTTCTTGGTTGCCGAGTCCGATGTGGATGATTCCGTGGCAGGCTTGGCTTCTGTTTCCTCGGACAAACCCAAATCGTTAGAATTCGGTGCTTTATTTGCATCATCTTTTTCGAATTGTGCTTTTTCGGTATCAGATTTGTCTTGTTCGCATTTTGGCGTTGTATCTTGAGGCAACTCGCTTGCGACGGTATCTTCTGCGGCGGTGGTATTATTCTCCGTTGAATTCAGGGGTTGATCCGCAGTGATATGATCTGTGTTACTGGGCGCGGCAATTTCCACGGGCGTAGGGCTGTTTTCAATGATCCGGACAGGAGATTCCTGTTGGAGGGCAGTATTATCAGACATTGGGTATATGGAATAAAAAAAAAACCTATTGCAAAAAGACAAAGAACTTTTAGCTTGCATCCAGATCAATGGATGTATTTATAAGATGTCAAAATTTAAGCACGAGTGTGTGTGATCTGGTGCACCTGGTTTCACCGGCTCGTAACCTTAGCAAGTTTAGGGCCGTCACCGCACGTTACGACGCTGCAGCCAACGGCCACAAAATAATAAACTATATATTGATCTAACTTACTGGTCATTTTCCAATGTGCTCCCTTTCCTGCTATAGGCATTGCCGTTTTTCTAATTTTAAGACAGGATCCGATAAAATTTTCTCCTGTTATTGGGTTTTTTTTTTTTTATATGCGACTCCTTTTTTCCCTTGTGGTGCGTTCTTGATCTTGGATCCATGGCCACTCTAAGCTTATATTTCGTCTTATAATTCCTGAAGGAAAAGTAAAGAAAAAAAAGAACAGAAAAATAGTGATGGATCGACAATCACAGATCGAAAATGTACTTTTTATATATTTTGATTTGATAAATGATGAGATCTGTAGATCCCAACCATTCAATCATCGTAGCAAGCGTAGTATGAAGCAAAGCAAGAATGGTGTTACCCGGGGACTATCGCCGTATGGTTCCCATTGAACATACACAGGTAAACGGATCGAAAAACAAGGTCCATAATATACTTCAATTCCGTGCAGTTTAGCGGGAAATCAGGAAATTGGCTGCTGCATAACCGTTTTAGGTTCTGCACAGGATGTCAAGGTTGCACGGAACAAAAATAAAAAAAACAATTGTAACTGTCAAAGTAAATAAAATAACTTAATGATATGGAACCGATCTCATAATATTCGTTAGCAAAGAGTAGGACTTTATCAAAGTTGGCAATGCACCCAATATGCGTAGATCAAGGATACAGAGAAAAGTTTTGTTTTCGGATTTGTTCCCTTTTGTAATGATAAAGCAATAGAGTCAAAGAGAAGTTGATTGTGGCCATTGATGTCCAAATAATTCACGTGCTGTGCTCATATAAAGAAAACATGCGTTTTCTGCCAAGCTTATTTTGATAAACTATGCTGGATGGACATAAACGTGGAAAATGCACTTTCAAACTGACGAATGATTGCACGTGCCATATCATCAGTTTTTTACTATTTATGTGGTTTGGATTATATCTTGATTTGTACATGATTGCATGGGCATATATCATCTCCTGCGTCAAATTATAAACCTTTATCCAGTATTCTTGATGATGTCTACGCGGAATAAGAAAGATCAAGCATTCAACCCAGTGATTACCCAGGAACGCGCTAGGTTGTGTAACATCTATCGCTTTGGTGTAAAGCTGTTATTGAACCTCCGCAACGAAACGGCGTTGCTAAAAATAGGGAATCTCACACAGTCCCTTTCAAACAAGGTCAGATGATCCAAACATAAAGACGCATTCGCCTGTCAAGAGCTTACGTGCTGCTCATTATCCAATAAAAAAGGACAAGCAACATTTTTGATTTTTTTTCCTTGCTTCCTTTTTCTTCTTTACAATTTTACAGACATCAGTTGCTCAAAGGTTTATTTTGTGAAAATTATCTCTCGAACGCCGCACTTCATGCAAGCATTCCTGGTTCTGTACCATCCTGGTCTTTTGTCACCAGAAAACACACAGCATTGTTGTTGAAATTCTTCAAACCTGGTTTTGGCGGCGTTTGACAAGGAAGTGCTTTGCCAGTGACTCCAGCCACTGTGCGGAAGCATGTAGGCTTCGATAACCTGACGGAGCATATCGTTCAGTTGGTGGTGTGCTTTGTTGTCAATGATCCATTGCACATATCTCGTTTAGGTATTTCTGAGAATATGTTTGATGCGGGTATGGGATTCTGGTTATACAGTAATTGATATCGATATTCTGTCTTTAGGGACTGCAAAGCGAATGATAAGCAGGGACTATTTAGAAACAAGTCTTCTGGACGTTTTCTACGTAAATTCGCTTGGACCGGGACGCCCTGTTGCAGTCGCAAAAGATGTTGTTGCGAGAACTCCATTCCTGTTCAAGTTCTACGTACCCACCCCTCCTCCCAGTTCGTCCGGTTCAGCTGGGTCTTCAGCTGAGAGTTGCCTGAAGTCGAAAGCCGTGACGATGATGCTGAACTTTTACCGTTGACGAAAGCATCCGTTTCACCTGCCCTCAAACCAACCACGTCATACTTGGAACCTTCCAACAAAAGAAGATACGATAAGCTCTTTTGTGACATGTGATATCATGAAAACTTTGTTGATGACATATTTCGATGAAGATCAACCCTCACAAGTACAGACTCAAATAGAGCAACGGATTAGTGCTGATGGTTCGTTTGGTCAACCCACTCGATTGTCAACTGAAAGTGGTCGAATGCTTGGCCGTTGGGTGTGGGTGCTCAAACGGAGCTGCCAAGTGCCCGTCAATTTCCGTGCAGCTTTTGCACAACACGGGTGTGCTTGCTACGATCGGCTACGTGCGCAAACCTCATGGAAATGAACCTCTGGCAAAGCGCATGGAACTATTGCAAGCTACGATATACAAGCTACGTAATCGATGTCTGGCACGAAAAATATGTCTCACCACGGCGCAGCGCAATCAATGCCTTTAAAAAGAACGTGAGATGTTGAATCACTGCGCCGGAACGATGCAAAATCTTTTTACATCGGCTACGGACGATGAAACCGATCCGATTGTTCGTGATCGATTATGCTGGTTTCTCAACTGACTTCGGCGATGTTCAGGCATTTTTCGGCACGTTCAAGCAAGTTGTCAAAATAATAGTTGACATCGAATATTCGTTCGATATGATTACCAGGCACGACATCTTGCAAGATAACGATGCTTCGCAAAAATTCAACTGCAGAACCGGCTCACAAAAACGCAGCCGAAGGTTTTAATTACAATTAGTCTCTTGCCTCCAAGTCATTCCTTTGCTTTATACTCTTTCTACCCATATCCATCTTCATAAAATAACTTGTATATTCATTCTGAATGCCTATAAAAATGTACACAAGAAAAAGAAAGCAGAAAAAAAATACTAAATAAGTCGCTTCCCTTTTTATAAAATTCAAAGCAGTTGGATACTTACTTCTAAGTGACAAGTAAAAATAATAAACGAAGCTCATCACAAGTGAATGCGTCTTTATTTTTGGGTCCGTCGACATCGTTGTTGAACACGGAATTTTTTTTTTTTTTTGCACGACATCAAACTCAAAACCAGCGATTTTACGTTTTTGAAATGAGTATATTCTGAAGAAGACATTACCAATCCTTTCAAAGTCACGGATGGGTGAGCCAAAAAAAAGAAGGAAAAAAAGCACACGGTGAAGAGTTGAATGGTTCCTTTTTGTCTTTTTTTGTTGCGTTTTAGGTTTATCCTCTGCAGTGATGCGGAACACAAAGATGACACTGCAATAGAAGCAGTCATGTGGGAATATCGATAGTATCAAGGTTAACAAAAAGGGAAGACGGGAGCAGAGTATGGTCGGCTGATCATTGATCGTTTTGATAAAGAAAAAAAAAGTGATGTCCCAATCCATGGACAGACCTTCCTTTTTACTTCCTTCTGACTGATCACCTAAAAGGGGCTTTTTTTTTGCGTCCCAACATTTTTTTGTGGCCCAACAAAAAAAAAAAAAAAAAAAAAGACCAAGCCCTTTACTCTGGGGTAGCCTTTCCAAGAACAAAGATTCCAATCCGTAGCTTAATAGTTCTTGCTTTTTCATGTGACTTCCGAGACTCTTAATCAGTGGCTTCCTTGGTTTCTTTTCAGCCAAAGGACATTCCACAATATCCCCTTCACGGATATTGAATTGTTGGCTCCGCTCATTCCCTTCGTAAGTCTCGTTCACACAATATCCTCCTACAAATAGCAAAAACATCTTTGATGCAAAAAGCATATTGGCTGCCTGTAATCCAGGAAGACAACCCGAACGAAGCTGTTCCATTTATGGTAGGGCAGGTTGTACATAGAAGAAGGGACATTGACATGGAAGTCTGGCAAAAAAAAAAAAAAAGATTCTGGTCCAGCAGAAACCAAGAATAAAGTATGGCACAGCAGACAAGTTGCTTCCATTTTAAGAGAGAGCTTTCTGGCCCAAACTCCCTCTTGTACATCCGTCATTGGCAGTCCATGACAATCATTGGTTGGCCAACAGATGGACTTTACCGGATTTCTCAGCTCTTCACATTATCGCTGCTTTGGAGGTAAGACAAAAACGCTGGAGCGAGGCATTCTTGTCCCACTAGTGATTTGTGTAACCAATATGTCCCGTGTAAAACTCCTTAAAAGGTGATATCGTTGGAGAAGGTAAATAAAAACAAAACGATCAAGTAAACGAATCAAAAAAGAAATACGAAATGGTATACCATTAGCATACGCCATTGCAACGACTTTCCAAATACGAAGGACAAACACTCAATGTTTGTTGATCCTCCATAAATATAAGAAAGGAAGCCTATATTTGCTGTCCATCTTGTTGATCAAACAAACCATTCAATGTAACTATTACTGGGAGTTGATGGGACAACCATCATGATGAGAAACTTTTTTCTATCAATCCATGTCAATGCTAAGAAGCGAAATAAGTATAATGCTGTTCATCGCAAATGTGATGTTATTGTGATGACCGTAAACAGCAACGTGATGTATTGTTTTGTCTTTTTTGTTCAATTATTCTTACAATAAGCTAGCATTTGGCTTGTACTATGGTAGGTCGTCGTATAGGTAGTGATATCATGTTGGGACTTGCCTATCTGTGGATGAAAAATGATGGCATTCCATTAAGGCCGCCATTATAAATTTGTAAACCAATTTTGCAAGAGAAGACGATTAACCCGATATGGACATTGATGTAACTCGTCTCTTTATGCTTTGCTTTCCTCATGAGAACGCTGAGGAACCTAATAGAGTTTGTCAAAAGTGGGGAAGACCGTCACTTTTTGGACACCCGCCCATCGCTTTACCCCGCACTTTATTTTTTTTATAGAACTGGTCCTCATTTATCTGGCTTCTTTTCCTTTATATATGCGCGCTGAATGTCTATCTTGACCATGCCCGAGTCATCTTCTTATCAGCAAGAGTTTCGATACGTTGATTCCTATCCTCGGTCTTTGTCGTCTTTAAGTAGCCGAAACTCCTCCTCTCCCATCCCCACCACCAAACAAGATTGGCAGTATCAAGCACCTGTTCCTTCCAAGTTGCCAGTTTCCTCTTTGACCATGGACATTCATTCTTATGCTGCTTACTGGTCGGATGAGTCCCCAAAGCCATCGTCCGTGAACGGATCGTCCATCGATGGCGCGCAGTACATGCCCTCGTCAGATGACGTGAACTGGATCACTCGACCTCATCCACAGGAAGATCTGGCCATGCTAGACAACGATTCTCTTCGATCCCATCCCGGTGCTTCCGCGGCATTACAAATGGACCCGAGTTTCCTGGATCATATGCACTCGTCCCTCCCTGCTACTACCAGTACGGCGACGTCGTCGCCAGGTCATACTTCCTACAATCCTATTTTGGCATCGGCATCGTCGTCGTCCACCACTGATACCACCGTCCTCAGCTCCAAATCTGTTTCGGCCAGTTCCCTTCAAGCTTCACATCCTCCTTCCTCACTTGATATGGAGTTTTTACCATCCAACCCCCACGAGTCTTACCATTCCGTTTATTCAGTACTACCTGATCAAAAAGGGTTGCAAGATATGAACCCATCCTTTGATATGCAAGTCATGCCGACGTATCAAGGCACCGAAACCGGGCCCCGTGAGAACTCTCAAGTATCCATGGCTCCCGCCTCTGCGGTCGATAGCTATGCTCAGGACCCACCGCATCAGTTACAGTTGACAGACTTGGGAAGTATTCACGAACAGCATCAGCAACAGTTGTTACAGTCCTGGGTTGGTGTCACCATGGGACGTTCGCCAATGGATTCTCCGCACCACTCACCGGGCAGTATTCATCCAACATTTTCTTCCTCTCCTGGCTTTTTCATGCCCACTTTCCTGGACTCGCTTCAGGAAGCGGAAAGCAGCACGACGTTGGTCAAGTCCAGCCATTCATCACTTCAAGGAGATGACTATGGATTCCAATTGTCGGAGCCATCGACGGAGGGGGCAAACACCGATCATCACCGCGACACTACGATGCGGTCTTTGGGTTGGCAATCACAACACCCACAGCAACAGCAAGAGCAGCAACAACAAGACTCATCCGCTTTACTACCGCTACAGCAACCCACGCATTCCTTTACTGAACAAAAACAACAACTACAACTATCCTCACACGAATGTGCAGCAGCCGCGGCTCAACATCAATTTCAGACGTCTTCCTACGGTTTGAGTTCCAATCATTTGGAGACCGGTCACCCTGCTGGGGTAAGCTTTAGTGATGTTAAACAACTTAAGATTTGCAATTAGATAACACAACGTATTAGGGTCACCTCCAAAACGGGCATTTTGGCTCGTCTCCTCCCACTTCGCCCACACCAAATCAGTCCTCATCATCTTCAACGAATTCCTCTCCCCCTGTCACCCCAATGTATGGTAGACTGTCCAATCTTTCGCTCCGCTCAGGTACCCCAACCCCAGCCCCTTCCATTCCCTTTGGCAATAATGGCGCTTCCATGCATACTGGTTTCTCCGGCAGTCGGGCGGGATCCTTGCTCAATTATTCGTCACCGATGCCCGAAGGGTTCGAAGAACAGCTGCGTTCGTCGCGACGTGATCCAAATGACCCTCACGCATTGATGATGATTCGCAAACAGCAGCAAGTGGATGTTGGCACCGCGAGACTTATGCAAAGAGCCGCGCATGAAGTCAGACTGAAACACCTTCTACAAAACTACCTACAAGCGGCCGATCCTGTAGCGGTCGGTGAACGAACAGTGGTGATTCTTACAAGCAAGGTCGCACAAAAGAGTTACGGTACCGAAAAAAGGTAAATGATAAGGCTAAAGCGCGTAAAAACTCTCTGGGAAAGCTGTATATCAAAAAAAAAAAAAAAAGAAATCCAGTGCGGAGACACGGCGACAGGGAAAACCGAGCACAAGCCAGCCAGATACTGATACATGATCTTCCTGTTTTGTCCCTATCTTTTTTTTTTCTTTTTTCTTTTCCGTCTTGCTTTCCCCTATTCTTTTTACTTTTTTTTTATTTTTTATTTTCTTGGGACTTGACCTAGGTTTTTGTGTCCTCCACCGACAGCCATTCTGATTGGTACTTCTTGGTGGACGGCTCGAAAAGGATTAGGAGATGAGCTGGAAGACTTGAGCAATACATTTACTGTGGACGACGGCATGGGACTCGCGCCACCTAAACTGACCGTATGCATCTCTGGCGAATCATCAAGCCAGGCGGGTCAGATCGAGTGGTACACTGTATCTGGTGCGACGGTGGGTCAAACCGGTCATACTAAGACTCCGCAACAGCAGCAACAACAACATCAGCATCAAGCTGAATCTCATCATCCAAGCCGTTTCCGTAGCTCGGAATCTCGAAACAATAGCGTCGATTGGTATCACAACCATCAACAAGAAACCTTGGCTGCGGGAAAATGTGTTTCCAAGCACTTGTATATCAACGATGCCGACGAGAAACGTAAACGCGTCGAATGTTTGGTGAGAATTCAACTAGCCAATGGGTTAACGCTAGGCACCCTGGCAAGCAAGGGAATCAAGGTGATCAGCAAGCCCAGCAAGAAACGACAAAGTGTCAAGAACATGGAGTGTGAGTCTTTTGCGTTTCGCCCTTTTTTTTTTTTTTTTGGTTCGTCCGATGATTTTTTTATTGCATGGTCTGACCTCTCTCTCTCTGTCTCTCTTTCTATAATGTTTGTTGTTGTCCATTCTTTTTCTGGCGATGCAAAACAGTATGTATCCATCATGGCACGACGGTTTCCTTATTCAATCGCATTCGATCACAAACGGTGTCGACCAAGTACTTGGGTGTATCGAGTAACAAGAATTCGCCGTTCTCATTTCCTGGGCATCCAGGCAAACCATTGACGCGTGATACAAGCGGAGGTGACGGGACCTGCTTCGTTGCACGTACCGCAAGTTGGGATCCTTTTGTCGTTTGGGTCGTCGACATCACGAGAACACCAGGTGACGGTCAAGAGAGTGATGTCCCCGAAGATTACATCGGCCACAACACTCCGTATACCCGCACTGTACCCTACCCACCGCCACCGGCCATTGCTTTGAAAAATACCACCAATCAACTGATCCCTATCCATTACAATCAACATATTGTGCTGCAGTGTCTGACCACTGGCTTAGTCAGCCCCGTGATGATTATTCGAAAGGTCGACAAGGCATCAACTGTGGTGGGTGGAGCGCGCAATCTGGATGATCCACCGTTAACGGGCGGTGGAGGCGAGTATGGCGACGAAGTGCTCGGCGATCCTGTGTCACAGTTGCATAAAATTGCGCTTCAGATTGTTCAAGACCCGGCTCAAGCTGCAAGCACCATGGCAAGCATGGATACCGAACCCGACAATCCCCCATTCAACATGATGCCGCGATCCACGCAGCCTGTCACCTATCTGGCCTGTTTGAACGATATGGTGGGAATGCATCGCACCGCTGAAGCACGTCAACCCATCCAGCCCCATCGACCTCAAACCCCCACGAACGGTTGTCCTCCCTCATACGCCATGTCAGCGTGGGAAGATTATATGTCTTCTGCAGGTACAATGATGGATACTTCAGGTATGGTTTCTGCTGGAGGAGGCAAGGTCGTCCGCAAACGTCGCGTGTCAACCGATATATTGGAGGCACGTCCTCATCGAAACAACTCGCCTTTACTTCGCCCGGGAAAGCTGGTTTCGTCCATGTCGCTCAATAACCTTCAAGAATTGGGCCAGTTCTCCCAAGCAAATTGGATGGCCGATCCTATCCGACGACGCGTCAACAGTCTTACCGAAGCATACGATCCGCTGTATGGACCCACCTCGGGTTCCAACGCCTCCATGGGATTCAATCGGGGTCGGTCCGATTCTATTTCGATGGCTGAACGCAAGATGAGCCTCAGTGCCAGTAGCAGCACGAGTACTTCGAGCAGTCGTCGTATGTCAGTGTCCAGTGTAGGCGGCGGCAGTAGCAGCAACAGTGGTTTAGGCGCTTACTGGAACGAAGATGTTTCGGATGCAGCGGTGTGGACGATTGTAGGCACAGGTAAGCCTCCTATTCTGAAAAATGAATGATATAGGCACAGATGGTCTCATTCACCATTGATTTTTTAGATTGTGCCACTTTTACCTTTTGGACTCCTCCCGGAGCTGACGAAGTATCGTTGAACAATGGATATGCTCCCATGTCCTCTACAGCGGGTCCTTTGACACCTCCTATTTCTGGCTCCTCGAGCAGCGCGCCTGCACCGTTCCCCATTGTATTGCACTATACAATGACTTCCAATAGCTACAAATCCATGAACAACCAAAACTTTTACACTTACAACGAAACGAGCGGCACCACCGCGCGAACAGATCTGTTGAGCTTGCATGGTGAAAATTTCACACGTGATCTTCAAGTGTGGTTTGGCGATATCAAATCCCCCCAAACCGAGTATCGCAGTCGAGAGCTCTTCATTTGCCGTGTTCCATCACATCAAGACCTGTATCAGTGCGCCGGTTTGGAGCAAGAACGTGATGGCAAATATAAAGTGCCAATTTTGCTGGTCAGAGGAGATGGCATTGTGTACAAAACCAACAAATACCTGTACTTGTAATTGTAACCTTTTTCCTTATTATGTGATACCTACCCTTTCGTTGCCTGAACCTTTGACTTCCTTCATCCCTTCCCTCTCCTCCGAATTGTAATTCTCTATTGTACAGTATGTAAAAAACAAAAAGTTCTATGCCCTTATATGATTTCAAGCTACCCTATCCCCATGCCAATTATATTCTTTATTTTTCTTTGTCTTTTTACCTTTATTTTTTATTTTATACGCAAACAAAAATTCTACACTAATAAATATTAGGTCAAGTTGCTCTTGTAACATGACATTTTGTTCAGGATTAAATGCAGTAAAGATTTATGGATGGGTTTACGTTGCATTTTGGTATTTGCTGCGCCCTATCCTGAGAATGAAGGAAGTTTCGTTTGGTTTCCACAGCAAGTCACAAATTTTTTCTCGATGATTCTTTGGGACGGAGTGTGATTGACAGCCTGTGGTTAAATAAGGGGCTGTCCGTCCTTTCCTTGTGATTCATACCTAACCTCATGCCTAACCCACGTGTGTAAGTATCAGTATACCAATGATATTCTTGAGATTCATCATATTCACACGGAGGTTATAGCTTCTTTGATATCTCCATCGGCGGTCGACCGGAAGGCCGCATCGTTTTCGAACTGGCAAGTGAAATAATTCGCGTCAACTAAAAAGAGTTTATGCTGACATTGGTCATTTTGTTTCTAGTTCGCCGACGTGGTTCCCAAGACCGCAGAAAACTTTCGTGCTTTATGTACCGGTAAGTAGTCGAAGTGACTAACGGGCTCAGTCATGACCCGAGTTCCTAAAGTAGGGATGCTTTTTTTTTTCTGTGGCAATAGGTGAAAAAGGCACCGGTGCTTCTGGCAAGCCTTTGACTTACAAGGGATCCAGCTTCCATCGTGTGATCAAGGTAAACCCAAATTAAATAACAACATTATTATCTTGTGAAAAATAGACTCACGTTGTTTCTGTAGAACTTTATGTGTCAAGGTGGTGACTTTACTGCTGGTAATGGCACCGGAGGCGAATCGATTTATGGCGAAAAATTCGAAGGTAAAAAGTTTGCCGTTATGATCGGGAAAAGAGTGTGTTAATGGCAGAGATGCTGACACGAACCAATGCAGATGAAAATTTCCAATTGAAGCATGAAGTGCCTTTCTTGCTTTCCATGGCCAACGCTGGTCCTGGCACCAACGGTTCTCAATTCTTCATCACCACCGTTCCTACTCCTCATTTGGATGGTAAACACGTCGTCTTTGGTAAAGTTCTCAAGGGCAAGGGCCTTGTGCGCGCTATCGAGAACCAAGAAACCTCCAACGACAAGCCTTTGAAGGATGTGATCATCGACAACTGTGGTGAGATTCCCGAGGGGGCCGACGATGGCGTTCCCGCTCCTGCTGACGGTGACACTTTTGAGGAATATCCCGGTAAGGCAAACTCGAGAATGTGTGGTGTTTGTGCCTCGGTACTTATGAAAAACATATTCAATGTGTAGATGACCATGAGGGACCCAAGGAACCCATTGATTTGGTGGAGATCGCCGGTAAGCTCAAGGACATTGGTAATGGCTACTTTAAAAAGGGCGACTATGCTTCCGCCGCCAAGAAGTACGAAAAAGCCATTCGATACTTAAACGAAAAGCCAATCTTTGACGAAGAGGATCCCGAGGAGATCCGTGTCAAGTATGCTGCTATCAAAATCCCTTGTTATCTGAACAAAGCCATGAGCTCGCTGAAAATTGGCGATAACCGTGCGGCCATTGAGGCTACCACAACTGTACTCGAGTACGACGCCAAATACTTGAAACCGACCGATATCACCAAGGCTTTGTTCCGTCGTGGTTCTGCGAAGATGGCCTTGAAGGATGCCGATGCTGCTGTGGAAGATTTTGAAAAGGCGGCCGAGAAGGACCCTGAAGACGCGGCCATCAAGCGCGAATTGGTTCTTGCAAAGCAAAAGCTTGCTCAACGAAAGATGAAGGAGAAGGCCGCATTTTCCAAAATGTTTGGTTAAAGATTCTTTCAGCAATAGAAAAAAAAAAGCATCTGCATCTTTTTTGTAAATTTTGGTTTTCTTCTTATTTTTTTTTTTCCAAAGGTCATTTATTTAATGGAAAGTTTTTCCCAAGTCCATTACAATGCCTAGATCTTTTTTTTTTTCCAGCTATTCATGTTCCTAAAGGCTGCTTTTTTACAATTTGGCCTTGAAGTATTCTTCCCATTGAGACATTTCCCAACTCGACGAGACGGAATCGTCCCGCAATCCATCGAATACCACGGTGGGGCTGACGTGAATACCGTTTTGACGACCAAACTTCACTTGCAATTTAAGATCGTTGGATACTTTGTTGCCGACATTCTTGGGTTCGCCAGTGCCATTGCTCAACAACTCGCGAACCTTGTCAGCCGAGACACCGACCGTTGCAGCCATTTCAGACAGCTGATCCACCAATTGCTTACGGGTCTTGTTCTCCACGGCTTCGTCAAAGAACCTAGTACAGACATCGATTAGATCGATACGAGGTGCGTGTCTTGTCTGCCCACTTACTCAGCTTGGCGAGCGAACAATTGGTCCGAAAAGTCAAAGAATTTGGTGGTATCGATCTTCTCCACAGCTAAAGCCGCTTCATGGACCACTGTCGAACTCGCGTGCCACGGCTGTACTTGCTGGCGGAAAATAAGCTGCAATTTGGCAGGGTATGTCTTGTCCACATACGGCCACACTTGCTATACACAGCTGTCAATTCTCATGTGACAAACCCCAAGTCCGAGTTGATGGAAAGATTACCTCGCGAATCTTTTTGTAAATCTTGGCAGAGAAGGGACACTACAGCCTAGTCTTAACATTTCCCTTGGTTATATAATCTGAAGTGCTTTGACTTACAACATAGTCCAAATAGATCTCAAAGGTGTGAGGAGCGGCAATTGAACCGAGGCGATGACCTTTCAGTGCATCAAGGGCATTCCAAAGTTAGACACAAGTTACTGTTGTTCGTTCATATAACCAAAAGTACCTGCGAACTGGGGAGCTAAAGCCATGATATTGTTGAAGTGATGAAGAAAAAAATATCAACTGAACAAAGTCCCAACCGGTTCAATGACATGCAGAGTTTGGCATCTGCCAAATTACGTCATTGGTGCAACTTTTGAGCAATCGATGGGCGTGGAGATTCGGCAACTGATGGAGATGACATTTTTTTTATCGAATTGAATAGAGTTTACAAAAGGGGAATATTACAATAAATGAAACGGTTCTAAAAAATGTATGATATGGCTATTGTTCGATGATGTCGCGAAGTCCTATATATACACACAGAGAGAGAGAGAAAAAAAGTAAGTAACTGCCTCATAATTCATTGGTGTCTCAGGGGAACTTACTGTCAATAATGGCCTCATAAGCCTCGCATGCTGGAGAATCCGGATGTTCGTCAAGGAACGACAGACCCATATCGCAACTCTTGGCCACACGCGGATCGAGAGGAATTTTGCCCAGCAACTCGATATTCAGTTCTTTCGCTAAGGCTTCGGCTCCGCCGGTGGTGGGAGGAAAAATGACCGATTCGCCGTGACAACTGGGACACACGAAGCCTGACATGTTTTCGACGAGACCCAGAATAGGGATCTTGGCTTTGCGACAGAAATCAATTTCTTTGCGGACATCTTGCAATGCGACTTCTTGCGGAGTTGTAATAATGACGGCGCCGTCAATGCCACTGTCTTTGAGGAACGATGCGACCGACAAGTGCTCGTCCGAAGTGCCCGGGGGTGTATCCACCAGTAAAAAGTCCAACTCACCCCAATCGACGTCTCGAAGGAATTGCTTAATCAAACCGTTTTTCTTGGGCCCACGCCAAATCACCGCATCATCCTTATTGGGTAACATGAAGGCAATGCTCATCACGGCTAAATTGTCTTGGACAAACACCGGCTGCCAGCCGCTGTTACTCTGATGAATCTGTTCGCCCTCCAATCCCATGATCGTCGGAATCGACGGTCCGCAAATATCGATATCCATGACACCCACTTGACTGTCTTCATCGTGTGCCAGAGCAAACGCCAGCTGCGAAGTAAAACTTGATTTCCCTACACCGCCTTTACCGGACAGAACCAGGATCTTATGTTTGACAGGCTCCAGTCGGGCGGTAATCGTCGCAATATCTATATTCACACATCCTATAAGTATTCACATCATACCCCACAACGACAATGACAAGTATCATTAAAAAGGTACCTGGATCGGGGCCCTTGGGTGCTGATGCGCAGATCGTTTGATTGGGACATCCAGCACAAGCATCGGCTTGACCGGCATTCTGGCTCTCAGGACCCTATGAACAATGGTTTAATCAAAGCAATACTCAAAGCCTAATCTGAAAATTACGTACTGGACAGTGCTCTGGAGCGTTCTCGGGAACTTGATCTTCACTTCTCGGCGACATTTCTTGCAGCAGAACAGTGATGGAGACCCGGATTTGTCAGACGCTCGAATTTATTGGTCAAGCCGTGACTGCTTATCTTGATGGATGGAAAACTGCATGAGGACATGAGAATTAACCAATCAGTTACGAGCATGTTTTTCATTGAGATGACTATGCCACCCACATCCTTATCAGTTGTGCACTGGCTTACAAGTGTGTGCTATAGACTAGACGAATGATATTGCTCGGATATAGTTCAATGAGGTTTCGATATTGATTCTCAGTAAAGATTTGTCGCAGCAATGGCAACTTTCCATGGTACTTGTCATTGAACGATTCTCGATGACAATATTTATTTTTTGAGCATCTCACATTTTCTACCACGAGACGTAAAACGACATAAAGTATTCACAGTCTCAGTGGCAACCGAGTCAAAAATGAAAATGCCAAATATATCAACTTCATCTGTCTTATCACTTATTTCCAGTCATCCATCGGAAATGGTTATGCAAGTCGATGAACTTCAGTCGCTGGCCCTCAAATGAATAATCGAGGAGATATGACTTCAAATCTTGTCATGCTGCTATCCGATCCAGCATTACGCAAGGTGTCTCGAATCGTCAGCTGCTTCTTCCATTTCCCTTGGGGTTGCCCGTCTATTCGTCCTTACGCATACTGCCAACGATCTGACGCCACCGTTCAGGGAACTGTAGTGGACGTACAACCGGTTTTCGAGGCTCGGCATCTTTTTTATTGTGCTTCACCGAAAACATTGCGGACTCCAAAACGGGAATGCCCGAGTTCCAACGCAGTCATTTCTCCTTTCGCAATGCACAAATACAGTACCGCTTTTTTGACAACAATCAAACTTTGTTATATCCCAAGCGATCAGAAACATAAAATGAAAGAGTCAAGGTGAAAAAATAAGATTAATAAAAAGATATACTGTACAGTAGTTATTTGACGAGAGCCACTAGAACAAAAAAGACGAGAATCAAGGCGATAACAATGCAAACCGATTCTGAATTGAATTTTTCACGTTAGTTGGTTATCGAATACACAGGGCAGTTGAGAACAAGCACTTACTGTTATCTTTGACTTTGCGACCAACATGATTTAGCTTCCTTCGTGCCTGCTGAAGTTTTCGATCTGTGCGATCGACCATGGCTTCGGTTTCATCGATCAGTTCGGCGTGAGTGTCCAGCTCATCGCCAATCATGATGCCCAGTTCTCGTTGTCGTCGGATAGCATCCGACAATGTATCCAGGTTCTGATCTTGTTCTAAAAACCCAGAACAACCAATTCCAATCTCAGCAACTGAGCCAACATGCCCATGACACCAGTGAATAAGGAAGCGATTCTTTGGTGCTTACCGTCCATAATACGTTGTTGTAATTGCAAAATCTGGCCATCTTCAAGATCCTCAGGGTCGACATCGACAGCCGCAAATCGTGCCGGTTTCCGTGCGTTCCCTAACAAGACCTCTCTAATCTTAGGGTAAGCCAAGTGCGTAAAAAGACCCAAAATCTCGTATCACTTACCGTGCCGTTTGATCATCCTTTTCACCCATCAGTGCATCCAATTTATCGACTTTGATTTGCAATTTGATTAATTTATCTTCGTCTTCCGTGGTATTTCTACATGAAAAAATATACCGAAGATCGTAAATACGGTTGAGCTGCGGGAATGGGCGTGCCAAGTCTTTCTTTAAAAGCATGCTTACGCTTCTCCACTTTCTTCAGCAGTGGATAACTGTTGTTCCAAGACGCCTAACCCTTCGCGGAGCTGGGTCATGTTGTTCTGGATGTTGGTTTCGTACTTGTCATAGTTGAGTCTACCATACGATGGTATTTTTGTTTTAGCAATGGCAAAAAGGTAAGCATGAGCCGTGAAGAGTCAAGTGTTGGACATACTTTAATTCTTTTAATCTGTTGCGTTCAAAAACTACTGACAAGGTATTGTCAGCAAGGACTTCCATGCGTAATGCTAGTTTGGTATCCATGGCAAATGTGAAAAGCTGTTGGAGTGAAAGAAACCCCGCTTCTTCCGCTGGACAACTATGGCCAAATGCATGTCTCTCGCTCTGCCTTTCAGAGGTTGAAATCGTGACTGTTCACCGTATTACGCTGCGTTTGCGCGCACGGTTTGGGCTGACTTTTTTTTTTTACTTGCAGTGCCAAGGCAAAAAGTTGTTTAAGTTCAAGGTATGCATGGGGATAATGGATAGACACAACTTGTATGGTTCTCATTATACGTTGTTATTTTTCTAATAGAGAATGGCGGAAGCAAATCGTTACAGTCAGTTGCAACGGCAATATTTTGATGACTTAGATGACATTGACCGAAGTAGCGATGAAGTGAGCCACTACGAGGATGACGACAGTTACTATGACTATGACGCCGAAAGAGAGTGGGAGGAATCCAAAGAACAAATATCCTCTTTATTTTCACTAGTGGTATTTCCTTTTGCAGGAAAGTGGTTAGGGAAAAAGGTTTCTTTTTGGCGTAAGTGGTCTTCTCTTCTTGTTTTATTGCCAACAAAGTATAGTCAAAGGGGGGGGGGGTTGTATGCTGTATACTAATCGATGGAGGTACGTCGTTTTAGTCTACTCACGTTACCTTGGTACGAATCCATACTTGACAAAGATATCGTTCTTCTCATTTCAATGGCTGCACGGCCTGAAGCAATTTAGCAAATAAGAAAGCAGTGATTGTGTTATCGGTTTTCATTGGCTGACTTTTAAAACGAAGGATAACCCTTTCCTTTTACCTTTTTTTTTCCATTTTTCAACTCCTGCTTTCCCTTACCTCTTGTTTTTTTCCCTTTCCTGTTTCCCTTACCATGATCAATCCGTGGAAGTTATCGAGCAATAAAAGTAATCATCTACACTGTTTGACTTGAATGCATGTGTCATTCTTGGTTTTTTATAACTAATGCCTTTGTGTCTGGTTTGGTAGAAAAACAAGAAGCAGCAGCAGCAGCAGCAGCGGCGGCCCACGCTTCGTCGTCATCGTCGACCTCGTCATCTTTCGTTACATCTCCTGCCCCGTCGCCATCGTCATCACAACAATCTGAACCGAAATCGGGTGTGCTGGTTATCCGCATCTGCGAAGCACAAGGTATTTCGCCTCCACCCGGTGTTCAGCTTCCCGCCATCCCTCCTCAACCCCCGACACAACATCAGCATCGCAACCGGGAATCATTAACCCGTAAACAGCACTGGTGGCTTCCTTACGTGGTTCTGGAATTCGATAAAAACGAAATTTTGGTCGATGCCCTCGGTGGCGATACACGCAATCCCATTTATCAATATCGTGCCAATTTGTACGTTGTTTTTTCACATTGCCCGGTGGTTGCTATTCTGGGGATGACTAATCCTTGCTCCTTTTTGTCAATAGTGATGTATCACGTAGCTCGGATGTTTCGATTTCCATCTACCTTCGGCATCCACCGACGTCTCAGGGAATGGCGCAGCGAACCACCAATGATTATTTCCTCGGTGCAGTGAAAATTCAGCCCACCTTTGATTCGACAAGAATGGAAGATCAGATGCTCACAGTGGCTGGAGGCACAGGGGCTATGCATGTACAACTGTATTATAAACCACAAAAGGTAAATTGGTCGTCAGAGAGGCTTCTTATCCGTGAATGTATATATTCATTCAGTGGTTGTTGTAATGTTATAGGAGAGTCAACCCATTGCATTTGACTCGTTTGATCTGTTGCGAGTCATTGGACGTGGAAGTTTTGGTAAAGTAAGTAAAAGCAAGCAAAAAACAAAGGAAGGATTCCGGGGATTCTCAATGGGGAATGATGGATTGTAGGTGTATGTTGTGCGCAAGAAGGATACGAATCGGATCTATGCAATGAAAGTGCTACGTAAATCACGTATTATATCTCGATCGGAAGTGACCCACACCATGGCAGAAAAGACGGTCTTGGCCAAGATTCGTAACCCGTTTATTGTGCCTTTGAAATTCGCGTTCCAAAGCCCCGACAAGTTATATCTGGTACTCGCTTTCATCAATGGCGGTGAACTGTTCCATCACTTGCAAGTGGAAGGCAAGTTCAGTGAAGAACGCTCGCGGTTCTATACCGCCGAATTGTTATCTGCTTTGGAATGTTTACACGACTACAACGTCGTCTACCGGTAAGTTGTTGCACGGGGCTCAGGTGTGAGTTCCCATTTTTCTCAACTTCCATCTTGTCGTATAGTGATTTGAAACCAGAGAACATCCTGATCGATTACAATGGACATATTGCGCTGTGCGATTTCGGATTATGTAAATTGAATATGAAGGAAAACGAGCGGACGAATACTTTTTGTGGTACTCCCGAATACCTTGCGCCAGAGCTCCTACTGGGTCAAGGCTATACCAAGACAGTGGATTGGTGGACATTGGGTGTGCTACTTTATGAGATGATTACCGGTCTTCCGCCTTTTTATGACGAAAATACAAATGAAATGTACCGCAAGATTCTTGAAGACGAGCTCCGATTCCCAGAGGATATGTCCCCTGATGCCAAGACTCTGTTACGCGGCGTAAGTGCCATCATTTGCAAAAAAAAAGAGGGAAAGAAGAAGGTTGATTGGCTTACTGATACACCTACTCATTGTAGCTTTTAACTCGAGATCCCAATCAACGTTTGGGCAATAATGGATCTCAAGATATCAAGAACCATCCGTTTTTTGCGAGCATCGATTGGCGTCGACTGAATCAGAAAAAGATGCAGCCGCCTTTTAAGCCCTCCGTGGAAAGTGCATATGACACTACCAATTTTGATGAAGAGTTCACATCGGAGCAACCGATGGAATCTATAGTGGATGAATCGCAAATTTCCAAGACCATGCAGGAACAATTTGTAGGCTTCACTTACAACCCTGCCATGGAAGGCGTGATGGCCGAGAGTTATACAAATTCGGTTCCCGGTAGTGCCAGCGACCATGTCGGTAGCCATTCCCATTCGTCTCATGGTCCAGCATGGTGAGCATCCCTGGGTGCAAAACGCTGAATTTTAATTTTTTGTTGTGCATTATGTTATTCGTTTTTTCTTCGACTCCCGTTTCTTTATCCATCTGTATAGTGTTCTCCCGGAAAATAAAAACTCCGAGATGCCATATCTCATCCATACTTTCACCTTTTTTCTTATTCAGAGAACTGGCATTCCAGTGCTGTGGCAGTTATGAAATATAATCTTGTCACCCATTCCTCCTGCGCTATCCAATAAATCAATTTTGCCAACTGCGCAGCTGCTAGCCATCGACGTATTTCTGAGACACCAACCTCCCCCATTACACCTTGTAATAATATGCAGGTAGGTGATTTAATGATAACCAACAGAAGAATAAAGACTATTCAGGACAAGCACTGCTATCCTAAATCGGTTAGACTGCTGGACCAGCCAAAGAGAGGCTAGACCACGTCGTTACTATGAACTGGAATTGATCAGAGAAAGATGAAATGAACAGAACGTTTCTTTCACAAGCCTTATTACTTGTAATTTTAGCTTGCATTCCACGAACCAACATCGATACTTTAAAAGACTGTGAAATATGTCGTGAACTCACTAAAGTTGATCGTAGAAGCGTAAAATTGATGGACAATAGAAGTGTTTGGAAGTATTGCCCTGCGGGCTCTAGTATGCCCATTATAGGATACTTTTAACGCATATAATACAATGAACAAGCCGCCTTCTGTCTTATTCGATTTCTTCTGCCGTACCAGACCGATGGGTCTAGTCTATATGCGTTGAAAACACGGCTTTATAATCGTATGAATGCCGAAGTTGATGCTCCGCTTGTGCAAGTCAGTTTCCGCACGTGGGTTTGACATTTTCGTTGTTTGCTAAAAGCAGAAAGCAGACTATTTACTAACGAGAAGGGGTGCCCATCGATTCATTGTTCTCTTTCTTCTCTTGTTAGCGAGGAAAGGTAAGGGTTGCCTTCAGTTGAAGAGAATGAAGAAGGCGATTAGGGAATGACGTGATGATGGTGGGGGTGGGGAACGGGTGATATCTTTTTTATTTTTATTTTCGTTATCTGCTTTTTTTTTCTTATTCCGACCTTTTCCGTCATGACAAATTCTTTGTCATACACCATGGCAGTGAATATTTCATCCGTATTGGAGGCATTATCAGGCTTGATCAAACAGTGACCGATCTTTGTTGGCTTTTCTTGATGGGATATCTTTGTTTGAAGAAGCAACGTGGAACATTTCGACGATCCGTTACGATTGAAAAACTTTGTTCAATTGCTCATGTTACACGAAACTTTATAATGAAATGGTGTGGGCTGTTTGCTGTGGTGAATGTGGAGGGGCCGGCCCGCATGGGAATCGAGATGATGACGTTGAGATCAGCTCATGAATGTCGGGAAACGGCTGAACAAAGAAAGTAATGTTAACCTACAAGTCAAGTGGTGGCTCTTTTTTTTGGGGGGTCCAGGCACAGGAAGCTAAGTTTTCTGTGCGAGCGTGACCAAGTTAGGCTTGCGTAGTGAGTTAGGCTGGGGTTAGGAGTGTTTAGTATGAATAAGAAAAAAAAAAGTGATAAAATGAAAGAGATCCATAATGAAAAATAGACCTTGATTTTGAAAGAAAGAAGAACTTATCCTATCAAAAATGAAGACCGTGCGAGCCGATAGCATTGCCATGGAATTGCCACGTGGAAAAAAGGTCCAAGCACCCACTCAATCGCCAGTGGAGTAAAAAAGGGGGGGTGGGGGACGGGCAAGAGGGGAATTCTCTTACTTATTTGTGTTCATTGCAACCCAACCCAAAAAAATCAACACTCTTTTTTTTTGCTATGGTGAAATCCCCCCTTTTTTCCGTGTCACCTTGGTGAAAATAATACACTAAACTGTCCCCCAGGCCATGATTTCACACCCACAACAACACTTTTTTCTCTTTTCTCGCTCTCTTTATTTTTCTCCTTTTTCCTTTCCCTCTTTTACTCTTTTTTTTTCTTTCTGTTTTTTTCCTGCTTCTTTCTTTTTTCTCTGTCTCTTTCTCTCTCTTTCTGGAAAAAGCAGAAGGAAAAAAAAAATTTGCCCCTTGGTACATTTTCGTTGTCACTTTTTTTTTTTTCGATCATCACTCTTTTTTATCTTCTTTGTTCGACACGACCTCCCTTGTCACCAGCGAAAAAACGACATTGCACCGGAGGAACAAGAAGTGCCGGTTAGATACATACAATATAGACACAGTTATACACACATACAACATACACTCCATCCCTCTCATTCGCCATGGACCCTTCGGACTGTACCATCGTCGTACTTGCCTCACCACCGTCACCTACGCCTTACGTGATCGATAAAACCGACGTGACGACCGGTTCCCCCACTTATATTACTCACTTACAGTCCGTCTTTGGTCATGGTGAGTGAGAAAAACCCCGTCCGCTGGCTCTTTCAAATGGAGTGGAAGGCAAAAAAAGTTTGTTTGCAAAAAGTCGCAACATCCTAAAAAAATTCATTCTATTTTCGTAAGTCTGTGTACGATCCAATCCTGCAGAAGCACTGGAGCAGGTGAAACAACGCATACATGCTTCACCGACTTTGTTACTGGTCGACCTGGATACCCTGGAAGGTGACACGGGATTGAACAGGGACGACGAGTCATTATACACATTACCTTCCACTGCTCCACCCTCATCTATCGCGAATCGGCCTGATCCACGCTTAATATGGATCCAAAAGATTGCTCACCACGAGGAGATTCCTGTCGTCGGTAGGTGGAACCTTAAATTAAGCTTAAACCTTTTTTTTTTCCCTTTTCTCGTTTATTTATCATCAATCATCCTTGTAGTCTGTTCCATCAATGATACGCCTGCTTTTATGCTTAGTTGCATTCAAGCTGGTGCCACGGATTATTTACTCAAACCACTGCGCTTAGACGTTATTAAACCGTTATTTCTGGTAAGTCTCCTCTCTCCCCCCAAAAAAAATTTGAAAATGAAAAACACACACACACACATCCCACAAGGCACACATACCACATATTCTTGTCGAGCCAAATAAGCTCATTATAGGACCCTGAGTAACCCTAGCTGTTGTGCATAGAAAATACATCGTTATCGACATGATAGCAAAACCCATAATTCCTCCTTGCCATCTTCGCCGATATCTTGCCCTGACCATTACATCTCTAACTCTATCCCACGTTCGGCAGCCATGACCGCCACGCCTTCCATGACCAACACAACCAGTAGCTCCACCATCACCGGGAGTATTACCACGTTATGCGATAATGTCACACATCGTATCAAGGACATCTTCCACAAAGATATACAGTACGTACTTTTTTTCATTGAAGCTTCCCTGATTCATCCTATAATAACAATCACCTCTTTTCATTTGACTTTTCACAGGTTCACTCAGGCCGTCATGGATATCTATGTTCCTACACGCCTGCCAAATCACCACATGCGCTTAACAACGTAGGTCCCACCCATAAAAAGTTCGCTGTATAGCAATTTAATTGATCTTTCGCTTCTCTCCTTTGACAGTGAAAACACCGCACGGTTAAAAGCCAAGGTGTCGAGCTGGGACTTTTCGCCATTTGATTTCGATCATGAGGAACTGATTCACATTGTCTACATTATTTTCAACGAAATCCTTTCCACCAAGGAATTATCACACATCACAATCACTGAAGGTGGGTGAAAAAAAATTTCACTGGTTCCAGATTGGCCATGGCCAAATCGGAAGGCAATAATTAACGATGCGTAACATTTTCCAGGCCAGTTGTACGACTTTATTATCGATCTCTCCAATACGTACCGGGATGAAAATCCTTACCACAACTTTGCGCACGCTGTTGATGTCCTACAATGCATTTACTACTTTATTTCTCAGCTTGGTGTGCTCGACCATCCATCGATGGAAACTGATCCAATCTTACCCCATCATCTCCTCAGACCCAAGGATGTATTTGCCCTCTTCATTGCTGCCATTGGTCACGATGCCGCCCACCCAGGTGTCAATAACATGTTTCTTGCAAGTATCTTGCCCCGCTGATTGAACCTAAAGCTAACATTCTGACTTCCTCCACTGTAGATTAATTCTGCCACACCATTGGCAATGCTCTACAACGACCGTTCTGTCCTAGAAAGCTTACACTCCATGACCCTGTTTCACATTATGAAACGCCACCATCTGGATCAAATCGTCGGCGGCGCTGGATCAACCGATTATCAAGGTAAAGCTTTAAGGAATTCACTTTGATTCTTTACATGCCCTCACAGATATACTTTCTCTATACTCTATCTTTTGCCGTCGTTTTACAGAATTTCGCAAGACGGTGGTCACGAGTGTGTTGGCTACGGACATGTCGCTGCATAACGATTATGTCTGCAAAATCAAAGATCAAGCAGTCCGTCTACGTGAAGCCGATCTCAAGACTATGGATGCAACAGCACGTGAAAATGAACGTCTCTTGCTTTGCAGTGCACTTATCAAGTGTGCCGATATCAGTAACGTGGTACGTTGAGCCTGGCGGTATTTTCTTTTGCTTTCTTTATGTGGGGTGCCTGTGCACGTGGGACTAACACTGTTTTTAGACACGACCTTTCCGTCGTGGTGCGAAATGGGCTGAGTTGCTGGTGCAAGAGTTTCTGTCTCAGGGCGACCTTGAAAAAGAACTGGGAATGCCCGTCTTGCCGATGAACGATCGAGACAAAGTGGTGTTGGAAGAATCCCAGATTGGGTTTATTCGTTTTGTGGCCCTGGACTTGTTCCAAAGTATCCGGGACGTGATTCCTCCCATCTCGTTTGCCGTCGATTACATGCAGGACAATCTGAAACGTTGGGAGAATTTGAAAAATACCAAAACTCGAGACACGCTTTCCGTCAAGGAAGATGTCAATATCGAATTGCGCATCGGTAAGTGAGAAGATTGGGTTATCATGGAGGAGCACTGGTTCTCGTTGTGCGATGAAAACAACCCCCCCCCCAAAAAAAAATAGACAGTAGGTTCTAATAGCGTCTATCTTTAGGCCGGAAACGAAGCCGTAGTACTTCGGTCGAGTGTGAGATTGTTCATAAACGGCTATCATTGGATACCCATGTTCGGACCATCCCGTCGGTGTCGGTAAGATCCGGCGCATTGCCAGACACTTCTGCCACGAATTCAGCCAATGCAAGCCCCAGCTGGTCAGACGCAAGTCCTATCTTTGCGTGCTGTTCAATACAGTAATGTATATCATGCTTTTGTTTGTTTTTTTTTTCTTCGTTACCCTCTCTTTTTTTTCTCATTTCCCGTCTTCCTGTGTATTTTTTTCCCGATTTATCGTGCTCCTTCTTATCCCCTTAAAATGATACCAAAAGCGCTGTATAGAGATTCCTTTTTTTTTCAGAACGATAGTTTCCTTTAGATTGTAAATTTAGATCGCTTGCATACTATTTCTTTTTTTTTTTCCTTATCATCCTTTTTTTTCATGTGCCCCTTCTGTTACAACCACCCGTCAAGTGTACCATTATAGAGAATTACCCCCTTTTTTAACGCTTAACGTTTTGCTGTAATTAAACCCTCACGACCTTTTGGAGAATGATCTCGGATATTGGACATATTTCAAATGATGCCGATACCCATGGGTGATGAATATACTGTGAATACAGTAGCACGTAAGAGCGACCGTGAACTGAACTAGAAATAAAGCTATGATTTAGAATTGCATCATTTATTATTTCATTTACGGCTACGGACCTGGATCTGGTCCCTTGGCTCATGTCAGTTGCCATGAGTCAGCCCTCCGATGCAAACATGCTACATGTATTCCAGTTACGACCGACAACCGATGTTACCATAACAAATACAAGCGTGAAGAAAGATGTTCGCCATCAACCCCATAACGAAGCGTTGGGAAACACCAATTAATGCCTGCACTAGAGAGAGGGGAGATCCCGGGGGACTTTGGGGGGAGAGTGGCTGACCTAGTACGTAGCATACTGTATAACATCGATGAGGTTTTACCGATAGATTCAAATGGAGACGCTGCATCTATTGCAGTGACTTTGTTTGTAACCTTCTGTGACGATGGGTGTAAAGACGACCACTGAGATCTGCAGTGTGAATGGTAAAACAAAACATTTATTTCGCAGTGACAGCTGCATCCTTTCATGTAGATCAGCTGCTGCATTTCCCCTACTTCTTCCACGGTTAAACATTTTTTCTTTCGATATATGTGATGTACTGGATATTGTTGGACCGCAAAGGAGCCCAAGTCACCGTGAGTTTACTGCATGCATCTTAAATTAAAAATAGGACAGCTTAAATCGACAAACAACAACATCTTCCTTGCATCCTTTGCATCTGTTGCTTACGTGACTACTATACCGTCAACCTGTGTCTTTAGATCCCTAAAATACATGATCGTTATGTAAAACATGCAAAATAAAAGCTACTTTTCATGACTGGGCGATTGAAAAAGACACGGATGCACTGACAGAGATAGCCATTATTCAGCCATGCGTGAGTACTGAGGAGGTATCTGTAAGAATAGTCTTCCCAATTTGGGAACCTCTGTATACTTTGGGAACCTGGCCCCTTGGCGTCAAAATATCGCGTGCGAATGTCTGTATACGACCTGCAGTGAATAGAATTGAAGCATCCGTTGTTGTATCCAGAGTCGCGGCAAAGCGTTCATCCTGCAGCATATCTTCGTTTTGCGGATAACTGGCAAAAGGAGTCACTGCGAGAGCTTGACAATCTGGTTTGTCTTCGAACAAATCAGTAAGTCTGTTATTTACTGTGCTAGTGTATTACTTTCCGGTTTACTTTGGTGGCACAGTTAAATAATCAAGCTTTGATGACAACGACCAAGTCCATTGTGTAGTTGGTGTTTGATATCTCCATTAGTTCACAAACAGATTTAATTTCTGCACGACTTAAAAGAAAAGCCTTTTCGAAATATCGATTATAAGCGAACTGGAGCACGTTCGGATAAACTCTTCTGCTACTTGAGCTAGGGAGGATGACGCGGCCACCGTACTCTCAGCACTATGATGGAAGCTTCTGGTGCCAAGTATTCTGATTACTGAACTTGCTGCAACGGACTGCTTGATTTCAGGCTGAGTTCGGGGAATTGAGCAAAGGTGTTATTCCAAATAGCTAAAGGTGAACTTCCTCATGGATTTGCTGTGAAATGAGTCACATTGGACACATGTTCTGTTTTCTACGACCAGTCCTCTAGAGAAATGACTTTTTCTCTGTTTGACGAGTTTGTCTCGGGCCGGAATTCTTGCTGATATCCGGGCATTTCTTTCCTTGACATGCAGTCCTTCTTCTACTGAAAAATGTGAAACACTGGAAAATTGTCATCTAAATCGACCCGGAGCCAAAAAATTGGGCAAAGACCTGTCACCCAAAATCCAACCTACATGTACAATACATGTCAGTATATTTACGATCAGAAAATGCAAGCGGTGATCGATACCGAAGGTGGTAACACCCGGTGGTAAATGTCTGTTTGACCAGTTGCTCTATTTTCTTCTGCTTTTTTCTCATTTTTGCTTTATATAAAGCATGTGCGTATTTTGAGTATTACAAATGTCGCATTCAATGTGCGTAGGATCGTTTAGTATGGGGAAGAACCAAAAGGCTGTAGAAGAACCATGAGGAAGTGAGGCGAAAATTGGCGGAAATTGAAACTGTCCTCTTTTTTTTTTTTTTTGGTACGGTGCTGTACTCTAGTGACGAAGGTCGTGCAGGTGGGAAAAAAAAGGCATAGAAAGCTATCGTTAAGGTGCGCAAATAGCGGTGACGAGATACATAATCCATGGGTGAACGAAGGAAAAATTAGGGTGGGACGGGTCTATGAAGGGAAGAAGCGATCGTAATTGGAGGCTGTGGTGTTGGATGCGTGGATCTAAGATTGCTAAACCGCCATATTTACGGGGCAGAAGGAAAGTAGCGTAATCTATTTTAGGAAACATCCAGGAAGTGATAAAGGTTGAACATATAGATCGTAAAGAGCAAAAGAAGGATTCTGGGAGTGGTGTCACTCGCAAACAGTGCCAAAGAGAAGATAAAAGGAGAATTAAGAACAGTGGCGCGACCACGGACTGAGAGATGTTGTTGGGAATGAAGCTAGCAACATGGCGAATTATTTTCTATGGATGTGGTATCGTGGGATGTTGTGAGGACGTCAACATGCATGATACGTGAAAGGGGTAGTGACTATTTGGAGAAGTTGAGTGGAGAAATGGTCCCGCTGGGATGGAGTGCTGTACAGGGGATAAGCTAGATAAACCAAAGAATGGTTTGTCGTTGCGTCATGCCAAGAAGGGATGTTGTTGTCGAGTAGTGTTGTGCGCCAAAAATCAGATGGTCGACCAGAGGGGGAGATGGCGTGAGACTTCAAAAAGTTGGGTTTGGCGTTGGAGGCAACGGCGTAGGTCTGAAGATGTTGGATACAGCAATTTAAATCATTGCTGTCGTGAAGAAAGAGGAATACATCATCCGCATAGGCCAGCAGTTTAGCGGGGGCAGGTAGGTTGAGACTGTATTCTTCTGAGCCGCGGCGGAGAAGAGGGAGGGAAGTACGGTTGACTAGGGTAGCAGAAGAAACGGTGGTTAGGGAGTTAACGCGGTGTCCTTTGGTTTTGCCTGGGAGTAGGAACGAAACGAGACCGGCGTAGCTTTTGAGTTGGTTTGCTCAGTGGCCGTGGTTGTTATTTGAGAGGGTCTTTCGGCCCCCTCGTTGAGTTTAGTGGTAAGAGCCATGGTAACTGGTACAGTACAGCACCGTACCAAGAACTATTCATGTTTTCATTCCCCACCTCACCGCCTATCATCCCCGGATAGACCGTTATCGCTACCATCCTTTTGGGAATCTGGACCGCTCATTGTAAATTTATTTTTGACAACGCTCCCTTCTCCCCCACCAACATCCGCCAGTTTGTTCTGTCGAATCTACACCAGACGATTCATGCCCAAAATTATGAAGCCTCTAAAATAACTATGACTCCGACTGGACCCCAGCTTCCCTGACTCTAAGATTTCTAAGCTTAATTCCATCCCTTGTAGGCACCGCTGCCGTGACGTGCCCGCAAATAAAATCCGGGTTGCACAACCCTCTTACCATAAAATGTACCAGTTATATCGGCCATAATGACATAAATTGTGGCATGGTGCTCTGAACGGTCGAACAGTAACGATGAAAAGGGAAAGATCGAAGAAATACAATTAGTAATGTACTTGTTTGGCAGTGGGATGGCATTCCAAATACCGGTTTGCCTTGCCATAATGAAAAACCGTAAAAAATTTCATGAGGAAATGGTGATACAGTATTGCTTGTCGCTGGAAATCGCAGAAGATAATGATTCATAAAAGAAACGATCCAAGGTAGTAAGATCACCAACGTTTAACAACTTTCTGTAATGTCTCGTATTTCGAGAAATGTATTGCAGTAAAGTTTTGATGAAGAAGATCTGTTCAAGCTTACTAACATTGATCCTTTCGTGAGCGCCGTATGCTTTGCTCGACGAGCCTCTTTGTCCACATTGGTCACACACACCTGTGTAAGGTCGGTTCTTCCTTGCCCGTTCTTTTTTGGTTTTCTTTACTACTGTGCATTGCAGCGGATGTTTTGAGACTTCCTTATTCGAATGCAAGAGACCACAAAACTTCTTGTAGTACCGATCCTCGGTTCACGGTCCTTCTCATTTGATTGGCAGACATCAAAAGTTTTCTGTTTGCTTCTTTGGGGTTGTGTTCTATTACCGTCCCTTGTTCTTTTACTGCATCGCAGGAAAAAACCCAAAGATACACGATTGTTTCTTGTATTACCGCCCTTTTTTTTCTGTACTTCGCAGCTGATGCGATGATCCCTCCAGAAGTGACAGGCTTAAAAGTTTATACACCGCACCACGTCTGTCAAAATTCTTCCGTTTCCTCGAACCTCCCAAATACCTTTCAAGATCATCTGTTTCTCCGACACTGTCTTTTTTTTTTTGGCTGCATTGAGCTGCAGGTGAACTCAAGCTTGTTAATCCTAAAGAATAGAAGTTTGTATACTAAATATGATTTCATATAGGAGTTTATTCAACTGGCTGACCATCGAACGTTCCGGCGAATGCTCTCCACGTTTGACAAGCGATGAACAGTACTGCGGATTCCGTCAGGGCTCATTTGGTTGGGTTTTCACGGCAACGAAGACCTGTAGCTGTTTACAGGTAAGCCAGCTGCATTCAACATTTTGCTATACTGCCATATCGACTTGCTCTTTTCCCAATTCTCGTCCACCTGTCCATAGTTTTTTGACTTGGTGACGATTTCCCAACCTTTTTTTATCAATCTGATTTTTCATTGCTGGTTCTCCAATTTTAATTGTTGGTCATTTGACACCAACTTTTTGCGACTTCAAAGTTGAATAAACTGTAAATGAGTTTTGCAGATTGTTCTACCAGATGGACCAGATCCAACAGTGTGCATCTTTTTTTTTGAAATTAAAACATCTACCGCATTGACATCATGAACCACAATTGGTATCAGCAGTTTCTGTAGTGGCAGTTGCAGTGAACCTTTAACTGTAAATTGGCACTTTCTGAGATGAAAAATCTAACTATTGTCGCACAAACCAGGGTGCCGTTTTTACCATCGATTGCGTAGTGACACCGATTGGTCGAGCCATTATAGAGTATGTGTTATGCAGTCTACTGAAGCAATATCCGATAAACTCAATGAGGACCATGTCGATGGAACCCAATGGCTGTACACAATTTGCTTAAAGAAAGGTATCCTATTTTGTTTTGTTGGAAGAAAAAGAAATGAGTATTATGCTTAATCTCAAAAAATTTAAATCGCAGCAACTGGTGAATCGCTTTTTGATGAATTACACCTACTGCACCTGTATTTTCAGCATTGCTTAGTCGTAGCCATCCAGCTCATGAAACATACAGCCTTGTGTGGGGTAGAATTCTGAGACGGAATTTTGATTCGATGTTTGTTTCGTGACATTTTGGCGCTCCTTTGTGCTCTGATAATAGATACGTGATGTTGGTATGATATGATGATGAGAGATGTTCCGATTGAGGACTGCAGGGGCCGTTGGACTTGGGGTTACATTTAAAAATATAACAGAGAGACATCTCACGGAAAAGATGCAGAAAAGAATTTCCGTAATAGGAAACTAGGCGACCAAAGAATGGAATACGGTAGGTTGCTTTGGAACCCATCTGATTATTATTTCTTCGATGTGAGCGTAATACTGTTGTCACTGTCGGCGCAATGTATAACCGCATCACTGCTGCACATGGTAAGCCTCCTTGACTTTTGCCAACCTTCAGGTCCGGGCGACGGAAATGCTACGATTCGGCCTGTGAATCGGAGACACAACAAACCAAAAAATGTTTCAATTGCGATAAACCCTAAATTTTTCATCTTTTTTTTTTGTTGTTCCGCTTTCCTTTTTCTTTCACGTCCTTTATTATGACTACGCAGCGAGAGGAGAGTCGACCTCTTCTCGGGGAAGAACGTCCCAACTATCATTCTTCTAGTCGCAGCAGTACCAGCAGCCTGAGTGACGGCCATGTGACAATTCTCACTTCCAACTCACCGTCCATTCTCAGCAAAGATAACGATCCGATCAACCCGTCTTCCTCCACAGGAACATATAATATCGCTGAAGAGGACTTGGTCAGCTCCAGACTGAATGGTGCATCACTCTACACCGTGTTATTGGGGTAAGAAAGCACCGCTTTTTCCACGAATGCACCCTTTTCGATTATTTTTTGTCATCATAACAAATGTGCATTAGTCTTTGGATCGGTGTTTCGTTATCTTCGCTCGATTCTTCCATTGTTGCCACCATTTATGCTCAGATTGGCACTGAATTTAAAAAGTGAGTTGTTAATCCAGGGGCGAATTTGAAAGGAATTTGGTAATGCAGTCTTTTTGGTTTATTGACGAATGGATTCAGGTCAAATGAGATTATTTGGATTGCTACATCTTACATGCTGAGTTATACCGCTTTGCAGCCATTGTGTAAGCATGAAAGTGTGACCTGTCGCACAGATTTTTCGCTTCTTAATTTTTTAAAGCGTTGACGAATGGAGTAAGCTGAATTTGGGCCACCATGAATTTCTTTTTTGTTAGATGGCCGCATCTCGGACGTTTTTGGTCGCAAAACCGCTTTGATGTTTGCTACTTCAGTGTTTTTCATTGGATCCGGGCTTTGCGGAGCTGCGAACGGTCTTTGGAGTCTCGTTTTCGCACGTGCCGTTGCTGGTATCGGTGGTGGAGGTATTAACACGGTAAGTGTCAGGTTGTGTGCCACCTTGTCACCGTGGCAATGGAAAAAAAAATATCACTGAGAAACTGAACGGCTTCCCACGATGTTTTAGATGACAACGGTAATTACCAGTGACCTTGTTCCTTTGCGCTACCGAGGTACTTACCAGGGTTACGGAAACATTGCATACGCTGTAAGTGCTAGGTTACGAAAAAAAAGAGATGCACGACGGTTCTGGATTATCAACTCAGCTGACCCATTCCCGTCTGATCGTTCCTGTAGGTCGGTTCTGTGGTCGGTGCACCGTTGGGCGGATTTATTACTGACACCATTGGATGGCGTTATTGCTTCTACATCAACTTGCCTTTCCTTCTCGTGACCATTTATGTGGCTTCCTGCTTGCTGACCAACTATAATCTCGCGGAACAACCCCCGACCACGCTTTGGGAAAGATTGAAAAAGATTGATTATCTTGGCGCTATTACTATTGTTCTGTCTGTAATTGCTTTCTTATTGGCAACGTCTCTCGGTGGTAATTTGCGATCATGGACAGATCCTCTTGTCGTCGGCTGCTTGGTGGCTTCTGTAGTGTTGGCCGTGCTGTTCTGTATCATTGAAGCCAAGGTGGCACTGTATCCGCTTATGCCCTGGGAAATCATTTCTAGCCGCACCCCTTTGGCCTGTTCCATGACAAACCTCTGCACCATCATGAGTTCGACTTCTCTTATCTACGTTACCCCATTATATTTCCAGGTAATTTTTAATGTGACAGATGGAAAAAGTGCATTTCTATTCAACTGCGTTTTTGCGGTTTTGTTACTCGCTAGGGATTGATGGGCTACTCACCTACTCAAGCTGGTTTGTTCTTTTTACCTAAAATTGCCCTTGGTTCCACTGGATCTGTACTGTGCGGTATGTGGATGTCACGTACCGGCGAGTACCGCAGTATTACAATTGTGGCGGCTGTGATGTCTTTTGTATCCATGATCGGTTTTACCTGCTGGACAACGACCACCCCGCTTTGGTTTTTGCTCATTTGTCTGCTCATGGATGGGTTCTCAATGGGTGTCCTTATCACTACCACCCTTATTGCCATGCTATCCTGCGTTGGTCAAGGCGGTAAGCATTCGTGATCTGATGATTTCGATCTGGAAAAAAAGTGCAAAGCTAATCATGAAGCTTTCCAGAAATGGCTACTGTCACGTCGATGTCTTATCTCTTCCGTTCGGTGGGCGGTGTTATTGGTATCTCCGCCACTTCGGCTATTTTCCAGGCCATTGTGAAGAGCGAATTGAGCGAAAAGATTACAGGTCCCAATGCTGACAAGGTAGGGACAATTTCAAAGAATGTAGCAGCAGGGGATTTGGGGGGGGGGTGGAGATGCAGGGCTGGAAGCATGAAAAAAATCGGATATGTGACAAAGCAAATGGATAATGACGGTGAAAAAAAAAAAGAACCGATGCATCAGAAAGAAGAGAGGGATGGTTGCGTGGAGAAACGGAATACACAAAGAGTTAGCGATAAGGATCTGACGGATATTGAACCATTTTAAACAACAGTATATCGAGATTGCCCGTCAATCCATGACCGAAATCCGACAGCTGCTTCCTAAGGACATCTTGCAGATTGTCCTTGAGACTTATCAAACCGCCCTTCGATACACTTTTCTTGCATGTGTTATCATTGCCGCATTCAACGTTATCTCGACTCTTTTCATTCAACGATTTGAGTTACATACCAAAGTTAGAAAATAACGACAGTTGATACCATTTCCTACACGGGGGAAATTGCTATATTGCACCGCAGCTGTTGGGAAGAGATGCTCGCATGCCGTTTAAGCAGCTGGGGTTCATGATCAGTGAGTACATCAAAACAAAAGGGCACACAGAACACAGAGCTTTTTTCTTCGAGAAAACATATTATATACAAAAGCTTTACAAAAACTTATATAATCTTCCATTGAAGCAATAATTAAGTGTTCTTGATTCCAAGGGGCCGCAACAGTAAAAAGCGAGTTATGATACACAATGGCCTGTTTCCCATCTCGTCCTTTTCCTGGCCTTTCTGACCCTTTTTCAAGTGGACTAGCTAGCATTCGGTTGATACAAGTGTAATACATCATATCGCTCGCTTTCCTAAGCTATCGCAACGGCGAAAAAAAAAAAACGACATAAACTTCAAAAGTGCGCCATTGAATGTGCGTTGTTACAAATGATTTTCTTTTTCGCTTGATCATTTCTTTTTCAATTTTTCAGGAGATTGGTTTTATTATGTACAGACCGATAAGCATTGAGAGTTTGTTTTCCTTTTTTTTCTTTGTTTTCTATCGGAGAATGCTCTTTCTTTTGATATTGCTTTTCATTTTACCACGTTTCGGTGTTGCGAACTTGGACTTCTTGACCATCCAAATCGGATCTTGCCACCACTTTGCCGAGATCATACACTTGCTCGTTAGCCTCTTGTAACAAGCGTTTGATTTCAGGGACGTGTTCGGGATCGGCGACAATCACCATACCAACACCACAGTTGAACGTGCGGGACATTTCATGGGCCGAAAGGTTACCGGCTTGCTTGAGCCATTTGAAAATAGGAGGCAATTCGTACGATTGAGCATCAATGACCACACCGAGATCCTTGGGCATCACGCGGGGAATATTTTCCAAGAAACCACCGCCAGTAATATGAGCCATGGCCTTGATCAAATCTTTCTGGACCACAGGCAACAACTGCTTGACGTAAATACGAGTGGGCGTCAACAACACTTCACCCAAGGTCTTGGATTTCTCCCAAGGGCAGCTTGAATGATAGGTTAAGCCAGGTTGCGATTCCACAATCTTACGAACCAAGGAGAAACCGTTGGAGTGAACACCGGAGGAGGCCAGACCCAACACCACATCACCAGGCTTGATCAGATCCATGCGAGGCAAAATCTTGGCACGTTCCACGGCACCCACCGTAAAACCGGCACCGTCATAATCACCAGGCAAGTAAAGACCGGGCATTTCCGCCGTTTCGCCACCCACCAAAGCCGCACCCGACTGAAGACAGCCTTCAACGACACCGGCCACAAAGTCCTTGCCCACATCGACTTCCAATTTACCGCAAGCAAAGTAATCGAGGAAGAACAGAGGTTCAGCGCCTTGCACGATCAAATCATTGACGTTCATTGCCACCAAATCAATACCGACGGTATCGTGGATATTGCATTCCTGAGCAATCTTCAACTTGGTACCAATACCATCGGTGGCCGATACCAAGATAGGATCACGGAAACCGGCGGCTTTCAAATCAAAAAGGCCACCAAAACCACCAATATCGGAATCAGCACCGACGCGCTTGGTCGATTTGACCAGAGGTTTGATCTTTTGCACCAAAAGGTTACCGGCATCAATGGAGACACCGGCATCAGCATAGGAAAGACCGGCCTTGTTCGCTTCCTTGTCAGCATGCTTAAAGGCGCGATGCGCGATATCGGTACGGTATTGCATATTTTCAAACTGGATCGACTTGACACCGCCGTAAGCCTTGTCCACGGCTTCGCGGAGCGAAGAAGCAACAGCCGACACGGCAAGCACGCGACCTCCGGCCGTCACCAACTGACCGTTCTTCAAAGCGGTACCAGCATGGAACACCGTCACGTCCTCGGTGGTGGCAGGAATCGTGATTTGCTTGCCCTTAGCATAACTACCAGGATAACCTCCGGAAGCAATGATGACCGTAGCAGCAAAGGCCTGTTTGATGGTGATGGAAACCGCATCCAAGCGACCTTCCACACAAGCCATCATGATCTCAGCCAAATCCGTCTCATCGCCAAGCAAAGGCAAAACCACCTCGGTTTCAGGGTCGCCAAAACGCACATTGTACTCCAAAACCTTGGGTCCAGAGCTGGTAAGCATGATTCCCGTGAAAAGTATACCGACAAAGGGGAAACCTGCCATCATTAATTCAACAGTGAGCAATCTGTCTGGCTACAACTTGTTCCTTTATTGTTTCCTTACCGTCACGACGCATGCCATCAATGGTGGGCTTCAAAATGGTGCGTTTGATTTCATCCACCAATTCCTTGGTACCAATGGGGGTAGGAGCGTAGCAGCCCATGCCACCAGTGTTGGGGCCTTGATCACCGTCCAAAGCACGCTTGTGATCCTGGGCAGGAGGTAAAGGGACCACGGTGTAACCGTCCGAGAAAGCCAAAACGGACAACTCTTCACCTTCGAGATACTCTTCCACGACCACTTCATCGCCGGCCGCGCCGAATTCCCTGTCGACCATGATGGATTTCAAACCAGCAATGGCTTCTTCCTTGGTCGTAGGGATCAATACACCCTTGCCGGCGGCTAAACCGGAGGCCTTGAGCACGACTTGATGATCCACCGATTCAACATAAGCCTTGGCTTTCTCGAAATCGGTAAAGTTCTATTGCACAAAGAGTCAGAAAAGTCGACAGATAGTTAGCGAATCAAGGTATGGATAACCTACCTCATAAGCTGCTGTGGGAATGTTATGCTTCTTCATAAAATCCTTGGAGAAAGTCTTTGAACCTTCCATCTGGGCGGCTTTGGCAGAAGGACCAAAGCATGGAATACCCACTGAGTGCAAATAAAACGATAAGTCATCCACGATACCAGACTATACGTATACACCCATTGCGCCTTCAATTCTTACCTTTTCTAAAAGCAGTTTGGATTCCTTCGACAATCGGTTGTTCGGGACCGGGAATCACCAAATCGACCTGAACCATCGTTGTCAGCGTTTTAGCATAAGCTTCGATGTCCGCCTTATCGACCATGCACTTACGTTGTTTTGCACAGCAAATTCAGTCAACTTGGCAAAGTCGCTCACACCAATGTCAACATTCGTCACTTTGCTACCGTTGGCAGTACCACCGTTGCCTAGTCAAAAAAGAAAAAAAAAAGAAAGGTGCTTCTGTTAGTTTTGCATTTCCAAGGGAAGCCCCCATTCGTTCGCCAAAAAAAAAAGAAATGGGCCAATAATTACCGGGAGCAACATAGATGTGAGCAACTTGATTGGACTGGGAAAGTTTCCATGCAATGGCATGCTCGCGACCGCCAGAACCGACCAAGAGAATTGTAAGCTTATCTGGAGAGCAAGAAAAAAACCAAGAACCCCGCGTGTCTATTGAGTTAGTGTACTGCGTTGGTGCTGGTATAAAGAATACCAAGGGAGAGAGACCAACAAAACGACTTACCGGAAGCCATGGGACACTAGAGGTGTTAAAGTGGGAGAGTTTATGTGTGGTATCCAACAAGAAAACATTGAACCCAATTTCACCAGCAGCCGGGCTTTTTGTTCCTTCCATTTCTCGTTTTTTGGATCTGACTCACATCCGACAAGCCACTACTTGCTTTTCCTGCTGATCTTTTTCTCACCCTTCAAATGCCACCACTGGTCTCTAATTTTGCTCTAGTTCAAAGACCTTCCTTCTTTCATATACATGTGGATAGTACAGCTGTTATAGCATATTTATTTGTAATAAATAAAAAAACAAAGCTTGAAAAAAAAAATCTCAATGGCTCTTTTAAACACAGTCCTTCCTTTGACATGTTCTTTGACAGACATGGAGAGAGGTGCATCAAAAAAATTAAGGTTTGCGGTAGGAGTTTGAAATCATTACAGAGAGGGTGGGGGCGTGGATCAGCCCTTTAGTTAGAGACGACAATAGGGACTGATGTGGTTGTTTCCCAGCTTTCAGGTAAATCTGGATCAGCTAGCAGCTTGAGAGCACGGAACCGCATGCGATATGTTCCACTGTTGACCATAGTACGATCCACGAAATTTTCTCGCTTTAAAATGGTGCCATCCCAATAGTCTACAAACATGTAGTCGTCTTCATCGTCGGTGTTGCGAGGGAGGTAGCTGTAAGAGTCTAGGTAGCCAATAACGTCCCCGTTGTCTGTCACGATATCGGTCTCCAAGCGCTCGGTGCCCATGTTCATACGGATCAGGATTGCTAGCCACGGATCGCTACTGTTGGAGGGAGGACTGATATGGAACGATGTCGTATTGCTCATCCCACTGCCTACGTCTTTTGGTAATGCTAAAAACGGAAAGTGCGGAGCAAAGATATCCAGCTTGCTAACATCGCCCATGACGCCGCCATACGGAATATGGATCGTTTTCTCGCTGCCAGAGGTAGGGTTCAGTCGCACGTAGCCGCCGTACAAAGGGTACAGGCTCTTTGGATCGACCGAATCGGCCATGTCAAGAGTAAATACGACCTTTTCACCTGGATTCACCGTAATCTTACTGGCCGAGCTAAGAACGCGGCCCATGGGGTCTGCAAAACCGACCGGTGATCTCACTGAAACAGAATCTTGCGTCCCATTGAACGCTGACAGTGTGACTGCACGCACCGAATCCAATTCATACGTGACCGAACGATTTCCATTATTCATCAGGGTGATTTCTTGCGCCTTTCGGTGGTTTGTATCATTGAAGCTCACATGCGATGGCGACACACGCATAGTTTGCTCAATAGCATCAAAAGCTAAAAGATAAAATGGTGTGAGCTTCTTTCGTGCATGAAAAAAAAAGACCGTAAATAAGGCTTATTTACCTTGAACAAGGCCGGCGCCTTGTCGGAAAGGATTATCAAACGTGTCATTGTACGGTGCCGGGGCAGCATAGTTCTTGAACTGCTCCGCAATGGTCGCAGGGTCCGTGTTTGGATGCGCTTGCAGATACAATGCAAAGCATCCAGTAATATAGGGAGTGGCCATGGATGTACCAGACAATGTGCCGTAACCCCCCAGAGATAGGGGTAAAGTAGAAAAGATCATGCCGCCTACACCGGCAATATCGGGCTTGAGATTGAATTCAAAGGTGGGGCCAACGCTTGAAAATACGGAAATCCGGCCCGCCGTCGACAGCGGGACCGTCGATAGTTCTTTGTTGAACACCACGCCGACTGGACTCAAGGAGGCCAGCTTATTACCGGCGGTGAGAGAGATACCAGCAGCAGGGATGGGACCCGTCTTCAGGCCCGGTTGGAAAGCTTCCTTCTCCTGATCAGGATCATACACAAGAATAGCAATCGCACCGAATTGGGCGGCCGTGGTTGCTTTTTCGTCAAAGGTGCAGGAACCGCGTCGTACCAGGGCAATCTTTCCTCGGATATCGGAAGAAGGATGACTTCCTTTGCAGGCCAAACTGGTCTCGGTAGAAGAATTGTCATAACTCACAACGGTGCCATTGGGCATAATAGGGTGTTCCTTGGAAGCCAAAAAAGCTGCCATCAAAAGGTTTGGTCAGTGGGATTAAGAGTCGTGTGCAATTGTTGCTATATTACTTACGATAAAGCTCGCCATTTTCAAGCAACATCATTGGCTCCAGGCCATAGGCGTTATCCACCGAAGCTACCGATACGGCACGGACAGCGGTACTGGGAGAACTAAGAATAAACGCTCCTTCTCGACCATCATTCCCGGCTGCTGCAATCACTGACACACCCTTTTCCACAAGGCGATTGGTAACGAGAGCGGTGGGATCATTGGACCAGTTATTGGTCTCTCCTAAACTGAGATTGATAACGTTGCATCCTGAATTGGGGAATCGTGCGAGAGGGAAAAAAGAAAAGCAATTAGAATAAGCTTTCTGGAGGCTCTGTTTTTGTTGATCTAAACAGCCCATGGTTTTCGTACCTGCTTCATAAGCTAAAATCAATGCCTTGATAATTAAATCATTGGTGCTTGAGCCTGTGCAACCAAATACACGCCACATGCCCAATGTTGCTTGAGGCGCCACTCCTGTGAAATTCTGTTTCCTCGTTTCTGTCAGTCATCTTTGTTTTTTGTCGATCCCACCCTACTTCAAGGAGAGGATGTTCTGCTTTGTGTAATTTCTTTTTTTCTTCTACTTACATATTTCTTATCTTCGGCCCCGATAATACCTGCGACATGAGTCCCATGACCTGCTACCATGATTCTCTTAAATATTACAATAATTTACCTTCTTCTTTTTTAAAAACAAACTTACCATTGGCACCTTTGCATGTATCCAAAGGAGTGAGTTTGGGTTGTATCGAATCAGGATCATTTACATTGTAGTTGTCTCCTACAAGGTCTTCACCAAACTGGATTTTGTATCCTTTTCCAAAACCTCCGCCGAGTGCAGGATGGTTGTAATCGACCCCTAAAATTCGAATTAGCTCCTGTCATTTGATTGTTGTTCCGAAAAAAATGACGCACCAGAGTCGATGATGCCAACCACAACACCTTTGCCGTACAATCCAAGTTCACGATGAACCCGATTCACTTGGGTCATGCCATGACTGAAAGGCAAGTCGTCGATGCGACCAAAAATTCCAGGAAATGCCGCACGAGTTGCATATACAGCTTCAGGTCGAGGCACTTCCACTACGGGAAAAACTCGTTTCACGTAATGTTGCTCCAGCATGTATTTAAGCCATTCGGTTTCAGAGGATTGAGCCGATGATACATTCAGTTGCTGCTGCTGATTGGCCGATAATCGCAACGAGACACCGCGAAATACGTTGGAGGTGTATTCCTGAGTGATATTGCATCGTAACTGCTGCGATTTAAACGATGGCCGTTGGCGCTGCATGCCTTGTTCGAAATCCGACAAAAATTGTCTAGAGGTCCCGCTAAAAGTGTCATCAAATTCCACAATGTATCGACCGGCAATGGCACGGCCAAACGTACAAGGCTTATATTTTGGATGATCCACAGTAATGGCCTGAATCAAGGCTATCAAGGTTGCCAAGAGACAGATGGTATTGGTGATAAAGTTTTTCATTCAAGAAAAAAAAAAAGAAAGGAGAAACAAGAAGCTGTTCGAAATCCCGTATTTTCCTTTCTGGCATGATTTTATCCTCGGTTGAAATTCGTAACTGTCTGCCTATTTTTTGTTTGTATACTTCTTGGCGGGCTTCTTTTTTTATTTTATTTTTGGTTTTAATACTTCATTGGCTCAGTGGATGTGAATTAGACGTGAAGTCCATTTTTCCCAATCACTGTTTTCCGTTCGGTCTCCCATGAGTCTCAGGGCTTCAATGTGTAAGCGGTAGTAACCATGATCAATCATTTGGGCCTCAGACGTCGATATCCCTGTGGCGTTGTTGGAGGATTTGACCTTGCCATTCCATTGAACCACCCATTCGAAATATTTGTCATCCAGTCGACTTCGTTCCCATGTGAATGGACTACCTTCCAATTCGCCAACAAGCTTGTTGTCCGCATCCAGGACGGTAATGTGAACTTCGGGTGTGGCCATGAGCATGCGCACAACGAGTGACGGCAAAATGGCATCCTGGGAAATATCGAATTCGTAAATCTCCGAAGAAACCTTGGACAGTTTATCCGAACTCGCGATGAAAGGATAGCCCTGATCGAACAAAGGCAAGTCTTTCATTCGGCCAAGAATTCCAAAATACGGTACGCTGCCTACAGTGTCGTTGCTTTCGGTTTTGAGCACAATGTAGCCTCCATACATTTCGTAATGATGCGGCGGGGGTGGTAATTCGGCCGTCACCTGAATTTCCGCCGTTTCGCCTGGCTCGAGTTCCAATACCGTCGTCGAAAATTCAAGATCAATGCGTGCGTGACCACGTTCTGCAGGTTCGGCAGGAACAAAATTACCGACACTACTGTCAAAGGTATCAATGGATAACGACGGTTCGTGGTGTAAATGAGCCCCCACAGAGGTAGTGCCGTGGTTGGTGATTTGCAGAGTGTGTGTTTTGGTGTCGAGTCGTGAAGTATCGTTGAAACTCAGTTGGCTTGGCGAAATGTGTATAAAGTTTGTCAAGGCAGTAAATGCTGCGATGCAAGGTTCCAATTAGTATCAGAATACAATAAAATAGGAGGGCACAACAACAAAGCGAAGCATTTGACAGCACTTACGTTGCACGAGACCGGCACCCTGCCGTACGGGATGATCAGGTGCGCCCTTGTACATGGCGGGACGAGCGTGATTTTGCAAATGTTCCATAATGTAGCGTGGTGAGATTTGTTTCCCTTGTTCACGACTCGCTTGCAGCATGAGAGCCGCAATACCTGAAACATGAGGTGCGGCCATGGAGGTGCCACTACGTAACCCCCATCCGCCATCCATGTCGCGAGGTAATGTCGAGAAGACGTGTTGGCCAATCCCGGCAATGTTGGGCTTCAGGTTCAAATCGTACGTCGGTCCCATACTGGAAAAATACGACACTTGACCGGCCGTTTCAACGTCCACATCCACGGGGTAACCTGGCATAATTACTTTTAATTCCGTGGTGCCATTCTGGAGAAACGGGGTCAACGAGTGCACGAGCGTCCGTGTGATGGTCGCACAGGGAAATTTCGTCTCGGTGAGAGCAAGAATAGGCGTTTTTGCCGTCGACTCGGCATCGTAAACGAGGATGCCAATAGCACCACTCTGCAGTGCGTTTTGCAATTTCTGTTCGTAGGGGCATGAACCACGTCTTGCCAGCAAAATCTTGCCATTCACGGAAGAAGGCAATGAAGGGTCACAAGCAGTGGTAATAGAATCGTTGACAAAAACAGTGGTCAAGGTACCATTGATGAACTGCGTACTTGCCGTACACAGTGTAAACGCTGAATCACGAAGCGGGAAAAGTGTCTGTGAGTGCACAGGACATGAATTGGGGCTTGTTACACCGACATTACTTACGATAGGTGCCGTTGGGGAGAGCATTGACAGTCAGCACATCGGTAGGATAAAAAGAATTGTCAAGCGATGCCACTGAGATCACTTGATTGCCTCCGCCAGGGCTATTTTGCAGAAAGACACCATCGGTTCCTTGATTTCCAGCCACACCGACCACTATTCAATGTCACATCTTTGGAATTAAGCGACAATGAATGCTAAACAACAATGTAGACTCTCTTTTTTTATCGTCCTTTACCAACCACGCCTTCAACCGCCAATCGATCGGCGACCAGAGCCATCACATCACTTGCCCAGGCCCTTTGCACACCCAAGCTGAGATTAATAACATGGCAACCTAGCTCACCAAAGCACAAAGACACGTCATCAGGGGCTATAGAGATAAAATGAAAGCGAAAACAGTTTACCTTCATCGCGAGCCATTTCCATTGCTTTAATAACGGTATCCTCTGTGGCTCCTTCTTTGCAACCAAAGATTCGCCACGCTCCCAAAGTGGCATCTGGGGCAACCCCTGTAAAATGCTTCTCATTGCATTAGCGAATGTCTCTTGTTATTTTTTTTTTCTGGTCCGGGAAGTATGTTCCCTAACAACGAGTAGCCATCTTTTCTTACCATGGCAGGATCCACTGCACCAATGATACCGCTGACATGAGTGCCGTGACCTTTTTTTTTTTTTTTTCAAAAAGAATCGTGAGTAGACTCCATTGATAGAAGAAAACCAAACTCTAGTTATAGAATTTTTCGTACCGGTAGAATTTCCGAGGCAAACATCAAAAGGATCATTGGGTGATCGATGGGAGCCTGCATGAATATCGTCGTGATCTGGATCCACGAGATTATATCCGTATCGCACTTTGAAACCTTCGCCAAATCCTTCACCTAGAGCAGGATGGCCATAATCAATGCCTGTAATGCAGTAGCCGTATCAGAAAGTACGCGTCAGTACACATATTTTCTATTCACGGTAAATTAAAAGAATTGCTATCGGAACGATCCACTGCACCTGTATCCAGCACGCACACGGTGACGCCTTGGCCGGTGAGATGCAGTTTTTCATGGACATCCTTCAATTCGGTAATGTGGTTCTCGTAAGGGCGGTCGCGTCCGTCTTCACTGAATAACCATTGGGGGCGCGGAATTTCATACACAGGATACATTCGTTTGACGGCTGGGTAGTTGGCCATGTGGGTTAGCACGGGATGCTCGCTTTCCAGATTTTGAGAAGATGGGGATGCTATGGCGCTGTTATTGTGTGATGTATTGTCTTTTAGTGTAAATGACATGCCGCGAAAGAGTGATGAGGCGTAAGTATGTCGTATTTGAACCGATTCTTTCATGGATCCAAGATCCTCCATAAATTGTGTTTCGTCATGCCCTTCAGAATATTCCACAATGTAAGTGCCTGGTATAATACGAGCTGAAGCAACACTGAGCCATAACGCGATGATCCATAAAAAAGAAAAAATGGACATAGCTGAGAAAGGAACGTAAAGAAAAAAAGAACCGTGGATCAATAAATACCGGCCAAGGGATTACTGCCGATCTCGATGTGCATATTCTTCTGTATCTATCAGTGGTATACATAGCTCTTTTATCAATAGGGGATCGATTGATGGTCATGTCTGGACAAAAATAGCGTCTTGGAAAAATTAGCATGCGCATGTGCTCATTGAACACCTCAGATCACGATTTTATCGGCAAGTCTGTGTTCAGCAAAGCAAACTCTTGTACGGTGTATTCCTCATGATGACAGCTTCCTTCCTTAAGGCAAAGAAAAAATCCAGGTTGGGTATTTTGCCGCCGTGTAACGAAATCAAAAATAGCGACTGCTGCCAGTAACCCTTGCTTTCATCCCGTGCAACATTCAGCCTCCTTGACCCTTCGGAATCAAAGCACTGGCCATTTTCACCAAAAAATTCTGCTTATCCCAAAGGAGTGTTTACAGCAGAAAACTGTTCATCCTGGTTCATTGCGGGTGTGGCAACAAGGTCATCGTCGCTTAGGTTGGTCGTCGTTTATGCGTTGACATCATGCACACAAGGTAGTGGATATGAACCACAGCGCTTGGTATTTCCTTCGTTGCAGTATGCATATGATTGTTATGCAAAGTACCATGCGCATTAATATCGGTGTGCATGGTGTTGCTGTTATTCGAGATCCTCTGCCAATGCACTGTAAGATGATCATCGCTCGATTTGCACCCGAACGCTCAGAAATATAACAAGAAAAACGCAAAAAGATTTTGTGATGCAGCGAGTCTACTAGTTTGATTATTGAAAGATGATGTGCCATAAAAATGAGGTTTGAAGGATGACAATGAGAATATGGTATTTTCCTTGTGGGGAGTTACTTGGAAACCTGCTTCTTGATCTTTCCAAGCAAGATTTCCATCTGCGTGGCCATGTTGGGTTGACCTTTACTATTTTTGGCCAACATCTTGCCACGCTCACGATTTCGTTCTTTGTAATACTGTTTTCGAGCTTTGTTTTTGGCCTGATACTCTTCTTCACGTTCCGCTCGCTTCTGCAATGCTTCCTGGCGCTCCTTTTCACGTCGTTCCATCTGCTCTTTGAAAGGATTGGGCTTACTTCTACGAATTCGTGACCCAATCAAATGTGAGTTGAACGAACATTGAGAAAGATCTCAGTAGCCGGAATTTTTCTATTTCTCACCTTTTGTTCTCGTTCTTCTTCTCCTGTTTGCCTTTGCCTTTTACATCCTTTTTCTGTTTTGCTTTTCCCTGCTCTTGCTCGTCATCCTCTTCTTCCGATGAAGACGATTCGTCCAGGTAAAATACTTTTTCGTCCTCTTTGACATCGTCGGTTGCTTTGGCCTTTCGCTTCACGCCTTTGGCAGCCTCGTACTCGACGACATTGCCTTGGTCGTCAATGGTTCTCTCACCAAAGATTTCCTTTACGTAATCGGGCGCTTCCAATACATCTTTCTCTTTGGCAATCGTTTTATAGTACTGACTTTTGACGGTCGCCTTGTGAATGAGTTCCGCTTTCTTCTTTTTCGCTGTACAAACAAAAGAATCAGTGAGTAACTGTAAAAATAGGGCTGTAGCATATACGATTGCGATTTATACCTTTGCGATCAAGGGACGTCAGAGGTTTCTTATACTTTGAGCTGTTCGGTTTGGGTGGCATACTGTGGATCTTGTTAAATGCAAATGGCGCAGCCAAAAGAGATCAGGGAAGCTGCTTTTTCGGACAATGAAGAGGGAAAAAAATGCACACCGTGACAGCCATTGCAGAGACTTTGAATTCCCGATCCGCTTCAAACCACCAAAGAGATGCATTTGCACCCATTGCAAAGGGAGTTTGGAGCACTTTGATCTTTTATACCCTACAAAGCAAGGATAAATGCTTCAAAAAGTGTATGAAAGATAATAGCACTCCATAGCACTGGTAAAACTTTGTTGCGATCAGTATAACATACTGCATAGATGGAACTCAATGAAAGTCCAAGCTGTTATAATCACTTGTCTGTCATGCTTTTATTTGTGGGTGATATGGCCGTAGCATACAACAATCATGACTGTTTAGGACCAAGTGAATAAAACATATAATTCTGATAATCTATTGCACCTGATATTTGCAATAATATGAAGGGAAAGTAACACCTTAGAAAAAAAGTATTCCAAAAATATTCGAGTATTCGATTTTTTGAATATTGCAGGTTCGAATGTTCACAAACGATTCAAAAAATTGAATATAACAGTCACGAGTATTTAAAAGGTATTCCAAAAAGATTTCTTGATAAAGTTGATTAACGAATGTACGATAACTCGTAATCGATTGGAATTTCTTCCGTTTTCTGGGTCCAATAAAGATGTTCCCGGGTACCTGAGCCTTTTGCTCGGCCTACAGGCCCGACAACACACTCGACGCCAACGATCACGAGCTTTGAGCCACCAGACTCCGTCTTGTATGGCCAGCAACAACCATCCACTTTCACCGTCTTGCAGACTTCGACCAACGCAAGCATTTTTTCACGCCCCTGAAAGGTATGGCAAAAAAATAGCTTGAGATCGCCAAAATATTTTCTCTGCGCTTGGCGGATGGAACCGTGTCGAGCACTTCTGTCAGTGTCGACCCAAACATGCAGATAGACGAAGGATTCTCTGGTGATTCCACCAAAGACCCTCCCGTTGCTAAACAGATAGCTTCCGGTTTCCACGATTTCATTTTCATCGATTTGAATTCCATCGTAAGATTGGCATTGCCAGGCCCAAAAGTTGCGCAACTGGCTCTTGCACTGCAGTTCGGCAATCGACTGCTGGGCAAACGGACTCCAGATTTCCGGACCATTGGCAACATCAGACAGGGCAATGACATTCCTTTTTCTCGTATTAGAAGCGGGCACGTCACTGAGGTCGTTGTCGTTGTCATCATTATCCTCCAGTCTTTTTCTTCCTCTGACAGCAGAAAGCTCGACAAATACATTGCCAGCATTCGCTCCTGTATGTCTCTTGGAATGGATTCTTCGTTTCAATTCACCGATAGCTCGTTCCATCGCGAAAGCCGCCGTAAAAGGCAAAGGTCCAAGTCTTTCAATGATCTTGTATAAATGACTCAAGTAATGTTGATTTACCGTGAACACAGCAGCAGCAATTTTCTTTGAGCGCACTTGTTCGTGCAGCCATGCAGTCCATGAAAAGACAGTGGCTTTCAATGACCTGATTTGGTCTACTGAGAGTTCACGACTAAGCGCGTAGCAGTAGATCTCGCTCAGATCAATAATGGCTTTCCGGACACCAGGATCTGTGTAGAATTCAAGTACAATAGTTGGAACGAAAAATCGCACAAAGTGAATCCAATCCACTGCACGGTAGAAGCCGCTTTGAGTTGCTACATCGCCACAGTCACCGGCAAAAGAAGATGGTATCAGACTTCTCGAGGCCGCAATTCTGGCTCCAATCAATTGGCGATTTTTGGGCGACAGATAGAAGGGATTTGCGGATTCGCCATAGTCACCAAGGATAAGTCGCCAGAGCTGCTTACCAATCCCGGGACCGAGCAGGTGCATAGGGTCAACCGGAAAGAAAGTTGCACCATGGAACGATGACAATGTTGCAAATGGGCTTGCCTTCTGTTGACCAAGGCATTGATCGGAGATTTGAAATGTTTGTGAGAGACGAATGCTTGCTTTGGGCCGGTGGTCAGCTTGAGCTTCATCTCTTCCATTCTAACAAGCAGTTATATCTCCATTCATGCGAATCTATATTTATGACCTTACTTTAAAAACGGGTGGAAATGTCATGCGATTCTCTGTGTATACCCCACGGATAGTGCAGAATCGGCAACCATGATAATGGTTATGACCAGCATGCCCACACATCTTGGCAACCGCAGGAATATCTCCACCAACAAACATAAGATGTCCTTTCACTTTGAGTGTACCGCTTCCTATCCGTACAATCATGCCACTCTCGGAAAGTTCGCGCACTTCAGTAAGAAATGGTTCCAAAAAGCTAAAGATGTCTGCAGGCTTATTGGGACCAGGTGTAACGCAGACTTGAAGCATGTACTTGTCTTCTGTACGTTTCTCGGGAGGAAGATTGAGTAAAACTACGTGCACAATTGTCATGGAATACTGTCCACGCTTGAACGGCTGAAAGTCGTCTGTATACAGTCCAAGCGCCAGATCCAGTTCGTTTTCAAACATCAAGTTCTTCATCTCCTTGTATACATTTCCATCAAAAATATCTTTCATCACGGATGGCGACGACTCTCTGCTAGATCTGTACCGAAGCAAATTACGCGTTTGATCATTACTGATCAAAAGTGCAAGCTGCTCTTTCAAGGACAATTGCTGCATTGTCATTGCTGGAGTGCACAAATCAGCTTTGAACCGGGGTTCCTGACAGTGCGTACACGCAAGACTGTCCTCACCAGCCTGATACATCTTGCAGCCACTGCGGCAGACGTCATATATCTTCGGCTGGATAGGATATGAACGCCGAAGAGCATTTCGCGAACGATGGTAGCTTAACAGCGGTGGGAGCAGACCATCCGTGTAATTGTTGACGATTTTCACCATCCGTCCGAAAAATTCTCTGGAGGCTCCGAACTCCACAGTCAGCGCATAAAGATCAATGCTAGCTTTGACTTTGTCTTCTTCAGGGATGTGCACGTTGTGCATGTCGTATACCTTAGCATCATCGGCATTTCTACTTTTATATAAACACATTAGCACTGACCCTATCGGAGAAAAAAATAAGATTTACATTGCTTCTGGCACCGTCTCGATCCCAAATGCTTCGTGCTCTTCCACTACCGTATCATAGACCAACTCCTCGTCCAAATCCATGTAGTCCTCTTGATCAATTGCTTCCATGCGATATGCAGGACCAGTCTCCTATGTAAAGATAGTTAAGCATTTGATGTTGTTTCTATCGCGAAGAATATTAAAGTTATCATTGACGACGATGCCAATACTTACGTTAATGGGCGCAAGATTGACAGCATCATTGTGAAGGTTACTTTCAACGTTGCCATTAGTTGCACTAGGCTAACAAAAGAAGTCTATTAGATTGGTGTCACTGCTTAGTAACGCCGAGATGGGCTTATTACTTGGCGCATAAAACGGCCACCTAGTTCTGGTACTGCCAAGAGCTCTCCAGCTGGGATTGTTGCACGCAATAAGTCGATTTTTTTCGGAATACAATTATCATAGTGGGCGTTCAAATGGTCTGAAGAGCCTTTGATGTAACGGCGGCAGATGATGCATAATTTCGTTTCAATTCTTTTCGACATGACGTGAAATGAATAAAAGGGGTAAAGGGTGCTGAGATCGATTTTGCGTTGAAAAAAACTTTTTGCGCCCTGGTTGTTTACTTTTTCTCTTTCTCTCTTCTTTATTCGTTTTTCAATGTCACAAAGTCAAGATACTGCGACCCAGCTATTCACCACCTTCATTGGAATAGTTTCTGAGTTCAAAGCTCTGGTGAAGAGTGAGTCTTCCTCAACAGATGCGAAAATAGATAGTTTGTGCGCTGCAGTCGACGAGTTGAAAGACACAGTTGCAGCAATGAACTCCAAACTTGACGAGTTCAATACCCGACTCCAAAGGGAGGTGGAGTCGCGAAACGACATCTCGCACGTACTCCCATTGTACCAGCACGTCGGCGGTGAGTCGAGTCCGTTCGCGGACATGCCGATCAGACGCACGGTACAGCATCCCCAAGATGCTTCTGGTGCACCCAGAAAGTGGAGCTGGGAGCTCTTCAAGATCTTGGGGTGCGACGTTCTCAAGGAAAGGTGGGATGACTGCCTCCTGACCACCTTCAAAAAGAACGTAAAAGTGTTTACGAAGAGGCTGGTTTGGGACCTCCGGTCGAGGCATTCGTTACCCGCAACGGCAACATGGTCGGATCTTCCCTCCCAGATCCAGAACGAAGCTGTGCTGTTGTTGGAGGGAGGAGTAGGTGTGGATTTCCCGTTGAAAGCTTGTGCGGGCAACTGGGGCGCGCGCCTTCTGATGGTTCACGCGTTCCAAAAATGCAAAGTGAAAGGTAAGCTTGCAAATGGGCTGTTGCTAACCTGTGTCAGGTATTAAATCTTGTTATTAGAAGCCGTGGAACCTGAAGAAGGTGACGCCAGGTATGTTATAATGCGATACATGTCTTTGATGTTTTATGAACTAATGAAGAGCTACTTCAACGGATTTTACAGAATCAATGCTTCAGCTGAGGGAAGGTACGTTTTACTCCGTGTGTTCTTGTATAGATAAAGGCCTGTCGAAGCTGGTTCACTTACATCTCACAGCTAACTAATCACATTCTCTTATGATGCAGCATTTGCGATGAAGAAGTCTTGGCGCAGGACGAGCAGATGGCCGTTTCTGCTGAAGTTCACTCTCTCGCCAACGAGGTGAGCACATCGCCTTTGTGCACAGCTGTGCGAATGGGCTTTGACGCTCACCTGTCCAGCGATGAGGACAACGAATTTGCCGGTGCTAAAGCTTTGCCAGGTAGGAGTAATGATAGTAGCAGCATCCAACCAAACACTGTAGCAAAAACATTAGGTTCATCTTGCCAGAGTTGACTTCTTTGACAAATCATCTAACATCTTTCTGAAGGCAAGAAACGTGGTCGCCCGGCGAAAGCTGTCAATTCCCGCAAAGCTGTAACTACGAAGAGAGTCAAGAAGACTTTGACAAATAGGAAATCTCTTGAATAATCCTATTAATTTATTTAATAAACCAAATTATAAAAACCATTCGTGCGTGCTATTGCTATTTGAATAAAAAAAAATGGAAGTGAGGTTCCAACCAATAACAATGCCGGTTGGAAGCCAATCAGAGAGACCCAACATGTTCCGAGATTCAGAAAATACTCTAAAAGTATTCAAAATTATTCAATCGGATACTCGAAAAATAATCGGAAAATGCCTGATTTTTTACAAATTTGAGTATCCAAATATCCGAATATTTTCGGAGTACTTTCCGAATATTTTTTTCCTAAGGTGTAAGTTAGAGAGATAGAAAAAAAGGTGACATAGTAAGGCGCGAAAGCTGGGATAATCCATATATAGCAGTCGTAGTCCTTTATTAGCCCATATCTCAAAAATAAGCAAAGGTAGGTGGATTGCATTGTGGGGATCGTGCCGTGTGTTGATCTCTCAACGCGGGATCGACCCACAGCGCGGCCCTGTGCAATCCAGTCACCTTTTTGTTTTTGGCCTTGGCGGGACTCAAAGTCCTAGAATGAGAAGAAAAGTACTTGATGCATTCAGAAAAGGGGTTTTGGTTTACGCAAGGTTTCGTGGTCCCAATGGACAATAGGTTTTACCCTGTTTGGTAGCATCATTAAGGGATTTCAATACTATATAGGATGCAGTAACATAGCATTGTGGCGACGCTCCAAGAAGTGGAAAGACCAGCATACTGTATAATATGACCTTGATATAAGGAATGATGCCCTGATTGATACTTGATGCGGTGCGCACTCTTGTATGTTTTTCCAATTCCTGTTTCAATCACACTCTCAAAAGTCATGTACTTCTTGGATGAAACTATTTGGGACAAATTTTACATGTTTAATCGTTGACCCAATGTTACTGAAAACATATCACTGCAACATATAAAGAAAAACGTGATAGAAAAAATCTCACACAATACACATACCGTTGACTCGAATACACAGCTAAGGTTCTTTGGTTAATGCAAAGGGAAGCTGGCCAAATAAAAGATTGTCAAACACAAGTGAGATGACCTTTTCTGCAATCTTTACCGTTTCATCTTGCTGCCCTTTGCTGCAACATGCAATACGTTGCTAATAAAGCCATAATAAGTGTGGTATGGTCGGTTGCATTTATGAACACGACATCATTCGATATACTTGCTACTATATAACGAGTTGTCGCTGGATGGATCCATATGCAAGCGGAGGGTCAAAAAGATGTGTGACTACTGGGCCACTGAGAATGGAGCATTGGGCTGGATTCCGCAGTAGACCACCTTTCTTTGTGAATTTTTCAAGCGTCGAGTCCTCTTCTTTAATTCCAGCTTGCAACTGACCCATCATGGCTGTTAAAACAGAGGCTGCCGACGATGCTAATGTGGATGTAGAGAAAAAGTATCAAAAGGACGCAAAAGTAGGCGAGGGTACCTATGCCGTGGTTTACCGAGGTTAGTTGATCCACCGTGATGCTTGGATCTTTATGGCATGAACCTGACACTGATCTGTTCTCTTCAGGAACCATGGTGGCCACTGGACGCCAAGTCGCTATCAAAAAGATCAAGATGGGCCAATTCAAAGATGGACTCGATCTGACAGCTATTCGCGAAGTCAAATATCTTCAAGAACTTGCGCATCCCAACGTGATTGAAGTAATTGTGAACATAGGTCTCGGTGGTGTTGTGGTCGTTCTTCTTTTACTAACGGCCAACATGGTTACAATCAGTTAGTAGACGTGTTTTCCCACAAGACCAATCTTAATTTGGTGCTAGAGTATTTGGACTCAGACTTGGAGCAGGTCATCAAAGATAAGAGCATTCTGTTTATGCCGGCCGATATCAAATCGTGGATGATGATGATGTTACGTGGACTGGATCACTGTCATAGGCATTTTATATTACACCGAGTATGTGGCAATGTTCATGAGTGGTCTTTCTACCGAGGACAACCTCTGATTCGTTGTTTTCGCATGATGGATAGGATATGAAGCCTAATAACTTGTTACTGACTCGCGACGGTGTCCTTAAAATTGCTGATTTTGGTCTTGCCAGAGACTGGGGTGATCCAGGGCGACAAATGACCTCACAAGTGGTGACAAGGTGATACGCATATTTGTTTTGGGAAAAAAAAAAAGACGACAGTGACTCATGTGGTGGAGTGATTAGATGGTATAGATCACCCGAGCTTTTGTTTGGCGCCAAGGAGTACTCGTACGCGGTGGATATCTGGGCGGTGGGTTGTATCTTTGCAGAGCTCATGTTGAGAACGCCTTACGTTGCCGGCGATTCGGATATGGACCAACTTATGAAGATCTTCCATGCTCTGGGCACACCCACTGAGATGGATTGGCCGGTTCGTATCCTATTCGGAATATTTAGAATCTTTTTATTTGGATGACCTTTTTTTTTGACAAACGTCGGACAAGGTGACAGGAAAAGAAATAGTAAAAGGCTAATGATGCATCGATTGTTTATGTAGGGCATGACATCGTTGCCGGATTACATTCAATTCAAACCGTTTCCCAAAGTGCCGTTACGGCAATACTTCACCGCCGCTGGGTCTGACGCACTGGATCTTTTAGAAAAGATGCTTGTTTTTGATCCCAACAAACGATGGACAACCGAGGAGGTAGGTTAATACAGGGTACAAAAAAAAAAAAAAAGAAGAGAATCTGATGAAATGTTACACCGGCCTACCCGCCAATCCACAGTGTCTTGATCATTCGTACTTTCGGAATCTGCCGTTGCCTACGAAACCAGAAAAGTTACCACAAAAAGCGCCTAATGCGGAGCAGGTTGCGCAAACCCTCAAGCGGAAACCGGATTCGTTTGCAAATGAAGATCCATCGGAAAGGAAAATGCCGAGAAAATAAGATGGCTATTTTTTTTGGGAAGGCTTTCATGCATGACCTGAAAAAATTTTGTCTTTTTGTAAATAAACTACTGCACCACATCATTTCCCAAATCCCTTTTTCCCCGGGGTAGTACAACAGGTGTAAAAAGTTCTGCTGACAGTCGCAAGAAATGAAATAGAGAAGAAAAAGAACAAAAAAAGAAAGAAAGAAAGGGGAAACGAGAGTAAGACAACATGGCAAAAAAAGGTTGATCGTTATCGGGTGCGGATCACGGACATGATTGCGGCAGGTGACCTAGGAGATAACCGACAGGTTTCTTTGACGGGATTCATGCCAATGGTATCGAATGGCGCTGCTCCGTTGGATACCGTTGATGTGCATTGTGGTCTTCTCACTCAATCGTGATGATTGGCGCGTGATACCATTGAATGGCGGGAATTTAATCTTTTTTCATATGAGATCGGTGGTGGAACGATGGCAAAAAAATAGAGGGCAGATAAAAGAAAAAAAAATTAAAGCTGGTCGAATGGGACAGCGGGACTGTGTTCTCTTTTCTCAATTCAACCCCCCCTTTTTTTTTCTGGCCTTGAATCGGTGTCGCCCTGTTTTTTTTACTCTTTATTGCGACTTGTTATCTTGTTCATCTGAAGCCATGTTGACTGCTCGGTATGAACCGCACGATCTTTTCAGGTCGTCCAAACCCATCTTGCGACGTAAACCGCATAAACAAACTCCCGTGGTGCATTTTGACGAAGAATTGAAACGCGATCGATTCATCGAATTAGCTCAGGCAGCCTTGGAACAAGCTATCAAAGAAGAAGATCAAAAAGGAGTCATTAGAGAAATGGTCGAAGCCTTGATTGCTCGAAGTGGCGCCCCACTCGTGGCCGAAGTCATTTCAGAGCAGATGCGAAGTCAAGATTTGATTGAACAGCTCGCCGAACGCCACCAAGAGCGAAGGCAGTTGAATGACGACACCACACCTTTTCCGCATACTCTCAAGGAACCGCTGGACGAAACCTTGCGAAGTGTCAATACCGCTGCCACCTACGATGAAACGGTCGAACCCATGACGCTCATGGCAGAATACATGTGGCGCTTCTTTCGACTCCTGTTGCTTGCAAGTATTGTAGGCCTCATTTACCATTTCTTGTGCGCATATTCCCCTCTTACACAGTCATGATTCCCCTTTGATATTTTTTTTTCTGTCTTTTGCCCTTTTTTTTTTCTTCAACATCACACCCTTTATCTCTCCAGATTCCCCGTCGTCTTCTTCTTCTTCTCCCCTTCAAACTTCACTTTTTTCCGATAACCAAGGAATCGCGATAACCCTTCAGCTAATTGCTATTCAAAATATCCAGCTCATACAAAAGTGTAGACACGAGTTGCTGATCCTCACGTGTGTTGCCATAAAATCGTGTTATCAGCTCTTGCCGATCGTCTGAAATCGCTTCTACCACGCAGACGAACGTGTTGCCCTAGATGTAATGTGTGAGAAATTCTAGATTTCACCTTCTTCTTTCCAAAAATGACATAAATAAAATCAAAGGGAACCAATTGTCTTTTTCTTTCTGTTCCTTACCATGGTTTGGTTGTGCAGCCTGATCTGCATATCTTTGTTGATACCCAAAGTTGGTTGGATTTCCATGATTTTCCGCAGAAATGCAGCCGAATAAACTTTTTCAATTCCCGGTGACTGGTCTTGCACCACATCCTTGGCATGCTCATCCACCGTTTTATGAAGCTGATTGATTTTCAGGTTGCAGTTCATCGCCAATGGGTCAGCTCGCTGTGCTTTTTCTGTCATGTTTTGATCTTTTTTTTTTTTTTTTTTTTTTTTTTACCTGGTCGATGATATACAGTCCAAATGCGTGATTGATAGTCACTGGATCTGTGGTGGTGGCAAATGAGATGGAAATAGTATTATTACACTGCATCAGTTTGGGAGGATGGATTCGAATGCGTTCGATATGTTTTGTGAAAGCAGGTAAACAGAGCTGCTCTGCAGTCTCCAATGTAAACAATGTCCTGGACTCGCAGCGGGTATCATTTGTTATCTGAAAGGTAGAGATGGAGTCGTAGGTTATCGTTTCTGCATACTGTTGTGTGATAGTGGTGTGAAAATAATTATAATCAGATGCATGAGTTAGACATTGTCGATTGGTTTTGAGAAGAAAAACAACAACCCCCTGATTGACTTACTTTGCTTGCTGTATCGAATCGGATCGATCCGCTCAACTGCATCAGCGGAAAATGCGTCCCGTTGATAATAGTCACCGTAAGTAGAACCGTACCATCCGGACCCTGCTCCAATTGACTAGCTTTTTTGGAGACAAAAGATTTCAGTCACTTTCTGATCCAATAAAGGATTTTGAATAGGTCAGTCACTGTACCTAGTTTGACGCCGGTTTTGAACACTTGTTGCATCATGGAATTCACCATGTCTGTCATTTGAACACTCCGTTCCAGACTGCTGGCCAAGGTCTAAGCAGCAATTATTAAACAAGGTGGGACTAAGAAAGGGTCACGGCGCGTCTTCACCTACAGAGTAAACACTGGAAAACGACGACTGAACACCCTGCAGCGACGTGCTCAGCGCACTGAATGCGTCTTGTTTTGATCTGTAACAAAAACTGTCAATGAACAAAGTCCATATAAGATCTGTATTGACCATGAAAGTATTACTCATTGGTGGAAGCATCTTTGGACGGATCAGGGGAACTCATAGGGATAAAAACGCTTAGTACGGAAACCGAGACGGATGAAGTCAACGTCAATCGATCGGAGACATAAAAAAAAGCCAAAATATTAGATCATCGACAGACAGGCTGAGCTTGCATTTTTTTGGCTCGTGCGAAATTCTATGGGATGCAAATGCCATCGACGTCTTTTTTTTTGACATGACGATGGAACCACGGAATCTCCGCTATGCAAGCAAAAACCCCACATGCATTTTTTTTTCGATGGAGCGATCCACCGGATAACCTAAAAGAGGTCAAAACTTCGCGGGTACAGAAAAATCGTTCCGAGAAACCAGTGCTTTTAAAAACCACCGAGTGTGCGGTTATTCAAATGTCCCACCTCTTCCTTCCCTTCCTATATCATTATGACCTCTTTGAAAAATCGGCCGTGCCTTGCTGAAGCAACGCCTCTGTTGCCTAAACCACTCACGCCCAAAGAAAAACCTTCATATTGGTTCGCCATCCTATTGCCGTTTGGTGTGGCCTTCGGCACCGGGTAAAATTCATGCGTTCCCATGATTTGGGAGGAATACAATCATAACAATAAAAGGCATATTGATGTAAACTATTCATTTCTCTTGTTCCCATGTTGTCAACAGAGCCCTTTTAGCCCCTCAATTTCAATTCTACACTGAAATATTCTGCGACAGGTAGGCTCCCCACTCCATGTTGGTTGCAATGACGAGATGCCATGGCAGCCGAAAAAAAAAAAAAAAGCTAATCGCGATCCTTGGCTTTTTTTTTTCTGGTCCCAAAGATATTATGAAGCGAAAGAGGTCACAAACATGGATATCACAGACATAGAATTCGTATTACCGCTCAAAGATTGTGCTATACCCGAAATTCAGGCTATTGTATCCCGAGCCTATGCGGTCATGACGTTTCTTACATTTGCCTCCGGTATGATTTTCTCCAACTTTCATGCACAGAAAAAAATGTTGTCTAGGCAATTGCAACACTCACCGGACTCTTTCTCTTTGGTAGCTCTTTTAATGGCAAGTTACTATGGTTCTTTATCCGATCGAAAGGGTCGCAAATTGGTGCTTTTTATTTCAGCGCTCGGCAATATCACACCATTGATCTGCTACATTGCGACGGCCAAGTATCAGGAATACTTTGGTGTAACCTTACTTTACTTGGCGCCATTGTTGAAAGGCCTCTTGGCAGGTGAGAATATTCAAATGGCCGCCATTCAAGCTTACATCTCCGATTGCACCACACGAAGGCAAAGGTAAAAAAAGCCCTCGTTACCCTCATCCGTCCTATTTGTGCTAACCATGCCCTAATGTCAGAACCACTGCCTTTGGTCGCATGTTGGCTTCTATCTACATTGGTGCTACGCTGGGTAACTTGGAGCAATGATAATAATCAACTTTCGTCGCGTTGACTCGCAATCTTTAGGTCCTTCGGTGGCGAGTATTCTCATCGAAGTACGTAAAACCCACAAGACAATGACTAAAGATAGAGAATGTTATTTGACTGACTTGAACGATTTGCCTTTTTATTAGAAAACGCACAGTATTCTAGCCGTGTTCTACCTTGCTGTGTTTGTTCACTTTTTATTTGGTATTTACACGGCTGTCATTCCCGAATCCAATGAACCTCTGTATCGGCCATCTGAAACCAAGATCCAGGCTGCTCCTTCCCCATTTTGGAAACGGTTAAATGTCTTTTCCGCATTAACCATCCTGAGTCGCACAGAGATACGCCATCTGACACCTTGTGCTTTACCGATTCTCGGTACGATCCAATTCTTGATGACCGCCGTTGCCATGCCGCCTACACTGCTGTATGCGATGCTGAAATTCGATTGGACCGCCGTCGAAGGTGGTGTGTACGTGAGCATTGCCTCCTTTAGCCGGCTCATCATGATGGCCGCTGTGCTTCCAGCCATTGCCTTGCTTTTCCATAAAAAGTCGATGCGTTCCCGTCGTGAAAGCACCAAAAGCAACCTCTCGTCGTCCTCAACCGGCTCCTCCCCCTCTTCCTCTTCCTCCTCCTCCTCCCTCCTTGTATCGCCGCCCAATGAAGAAGATGTCGAGCACAATATGCTTCTCGATACCTGGATGATCCGTGTCGGTGTAGCCACGGAAACTCTTGCCTTACTATTGTTTGGTCTGGCGACCAACGGTACCTCGTTCACACTCATCGTGGTTCTTCAAAGCCTGTCACTGCTGGGACAACCTTCTCTCCGTTCTTTACTGACCTCGCTTGTCAAACCCTCCGAAGTGGGACAAGTACTCGGCGCCTCGGCCGTCATTGAATCCATTGGCAGTAAGTTTTTATAATAGATCACGCGCACCGCCACACTAACGATTGCTGAAAATGCTAATATCACCATTGATAGTGATATTTTGTCAAGTTGTCATCAACACTCTATACAGTGCTTCTGTAAGTACCATGCCAAATCTCGTGTTTTTCTTTTGCGCTAGTATTGCTGGCATTGCTTGCATTCTGGCGTTCTTGATCCATCCTGTCAAGTCAACGACGGATGAGGAAGCCTAGTGCATGTGAAAAAGTTACCCTCCTTGATACTCCTTCATTTGACACCGTTTTTGTTTGTCATACGCTTCATACATCATTTTTGCTTTTTGTCTTTTTCCAGTTAATTAATTATTTTCTATTTGCTTTTCATTCTTTGAAGTTTACTCCAAACGATAAAGTTTTTAATTCTGACATTGATCATCAATTCAATGTTGGCTTCACTTAATTTATTATTTTACGTTGTTTTGCCCGGTTTCTAACGGTCTTGGTCTTGGAACTATTTCCTCGTACACGATACGTGGTGAGAGGTGGAGTTTCTTTTATTTTAGAGTCTACGGTACAGGATGACAGGATAAGCATGACGGATTCCGCATGGCGCGCACTTTTCCATCCAGGCGTTCAAGACATTTATGCAAATGTCGAATCTGGGTTTTGAGTTCGTCGCAAGCGATGGCCAATTCTCGGTCCATGTCTTCGAGCACTTGCCGCGATGCCGCCTCGAGAGGCCAGATTGTGTAGGCATTGACGAGCGAATGCAATACAATATGAATAGCCGTCCATTCGCCCCGCAGATGAGCCAGATCGTTCTCTAGAATTTCAATGGCTTGAGGATTCGGCGTAACCAACGGCTTGTTCACGTCACATCCACATGACGTGGTATACCAACGTGGCTGCACGATCATAATCGAGCCCAAAATCAGTATGCGGCTGATTGGATTGGGCCCTTCAATTTATATTAATGAAAGGCATACCAGCCACAAGAAGATATAAATGAACTGCACGAGGGATGTTTGTACAAGTCCGTGATAAAGAGATACTAATTCCAAGGAGCGCCGCATGGTGGACCCTATCTTTTCCAACTATACTTACGGGACGCCACTAAGAAAATAAGCTCTCTCTTTCCTTGCTGCATCCCTAATAAAATCAGGGCTACGCGTGCAAGGTTTCCATGGGGCCATGCACGTTCTATTGCTGATGTCCAAGAGCAGAAGAACAGCACAAAAAATCAGGCCATTCTTGCGTTAAGGGAGGAACCTTCAGGCACTTGTTTCAGTGAAAAGTCAGACAACGAAGATAAACAAATAAACTCTGAATTCACACGACTCTTTAGAATGGTCAATAAAAAGACTTTGGCGATGACGATCCCCTCATTAAGCTCTTGGGAAACAACCACTTTCTCTTGTTATCAAGTGCCCGCTTATTGAACCGTTTTAAGCTGATAATGCATATCCCTTCTGGAGTCGGACTGTAGTAATGTGGATGCATCTTCTCCAGAAATAGAACAATAGCTCGTCGACCTGGCTCCCAAAAATGAAAATAAAAACCCATAAAACTGGGTGCATCATGTACGCTTTATTAGAAGTTGCCGCAGGAGCTTTAAGTTCAAGTTTAATTTCAATCGATCATAGAACGATAGTTTTGATGCATTCTTTCTACCTTTTGCCAATAAAAGTATTTTGGGGTAAGAGCGATAATCGCTCTGGATTGGCCTTCTCGTCTTGAGTTCCTGTAGTGTCTGAAGGTCTAGTTTTTCCAGGTTGACTGGAAGCATCTCGGTGTCTGGGTCTTCGCATGACCTCTTAAAGATTAGTATTGAGGAGAATAGCTTTGCGAAGATTGGTAGAAACAATGGCACTTAGAAAAAGATCAGTTGAAGTGCGCATAATTTTTCTTTTTTGGCATGAATCCGTGCGGATCTCATTGTGTACACTCCTGTTCAATAGTCACCGTAGGAATTTCAAAATTTCTAATTTCCCAAAAAAAAAAAAAAAAAAAAAAATTCGAAAATGCAATGATATGTTTCGATGGACAGCGGTCATAATAAAAGGCCATCCGAACAACTCCAAAATTTATAGATCAGATATTCGATAACCTGTAAATGAATAAAGGTATAACAAACAGTATTTAATACGACGTTTGACCGCGTTCTTTCTCTATTACAATGCGGCACCTATTGGGCACCTAATCACTAACGGGGCTTGCAGGCACCCTTCCTTTTCCGCATTCTTTCTGGTCCCGTCCTGCTGAAAATGTCTTTTTGCTGGTGGCCCCCGTCACGAAGGTTTTTTCGTTTTTTTTTTCGTTGTCCGCGTTGCTTGCCTGTCCCTTCGGTGTTGCTTCTGTTCGTTCCAGACAACTTTTTTTTCCTGACCTAGTATCCCGCTTGTGTCCTTTTGGTTGGACGTCTGTTTTTTTTTTTTTTTTTTTTTTTTTTTTTTTTTTTTTTTTTTTTGGTTCCTCTTGTCGTCCCTGGGTGTTTCTTGGTTTTTCCTCCCCTCGTCCGGGGCGTTTATCGCCGTCCTCCCCCAGGTTGCGGACTTCTAGTAGTGGGCGACCATCTTCCCAGAGGTTACGGTAAGTTTTTCAATAAAGTAAGAAAGCTGTATATGATATAATTTCAATGATGACTCTTGTTTTCTTTGTTTTCTTTTGTCTTCTCTCCCTAATCTGGTCATTTTCCAACTCGCAAATAATTATCTTTTACTTGTCTATATTTGATTTACTCTCATCATTTGATGTTTATGCTTTTTATGTCTTTTTTCTTGTATTGCCATTTTGTCTGTATCATAATTTGCGATTTTGTGATTTTCAAATTCCTACGGTGACTTTTGAAATAAACAGTAGGCCAGACAATCATATCCAGCAGTGACTTTCGTCGGTGAACCAGTAATTAGCCTTACCAGCCTAACTTTGGTTTGATTCGTCTTAAAAAACGTACTCCAGTTCCGATGACATGAGCGTGTATAGTACATTAGATATGCAATAGTTTACAAGAGGTATTGTGTTTTAGCAAAGATTGCTCCTAGTATTAACGTCTTTTCTCAAGCCGTCTCATCCGCATTGCTTGTTTGAAGTCGATCCAACAACTGGATCAGTCCCTGCGCTGAATAACAATGCTCTAATAACAACAAATAACATCACCATGAATACGTACACATGCATAACCTTCAGGTTTCCAACTCCGGGGTTCAATGATATATTACCTTCACAGTCCCAAAGGATTTTGGACCACAAATCATTCATCATCAAAAGACTTCTTGTACCAAGAATAATCAAATGTCTATAAAAAAATCAAACCAAGTGAGCCTTTATGCGTTTCAGGTCACAAAGAGCATTCATTACGCGTACCTCTTGGCTCGCGTCAAGGCTACATTTACACGCGGACGATTATCCATAAAGACACTGTTGGTAGTCCTTACGGTGGATAATATAATCACTTCTTTTTCTCCACCCTGATGATCGTCATATTCCAAAAATTAAGCTGTATTCATTACGATACTGCTAGTTCAACATTTACCTGAAATGCATCCACTGTCGAAATCTACCAGACGTATCAGTCATCGGACCAAGCATATGTTATTATTGTTCATCATTTACCTGTACGCCTTTCGCATTCGCTTTCATGGTCTCACTCAAATGTGCTACTAGTCGATCGCCTTGCTCTTTATCTGTACCGTATTTGAATCGTCTGTCAGCGGTCGCATGCCCTGCCTATTTTCAATTTCTGAAATCACTTACAAAGAGAAATGACGCCAATTTCTGACGCGGGAATGCCTAGTTTCAGGACGGTCTGAGTTATCTTCGCAGACAACATCATTTCCGTCTCGTTCCAGAAGGAATTGGTTCGTATGGCTCTTTGTTCCTGTTACATCTTTTTAGATCCAGCCTGCACGGTTAATTTTTTTTACTCTGTGTATCCTTACAGTGCCACCCGTGTCTACAAAGGAGACTGTTGGTAGACCTTCTATTAACGGTGCTCGATCACTGGGCTGCACGCCATTAAGTAGATAGCGATCGTAGAATAACCGGTTGCTGATATTCGCAATATTTGGGTGACACTATTAGATGTGGAATCATCAGCCACAGCCTGGTACCACAATTCCCCATTCCATAACTTACTCTGTATTGCGTTCGTAGCATGATTGACTGAGCCAAAGATGAACGTCAGCTTCTATTGGTACACATACATCCCCATCTCTGTTCAAATTAGTTACCTCATATCCTAACTGTTGAACAGTACAAAAATCAGTTGACATAAAATACTATGGCTGCCTCTATTTTCGCGAGCCTACTTACCTCCGTCATTCGGTCAAACAACGTCTTGTCCAGCCCTTGGCCAATAATGCCTTCGTCTGCAGCTGTAGCTAGCGTAGGCGGCAGCTTTTTTTTTTTCGCAATCCACAAATCAATATGAGGCGTTGTTGCCAGTTTTTCGTTTCTTTTTACCTGTAAGGGATCGCCAATCATAATCAACCGGTTACAACCGAACCGCGCCATAGGCACCATGGTCATTGGTTCCATCATTTGAGACACTTCATCCAACAGAACCAGGGGGAACTTGGATTCATAGAAAATGTCAAAGATCGACGCCATACAGGTGGTGCCTTGGAATAAATTTAGCCGCGAAATCCCGTAAAAATGCCATTAAAAAATAAACGTACCAACAACATCAGCCATTTGCAGTTCTTGGAGCATGTTTTCTTTTTTTCTGAATCGTTGAATCGTGCTTGCGATCAAATCATGGTCCTCTTCCGAGTTTTGAGGATCATCCAACATTTCTTCAAGTTCCTTCAGTTCTAAACGAGGACGTGTTAGCTCCATTGGCAATACACGTACGGTTCGATATTTACCTTCTTTGCTTGAAATCTTGGCTTGTGCTGTATAAGGTAGTAGTTTCTTGGCAATTTTCTTCATACTACGTACCATGTTGATGATCAGTGATGTGTCTCATAAAAAAGTTGCTGTCCATCGAACTCACCTGCCAACGCGTACAAAGTGATCATACCCTAGTTTTAGCAAACTCTATCTTCCAGTATCATTAAACGTTCGAATCTTCTGCACTGTTGCAAGAGTGCCTACCAAAAGAATACGATCCACTGCTACATTCTAAAGAGTCTGATGAGCCTAATTTTTTCATCCATCATATATTCTTCGCCGTGTATTTACCGTCATGGAGGATACCAAGATTTTGAAAATGATGATATCATCGGGTTCTCTTCCACTGCATGCCGTATCAATGATATCGCGCAAGAATATAATCAGCACCGCTGCCAGAAAACTTGATTCTGAAAGTGAGTTGGATGCGAATATAGATCATGGCGCTGCTGTTACCTTTTGCCCGATCCAAATACACCTGGTCATCCCAAACCAAAAAGGAACATGAGAAGCTAATGCTTAAAAAATAAGATACATCGCTATAGCTTACCGTGAACCAAGACAATTGATCGTTCAGGCTCGTCATTCCATCCGGGACACACAATGACAGCTTTAGCCACCGTTCGCAAAACGCTGGAGTTGGTTTCAATAAAACATGGCAGGTCACACCACACACATTGCTTGGGACGTACCTTGCTTGATCCACGTTGAGAGAATATCTTTCAATCGTTTCCTGGAGTTTGGCCTCTACATCGATATTATCTTCTCTGGTGAGCCGAATATACTCCAGATCCGTCGGTGATGCGGCTTTGATTTTGCTGTTTTTACGATTAGTGCGCTTGGGGTCTGCCAAAAGATCTGGTAAAATTGGCATTCGAAGTAAACGGTCTTCCAGGGCATCTGTAAAAGAAAGAAAAAAAAGATAAAGAAGGTTGAGCACATCCGAATAGCTGCTTGCAGTTCTATTGCATAAGACAAGCGACATTTACCTAGCATCATAAATTCGGCGTTTGCAGAAATGGTGCGAAGGGCATACACTGGACAATTTTCTTGCATGATATTGGTGGCCACTCGGGTGTCGCGTGGCGTCAAGCATCCCAGCTATCATTTTTTTTTATGAGTCGCCTATTTCCGAAGTAAGGAGATAAGGTAATACTCACCTCAATACTGTTATTAGTGAATGGACCATAGAACATACTTCGACCAAGACATGTGGAATTGGCTTCGAACAGAGGACTTTTTGAAATAATCCAAATATCATCTAAAGCAGATCCACGGTACATGAGTTCATGGCGGTCTCAGAGCCTTTAAGCTATCCTTCCGCGTAGCAAAACAGTCGGATTACCTTTGCTGTATTTTGAATGATGTTCCCGGTTTTTAATGAACAGTTTGAACCGATCGGACATGTGGAAACGACCATCACTAAACACTTTTTTTTTCAGTTTCTTATACCAAAATGTCAATAGCTGATCCCGCCGTACCTCTTGAGATTGCAGCCACCGTAAAAACCAACGCCCTTGGATCGAAAATTCCTCTCGATATCGGGTTTGCTTTTGAAGTTCTCATAAAATGAGTGATAATACACTGCATAATTGAGTAGGAGAATCTATAACCGAAGATGCGTTTAATATCTGCACAATTACCACGTGCCACCACCAAGAATATGATGCATACCTGAATATGTTCATTGATCAACTTTTTGAAGGTGTCTTTATACTGCACGACACTGGTCTGTAAACACTGTTCAGCCTTTTCCTGTGTTCATTTCATGCCTTTTTTCATACATACAAAACGCGTGGGCACGGTGCGAGTACGCTTCGGATGAGTTCGTGTTTTCAAAAGATGGAGTGCTTTTTCGCGACTCGGGTATTGAAGTACCAATGGCATAGAACTATAACGAAAAATAGCCGGTGTATCAGTAAACGTCCAGGTGGAGTTTTTCAAATCGAATGAGATCACTTACGCGCCTTCCTCCAGTGGCGATTTGAAGTTTCTATTGTTTGTCGATGTGGACACAGCACTGTCAGGTGGTAAGCATGTCAATAAGAAATCTATGTTTCGTTTTGTCGAGGACACACACCTGGATGATGACTCTAAAAGTGCTGGCTGCTCGGCGATCTCCTCAACTGTGGAAGCTTTCACAAATGTACTACAACCACCTGACGTAAATATCAAACCGCTTAACGCCTAATACTACTCCTTTTTTCTCCATGCGCGCACCTTTCTGCTGCTGACGATGATGCACCGTTGCCAAGCGGTTCGGCAATCTGACTGTGAAGTTTTTTTGCCGTTCGCTTCGACAAGCCAACGCGAACTCGTTTCTACCGATAGCGTGATCGCATAATTACATGTAAATACCGAATGATTTTCCCGGATATGACAAGAATTTTTCTCTTACGGTTGCACCGTCGTTTTTCGGTTCGCTGGCCGGATCAACAATCATTTTGGCGTTGTTATTGGTATTTATCACAGGTGCTGAAGGTGGAATATTATCATCAAGGAGTATGGCATCGAGTAGATCGTCATCAAACATGAATGCATCATCAGCCAACTGAGAGGCCAAAGTTCCTCCCATTTTACGCTTTCCTTTGCTCTTGTCGGCTGATGGTATCTCAAGACGAGTAGAAAATGTCGTGTTGGATGGCGTAGTAAGTAAAGTGTTGCTTGTCACCGTACTAGTTGTAGAGGGAATTGAAAATGAGGATGGTAATGGTGAGGTGGACGGTGAGTTTAGCATCGATTCCGAGGAGGAGACAACAGATGCTGCTGTTGCTGTCCGTGTTGGTGCTGGTGGTGCTGGTGCTGGTGCTGGTGCTGGTGCTTGTGGCGGCGGTGGCGGTGGCGGTGGCGGTGCTATTGTTGTTGCCGTCATTGCTGTAGAGGATGGGAGAGTTTGGGCTAATATTGGTGCAGGTGATGTGAAATGGGGACGAGGAACAGTAGGTGTGAGGATTCTGTCGTTAGCAGTTCGGCTCGACGCCATCATCCGAAGACGCTTTCTCGCTTGTCTGTAATCTTCGGCATGAGTACTGAGAGCACGATCGACCGGTGGAATCGGCACCTAGCATACAAAGCAAAGGTCAATTATGTCGCTCCTATTTTCTCAGATCGATTTCGATTCTTACAGGTACTGGGGCGGCGGCCATGACGGGAGCAGAAGTAATGTAATGGCTCGGACCTGCCGCAGTACATAACTCCTGTCCTTCAAAAGACTCCACAGTTACTAAATGGCCTTCAAATTCGACTTCATCGCCAATTTCAGGCACACCGGTTTTACTAAATTTTCTAAATCCGCACGTGAGGATCACAACCATTCTCCCATGCTGCGGATCACGCCAGGAATTAACTTTACTTGTCAATGTCGTAGCCTTTTTCATCCGTTAGGACAAGCTAAAGAGACCGAGTACATTAGTAATCGTTCATCGGTGCTCGAAATAATTTGTTCGGAAAGCTGTTTGTGGCTTACTTTTCTATTGAAACTGTAGTATTTCATGACACCTGTTGTATATAGAAAGACGGAGGTGGATCAGCAAAACGGGATCAGAGCAAGACTATTTTCGGATACGAACCGTCTTGCCATGTCTTGAACTTCTTTGCTTTTTGTGCAGTGAATAAGACGACATAGTGGGCTACAAAGTGATCATTGTGGGACATGCTCCGCAGGGAAAGGGAAAAGGTACACTCGAAAAAGAGAAAAATGCGGGGACGCGGAAAAACGCGAAGTGATTTTGATTATGCGGCCAACATTGAAAACTCGCGTGTAGCGGAGTCTGGAAATGGAAAAAGGATGGCGGTGGCGAATGAACGAATGAACGATGATGACATTAGTTTTTTTGCACGTGTCGCTTTGTATGAAACCCCAAAACCAGTGCCTATTTGTTTCGATCAAGCAGATTGCAAGCACTACTTTTTCTTTCCAACTATTATGTTGTTGTCGGTGGCTGTTATTGCCTCTTCCTTCCTTTACAATGTAGTCAGTGCCACAGTGGAATCGCCTGTGCTGGATGTCACCACCATCTACAACCAGCAACTCATGATGGACATCATGGCAAAAGCGGCGTCGATAGCTTCCAGCTTCTTCTCCTTATTTTTTCGCATCCTGTATACGGTGGGAAGTTGGATCGTCTGGCCGTTATTTTGCTTGATGCGTGGTTTATGGCAAAGTTTCATTGTCAAGCCAGTGGCATGGTCGATGCACCTCTTTTACACGTTTTATCCAGTGATTATGTTCTGTTTTGCGGCCGTGGCGTGCGGATTGATCATCGGAGGATTTGCGGGTTTTGCTGCTGAAGCATTTTCATCCATTCTCATAGCTGCCACTTGGGGCGCACCCGCCGCGAAGAGAAACCAGCTTCCAGCCACCACCTCAGACCAAGACGGTTCCATTTATTCATCCGATCGTGAAAATATCGAGGAAGACGAAGAAGTTCAAGTGCTAACCATGAGCTCCAAATCGTCCGTCTTTGAAAGCGACAGAGAGAAAGACGGGTTTCGGACACCTACTCAACGTCGTCCTTCCACGCCTTTGCACCAAAGAACCAGTCCTTGGCGCCAACCCTTATCACGACGATCCAGTTCATCCTCCGCCTCCTATTTTCGGCCCTCACGAACCCTGTCGTCCGCAAGGAAAAGATTCAATAGCCAAGAGACATGGCACTGGTCCGACGAGGAAGAAGATGATGAGTTTCCGTCCTCTTTACGTTCCTTTCAACGTTAAACTCTATCCCCCTTCCCTCCCCTTTTTTTTTCCGCCTATCTGTGCCCTCTTCCATTTGTGTACATTCCCATTTTAATCAGGGTCTCGTCATGCGATGGCGTTGTTTATACCAAATGTTTTTGGTGGTATACCTTACTCCAGTGGCAATGCATTTTGTGCGAAAGCGAGCAAAAACTCCCTTACGCGGTCTCATAAAGCTCGCTCATCCTTGACGCCGCCAACGCCGTCTAATGGTTGGTTCACGTTTTGTAAAGGATAAGACTTACATAATGATAATACCGAATTCACACTTTGTATACGCCATTTGACCTTTCTTTGGCAGCAAAGACGCAATATTTGTGCGTCCCATCTGTATTCGTCGTATGGTGACTTTGGCAATGATGTTGATAAAAGATGCGATTTTGGTTCAAAATGACCCATGAATTTTTCGTGTTCATGATACAAATCCAAAATTGTCAACTGTGACAATGGCTCACTGCCTGTTAAAGTAAGAATAATTATTTCTTTTTCGCAAGGTATTGTAACGCACTACCTCGTAATCATGGTTGAGAAGATGCCGGTCAAAATCGCACTCAGGGGCATGACAGCGGACGATTGCATCAGAATTCGCCGATTTTAACTCTAAACCAAGTTGCAACGGGTGATCGGAATATCATGATTGGTTCCATTCGAGATGTAATCAGTGTATTTCTTACGATGATATTTGCAATTTTTTCATTTATTTAGTTGCTATTTTTTTAGCCTTTGCCTAAAAGGAGAAAGTTACAATATTTGCATTGAAGAAGAAAAAAGGAAAAGAAAGCGAGAAAGAGAAAGAGAAAAAAAATAAAAGATGATGCAAGTACAGAGTTTAATGATCAAGGATGCGGAGGTTGCCAGTGACGACCTTGTTTTCTAAGAGGGAACCAGACGGAATGTCGATACGCTCACCGTGGTTAGCGACGATAATGACAGTACCACGCAGTTCTACATGGGCACCAAAAGTAACATCGCCCGTGACCGTCAAATGATCCAATTCCAGAATGTGAGGGATGGTCTTGAATCGGTTCAAGAAATTGCTGACCTTCTTAAAGTGATCACCTAATTTCACAAGAGGTACGTTGCTGAACATGCGTTTGGGGTTCACGACCAATTGACCGTGTACCAACGAATACAGGTTGGAAGTAACCAAGAAAAGATCTGAAGTCGATTTGACGGGAAGGAAACGAGTACGAGGTACGTTGATACCATGAGCGTTACGGAAATGCTTGATAGCCGCACCGACGGCGGTTTCCAACTGGATCACCTTTTCACCGTTTTCCGTCGTCTTGTGGTTGACAATGATCTCCAAATCCATGGTTTCCTCATCCATCACTCGCTTTATCGCTTTCAAATTCAGCCACAAGTTGTTCGTGTTGAAGATCTTGAACTTCTTGACCGATTTGAAATCTTCCACATGCTCTTCGGGCACCTGAGCAATTTCCAACAAACGGATGTGGCCGTCATAGTCAATGAGAGTACCACCCTTGATATCGGCCTTGGTCTTGTCGGTGACTTCCATCAAGAATTCGGCATCCTTCTCCACCATGTGATGCAAGATGTTGAGATCCACCGTGGCGCCCAGATTATCAACGTTGGAAACGAAAAGGTACTCTTTACCCTGAGCCAGCAATTGGTCAAGAAGACCAGAGTTATACAATGATTCATACAAATCACCGTGACCAGGAGGGTACCATTGTTCGATGGGAGAGTTGGGAGAACGGGGTACAGGGAGCATGGATTCCTTCTTGATACGGGGATGACGGCTCTGATTGAACGTGATGATGTCCACATTATGGGTAGCATATTTCTGGACAATGCGTTTGGTGTCTTCATCGGTGTTGAATGAATTCATCAAAATGAAGGGCACACTGACATCATATTTCTTATTGAGGTACTATCAACGAATAATCCATGGGTAAGTCCACAATGAGACCAAAACAAAAAAAAAAGACTCGCGTTGGTGGCACGGACCAACCCCAAACACTTACCTCAATTTGGCGGACACTCAAATCCAAAAATGTCATGCCGTCACGGACTTCGATGGCCGATTTGGGACCCACACAACCCATGGTGGTGCCCAATCCACCGTTCAGTTTCAACACAGCCAATTTGCTCAAATCGTCGGGAGATGTGGTCTCGGGAATCTCTTTGTAAGCAACCACCTGATCCTGCGACGGCGATTGGATTTTTTCCCAGTCACTACAATGATACCAACGTATGAGAAATCGTTCTGTGGTTGGCAAATCCATGAGACGGGCCAATCCCATGATGACTTACATTTTCTTGCCTTTGGCCTTCTCATCCAAGAACCGGGTGAACAACATATAGAACCCATCCATTTCCTGGGTAAAATACTGGATCGATGCCACATCCGATAAACAAAAGAAAGTGTCAGTTCATGGTTTTTCCGGGCAGCATCCGAGTGTGTTTATCTTGGGTGTCAAGCTCGATTCATGCATACCTTGCGGTCTTCTTCATTGGGAATTTGCGAGCCTAACTTGCTCAGCTCCACTTTCATGGCCTTGGCGGCGGCGGCCGAACTGGCGCCTTGGAAATCCTAGAAATTGAACAAACAACAAATGAAAAAAAAAAAAAATAGACGTCAGTTTGAGATGGATTGATGACTAGTAAAAAGAACCTCTTTTTTGAGCATGGGTATGGGACGAACAACATACAAGCGTGGACAGAGTGTGAGGATGGTGTCGGTCGGTTGGAATACCAGTGGAAGGTTTTCTGCCGTAAGCCATGATGAAGTAAAGCGAACTTTTGGGGTGAAAAACAGAGTTGAAGAACGGAAAATATGCCGATTCTTCCCAATGCCATATTTATAAAAGCAAAGGGAAAAATGGTCCCACTCCGCACCGCATATTCTCCGCTGATCATATCCGATAAACTTTCCCTTACCCCCGTTTCAGGCTTTTCTCTTATTTTTTTTTTTTTACTCCCACGATCAACGTACCTGGGTAGTTTGTATTCTTTCCTCTTCTTTTTATCCATCGTTATCCGGCTCACTTGTTACACAGCTATCGTTTGGTCGACTATTTCATCAGTGCCGGCAAGTGGTCGTCACCCACGGGCCCCTTTCCTCGTTTCACAGCCAAACAGTGTTCAAAGTCCGACTATCGAAAGAAAACGTCCATGAAATCCCAAATCATTTGTTCCCTACGAAAAAAAAAATTGTTGTCAGATCGATTTTCCAACAAACAAACACTGGATTCATATTGCCTGTAGGAATCGTTTTGAGGTCAACCTTCCGATGCGAGAGACTTTCATCGTTGTTGACAGTCTATAAGAATCGTCACAGCATGATCAATGCAAGCAAGTCGTTTATTGCGCTTTGTTCATTAGCTGTGTTTAGTGCTCTTATAAATGGTCCATTACGTATGGTGGAAAATTGAGGTTTTTTTTTTTTTTTTTTTTTTTTTGGTAATGGTTGCTTTGCTGGGATTCTCAATAGAATACCCAATCATTGTCTTTATCGGTTGATCAAAAAAAAAAAGTTCTGTTTATCTTTATCTGGCGAGGTGGATTACCTTATCCCGTTCGTTGCATCAAGTTCCGTTATCTATTGCTCATCTCAACCATACTTGGCGGTAAAAACGGAATTCGCGAATACCTATTCCTAAGTCGATCTTATCGCGCTATTTCGTCAAAGAAAAACCCTCAATGACATTGCCTCATTGTCTGTGCAGCTGATTAAAGACGGTTACGGAAAGTCAATGTTGTTTGTTTGAATTTTTTTTTTCTTTACAAAAAAAAAAAAACGAAAATAAAAGAACAAACAAAACCGGCAATAGGTTTGATTCATGGGCTGATTCGCGTGGAAAGGCGGGAGAGTTGGGAGGTCTCATTCATATTATTATTATTATTATTATTTTGAATTATGCAAAATGCAGCATCGGAAAACAAGTCCATATCTTCTAACATTTTGTATGATAACATGAAACGCGTTTTGTCCATTTGTTTTAGCACTGTCAACCTTCCACGCACAAGGGTGCGCTATTTCCATCCAACTTTGGTTAAGCTTGTCTTTCTACTAGTTTATAGTGTCCACAATGTACCATGAAATATTGTATCACGACTTGGGAGCGATACTGCTCCTTTCGTGCATACTAGATTCCTGTGTACGGATCTTGAAGATTTATCCATCGTGCTGTTCCGCACGTAATTAAATGATAGAAACCATGCGCTGATATGTATGTTTTCGTTGAGAACAAGCGATAAAAAATACCTTTGGGTATGGCTCTAAAAGGTAAACTATACAGATACGCAAAAGGTGCAGTGATCAACTGATTATCTCTGTGTAACTTTGTGTTGTAACATTGAATGCAGCGAGAACAATTCTAATGTGCCTTATCCCCTGAGCGCATAGAAACTTGGGATTAAAATAAAGCGCCGAAGTCGCATGAACATGAATGTCTCAATTCCCTGCAAAAAAAAAAAAAAAAAAAAAAAAAAAAAAAAAAAAGAGTTTGGACCCTTATTCCACCTGAATTATTGATTCAGATTGCAGAAAATGGTTTCTTTGACCTGAAAAAGAAATGCCGGATAAAATTTAAAGTGACAACCAAAAAATCAGCCTTGTTTTGCTGATGGCCTCTTTTCACATCAATTTAATTTTTATCCAGTAGAAAATCATCAAGTCAATAGTTTACTGTATATTTGAGAGAAAAAAAAAACCAAAAATGATATTCCCGCTAGTTTATGCTACAACGACCTCCGTGTCCTCAAGGTGTCACACTACAGAATGAAATAAAAAACAAAAACTTACTAGGATCTCAAGGCATATCAAACGATGCAATAATCGTTCATTCACAGAAACACAACAAGAAAAGTCAACTTGCCTAGATTTGGTGCCAGGGAATAAGTGTTGGTTCCACAGCTTGACGGTAAATCATCTAAAGAAAATGAAAAGGGATCCTCTAGGATCATAGCTCGATGTGAATATTATATTTGTAAATATACTCGCCTAGTAATAACATGGTGCCCGATGTTGCTGTCGAGAGCGGTAAACCCAAGTGCGGATCGAGTTGCCAATCATCGTCCAAAAGCACCGGCCCAACGCTTCGACTCACAGATTCAGCTGTCGAGCTTTCATATCTCGCTACGTTAAAAAAAAGAGAAAGAAATCCTGTTAATAACCATGTATTTGCAGGCAATGTCACACTGTACTTACAATCAGGGCATGATGATAGTAGCAGTGACTGCAAGGTGGCCAACTGCTGTCGAAGTTGCTGATTTTCCAGTGCCAAGGACTGCACCATTTCCTGTATTCCTTGTTGTTTTTCTGAAAGTTGTATACATGTATTCTGTAGTTGCGCCGCCTTCTCCGTTAAGCATGCGTTATTGCGCTGCATTTCTTCCAGTAGGCTGTCAAATCGAAGCACGGTCTCCTCCAATGTTTTGGTGTACTGAGATCGCCTTTCTCGAAATGCGGCTTGGGCCAAGCGATTACGATCTTTGCGTTGCTCAGTGGTATATACACGCTGCCGTCCGCCCTTATAAGGTAGCATGAATACTTCAGTGTTGTATGTTTGTTGCTTCATAGGGGAGTAAGTGTTTGTTATTTCTATAAAACAGAAACACACAAAATAAGAAATGGGAATAGCGGGATCGGAGGCACACCAGGGCTGACGACATTATTATCATCCCATTTTGAAACACCGGACCGGTCATCATGGTTTTTTTTTGAACACCGTCTGTGATTTCAATTTGTTGTTGCGGACATCAATGGGTTCGCTGTTGTGCGTTATTAGTTCCATGCTTGGTGCGAAGATTATTTTAGCCGACTCTCGAGAAATATCCACTAATCCCCGATCCAAGCAAGCTGAATACTCGTTTCCTTCAATCACTTTCATTCCGATACAAGAAAATTATCATATTTTGAAAATTCGAAGTGCCTATCTGAAATATAACAAATGCAAAAGGATAGATACTATTTTTTACAACTATTTTCCCAGCGATGAATGAGGGATGGTCCTTTCGCACGCCCTTATGTCACCCCTTCCTAAGCATCATATTATGTCATCAGCAAAAAAATCTGCACTGGGCATCTGAAAGCGCAGCTTACCAAAGGCATTCAAAAGACTCAAGAGCGAGCTGAATTCACAGGAGTTGGTTGGCGGCACTTTGACCGCCCATCACATCTTCTGTGCTACTTGGACGACACAAAGCAGCAGTTCGAGAACCGATCTGATAACCAGAGTTGCTATACGCTGTGAGGATTCGTCTCATATTCACGCCAGCGTTAATATCCCGGTCCCAAATCTAGAACAACCAATGATATAGTCATTATGTCGTCAAAGTAATGCGGACCTCCTTGCTTACCAGTGCGTTGGCATCGTTATTCGCCGACGTGCAGTGGGGGCACAGTATAGCAGTAGGACGATGGATAAGGAGCTACATAATGACGTCGGTGAGATGATCTGAATGAGATACACGCATCCAACTATAGAAAAACTTACTCCGGTCCCAACGTTTACAAAACTTTACGCTGGTCATCACCCCATCCGTATCAATGCTGTTGGCGAATTGAGTATGTTGGGAAGTACCGGCTGTTTATTATCGAAAAAAAAGGTCGCAAGTTAGTCGCTTTTTCAACATCTTGCTGTATCAATTGCATCCATTTACCTGGCTTCACCTGGGAGAAGGGCAACCCTTTTGGGCAAACTTTATCGGGATCGAAAATGCTTCCCATAGGTCTTGCTTGAATTCTTGGTCTCGCTAGGATCTTTCAAGCGAGGTTTTGGGAATAAATTGTATCCGTGGCTCCGTTACAGATCTAGGTGCTTTTCGTACTATAGACATTTGCTTAGCGTAATTTCACAGAGTTTTTCCACACGATCTTCACGAACCATTAAAGCGGGAGGAACAGGATGCCCAGACATCCAAACTTCGTTAAGAAAATCAAACAAGCCGTTTCCCGTCAATCGCACGTACGCTGTGAAAATGTACGTTTAAGTCTCTACCAAAATATATTCAATAATCCATACAGTTATCTTACAGATTTGGTGTGATGAGACCGGAAGGAGAGGCCACTGTTTTCCTCCTAATTCATGTGCTTTCCTCAGAAGCCATGAGGAATAGCGAACCAAATTTGGCGTCATTCTTGTTGCGGCTTGTTCCTCGATTGTGTCAGCGTCTGATCCGGCAAGCTCACGGTTGCGCACATCCATGTGTTTCCCAGGTATTTTTGTGAGTTAGAATCATATATTCAATCTACAGCTTTCAAACTTACTGATAAAATACTTGAATACCGGTATTGTTGCCGGGGACGTGATTCCAGTCATTGGCACTAAAGGGTTTGTAAGCGCACAGCTTCAGAGTAGCCTTCTTGCCTTTATCGCTTTTCCAGAATTTCGATTGTCCTTCAAGGCTACATTAACATACCACGTTTGCGCTTTCAGGAAGCGTACCTTCATGCCGATTAGCGAAAAGATAGGGAAAAGAGGGAATTGGTGACCCATGACATGCGCTACAAGTGATAGCACTGGAGAGTCCGCAAAGTGAGTCAACCAGTCACTATCACCCCACTTAGGACGCTTGTATCAAGATATATCTTCTACAAGCTACTTCTTGGCTGGTGGTTCAACCCACACCCCAGAAGCTCCTTTGTCATCAGGGTCAGGAAACAAAAAGAGGTGGAAAAAGGGAATTGGTGACCCATGACATGCGCTACAAGTGATAGCACTGGAGAGTCCGCAAAGTGAGTCAACCAGTCACTATCACCCCACTTAGGACGCTTGTATCAAGATATACCTTCCACAAGCTACTTCTTGGCTGGTGGTTCAACCCACACCCCAGAAGCTCCTTTGTCATCAGGGTCAGGAAACAAAAAGATGTTAAAACGCGGGAATTTGCACCATTTTCTGATTTTAAAGGGTTATCCCATTTCGCCGTCACACGTATGGCACTGCCAAGATTTCTCATCTTGATTAATTGCCAATGTCATAAGCATCTTCCACGGCTTCGACCTTGCGAGTAACCTTCTGTGATGGAGGATAATAAGTTTATTAGTTTTTGTGAGTTCACGCTCACAGTGCTACCAGTTTTATTATTGCGGACGTTTGATCGGCTGTTGTGTATTTCAATCTATGGCACCAAGTGCGGAGGTGGATTTTGCTGATCCAAATATTCTCCGGTGATTCAGTCGCATTAATCGTAGTCCCTGAAATATAGTGCGTTTCTACAAGAGGCAACTGCCATAATTAAAAATCTTGAAAGGTATCCTTATAAGACTTGTTGGAGTTCAGTTTTCCTTGAATAGGCGATGGTGCTTTCTCGTTATTTGATATTGTGCCAACCACAATCCATGACATGTCCTAGATTTACGATTCATTGCAAAGTCATAGAGCAGCCTCTTGACGGAACCTCTATGTTGCAGATCCCTAAGGCCTATGCGCAGGTAATTCTACGAATACTTTCAGAAAGTGTCTTCGTCAACGACATTGTTTCCGATGGATCTTGGCCTGACAAATAGACACGCTGTACTTCTTGTATGCATAGGTCCGGATGTACACTGCGAAATCTATGAACCATCTGGCAGCCCGCTCCCAGTAGCTTGATTATTCTATTTGAATAGTCTAACCAGGACGACTTGCAATCAGCTTCTACTCTAACACGGCGAATTGTTATAATTATTGTTTGTTCGTACGCATGGTTGTTTTGCAAGTTCAAGAGTTATACCCTGTATGATTCTTGCGTTTGCGATTTTTATTTGCCAGAATCAAGGTTTCGTCATTGGTCGACAGGGTGAGGAGATGATAAACGATAGAGGCCAACACTTGGTGCACTCCAAAATTCTTCTCTATCTTTGAGGAGCATAATTTGCCTATACAAAAGAAAGAAAAAAAAAGAAGCATAATCTACTCAACACGTCATCATTTGCCGCGCGTCACACTTTTCTTCTTCCTGTTTTACTTGCTGCGCCTGCGTAGACATCTTTCGTTCAACCATTACGAAAAAGATTCGAACGAACCCTCTGCCTATTGTCCAAGCAAGACGGAAGATCCGCTTTGCATTAATACCGACACGCGAATTCCTTCGACGTTCTCTGGGAATCCTTTCGGGGTTGGTGCTCATGCGAACGACGCGGAGGCTGTCTTGCATTATGGAGACGGTGTCCAAAACGGCTCAACCGGCCCAGAATAATGGGTTGTACCAAGTGTGGTCTCCTGGACATTTACTCCTGCCTCGACAGTAAAAGCCGAGTTTAATGCTTTGTCACATCTGGAAGCGCATTAGTATATTAACGAAGCAACCCGTAAGTACTGATGTATATCAAGTTATCCGTTTCATCAATACTCATCTTATATCTTTATTTTAGGCAAATGTTACACATGCATACAAAGTGGACAGCCTGAAGATCATAGAACAATATAGCGAAGTAGCTCGTGAGCTAGCTCAGCACATTGTTCCGTCATAGACCCACCAACAATTCGATGTCAATCCGTCAGTAACGCGGCAGGCTGTCAATTGCTCGATACCGAAAATGTGGACAATGAAGTTAATGCCCAAGCTGCCCATTGTGACCAACTTGGTACAACCAAAAGTGGAAATCAAGAACCACCATTTTCTCGTGGCGAGAAAGCGTACGTGGCAACAACGGAAGCAAGTTCCTTCCAATTACGTGGATTGGAGAAGCAACAACTAGATTCCGCATGTCGAGAGGGTATGGCACGTACCCATCGCGTTCGTCCCTCAGAGCTACTATGCTCCTGCGACGGAATTGTCGCCGAAAATGTTAATGCTGCCATGGCCATTCATTGTCGTATTCCGACATGATCAATTACATATCCGACACGGACATCACCAATCTGACCTCTCATTTGAACATGGAATATTTCCTTCCATAAGTTTGGATATTCTTTCTATTTTTCAGAGTTGGCTAAAATAACCTTCGCACCAGGCATGGAATTAATAACCCGCAACAGCGAACCAGATGTCCGCAATAGCAGATCGGGAATCACTGTATCAATGAGCATCCTATTGTCACTAAATATTCTTTCAATAAGTCGTGGGCGAGATTCTTGGTTTGGAGCCAATGGGGCTTTAGAGTGAGTGAGTGGGCTTCGCAGGGAGTTGACATGGAGTACCTTTCTGTGCTCCAATATCAATGAAGCAAAAATCAATTGTACAAGCAATCGAATCTGATGCCCACACTACTCGCCTACACTATTCGCCTGCCAAACCAATGAGAAATTTCCTGCATGTATTCAAACAACGGATAGCTCGATAAGTGTCGTTACTAAACCGAAAGATACCCATTCGAAAAAATCAATAAATGAGCTTATTTACGCTGCACATAAGAACAGTAACCATACGAGAATTTGCTGAAATCTCGGCTTGAATTCACATTAAATGGTCCTGTGCTTTTCGCCCAACTCTTCCGGTTATTCACATTTGTTACTTGCAAATAAGCTTTATTGGAACAAGAACCAACTCGCCTTAAGCGAAAAATACGGTGAATACATCATCATACATATATACATCTTATTATTCGAGATTCATTCGGAAGCTTTAAGTGGTGATTGTTTCCAAGTGATCATATTACGGTGCGGCGGATCCAAAAAAAAAAAAAAAAAAAAAAAATTCAAGACGTTCAAATTGGGGAATTTTTTTGTTCTTTTATTTTCGAAAGATTCGCGCCAGTCTCTTTTTTGCGCTCTAAGTATTCTTTTGTAGGGAACTCGAGTGGTCGCATTATCTGTAGTTGTCCGAACTAAGCAGCCACCATTCGAAACAATGACAGGACGAAGTAATGGGAGAATCAGGCCGAGATTAGCATGTTAACTGACGGTTGTCGTTACCCGTAGAACCGGCCTTCGTGGCTGTAAGCACCCAACCGAGCAAAAAAGCCAAGATTGCAACAAAGGCCAATGCAGTGGCCATACAAAGCCAAACGGAAGAAGCCAAAGGCTCTGACCAAACTAACACATCGTCTTCTGAGAATGCTTGGCCGTCAAGTTTGCGGTATAACTCTGGCTGCGGATTGGCCATGGCTTACTCTAAATGCTGATCAAGGGTTTTTTCTCTTTAGTGATTACGTTAGTTTATCATTTGACAATTGCCAACCCGGTAAACGTGCACAGCTGGAAACCGAGCTGAAGAATATCATCCTAGCAGCTAAGGAGTCTGGCTTACTCCATACAATTGATTGGCAAAACAAATCTTTACCCAGGTAAGACCTCGCCTTTGCCTGCAGCGACCCGGTGCATCCAGTTTCGTCTCTCGTATTTTTTTTCTCACATATTGAGTAGTGCCTGTGGTGCCATAGCCAATCCCAACGCTAGTCCTGTGTAAGCGTTCAACCATCCGATTTTTTTTCAAAAAGAATTGTTCATTGACGCAAACGAATCGTTAGTCTAAAATTAGCGAAAAAGGCGGTACTGCCAGCAATTCTAAATACGCCAGAGGAACAGCGGCGAAGGGAGATGCGAGCAAAACGCTTCCAGGCGGATATGCCTGTCCGACGTGTCACGCCTCCCACCGAAGATATGGTATGGTCGACAAATATTCGATGATCCCAACATCATATTAATCGATCTACAGGGTGGGGAAGGAAGTTGGCATGGGAAGCCCGTCGTTGGCACCAACACTGATCTCGAAAAGCCATACTTTCGTTTGACTTCGGTAAAAAGACTCGTTTTCTGTGATGATCTGTTTTTGATTTGGTTGCAGGAACTGATAAAAATTGGTATTCTCACATTAGGCTGTGGATCCGGCTACTGTGCGACCGTTACCGGTGTTGAAGCAAACGTTTAAAATGTTACGGAAAAAGTGGAAAAAGAACCAAGACTATTCATACATATGCGAGCAATTCAAATCGATGCGTCAGGATTTGACCGTCCAGTGCATCAAAGATAGATTTACTGTGCGTGTGTATGAAACTCATGCCCGCATCGCTTTGGAAAAGGTAAATGATTCTAACGTTGAAACCGATCTTCGCGATCAGCTCAGGACTCAAGCTTTTTTTTTTTTTTTTTTTTTTTTTTTTTTTTTTTTTTTTTTTTTGCTCTATTAGGGCGATCTTGGCGAATACAACCAATGTCAAACGCAATTGAAATACTTGTATTCGCTGGGATTACCAGGTTCAATTTCAGAGTTTGCGGCTTACAGAATTTTGTATTTCATCTTTTCTCAAAATCAATCAGGTGAGTTTCTGTCTTTGTGGTTGTTAAATCATTGGAAAACAGTAATTTATTGAGTCATTGTTAAATAGCATTGAACGCTCTTATTGGAGAGTTCGCTATGCCTGATCACAAGGATAAACCAGACGATGGGATCCGGCATGCCCTTGAAGTTCGTTCGGCCGTGGCCAAAAAGAACTACCACAGGTTTTTCCAGTTGTATCTGGAAACACCCAACATGGGAGGGTATCTGATGGATCACTTTGTTCTTCGTGAGCGGATCGAAGCCTTGCAGATTTTATGTAGAGGGTAAGCCAGTTTCTTTTTTTATTTTAGTTCGGCACTGAGAAAGGAGAACAATGGGCCCCTCATCAATTCTTTATGCGCAGATTTAAACATGGCATTCCAATCAACTATGTGGAAAAGGAATTGGGCTTTCGAACGGGATCCGAAGTTTATAAATTTCTGACGGACCATCATCTTGCACATTGCGTACGAAAGGATGCGTCGGGTCACTGTTTGGATACCAAAGCAGCTCTCCCTGTGTTGATGGAACAAAGCAAGCGATTCAAAAAGATCGATATCAAAGGCCAAATTTAAATCCACTTCAAGAAACAAACCTTGCATGAGCCTGAAAACTATGAAAGGAAAGTATAAAGAAAACCATACTCCTTGCGTCCTTCTATTGCACACATACAACTGTAAAAATCCATCAGTTTCCATATTTCCCGCGATTCCCCCCCCCATCTTATCTTTATCCCGATTCCCCATACCTCTTCTCTTTCACATATTCATTTCACAATCATGAATCACGGCTCATTTCGACAATCACAGCAATCTTTTTTTTCATTATTATTGATGCAATAAAATTCTTTTTTTTTCGATGTGGCAATATTTTGAACGAACCGAAACAATGTGCCTTGGTGGTTGCGGATGGGCACGGCTCTCATTGGGCATCTGGAAGCCTAAAAATGGAAATCCCCGACCGTCGGTTGGCTTTGATTTTCGGAACTTTAATCAGACTGCTTTTCCTAGACATTTTTTTGGATCGATAATTTTCTCTTGTTCAATATAGACGAGGTTTCTCTTTTTCCTTTCCTTCCCCGGGTCTCAGAAACCTTTGCAAACCAAACATGACGACCACGTCTCTGTCGCAGCCTCGGGCCAAGGATGGCAAAACCCCTTATCAATCCCGATTTGAAAAATTTAGAAAACAGCAACGCAAAGAAGTGCCGCAAAGCAAATTGAAGGGACCTCTTTTTGATCAAAGTAAATTGCAACGTTTCTGGCGTTTCCAACGACGTATCGGCCCTGGTCTTATCAACGGCCACAATACCTGCTTTATGAATTCCGTCTTGCAGTGCCTCACTTATACGCCACCTTTGGCCCAGTATCTTTTGACAGGTGTCCATCGAGAAAAATGTAAGCTGGATAACTCAAATCAAATGAGTAATCGTTTCCTCTAGCGTACGTTTAGCTTACCCGAATACAACAGGTACCATGAAGACGTATTGTGCGCTCTGCTCCATGGAAACGCATGTACGAAGATGTTTCAAAGACCCCAAGAGTATGACCAAAGGCGCGGCTATTTTGCCCGGTTACTTTACCGGCAACTTAAAATGTAAGCTTGCGATCGAGACGGCGCTCGCCCTCCCTTGCTTACATGTCCTTCTCTTTCACCAATAGCCATTTCGAAAATGCTGCGATTGGGACGACAGGAGGATTCGCACGAATTCATGTTGTGTTTAATGGACGCCATGCAGAAAGCGTCCATTCACGGTCTTGGGTAAGCACCTTGTCTTGAGAATGCCGCCGAGTCAGCCATCTGATGCCTTTTTTTTCTTTCAGTAAATTGCAAAGCAAAGTGGAAGAAACGACCATGCTGTATCAGATTTTTGGTGGCAAACTTCAATCGCAGTTGAAATGCTACAGCTGTAAAGCGACATCGAATACGTACGATGCATTTTTGGATTTGAGTGTGGATCTCCATAAAGCCGACACCGTTCAAAAAGCGCTAGGCAACTTTACCAAAGTCGACATTATCGGCGGCAACGATCCGAACAACAAATACAAATGTGATGCGTGAGTGCAAATTGGTCCACCTTGTCATTCGGGCCGAGATGCTGACCAATGGAGTGATTCTGTAGTTGTAAGCAAATGGTCACGGCGGGAAAGCAAATGACGATCAACAAACTGCCAATGATTTTGAATATTCATTTGAAGCGTTTTGCGTTTGATATGCAATACGGCGATATGCGGAAAGTGAATACCAAGATCCGATTCCCGGAGGTGCTGGATATGAAGGATTACATCAGTAAAGGGAACAATGAACGTCAATCCACCGTATATCGACTCTATGCGTTGCTTGTGCACTCGGGTTACGGATGCCATTCCGGTCACTACTATGCCTATGTGAAAAATGCAGACGAAAAGTGGTATTGCATGGACGACGAATGTGTACGTGATATCCCCCTTTGGATAACCGATTCCCTGGAGCCAATTACTTACGCTTATCAATATTATTTAGGTGACACCTGCTTCACTCAAGGAAGTTCTCTCACAGCAAGCGTACATGCTCTTTTATACGCAATGCCCTACAGACGCACCATCAGAGACTGCAAAGCCTTCCACCCCGCCGCCGGCTGTAAGCGAAGCGAAAGACACTCAGCAGCAGAATAAGAAGAAGGAGGTTAAAGAGGCGAAGGAGGAGACGGAACCTATGCCGAAAGCAGAACTCAAGAGAAAGAGCAGTGATGAAGAATCAACAGAGACGAATGCGCAGGTTGCGGTTAACAAGAAGCGAAAGACAGAAGTCAAGGAAAAACGACCGATCAAGAAGGAGGAGAAGCCGTATGTGGTGGTATCCGATCATCCGGGAGCTTGGGTCGTGGGTACCATTGAAGACACGTTCCAGTCTTTGCGCGGCAATTTATCGCCTCCGACGTTTACAGCTGCTGTGAGCGATGAGAGTACCTGGGAAGTTTTACCTGACATTGAAGGTCCTCACTCGCAACAAATTACGCTCAAATGGTTGAAGCGAATGGCCTCGTGGCGAGTGGAAGATGCATCATGAAAATGAAAAACTTTACTTTAATAAGCTGCTTGTTTTAAATTGTAATTTATGTAACCTCTTTGTTCGTTCTTTATCCTCTCTTGTATCATTTTTTATTTATACCTCTTTCTGACGTTTTTTGCACCAAGTTTTCTTTTGTAGTCAGTCACCGTAGTTTCTAGATGCATTCTTTTTTTTGTATTTTTTACTCTTCTTTTTCACAAGTTCGTTTTCCTTTTTTGTACTTTTTCTCTCTTTACAAGATTATTTCTTCATAACACTCCACACTTGATACTACGGATTCACTTCAGTAAATTGCAGGTGGTACGATGCACCCCTGTTGTTCAAGAGTAAAGAAAAAAAAAAATGCCTATAAATAACTTAAGATGGTATACATATACATCAAAAAATGTTCGGTCAAGGCCAGCCATTGAGGAAGAACATGGGTTAAAGTGGTTGATAATCAGCGTATTGATGGGGTGACGGGGCAAGGTTATACAGCGTCACGCCACCGATCACTAGGATATATGCGACGGGATAAAATGGAGGCATCTGTGGATCAAAAATATTTAGCATTCGCGAGCCGTTTGCATGCATATATGGGAGCCATGAAGGCCAGTTTACCTGAGATTCGAGGAAAAACAGACCAATGAGTAATGAGTAAAAGTTGCTGGTTGTCAGACTCATGCTCATAAAAATAGCCCCCGACCATCGATACAAGGTGGGAACCAGCGAATACATGGTGAATAGACACAGCACATACGTGCCGATCAATCCCACTATAGTTTATCAATATTAGCTGCTGTCGCCAGCGGCATGGATGTTGAAACTTACCGACGGGCCAAGACCATTCAATGGAGGAGACTTGTTCATATTCAAATATCAACCTACATTCTAACAGCATCAGTACATGAAGCAACACCCTGTCGTTTTGCACGACGGTTACTTACGCCTGACCTCCGCACAGCAAGGAGCCCCAGAACCCAGCCAGGGCGAGAAAGTTTTGGGTATCAAACTTGTTGACGAGATATTCTTCGGCTACATTGCTCACAGCGTACAATGAGGCACTTAGCAACTGTTGATCGTGAAGGAAAAAAAATAAGCATTACTAAAATGATCGATCTTATTGCCTATTCGGGTCATGAACTTACACAAATCAGGTCCCCAATCCAGCTGTGGTTGACTAGGAGATTGCATAGAAGGAAATCAGAATGACCAGCAATTGTCAGCGGGCTCCTCTTCTTTTTTTTGACTAGTTTTTCTACCTTTTGAGCCATCATCTTCCTTGGTATCAACATAAATTAAAATGGCTAAACCGCAGAGACAAAGAAATACGGCGAGAAAATGCGAGATTCGGTATCGAGCTCCCAAGCATAAAGTGGACAACAGCATAATACAAGGAAGGGTCCACGACGAGACGATCAACGCTGACAGTACCGAAGTGTTTTTAAAGGCAAGCACAGCAAGAACATTGGCTATTATTCGGAATCTAGGTTTAGTGATAAAGTCGTTGGCGTTTGATTAAAAGAAAAAAAACAATGACGATGTTTACCTTGAACATCTGCCAATGAATATCCGAAACCTGGTAACCATAAAATTAAGCTTTTTTCTTGAATCATGTACAACCAACTTTTCGGGACGATAACACTTACAATGCCAAATATACTTTCGTTTTGTCGACCAACTGCGAGATAAACTATTGTATACGATGGCCAGCAAAAGGTAGTTGCAAAAGTTTTGTGTGAATGGGATGCTGATGCCGTGATGTTTCCATAGAGCGGATGAGGCAGTACTGGTGCCTGTAATGCACAAAGACAAAACTTGACCCAAGAACAGAGGCAACAGCTTGTGCTTGTTGGATCGAGCCTTCTCAATCCAATCTGCCACTGGAACTGTCATGCCAATAAGCTATACAACTATGGCTGGATTCGGAATAGATAATGAAAAAAAACAACGCCCGGAGATTCAAACTTGCTCAACCAGCTGCCAATGGAACGATCTTGTGGTGTCCCAATTAAGGCGAGCTGATTCCCATAAAATGAAAAATCTTGAAAATAATAATCACAAGCTCATCAGGTCGGTCGCTTCAGGGAAAAACGATCTGCTACAAACAAGAAAATGGTTCTAACCGTTTTGCTGCTTAATAAATTCGGTCTATTTTGTATTATATTTCACATGATATTATCTGGTATCACTAACTTGCAAGAGTATCTCACTACATTAAATCACTTTGCCAAAGATCTTTTACAGAACTAACATAATTTCTCTCGGGAACAAACATGCGTTTCATTCCAAAACCATCGTAGGGTGTTACAGCATACATTGCAGCGCCGTGTCCGTAGGGATTGTATCCGTGATTCTGGTATCCGTACGGCGTCATTAACGGCTCTTGCCGTCCGTATCCATACTGCGCTTGCATGGCATCGGCTCCGTAGCCATAGTGATCGAGATAGCCTCCACCCATCATGCCAGTATTATAAGGGTACGATTGCGGATATTGGGACATTATTGCAGGATTTTGGGCACCATACATCCCCATGGGATGCTGCTGCTGTGGATACATGTACATGGACGCACCCGCCATGCCACCATACGGTTGGTAGCTTGACTGACCATAGCCCATACTCTGACCATACATGCCGATGCCAGGGGTATACGGTGTACTCGGTTGAGACATTATTCCTGGGTAAAACGGTTGTTGTTGTGGTTGCATAGCTTGTTGTCCATACATACCCGCCATGCCACCTCCCATCATTGGCTGTCCTGCGGCCATCATGGGTTGAGCAAACATCATCGCTGCTTGTTGTTGCTGTTGTTGCTGTTGTTGTTGTTGCTGCTGATAGTATTGTTCCTCTGGTCCCATGCCTCGCGCTGAATGCATCATGGATGGATGAGCTGCTGCGTAAGCCATAGCCGGCATGGCCATAGCAGCGTATCGGCTCGCTTGACCGTAGGGATCCGAATTGTAGAATCCGGCGGCTTCTCGTACTTTTCTTTTGAGAGTGTCCATAATTCCTGTTGAGCCTTGTTCCATGAACGGGGTCGGCATTCCTGCTTGGGCCTGTGGAGGTGGTGCTTGACCTTGCGGTGGTTGTGGTGAAGGATCTGTATGCTGGCCCGAGGGTGCTCCCCCGGGTGTTGGTGGTCCACCTTGGGCTTGACTTGACGAAGCGGCCTGCTGCATAGGTGAGGAATGGGCGGATGTAAGTGGTTGTCCCTGTGGATAAGATTGTGAATGATATGAATTCTTGTATGCGGACCCTAGTGAACGTGATCGAGGCCGTCCGAACATGCGTCGCCTTGGAGGTACGACGTGGGTTAATTAAGGAGTTTGGGTGATAAAGAGAGAGAGAGAGAGAGAGAGAGAGAGAGAGAGAAGAGAAAGGGGATGGAAATAGCAAACAAGGCCAAGAACAAAACAAAAGTATAAATGACGGAAACAAAAAGCAAAAAGTCTGGTGAAGCCGAAAAACAGAGTGAGAAAAAAGAGAAATGACGCTTTTCTTCCTTGTTTGGGTTTTTCTTTGGGTTAAGAAGTTCATGTTCCATTGGTGGAAGGAAGGAAAATATCATCCTATTGCGTCCATAAAAGGCAAATAAAAAACACCGAAACTGTGTAATGGTCTTATGATCCACTCCAACCGTTTCCTGGACGATCAACACCTTACATCTTCTTTTTGTGCAACCAAATTCAGTGTGAGTTTTTTTGAGACCCTCACATCAGTGAATCAAATTTTTGTTTCTTTATGCAACATTCAGGGTTTGCATACAAAAAACGTCTTATCATCCACTTTTATATTTTGTACTGTAGTCAAAACATTCATTGTTTGGTGCGCCTGTCATAATGGTTCATACCGAATTTTTTTTCTGTATTCTGAATACAGTCTTTAACAATCTGATCAGAGGAATCTGCTTGATTGACAAGTAGATGAAAAAAAAAGGTATGTATGCTTCTCAAATGAACCACCTCGCTTGATGCAGTAACGGACATTACCGTCATATGACCCATTTTTTCTTGTACCACCGTCTCCCCATGCAGACTGATCCGGAGCCAGCTCGGCATGTATACATTGCCGTATAAAAGGTCACATCAAATGCCTGTTGGCAGATGTCACTTTTTTGATTTTTCTTCTTTTGTTTTATCTTGTCAATCATCTTGTAATTTATTTTAATTATACACATGTCTTCCAAAGAATACAAGCAACTGTCACGTACAAACATCGTACCATGCATTGTGGGATCATTTATTTTGTGGATATCGTTTGGCATTCGACAAAGCTTTGGACTGTTCCTGATTCCGATTACTCAAGAAACAGGATGGGATCGAGCCACGTTTTCAATTGCAGCCGCTGTATTACAGCTTGTGTGGGGCTTTTCACAACCATTCTCTGTATACTTGGCTGAACAGCGACTGGGATTCGGCAAAATTGTTTTTATTTCCTGCCTGATTTATGGTGTTGGATGTTTTATCATGTATGCAGCTCATCAAATATCTGCATTGTTTGTTTTCGGCATGGGCATTGTGGTCGGCGTAGCCGCTGGCGGGAATTCTTTTCCTACTATTCTCGCGTCCATTGGCCGGCATTTTCCGCCTCACAGCAAACAACAAAGTATGGCTTTTGGTATCGTGTCAAGTTTTGGCAGCTTTGGTCAATGTACATTTCTCCCCATCACTCGAGCAATGCTCCAGTATATTGGATGGCGCTGGTCGGCCCTTATCATGGGTACGTCTTTTGATACTCGGTTGAATTTAACTGGTGATTAAGAAAGCTAACAGGCGATCAATAGGATTTATCATGATTGGTATTTCACCGTGTGCTTACTTTATCAGATCAACCGCCCAGGTATTTGCAGCAGCATCCGCTCACGATATCGAATCCACCTCGACTCTCGGAAAAGACAAGGCAAAAACGGAAGAATCTGGAAATGAAAAGAACGTCAGTTGCTCAAATGATGTCAACCTGTCCGGCGAGCCACCTGCCAATGACGAGGACGACGAAACCATCACCAAAGTCCTCAAGAAACTATTTACGTCGCCGACGTTTTACTTCATTACGCTTGCTTTCTCAGCATGTGGTTTTCACATCACCTTTTTAATCACGCATTTTCCGGCCTATTTAGTAAGTGGCAATCGGGTTTTGGCTGGACCTCTTATTCTGACGTATGCCTTTTTTTTCTTTGTTTGGTCAGCAAGATCAAGGATACAGTCCTGATATTGCGGCTTGGGCTATATCAATCATTGGTCTTTGTTCCATGATAGGCAGTGTCGTCATGGGGTACCTGTGCGCTTACATCAAACCAAAGTACCTGTTGTTCTTTGTCTTTTTCGTTCGCGCAATCATGTTTGTGGTCATTACGTGGGCCCCAACCTCGGTGGCAATTGTTTTCACATTTTCCACCATTTTTGGCGTAAGCGATGCAATCTAAAATCTTCTGTTTCGGTATGGTTTTCTAAACTGCAGCTGCTTAAAAAGTTACTTTGGCTCTGCACGGTGCCATTAACGACCAGGTCCTTGGGCACGGCGTTCGGGTACAAATATATTGGCACCTTGTCGTCCATTATTTTCGTCGGTAAGTCCGTGGCGTTGCATGCCCTTGACCAATGTTCAGTATATTTTTTTAACCCGTTGTTAACGAATCGATGAATTGGCTGTACTTTTTTCAGGACACCAGATCGCGGCGTTTCTTGGTGCATACATTGGCGGTGTGGTGTATGATGCGGTGCATACCTATACGCCCATGTGGTACGTTAGTTTGGCATTATCGTTTGTCGGCATGGCCGCAAGTCTGTTGGCCCAAGAGTAAAAACACATGGCGCCGAGAATTCACAGTGTGTGGGGTTACATAAAACTGTGATTTCTTTTCTTCCATTCCGCATAGAAATAGGAAGCATATTGGTTCCAGTGCCCCAGGTTTCAGTATCTATTTGTGTCGGTTTTATATAGAATGAGGATTTATCAAAAGATAACTCTAATTGAAGCATGGCCTTGAAATAAATGAAGCATTAAAAGGCAAAAGATTAGCATCGAGCAGACATAAATAGCGTTCTCTTGATGAATGCATCGTAAAATACGTGCCAAGTCTGTGATTAAGAATATCCTACGTTACCTCGGGTCCTGATCATCTTATTCAGCAGATGGTCTACGGCCAAAAATAAAAGACTTGAACTCAAGACGGTACAGCTAATCGTCCGAGCCACAAATTTCAACACAATTTCCAGCAGCGCGTATTGCATTTAAGACAAGGGTGTTTCTTTGATTGTGAGGTTAGGATATCGTTCTGAGTAATGCGAGAACTGGGGAAGAAGCCCAACGGGTGTCTGATTCATTAAAATTTGAATATATGCTGGCGAAGCTGTTGTTCAGATACTTCCAGAAACACTTGATTTGCTGATATGCATACGCACGACCATCAATTTCAACGTTGATTATAGTATTTTTGATATTTGGCGCTCGAGACATGGTGAAACGATGCAAAAGCCGGAACGACGATATCCACAGGGCGTTACGCGCTATTCGGAGACGGATCCGATAGGTTTGAAACCGATCCAAGCTTCACGACGCAAGAAAGCACTAGCGAAGCAATACAAATGATCCTTTGAAGGTTAGCCTATCCTCCCGTATCAACTAATCTATTCCTACAACATAAACATCATCTTCCCACAGGACTAGGTAAAATAATATGCAACCTTTTTTTATGAAGCGCCAAAGCTTGTCACACTTTCCAGACATGCCACAAGTTCACTTTCTTTCAAAAACCCTTTCAAACGATCTTCAATCATATTCCTGCACACATAGCTTTTTTCTCTTTCATATTCCCAAGTCCCCCTGTACGAGAACAACGCAATTACTGAAGATTCATCTCGCTTCCACTCGTTGAAATACTTAATTATCCCGGCTGTTCATCATCCACGTCATCGAATAACAAGTCGGTACCAGACCAGAGTTTAGTAGTAGTCGTTTTTTTTTTCCTTCAGATTGTATTGTTTTTAATATGTTCTGTGCTATAGAGTCATCATAGGCTATTTTACAACTGAACGTCTGAAGCGACATCGGTTCGTCATTGACAACCGATTTAGTTGGCCTTTCTACGGAAAGAGGAGCCTAAAAGAAAGCAATTCGAAAAAGCGCATGAGTGAGATTGCCATGGAGAAAATCATGCCTTCGTATTTATATTTACCCTCAGTCAAACGGGCACGACCACCGGTAGGTTGACACAAGACAGTACCGCAGGAAGAGCACAAAACAACGGTCTGGGCATGGCTGAAAACCGTGCTGATGTTCAAGCAACCTGCAATAAGAACATGAATGTCAGTCATTCTAGCATTCTCCACCTGTTTTGCTTCAGCAAATGAAAAAAAACTTACCAGGGCACTTCACATCCATGAAGTAAGAGTTGGGAGATTGAACAAGTCTCTTAAGCTTGTGGGAGCGCTTCTCGTGCTCAACGGAAGGGTTAAGAAGATCGACGGCCAACTATTACGAAGAAGGAACATGTTAAATAAAACAGGCTCGGCGTTGACAACGATCCCATCAGTCAGCAGTAGCGAGTAAGCAGGCAGGCAAAATAATCTGTCAAGAAATCTGTCCATGGCAACGAAATGCGCGTAGCTTGTATGTTTTCGACGGTGAATATCAAAAGTTGTAGAGAGTAAACGAGAGTCCATTTTCCAGTGGCACATCATTCATTTTGACAGTTTTCCGTAGTAAAGCGATAACACCTTGGGTCGACGTCCGCTGATCCGTCTTCGATCCATCCATCTACGCATTCTATCCATCCGCGTCTCATGTTCACCCATCCATCGCAGATTCTCAAGATTATGCCTGGGCTTGCTCGCTACAGTGGATGGTAAGGTATGGCTACTTACAGTCATATTGCTGTCTTGGGAAGGCTCGGTGAAAAGGGAAGGATTCCTCACCCGTCGAGAGCCCGATTATTTTCTGTGAAATTGTCAATGAGCTCTGATTGGACAATATGAAACCCCGACTCACCGCACCAACCAAGTGCTTGGGGCCATCTCCATGGTTTTGTTGACTCATCCCCTCCATGAATTCACCTCGTTGTCCAATATGATTGAGGTTTATGTATATTCTATAAATATATGTTAGTGGCTGTATACTCATTTGTTTGGTCTGGTTGAAAGACGATTCAGCTACCTTTTTTACTTTGCCATAATGACGCTTAGATAATGTCCATCCATCGCTCGGATGTCAAATCCAACAAAATCCATGAGCGATTATTATTTTCTATTTCGGAATGAGCTATCCTGATTCAAGTCTTATCGTTCACATAATCACGCACGTTCCAAAATTTACCAAGCAGCAATGTTGCTGTATTTAAAGAGTGACAAGAATCAATGTTTATTTTACAGTTTAGGAGATGATAAAAAAAGAAGGAAAGAGGATGTTTCCTCCCAGAGAGTGTATATAGATTATGGTGTAGTTGGTTATTTTACATCATGCCGCCCATGCCGCCAGGCATGCCGGGCATACCCTTGTCCTGAGTAGGAGCATCAACGATCATGCATTCGGTGGTGGTCAAGAGCGAGGCCACACCGGAAGCATCCACCAAGGCGGTGCGAACGACCTTGGTAGGATCGACAATACCGCGTTCAATCATATCAGTGTATTCGTTGCAGGAAGCATCGTAACCCCAGTTGACATTGTCAACGTTTTCTTCCAAAAGTTTGCCGGCCACGACGGAACCTTCACCGCCAGCATTGTCGACAATGGTACGGCAAGGACGCTGGATGGCTTGGCGGATAATGTTAATACCGAGCTGTTGATCAAAGTTGGCACCCTTGAGGGGTTCAAGAGCCTTGACAGCCTTCAACAAAGCGACGCCACCACCGGGAACGATACCCTCTTCGACAGCAGCACGAGTGGCACACAAGGCATCATCGAATCTAAAAACAAAATCATGAGTTAGAGGTTCATAGCCGTGAAAACAGGGGGTTAGAGATCAATAGGTTTACCTGTCCTTCTTCTCACCGACTTCGACTTCGGAGGCACCACCGACCTTGATGACGGCCACACCACCAGAGAGCTTGGCAAGACGTTCCTGGAGCTTCTCCTTTTCGTAATCGGAGGTGCTGGGATCGGCAATGGCACCACGGATTTGTTCGCAACGTTGATTGATCATGTCCTTGTGACCAGCACCGTTCAAAATGATCGTATCTTCCTTGGTAATGGTGACGGAACCAGTGGTACCGAACAATTCGGGAGTGGCCTTTTCAAGCTTGGTATCGAGCTCATCGGAGAAAACGGTCGAGTTGGTCAAGATACCGATATCACCCAAGGTGGACTTGCGGTTGTCACCGAAACCAGGAGCCTTGACAGCGGCGACCTGGATCTGGCCACGAAGCTTGTTGAGGATACAGGCGGCCAAAGCTTCACCGTCAAGATCTTCAGCAATGATCAAGAGAGGACGACGTTGGGTAGCGGCGGTTTCGAGAGCAGGCAAGATGTCCTGCAACAAGGAAATCTTCTTTTCGGAAAGCAAGATCAAGGGCTTTTCGAATTCGACCTTTTGGGTCTTGGTGTCGGTGATGAAGTAGGGAGAAATGTAACCACGATCGAAACGCATACCCTCGGTGACTTCCAATTCATCATCCAAAGTCTTGCCGGCCTTGACAGTAATCACACCTTCCTTACCGACGCGTTCCATAGCTTGAGCAATCATGTTACCGACATGCTTGTCACCGTTGGCGGAGATGGTGGCGACCTAAATCAGGCAAATTCAAAAACATTCCGTCAGTTCCCCTTGCGGTGTCAAAAAACCTTAAAATGGAACCCATTTGAACCAATGAGTGTGTCCAGGGGGAGTCCTTGTGCTTACCTGAGCAATTTCGTTGGGAGTGGTGACCACCTTGCTGTTGGCTTTCAAGAATTCAATGACAGCATCAACGGCCATTTGGGAACCACGACGAAGATCCAAAGGATTGCATCCAGCAGCGACGTTCTTGACACCTTCCGTGAAGATGGCACGGGCCAAAACGGTAGCGGTGGTCGTACCGTCACCAGCAAGTTCATTGGTCTTGTTAGCGACATCCTGGACGAGTCTGAACAAATGGAGAAAAAACAGTGAGTTCAAGAACAGAACCAAAAAAACATGATCCTGGGAAAAAAAAAAAAAAAAAGAAGAGGGACATTTCGTCTTACCTAGCACCCAAGTTTTCAAACTTGTCTTCGAGAACGATGGACTTGGCGACGGTGACACCATCCTTGGTGATTTTGGGAGAACCGTAGGGCTGTTCAATCAAGACGTTGCGACCCTTGGGACCGAGAGTGACAGCGACGGACTTGGCGAGGATGTCCACACCACGGAGCAAACCAGCACGACCATCAACGCCAAATTTGATTTCCTTATGAGTGGAGTAGAGACGGTTTAAAATCCCGGTGGTAGAACGAGCAGACAAGCGTCCCTTGAAAGCTTGGGCGGCCAAACGATTCATGATAACAGGAACAAGAGATCGGGAAGGGAAAAGTGAGGATTGAAGAGACAAAGAGGTTCACAACATTTTAAGTGGGGGAGAGTTTGAATTTATTATATACGGCGAGACGCCATGGAACCCGCTAGAAGGCTGCATCCGGTGGCTTAGCATCCAGCTTCCCTTTGATCCCCGGAATCGCCCACACACCTAAAACACAACTTTTAAAAAAAAAAGTTGTGAGTCCGCGAATCCATGAACACATAGCCCTCGTTTTATGCAGCCAAGTTTACTTTGGCACTCGCCCCCCAAGCACCATCCTTTCTATTTTTACATTATTTTTTATTCCCATGGAAGCGCAAACCATGGTATTTTGATATGGATGGCATGGAGCGTGGGTGTTTACTTTTTTGTCAGCAATGGAGACGACCGTGGAAAAATATCGGAAAGTTTTCAAGGCTTGACATTTCATTGGATCGTTCGGAGTGCAATTTAGCGAATCGACGACGAGATCATTCTAAACACCGATGATTATAAAACATAGCGTAAGGAAACGGGCAAGGGAAATGGAAACATCGAAAAAGAAAAAATAACGAGCGTCTGCGCTGTATTGGCATATTGCTTACGATTTGGAGTCTATTCTTTTCTGTTTGTTTTGGTGTATTTCTTTCTTTCCGACTCCAAGAAGAAGCGTTTAAAAAAAAAAGCTAAAAAGTCGTTGAGACGAATTGCAAGAAATCGCCTATTGTCATTGGAGAAAAATCCAAGCCAAAGCCCAAAAAAAGCCATATTCTGACACCTAGGCAACGAGAATTGTCGTTTTCTTTCCTCTTTGCCTTGGTTTTTTATTTTTTTATTTTTTCTACCCTTTCTTTTTCCTTTTCCTGCTATTCGCTGTTTATTTGCTTCTTTTCATCCTTGATATCATGCCATCGCCGAGAACTTCGTTCAGTCTCGCTGGAGTGTATGCAGGCCTGTAAGTCTTATAAAATGGCACGCAGCGTTGTTGCTTACCATTAATGCCTTTTTGTGTGACATTCATCAGACCGTCTTTCCCGGCTACTTCCACTTCATCCGCAGCTCCAACCATTCCTCCCCATCGTGACAGTTATGTGCATCAACGTGAATTGGAATCTGCCTTTTGTCGGGATCTCGTGTGCTGCGATCAACGATTCACCGATTTCCATGACCTCATGCATCATTATGAAGAGCACCGATTGCAGACAGACGTAGAAGAAGTCACACCAACCAAAGAAGAACACGATACCTCCATGTATACAGACACTGACATGCTGCGGCAGCCGACAGTGGAGCCCACCATGGCAAATGCTGCGAATGCTACCAACGAACTGAATGCCGATGATTTATCCAAGCTCTTACTATCCACTCCGTTTCCTTTCGTTCCCGAGCACTACACACCCCACCCGTATGTCATGTCCGCCCCCCAAAGTCCCATCCTAGGCATGCACGATTATTCCCAAGAATATCCCTTTATCGTGAATGATGGTAAAGTGGAAAATTTTAGTCAATGTCATTTTGACGTCAACGCACACAATTAATTTTTTTCCTCTTTTTTTTACCTGGTAGCCGATACGACCGCAGCGGACAAACCTTATAAATGTGAAGTACCGGGATGTGATAAAGCTTACAAGAATCCAAACGGACTGAAATATCATCGAGCGCACGGCCATTGTGACGATAATTCGAGCGAAATGGATGCCCAGAAGCCTTATGTGTGTAACTTTGGCATCTGTCGAAAACGATACAAAAATGCAAACGGTCTAAAATATCATGTTGAACACTCTCACTTGGCCAAACTCAATCAATCTTACAGCGTACCGTCCAGTCCCGTGGTCTCCACCCAACCATTGCATTATCCATGGCAGCATCCACTCAGTTAAATTCGCATGAAATCTCTCATTGCCCTTCTCAAGCCTAGACTTGACTCTTACTCTGTATACAAGTCCACTCACGAGGAATATATTTTTATTTGCACATGAAATACACTGTACTTTATTCATCAGGAATCTCTCATTCAAAAACGCGTTGAATCCTTTTATTTGCATATTTGATTGTGCTTATTATTTTCCTTCACAACATTCACGACACTCATTGCGTCCGAAAAATTGCTCTTCCAAACTTCCTACCTGTTTCTTTTAGGAAGCCACATGAAACAGACACAACGGACCATTGAGTGCAAGGTGGCATTTTGATTTTTCGGTAGGGTAAAAGCTACAGTTTTTAGCTCTATAAAGGTACCCTATTTGATCCCGCATTCAAGCGAGTCATTGGCATTGACGAGCTACAGCAGTTGGGATTCATCATTGACACGACTGGCTAAGGAAAAGAGATAAATGCGTATAAAATCAAAATGCAAGATTTTTATCATTCACCAGCATTATCTGACTCAAGGATCCAAAATCAGCCAAAAGGTCCTATGCCTATAGTATATTCTTACTTTTGGGATCGATCACGCCAACGGTGAACTGAAGAAGCATATCAGATCGTGATGCGATCCAGTCTTGGCTGGTTTCATGCATTGTGTGGTTATCTATAGCAGGGTACGACCGACGGAATAGTCTACAGCTTTTTCCCGAATTACTTTCACCTTGATAAGGAACAGCTGTGGTTTCATATGGTCAAGGGCTGTCATCCTTCATCGATGTATTGTTGTGGCGCCTTTGTCTTTCCTTTCCCTAGACCAAAATCGACCTGCAAAGCGTATAATAAACTTGCAGAAACATCCCCTTCCATGCATTGCTATCATGCGTAAAAGTAGTGCAAACAATGAGTCATTCATGCATAAAAATGCTGGGATTTATTTTCTGTCATTTCGTGTTCGGCGACCACTTTTTTCACTGCAGCGCCGAATTTCAACCATCTCCTTGTCAATTGATTCCCATTCTTATTCCAATTACTCCATGAAGGCATCTCGAGAACCTATTGCACTGTCTATTTTCAAAGCTAATAAAGGAAGGGTAGAAATACCCTTAGCCTTTCCTACAGCTTCAACCCGCGAAGGCAAACCTTCAACATAGCTGCTGCGCCAGGTCTCACATAGGGAAAGGCTCCCACTCTACCTCTTCGCAATCCCGTAATTCATGGACTCCTTTAACATGGCGTTCGGAAGCGCTCAATTGAAGCTTGAGGTGATGCCACATGTGCTCAACGAGGTTCAGGTCCGGTGACTGGACAGGTCAAGGCAAAACAGAACACCGCTGCGCGTCAACAGACTTTCTTTGTATACTTGCTGGTATGCTTCGGGTGATTGTCTTGCTAGAAAATAAGGACATCTTCACTAAAGCCGAAAAATAGACTATCGATGACTGGAAGCGCGTTGTTTGGTCAGACGAGACCAAGGTCAACGTCTGGGATTCCGATGGCGTCAAGTACTGTTGGTCACGTCCTGGCGACCTTTTGAAACCCCATCGTTTTGATCTCTTCGTCAGACATGACAAATGTAGAATGATGATATGGGAGCACCTCACCTATGAATGACTCGGTTATGGCTGCCATATTTTCGATGGCACCATGAAGAGGGAGGACTATGTCCATATCTCGGCAGACTACTTTGCAGTGGGCTTTCCCCCTACTCCAGTCTTGCTTGGCTCCTACTGGACCAGGAAAAGTCTATGGCCGCATCCACCCTGTGTATTCGAAGGCACATTGCTACATTTCGGGTTTCCTCCAACCTGGTCACCTGCCATTGTGGCCCTTTTTTTCAAGGCGGCTATTGCGCTTAACATACAACGCCCACTTGGCAGGCCCCCATACCACTCCAGTCTTGCCTTCTTATGCTCTGCCGATGGGGAAGCCATGTCAGAAGTCGGGTCAGCTACGTAAACAAATGTATCACCTTCGATTTGGCTTTTCCCTGACCCGATTTGTGTGTTATGCTGGGGTGCGACGGCCCAGGTGTACCGGGCCTATAACGATGAAGGCCAGATGTTTACGGTAATTAGTTGTACCAAACTACCGCATAAATCTGATGAAGGAATTCCCAACGGCACATCACTCCCGTTGTCACACCGAATGGAGGATGGGTCACGCTCAGACGTTGTCTATGTCCCCCGACTTCCCATCAACAATTCCTTGCCGCCTCTCCTGATTGAAATCCAGCGGATCGTGAGCGAATCGTTTATGCAGCGCGTAATCCAATATTCCATCCTTATGAAGCGCACATTCGGCCAAAAGTCAGTCGTCTTGATATTCTCTATCGATGGTGTTCATCCCAACGACGTACTCGAACAATTTAGGGCTCAATGGAACGACCATGGTTGCATGAATGCAAAGTTCATCATTTGGGCCAAATACTGTTCATGATCACTAAACCCACCTTGAGCCCATCCGACGAATCCTCGCCCATAGACCCGTTGCTGGCACTCTCGAAATTCTTCATTGAACAACAACCCACTCTATTCAACCATAGTTGTGCTGTGGACTCGGCGATCCAGATGCTGTACGGACTGGCAAAGGACTACGTGCTTGATGGCAAGGAGTACCATGACAACTTCACTGAAACAAAGGATGAGGTGTGCGACACGCATATCAAACAGTTGGAGCAAGCCCAAGCTCCATCAATAATCCAAAAAGTGCTTGAAATAATGATCCCCGCATCGATAAATGAAGTACCCTCTACCTCAGAATAAGATAGCTTTGTGGATATAAATACCCCAATGATTATTTTTCTAAATAAACCCAATGAAATACATACCAACACACCTTCTCTTCCTTTCTCTCTGACGAGAATTATAAGACGTTTTTTCTCCGGTTCCACATTACCTTCAAATTCGAAAAACACATAACAGCGTATAGTATTAGCGTATAAAGCGTATAAAGTGGCTGGACGCGTCATGTCACCCTTATACTCCCCCACTATCAACGATCCGTGTATGCAATCGTCAGTCAGCAACGACGTACTAATTATGATTCTCTAACCCGCTGCATATGTTACATCGTACTGTGATGTTTCCCTTTACCCATTATTCCAGTTGCGATGCATCCACTCTCGGTGTTTCTCATCTTGATATCTTTTACGCAGATAAATGCAGTACGCTCTACCCCAGAATAAACTGGTTTTGCAAATATAAATTCCGTCAACGATTATTGAATATACACAATCTTTATTCTCTGACGAGACTTATAAGCCGCTTTGATAACGTACTTAACCATTTTACAATTGCATACAAAAAAAAAAAAAAATAGGCCATCAAATGTCATTGGCCAAATGAAAGTAGCGCAGTTAGCTCCTTAAATTAATAAAAAGAGGCCTTGCACACAGTCATTTCGCAGTAGTTGTTTGTTGTTGTCGTTATAGTTCATATTTTCATATCAGACGTTTACTTGTTATCTGAAGTACGCGCAATTAACCAGACTGTACAATTCTAGTATTTTATCTTGCGTGAAAATAAAACAGGAATAAAAAAAAACCACAAAGGATAGCTACTTCCATCATACAGCCTTCAGAACCTTTTATGAGGATCGTATATGCTGGCATCCGAAGTTAGATGTTTCTTTATACAGTAGGTTTATTTCTGCGTGGCTAAAAATAACAAGACGATGCACCCTCCAGCTCAGACTACGGACGCTTTGCGATTCGAGCATAAATTATAACTTTTTAACCAGTGAAAATCTCCAGTTCGCCATAGGCTTCCTTATTTTTCGGGACAATGCAGGTTTATAGGGTCGAAGTCTGATACATAAAGAGCAGTGGTCGGGAGCATCCTGCATTTGCTTCTACAATGAGTCAACAAAATTTTTTAATTTCGTAACCAGCTGTTTGAAACGATATGCAACCATTAATATTGATGGTTCATAAATCCATGGGGCTAATTTCGGTCAGGGTTTATAGGAATCAATGAACATACAAAGCCATGACGAGCAGCTGCTAAACATTTACCAGATTCGTCGTAAAAAGCACACAACAAACGACTTGCTTGCACCAAGGAACGTCAACGAGCTGCGACTTCCCATTGGACGACATGAACGAACTTGTGTTTCTCGATTGTTTTGAAAATAAATCTAATGACGATTTGATACCATCTTTTACCGGCTCCGAGGCAACTTTCGATTGAGTGCTTGGGTAGGACTCCGTTTACGAGTCTCTCACGAGCTGCATCTTTTAAATTGGAAATCTCGTGCCGTGCGTCAATGTTAACAGAAAAGGATTGAGCCAATAAGAAGAGAAGATTTCAGGCTTGGCAATCCCAATGGGCTGACTTGGATTTTTGTTTTCCGGCAAATTACATGAAGCGGGAAAACCGATGATGCACACCTTCAAAAATAAAAAGATTGTATACACCTTGAAATAAAGCAATTGCAGTAATAGATAGTCGTGCCACTTGTGTAATACCTGGAATATCCCATGAATGGTAGATTTACCATCAATATGAGGAATATTTTCTCCACAAGCGAAGGCTTGCTTTTTTTTTTCTCTCTTTCTATTTTATTCCCGAAAGGGTTTTTTTTTTTGGGCCTTCGTCCGCCGCCTTATCTTTTTCCAATTTTTCTCTGGCTTTTTCCTTTTTGCCACATTCCCCACACTCTCGTCATTTCCTCGTAATGGAAGATGCACAGTCGTCCTTTGCGCTGGCATCGCAGCTGGAGAGTAAAGGTCAAGTAAAGGTACACTTCGTCCTCTTCGTAAAAAACGAAAAAACCCCTCTCACCGTCAGAATAAGGTTCACTAAAACTGCTTTATTGTCTATTTTTGCTTGTTTCGGGATGGTTAGGACGCTTACATGACCTATCTCTCCACCGTGCAACGATCGCTGCAATCACTGTATGATGTTCGATTTGTTCATTCCTGTAAGCAATCAGAGTCGCAAAACCTTGTAGGCTTCCGTGTTCCCAACTCAAGTGCTTTTTCTTTTTGGTAAATTTTAGCCATTATATCCAAACCTCAACAATACAATGCGCTATTGTCCACTATGCGCAACTGCTTAACCCACATTGAAACTATTATCGAACAGCATTCCCCCGCTTCCCCCACGCCACCTCGACGAGTCAAACCCGTGAGTCCACATCACACCGGTGATTCGGCTTCCAAACCACCTTTGCCACCCAAACCTTCTCGCATTCAGAAACCCAGCATTCCTCCTAAACCCACTCGCACTGCACCCTCCCGACCAACATCCCCAACTCATTCTCCCGTCAAGCTATGCGATGACCATTTTGTTTCACTTCCACGTGAGTCTTCGATTGGCTTTTGCAGTATGATACTAAGTGAATACTTATGCATATTTTTTTGTGTCTCCAGCGAAGCCCAGTCACAGCCACGTTGCAACCGAATCCCCAAGTCGACCTTACAGTGTCCCTTCCAGAAACGACGTGAAACTGACCCCTACTTCTCGTCCTTATACCGATATATCTTTTGCTCAATCCAACAACCGTGACGATAGTAACGTCGCTATCCACGTCATTGCCGAAGGCGAGGTTGATCCTACGCACTTGGTACCGGCGCAAACCAACGCTGGCGATAGCTTGAGCCCGCCCGGTGGTACTTTCCAGGGTGCCGATCACGTTCCTCTCATTCCGTCGCCGCCGTTGCTCACGAGTCACCGGCTTTTGCAGTCCAAACTCGATGAATTGGAATCCCAACTGAAAGAGTGCCGTTGTCGAAAACAACAATTAACCGCCTCCGATAACGGCACGCCCGCCAACCTCGACGCTGTATCCAAAGATGACCTGAACCAAATGATTTTGCATTACACCAAACTGATTGCAGACTTAAAGCAGACCTTGAACCGGGTACGAACGCTTTACATGAGTGCGGCCACCATTCCCACCGTTCTTCAATTCCAAGCTCACATCATTGCATACCAAATCACCTTGATCGAATCCGCCATTTTCAACGCTATATCCCCCCACGCATTACTGGAACACTCGGCCAAGCACCCGCATCCACGCATTGTCGCGTCCACCGACTTTTTCAACTACGTTACCCGATTCATTGAGCATTCCATCTTACTGCCGCAAGACGCCTCCTCTCGAGCTCAGCATATCCATTACTGGATCAAAGTGGCGTCCCGATGTCTTGATCTAAACAACTATCAAACTCTCAAAGCCATTGTCTCCGCCCTTGGTACTCCGCCGTTACAACGTTTACGCCGTACATGGGCCTATATCCCAAAAAAGAGTTTATTGAAACTTGAGGCTTTGAATGACTTGATGTCAGAATCCAACAACTATGGTCAATATCGGGAACATATGGGCATGGTGAGTGCTGTCGCCTTGATCAATGGCAAGAGTTCTGCCACCGTTCGCGCCGAGCACTATGCCAAACCGACCGTTCCGTTTCTGGGCACCTTTATTCATGACATTACCTATTTGCTGGCCATTTATAAATCATCTGATCATGCGCATTCTGCAGGACCAGAAGATGAACGCGGGATCAGTGAAATACTAACGGCCATTGAACGGTTCCAGAAAGGGCCCCGGTATGCTTCGGTGCCTCCTACCAGTTACCTCAAAGCGTCTCAGAAACATTATTTCCGACCTGCCCTTTCCAATGCATTACATCGCGGCGCTTCAGGGATTGGTCGTATCAGTAGTGGTGGACTATTCGGTTTCGGAAGTCGAGACAGCAGCGGGTCGAGTATCGATACGGCGAGCGAAAATAGAGATGATGATGAGAATGAAAATTTGGAAGAACAGCAACAAATGGCCACGCAGTATATCTTGATGCGGTCATGGGTGAGTCAAGCCACCGTGGATGAACTCAGCGCGGTTCGAGAACCTCCACGAGCGAAATCTACCTCAGCCGCAGGCACACGCAGCAGTGCCGGTACCAGTAACGGTCATCATACCAGTTCTATTATGAGCAACACAAGTTCGATGGTGCGATTTAGTGCCGGTACTGCTTCCTTGGGAACCAGCAGTACAGCCGATGGCAGTAATGGCGACAGTCGACCGACTAGTATGGAAGACAATCCAGGTTCAGCCAACGACGAGACCGACAGTCATTCAAAATCAACCCCCGCACAATCGGTGACAAGTCCTACCAGTAGTTTTTGGCCTTTCCGACGCAGTATGGACACTCAGCGTCCCTCGACAATGCATGAAAGTCCATCTGAAGGGCCTGGAAAGTCGACGAGTGATCCAAATATAGCCAAACGAAGTACATGGGGATCGACGCACGAACCTAATACTCACACACCTGCACCGACCATTCCGCCTAGACCCCCTAGACCGCAGCCGATGGATCGTTCCCGTTTTCAACAACGTCCACAGGCACACGAAAACGATTTCAAGGCAGACTTGGCACAAAGATTAGCTAAAGTTGCAACTCAGAATAACACCACCTGATTCGCTAGAGTGATGATTTGATTTGATTTGGATTTTTCTTTTTTTATTATTGTTTTTGATGGTTCCTTTTTTTTATCGGAGTTGATGATGGTTTTTCCTTTTTGTACAGAATGTATTTTTAAATCCACCATGATGCAAGCTCATAACACATTGCCTGATAGGAAACTTTGCTTGTTTTGTCAAAAACTAAAAAGTGATCAACAAAAAGATTTGTTATACTTTTCCTTTTATGGTTACTTTCTGCCATTGACGATTTTCCGCTCCCCAGCCCACCCACTAGTTCAGAAAAACCACTAATATTCCATTTATCCAGGCTCTCTTCATTCAGGCAAAGAGTCTAGAAAATCGCTCCTAAAGATAGTTTCTATTAATCAATCATATCTTGTTCTCGATTTCCCGATTGATTCAAACGGACTCTTTCTCATTAGTATGGTATAATTCTTATCACGCATTCTCTTTTTTTTTTTGGTTGATGGTTGATTTCATCAGGGCAAAGTGGGGATGGGATGCCGGAGAATTTTTTTTGAAACGCATCATTCAACTCGATCATCTCAGGAAGCTGTGTTCTAATTTTAGATTGCTTTTAGGTAGAAATCAACATTTGCCCAATGAAGATAAGATCGTCCATACTCACTTGACATCATAAGCAACTTTGACACTAACGTCGATCTTTAATTAGGTTCAGGTACCCGGTATGAAGATCGTTTCGGCTTTAGTCTCTTGGCGTAGCCAAGTCATAGACTAGTGTCATTCGGTCGCGATTTGTCTATATAAACCGGTCGTTTGTCTCCACGAAATTCGAATCTTCATCCCAACAAACAACAAAAAACCACTTCTCTTATCACAACTATGAAATACACTACCTTCACCTCTTTGATCGCTCTCTTCGCCGCTGCTTCTACCGTTCAAGCTGCCCCTCAGCAACCCGCTGGTGGTGGTGGTGATGCTGGTGCTGCTCCTTCTGCCGGTGGTGGTGAACAAGGTGGTGGACAAGGTGGCCAAACCGGTCCTGTCTCGATTACACAGCCTACTCAGGGTACTACCTGGCCCGCCGGTTCTTCTCAAACTGTTACATGGCAGAAGCCTCAATCCAACATTGACAAGCTTGTCATCAACTTGATGAAGGGTGATCCCAACGCTTTGCAAATGGTTCAAGCTTTGGCCAAGGACATTGATGCTTCCAAGGGTTCTACCAAGGTTGATATCCCTAAGAACGTGACTTCCGGTTCCGACTACTCCTTGGCTGTTGGCAAGGACCCCAGCCAAATGGCTTACATTGGTGGTTTGACCATTGGTGATAAGGGTAGTGCTTCATCTTCCGGTGACAGCTCTTCCTCTTCCGCGGCTCCTTCGGGTGATTCCAGCTCTTCTGGTGGTTCTGGTGCTGATGCTTCGGCTGGCGGTGCTGGTGGCGATGATGCTTCCGCTGGTGGTGCTGGCGGTGATGCCTCTTCTGGTGGTGACAGTGGTGCTGCTGCCCCTGCTGCTGTCAAGCGCCAAGCCGATAGTGGTGCCGCTGCTGGTGGTGACTCTTCCAGCGCTGGTGGTGCTTCTGGTGACTCTTCTTCTGGTGGCGCTTCGGGCGCTTCTGGTTCTTCCGGATCTTCTGGTGCTGCCGAATCTGGTGCAGCTGGTGGTGCCGATGCTTCTGGCGCTTCTGGTGCTTCCCCTAGTGGTGGTGCTGATGCTTCTGGTGCTGATGCCTCTGGTGCTAGTGGATCTTCGCCTTCTGGTGCTGCCGGTGCTTCTGGCGCTGAAGCCTCTGGTGCTTCTGCTTCTGGCGCTTCCGGTTCTTCTGGTTCCAGCTCTGGTGCTTCAGGCTCTTCTGATTCTGCTGGATCTTCTGGTGCTGCCGGTTCTTCTGGTTCTTCCGGTTCATCTGGCTCATCTGATGCTTCCGGTTCCAGTGGTATGTCTGACTCGTCTTCCACTGGCTCTGGCGCCGAATCATCCTCTTCTGGTGGTGCTGAATCCGCTGGTGTTATGAACTACGCCAAGCCTGCTCTTGCTATTGCTGCTCCTGTGGCTTTGGCTCTCACCGCTTTCTAAGTGCAGTAATCAAAATATTACTGAATCTCCCTGTCGCAATGTAGATTTTCTCCTTTTTTCCTTTTTCTGTATTTGTTTATTCAGTAGTTAAAAAATAAATCGAAACTTTTATATCAGTTATACATTTTCACGTTTTACTTTGTAATGCTTATTTTTAAAATATGGCGAATTGATATCGCAAAATGAGTATCATGCTATTGATTGTTTCCCATAATGTACCAGTTTTCCTGGGCAATGTTTGTGCGCCGACATAATTGTTGTCTCCGAAGCAATGTTGCAACATGCGAAAGCTATTTTGCATGACGTCAAGAAACAACTTGATTGGTTTTGGCAGAACTTTTTCCGTGAATCTAAATAAACCTTGACAGACATGAATGTTTTTCCTGGCAACGATCCAGTACTGGACTCATCATTGTAATGCATATGCTTATGAGCATGTGATAAACGGATGTGCGGAGTCAGGGCCATTTTCCGCCATTGAGCGGTTCAGGGAAGCACTAAGTCTCATGTTTTGTCCAAATTACAAATGAAAATGAAAATCGATCCTTGCTTTTCTCGACGCAAGAAAAGAAAAAGTCAAGAAAGACTCGTTATATATCTATGTCATGATCCCATTATATGAAGTAAATAAATTAAGGTCTAAAAAGTAAGGATCATGTGCCCCATAAAGATAACAACACGGACTTCAGCACTAAAGCAGACTACCGCAATATGAATGCAATGCAGGGGTGTTTCGCAGCATTTGTTGAACGTAAGGTGTCAGAGCTCGGTACGGATTGTCGAAATAGATTCCCCAGTAAGCAAAGCCTTGCAGGAAATAAGGAAAGGTATAAAAAGAAAACGCAATCACCCAAATCCTTCGAATGGTTGTCGTAAAGGACGAATCGTGGACGGCGGTGGAAATTAGACTTTGTAAAGCGTGGCTACACACTTTCTCCAACAAGAGACCCACACCATGAATGACGAAGAAAAATTGTTGTTGTCCCAGAAAAGCGTGGTAAAAGACCGGCCAACGAATATTGCAGAATAATGCGTATTCATGCATACCACCCGAAACAGTAAACACTGCGAGACTTCCCGCAGTGAGAGCATACAAGGTTGGATTTTTTACTCGGTTTTTAAGCAGACGTTGAACGACCAAACGCGTAGGACGGAAAGCAAAGGCCAGCCAGGTTGATCGTAACAGTTGGTGCCAACGATAGGACCAGAGTTCATCCAACGACGTCGCCAGCATAGGATACTCCATCAAAAGACGCCATTGAGCTATTGCATCATGTCAGGTCAATGGTATTGTTTCTACCGCCCTGTCCTTAAAATTTTCCATTTACCTGAGGAATAGGAACCCTGTTCATAATACAGACAATAAAACAGATGCATCGTGTATCCGATGGCATTAAAAACGCTGTTTAATGTGAACACCGCCACAACGAAAAAGAAGAAAAAGAACACGGGTCGTTGTTCGTTCAGGATCATCATATCCTGGCTCGTAAAGGTGCTAAACCAAGCTCCAAAGACATCACAGATCGCCATGTGATAGAGTAGCGGAGGCAGCAAGTGGTAAAATTTCTGTCATCAAAAAAGTTATTAGGCTGCCATGGATCTACACATGAATGTTCTCGCCCTACCTTGTCCTTGACAAAGGGTGGATCCACTTGCTTGTCCTTGGCCAGTTTATCTGCTTTGTTGACTTTGGGAAATTTGCGCATACATGACCAAAAGTCTTGGTGCAAACTGTCCAGGGTCGCATAAGCTTCTTTCCCTTGAAGCAAAGGACCAATCCAGAATAGGTCGGCAAATCGTAGAAAGAAATTGTAACAACCAACGGCAGCGACAAGATCGAGCGCTATCGAAAATGCAATTGAAAAGTTTAGGAGCAAATATTCATTGTCATGAAACAGGTTTACTCTTACGCATATTGCCTGCCGAAAAGTAAACAGGAATCAGCAGGTTCGCCATGAGCAATGGAATGGACAAGCATTGCTTGGCTCGAGTGGACAATGACGTAGTGGCGATACTAATGACCATTGCCATGGCCGTCGCCGGGGCAAGAAACAAGGCAACAAATGTTGCATAATTTAGAATGGTTCGGTCGGTAGGTATCATATATTGAAAAAGAGGGTTGAGAGGTTGGATATCAAAGAAGCTTGGCTGCTGCCATCATCGGGAGATCGAATTTTATTCTTTATTTTTTTGCAGATTGACTTTTATGGCATGGTGGACAAATTGCCTTTTTATACATTTTCATATGCTAGAAAAAAGTCAAGATCGCTTTATGACATGTTTGTAAGATAACGCCATTTCTTGCCCTGTTGCTCTTTACAAGGCTCTTTTTTCACAGTTTAAAACAGTATGACGATGACGAAAATGGTGTTGTCATGTTAAACCACCGTTTCTTCACATTACCTAAAATGGTAGTGATCTGTTTCGCCTTAATTTTGCATCGATTCATTTCAGGATATCAGCTGCAGAATACTCCTTTGATGGTCGATGTGTGTTCAATAAATAGAGTTGACGGGCGTTGAAAGCCGTGGTTGCACGTGAATTTGGTTGATGGTGCGGTTTTATTGAAATTCAGTTCCTGATGGCTTGACATTGTCTTGGCTAAAAAAGGCTCGCAGTAATGAGTTTTTATCCCAATGATCAAAAAGGTGGGTCGTGCATGGATCATGACATGATATATGCATACTACTTGTCATTGCTGCTCTTACTTTATTAGCTTTTGCACTCTATGTTCATTGCCAACATTTGTCTGCGTCTATGATGGATTGATATGGCTTTACTGAAAAAAGCGGCTGCTATAGGTTACTGCTATCTCTCGAACTGAAATATCGGGAATTCAAGGTGGAATTTCCTTGTGCACCCAAGGTGTTACCTAAATTATTGATTTTTTGAACAAAAATAACAAAAGGTCCAGGCAAACCTTTGCCTGGAATCTTTTCCGTAATATTCCTTTCCCACTGTTTCTCTTGCTTTTGCAGCCATGAACAATGTCGCACCACCCCGGCCTGATAAAAGCAAACTACGCAGCCTGCCCAGTTCTGCCTCATTGAGCACTTTCGTCGAACCTTCGAGACCTGGACGAGCCTCGGCTCCTCTTGTTCGCAGCTTTTCCACCGATTATGTAGCAACGTCTTTAGCCGTTCAGTCACCCACTGTCCCACCTCAATTGAATGCTTCCGCGTCCACACAACCCTCTCTACCAGCGAGATTCGATCACGTCCCTCCTCCAACAAAGTATCGCAGTCGATTTATCGAACGATTCGATCACACGCCACCTCGGGAACTTTTGAACACCTTGTCCGAATCGACGCCTCAAGGCCCCGAAAGAAGACCGAGACGTCAAAGCACGGTCAAACGACTGCGCTTAGCCCTGACCCATTCTCACAGCACATCCGTCTTGGAAACTATTAGTTCACGCGTTCATCCAAGCACTCCTACTGCTGCTGCAGGAATTCCCGCTGTCAGCTCGCCCACCACTCCGACACCGGCCAGCATGGCTGTTCATCGAACGGTCTCGGACGGCTCGATCATGCGCTCCCCTGTGGACAACGGCCCACAAGAATCATTGACGACGAACGATAATTCAAGAGAATCATCAATCACACGTTCGGCTGGATCTAGTTTGCAGAGTTCAGCGTCTACGCCAACATCGTCATTTATGAAACCGCAACGACTGGGCAGCAGCCAATCCATGCCATACAGCACCACCAAATCGGCGACCTCACCTACCAAGATCAGCAATAAGATGTCGTTGGCCAACTTGAACCGAGCTAAAGTCATTATTAATCGTCTTGAAGAATGGCTTCATTTTATTCGTACGCTCATCAGTTGGACAGAGGAAGTGTCGAAAATCTGTCTGCAGAGTAGCCGTAGCTATTATCACCGAGCGCTTCCCTTGTCCGAAGATTTCGACAGCACCAATGGACCAGAGATTGCCATGGCCACCATTCAAGCGGGTTTGAGCATGTTGACCATGCAAGTGGCGGAAGAACAACGCAATTTTAGTCGCAAGTTGCGAGACTCTTATTTACCGTGTTTGGTGAAATTCAAGAAAGAATGCAAAGAGAAAATCCGGAGTCTGAAAAGCAACGACGATCTTTTATCGGATGAACTGTTGCGACGAGCAGAAACGACTCGAAAAAGCATGAGTCAACTAAACAAGGCTTGCAAAGCAGCCGAAAAAGCCAAACATCAAATCGAACACGATCCATGGTTAGCCAATCTCTGTAAGTAACACCCTCAAAGCAGTCAGCAAGACATCGATGCAGATAAGCTGACCAATCTATCAAAAAAAAAAAAGATGTGCTTCGATATTTGAAGCAGGAAATCAATGAAGAGAATCGGTTACGGTTATTGATGGTAGATGTCCAGAAAGATACGGCCGATTTTGAGCAACGCTTGATAGAAGCGGTCAAACCGATCGTCCAGTTTTGCTACGAGTATTTGGCTCCTGGTGCTTGGCATCATGCCTCCGATCCAGAAACGGCGTCAATGAAACTTGTGATGGATCAAATTATACCCAATCACGAATGGCACGCTTTCGCAGAGAAGAATGTCAAGGAACTTGTTCCCGAACATCATCCAACAAAGGATTATCTAAAGATCAATTATCCTCACAAGCTCCATCCTTACGTATTAACACTGCAAAAGGGGAAAATGCAACGACGCACTGGTGTATTGAAGCAATACATCGACCGTTACTATGTTCTCAGTCAATGTAGGTTTCCTTGAGATCCAATTTCTTTTGTGAGGTTGAACCCGAAATCTGATGTCCGTTGTTTTAGGCGGTTATTTGCATCAGTTTCGTCTCGATGACAAGGTGTCTCCTGAACATTCAATTTACATACCCCAGTCGACCATTGTACCCTCGGTCGATATCAGTCATCTGGCGAATCAAATCATGGAAACCACCTCCGACAATACGAAACAGGAATTCACGTTTGAAATTATCCGTCCAGGCAATGCGAGATTACAACGTGATAAGGCTTACGAGTTCCGCGTGTCCAGTCGCAAGGAATTACTGGATTGGTGTCGTCTGTTATGCGAAATTGCTACCCGGCCTCCGGGGGCGATTTCGCAAACACTTTTACCTCAGTCTAGCCTGCTCCTTACGTCCACATTGTCGTCAGGTTCCTCATCAGAGGCGCTACGCAGCGACAATAGTCTCGCCGTATCCGTTGTCTCCTCCGGCAGAGCCAGTGACGAACAGCGTCAAAACTCTTGTACTTCCATTCCACATACTGTCCAAACTCTATGGTCCCACCGTGCCAGTCAGTCGACCAATGCTAAAAGCAACCAGAGGCAAATTGCCCAAGCAACCGATTCTATACCCGTAACCTTTGCCGAGGAAGAACCGGCCCCCAGCATTTATACCGATGCGCCTACCGAGCTTGAACCTCCTCAAGACACCCGTCCAGAAACAAACCAAGATCCAGCAGACACATCAAGCATCCACAGCGACGCTACCGCCAAAGACGAACATTATACCAGTACCAAACCTCGCCCCATCTCTCTGGTGAGCTCCCATATCGATGACGCCGAGTCCTCGGTTTATCTATCGGCAGCTTCTACTCTATCCTCCGGTTCATCAACGACATCCTCCATTATCAATATGGAAGAGGTAAATTTTCCAGCCCTCGATAATGAAAACGAAAACGATTTTCCAGTCACGCCTACTGTTTCAGCTAATGCCAAGTGAACACAGTATCACTCTATCAACCCAGTTCCCTATAGTAACAACTAGAATATAATGCTTTCTCAGAATGAGCGATTAAAATGGTCGCAATCACCTACCACTGTTTCTCCCACTGTGACCAGCACAATAAAGGTCCTACATAATTAATTGCTATATCACATTATCGAGTCAATGCCTCAGGCTGATATTGCTCATGACAGATTTGAAAGGGACTCAACGCTTTTTCTGCATGATAGGAAAATAACTGCAAACGCAACCAATTCGTATGAATAACCTAGACATTAACGGCATGAAACACTATTTCAGGAAATTTATTTATAAAAGGTCTTTACGTATTTAAGTTACTGGCAGCTATAAGGTATGCACATGCTCAAATAAGATATACAAGGTCTAATCTATCGTTTTAAGTAATGGTACGAGCAAAATAATTAAAAAAAAAAAAGAAAAGGGGAACGAAAAGGAACAAATGCAACAACAAAGAGTATATGTAAAACGGAGAGAGAAAAAAAAAAAGGACCATCATTTCGTGTATACAGTGTATACAGTGTATTTAAAGACGATAAATGAAGTTGGGATCTTGTACATCGCTAAGATCGTCTTCGACGTTGGTCATTATGGCCGACGAGGTGGTCAATCGGCGCTGATTCACAATGGCCATTCTCCAGCGTGCAATCAAAAGCAAAATAGCGGCGACAAAGTTGGCCACGATGTAACCAACCATGGCCCCCAAATATGATGGCGCGGGGGAACTGTTCATCATGAGCGGTCCACAAAAGTTGCCGAGTGTGTAAAACACCATGAGAATACCGTTGTAAAAGATTTTTTTGGTATAACCAGAGACGTTATTGGTGATGGAAGACACCAGCAGAACGTAGGCCGCGCAATAAGTCCAAGACAAGTAAAAACCGACCAATTTGACGCGAAGCGGTGGGATCACTTCCAGCAGAATCAAGCCGATAATATCAATGACCAAAAGCCCCACTGCGGTGTACAAGGTTTGCTTGGTCTTTTGAACAATGTAAACAGCAATACAGATGGAGATAACGACGGCTCCTCCCGCGCCAATACTGAGCAACACAGCCTCTAAGCCCTAGATCAACCGTAACAATGCATGTTAGTTGAAACAAATTCATTGACAACCATCAAGGGGCAGTTATGAAATTTTTACCGAAAAACCGAAGCCTGCGGTAATTTGAGTATTATAAATGGTGATGGCGCCGTTTTGCAGATTGATTAAAAGACAAGCGACGCAAAAGCACCAGAACCGGATTTCTTTCATAGCTTCGATGATCTGGTCGCGTTTGATCATGGTCGTGCGTACGACAGCATTGTCTCGCGTACGTTCTTCGACGAGAATTTCTTGTTCGGCGTTGAGACCCAAGGCGCGCGATTTCGGATTATCGATAAGGAAAAAGAAGCAGAAAAGGCCCATAAATGCCGTGATCGAACCGAGAATAATCATGATCCTAATTGAAAAAAAAAAAAAAATCCAGAGAAAAACAAAGATTCATTGTGAATAACTCGTCAAGTCATGAGTTTCTTTTTTCTTTTTGATAATTACCATTGCCAATGGTGAAGGCCCAGTGTGTTTGGCATGGCAAGGATACCGTAACTGATGAGACCACCGACCACGAGAGCGATACCATTGCACAGCCAGAAAGCGCCCAATCTAGCGATTTGTTCGGAACGACGGTAAAAGGTACTGATAAGGAGAGTGAGCGAAGGGTAGATGCCAGCCTCAAAGAATCCCAAAAGGAAACGAAGCGCTGCCATCTGGCTAAATGTTTTGCCCGCTGCTGAGCAAGCCAGTACAGCGCCCCATATTGCCACCAGGACGCCGATGTATCGGCCAATGTTGACTCGTTGCAGCATATAATTATTGGGAACCTAATATGATCAACATTTATAAGATTAAAATAACTCTTTTCGCATAAGCCCCCATTCTGTGGGGAGCGGATCTTGAGGAGGGCGGAAACTCTACCTGAAATAACAGATATCCCAGATAAAAGATGGATCCTAACAAACTGAATTGGTTTCCAACGAGTTCCAGATCTTGGGTCAACGGTGCCGATACGTAATTAAGCGTTGATTTATCGATAAACTTTGGGTCATGATGTCAGTTTGAGCATGCTAGAATTGATACGGATAAGGTATGATAGCTACCTGTAAGCAATTGATGATGCAAACGATAGGCATGATGTAAAAATCGATTTTTCTCACGAGGGCTTTTTCTTCGGTGGACATTGGTTGGTCCTGGTCGTTGTAACCGTAGACATCGTAGTGATCGTATTCATCACGGCCATACAGTGACTGATTCGATCGTTTTTCAAACATATCTAGAGGTATATCGGACGACGATCTTCGATACGTGGACATCACCTTGGTTCCCGATAAACAGCGGAAAAGCGAACCAGTGACAGAAGCAATGGAAACAGGAAAAGAAAACGGCAGAAAAAAAAATATGGAGTACCACTAAAAACAAAGAAAAAAAAAGAAAAAAAAAAGTTGGAAAAAGGGAAAAAGGAGAAGACCAAAGGTGTGAATTCTTTCGTTGATCTAACCCTATTCCGACCAAGGTTAATCATGGAGTTTCAAAATGACAACGAACGAAAAAACAGCACAGGGAAATCAAATGAATTCTTTTTGACGACAACCCACCTTCTGGGCCCTGGTGGAATACCACCATTGCTAGTCATCACATAATCGCTTTTGATGTAACTTCAACTCGGCCCGTTTGTAAGACGTGATCGTTGTACTGCAATGAAAGGTTCTACAAGGATTTTTTTACTCTGCCATGCATGCTTTGTTTCCCATCAAAATTACAATAAGATGCTCCGAAGTTCGGGATTAGAATTTCGGTAGGAAAAAAAATTTCGTGCAGAACAAAAAGGTCGCACCAAAACCTTAAATTAGGCACTCGATATAATGACTTTTAAATAACGCTGCTTCCATTTATCATGTTTCAAAGCAGTGGCATTGGATCTAAATGTGATAATTACTTGGGGTAACTAACTAGTGGGATGTAAAGCGATGAAAGAAGTGATTCAAAATGATCCATCAAAGGTCATTCGGTTTCAGGGCTTCCTGTGACGAGCCAGATACAAAAACCGATGTGTCGAGAGAAACAGAGAAACCCTGAATATGTGTAACATACACGTGCTTTATATAGGGGAGATGCATGTCATGGAAAATGGTTATAATCTATAAATGAAATTCGGGTCCTCCTGGTCCGTCAAGTCTTCCATGACGGCGTTTGCCGGACGTTCGGTTGCAGAGGATAATCGTTGTTTGTTCACGCGGGCCATTTGATGACGAGCAATGAGCAAGAGGATAATCGATACGGCATTGGACACAATGTAGCCCACCATGCCGTTCACGAGGTCCGGAGGTTGCAGCATTTGAGGGCCAGCAAAGTTGCCGACGGTATACATGACGATAATGGCACTGCTGTAAAAGATCTTTTTGGTATAACCGGACACGTTGTTAGCGAGGCTCACAAGAAGAAGGGTATAGGCGGCAGCAAAGGACCAGCACATGTAGAGCCCGGCGAGTTTGGCTTGAGGCAACGGAATCACCAGGAGAAGAATGAGACCAATGATGGAGATGATCAAAAGGATACATGTCAAGTAGATGGTGTGACCATAGCGGCGATTGTACCAAACGGCGAAAGCAATATAAATACAATCTGTGACACCTGAAGGCACGCTGAGAAGAATAGCATTCAGATCCTGTGAGATGGAGGAGAGGAAAAAGGACGCGGTCAGTCATGGCGAAAAAAAAAAATGATAATCGATTCGTGGGCTGAGTTATGGCGGAAGATGGAATGAAACAAAACTAACCGAGAATCCGAATCCTTGCGTGATGATAGTGGTGAATGTGTTCAACGCGCCATTTTGGAAATTCATTAGCATTGAAACAATAGCAAAGCAGTAAAAGCGCGGCTCCTTCAATGCTTCGATAATATGGCTATATTTGATTTCCTTGTTACGCACCACGGCATTATCACGCACCCGATCTTCCACCAGTTGCTTTTCGGCTTCCGTCAGCCGAAGAAAACGTGATCTGGGATTATCCACCAAAAGAAAGAAGCAGAATAGCCCAAAAAATACAGTAGCACATCCGAGAATGATCATGATCCTACAAAGAAAAAAAAACATATTAAATGAAACGTGTTGCCATGGAGTGTACATCAAAACCAGGAAATATTTTCTGGGGTTTCCATACCATTGCCAGGCGCTCATGCCTCGAACGTTGTGCATGTAACCGATACCATAGCTGACGAGACCACCGACGGCCATGGCCAAGCCATTGCAAATATAGACACATCCAAGTCGCGCAGGCTGTTCCACACGCCGGTACATAGTACTAATCAACATGATACAGCATGGATATATGCCTGCTTCGAAAAGGCCCAACAAAAAGCGCAAAGCTGCCAATTGAGAGAAATTTTTGCCTTGAGACGTGACGGCAAGCACCGCACCCCAGATAATGATAAGACCACCAATGTACTTTCCCAAAGGCAATTTTTGGATAAGGATAGTATTGGGCACCTAAATACGGATTGGAAATAATGGATGAAATGAATTTTCATTAAATTTCGTCATGTCACTTTTCTGTTAAATCGTACCTGATAGAGTAAATAACCAAGATAAAAAATGGAGCCGAGCCAACTGTATTGGCGAGTGTCAAGATGGGCATCATCCATAATACCGAGCACACTAGCATAGTTGAGCGCTGATTTATCGAAAAACTGAACACAAGATGAGTGTGAGACATGTACTCTTGATTTTTCAATTCCTTTGTAATAAAGATGTTTTTTTATGCTTACCTGCAGAAAATTGAGGATGGCCACAAATGGCATCACGTAAAGATAATCGAGCTTGCGCACGAGGGCCTTTTCTGCCCGAGATGGCGCCAAAGTGGTACGGGACCCCTTCTCGTGATCCTGTTCATTGTGGGAACTGTCGATCTCTTCTTTGCTGTCGATGTCGTACTGTATCTTTTCGTCACTTTGCACGACCATGATGGGTATCAAAAAGAGATAAAAAAGTAAAGAGATAAAGTTGACAAGCGTCTCTTTAAAGGTAGTTGTGCAAGAAAAATATAATAAACGAAAAAAAAAATTGCATTGTGCATCGCAACACAAGGAAAGCATGCAATTACCATAACAGGTTCGTTCAACAGACAACGGACACAAACTGATACCCGGATTCTTTTGATGCAATACAGACGCGGCTTAATCGGCAACGTGCATTTTTTTCTCCACAAGAATGGCCGCAGAAATGAAGAGCTAATTCCTGATACGAACCCAAAGTGACAGTTGTTAGCGAAAAGCTTTTCGATTATGGTCACTTAATTAATACTCCGATTATCAGGTGTTCCGTACGATTTCCTTTCCCTCATTATCCAAAAATTTTTCTGGCCACAGTGGGGTTGGTCTTACAGTCGATGCAATATCAGGTGGACGTGGGACTTTTTTCCTTACATGGCCGGTTTCTGCAACCTGCAAACCCCACAAAAACACCAAATTGATCCATTCAAGCGAAAAGAGAAGGAAAACAGTACTTCGTACAAACAATTACTTCCTTTTTACCCTTTTTCCTTGTTTTTATGTCGTCATTGGTCAAAGGAATTCTGAAAGGGAAATTTACTTTGGTTTTCTTTTTTTTCTCTCGAACTTCGTTTTTATGGAGGCTGTAATCTCAAATATGTTGTGCCAGCATCGATATCGACGACAGTTGATTATCACTGTCTTGACTCCTTTTATACGTCAAGCGTCATGTCGAACCAGTTTGTCACCGCCCGCCATTGTACGATGCCATCACACATTGCAACAGCCATCAGCCTCATCAACCTCGACCATTCCTGCGAACAACCATCCGCCATTCACCACAGGCAATCAATACCGATTACGACACTCTGTACAACAACCGCTACCTTCGTTGACAGCCAACGTAGAAACACACGATAGCATAGACATGCATCATAACAATGCTGAGCGATTGCCGGAAGCTTTTCAGTTCGTTGCTTATGCAGCTTGGCATCCTAAAAACCGCCTTTCTAAACAACAACGCCAAGCAGAAAGTCGGATACCGTACTGGAAACATCGCAAAGTGGGAAAAGTCGATGCAGGAGAGGATGCCTTTTTTAATACCTGTACTTCATACGGATTGGCACTTGGTGTCGCCGATGGTGTGGGTGGCTGGGCCGACGTGGGCGTGGATCCTGGTAAGTGGACAGACAACTGATATCGAGAGAAATAGCAACTGATGATACAACTCTATGGGTTAGCGCTTTTTTCATGGACATTGATGAACAATGCCGCGATGGTCGCGAAAAAGCAACCTTCCATTGATGCGTGCCAGATCCTGGATACGGCGTTTCACCAATTACGATACAGCGGCAAGGTCAAAGCGGGCAGTAGCACGGCGTGTATTCTGAGTCTTTGCAAACGAACGGGAAAAATGACGACCTGTAATCTGGGAGACAGTGCCTTTTACTTGATACGGGACAGCAAAATCATTTATAAAAGTCCTAGTCAGCAGCATTACTTCAATTGCCCGTAAGTCTCGAGATAACCGCGCTAGGCGATAAATTATTTAAAAAGGTTCACTGACATCACGTCAAAAACAGATATCAGCTGACAGTTGTACCAGAGCAATATCCAGACTATGATGGATTCGTGACGGATTTGCCCAAACAAGGGAATCAGAAATCGTTTCATGTCAAGGAAAACGATATTATCGTGTTGGCGACGGATGGCTATTTTGACAATGTCTATCCTCATGAAACCTTGGCTTTGGTGAATGCAAGCGTGGCCTCCTTTGTAGATAAAGACGAAGATGGGGTTGCCACAGGGGTACGATTACTCGCCAAGACGCTCAGTGATACCGCTCGACGGTTAAGTTTAGATCCGAAACGATTAAGCCCTTGGGCTAAAGATGCACAAATGCATGGAAGTAACTATTACGGTGGTAAAATTGACGATATCACCTGTATTGTGACATTTGTCCGAGGAGTCGACAAATGAGCGAACTGGTGACAGTTCCGTGTATATAATTTTATTGCCTTCTATAACCTTGTACATGATCACCAATATAAACCATCCCATTTTGTACGTAGCGTAAAAAAGTTTACTTGCCATTTTTAACAACAACACTGGTTAGTTTTAGGGGATATACTACATTAACGCAAGAGATTGTAGTTCACCGTTTTACGTCGATTTATACATCTTGTATTCGAGAAACTCAGTTATATTGTTGCCGGAACAAATGCTAACGGGCATACATATTGGCACAATCAAAGGATAAATCCGACTCCACGATTAGTTCAACATTAAACGGGGCATTTTTCCCGCTCACCAGGACATTTTTAAGATGCAAAAAATCCCGTCCATCGCCATTCGCAACCATGGGCAAGGTGCTTTTTACGTGGCAGGTTCTTTAACAAGACCAAAAGATCCTGCCATCCGTGAAAAAAGATCCCGTCCATCGCCATTCGCAACCATGAGCAAGATGTTTTTTACGTGGCAGGATCTTTTTCAGCGTGGACAGATCTTTAACAAGACCAAAAGATCCTGCCATCCGGGAAAAAAAAGATCCCGTCCATCACCATTCGCAGCCATGGCAAGGTGTTTTTTACGTGGCAGGATCTTTTGGTCTGAATAAAGATCTGTCCACGCTGAAAAAGATCCTGCCATCCGTGAAAAAAGATCCCCGTCCATCACCATTCGCAACCATGGACAAGGTGTTTTTTACGTGGCAGGATCTTTAACAAGACCAAAAGATCCTGCCATCCGTGAAAAAAAAAGATCCCGTCCATCACCATTCGCAGCCATGGCAAGGTGTTTTTTACGTGGCAGGATCTTTTGGTCTGAATAAAGATCTGTCCACGCTGAAAAAGATCCTGCCATCCGTGAAAAAAGATCCCCGTCCATCACCATTCGCAACCATGGACAAGGTGTTTTTTACGTGGCAGGATCTTTAACAAGACCAAAAGATCCTGCCATCCGTGAAAAAAAAAAGATCCCGTCCATCACCATTCGCAACCATGGGCAAGATGTTTTTTATGGACAGGATCTTTTTTAAGACGAGAAGATCTGTCCACGCTGAAAAAGATCCTGCCATCATGAAAAAAGATCCCGTTCATCGCCATTCCCAACCATGGGCAAGATGTTTTTTATGGACAGGATCTTTTATAAGACCAAAAGATCTGTCCACGCTGAAAAAGATCCTGCCATCATGAAAAAAGATCCCGTCCATCACCATTCGCAGCCATGGCAAGGTGTTTTTTACGTGGCAGGATCTTTTGGTCTGAATAAAGATCTGTCCACACTGAAAAAGATCCTGCCATCCGTGAAAAAAGGTCCCCGTTCATCACCATTCGCAGCCATGGGCAAGGTGTTTTTTACGTGGCAGGATCTTTAACAAGACCAAAAGATCCTGCCATCCGTGAAAAAAAAAAGATCCCGTTCATCGCCATTCGCAACCATGGGCAAGATGTTTTTTATGGACAGGATCTTTTTTAAGACGAGAAGATCTGTCCACGCTGAAAAAGATCCTGCCATCATGAAAAAAGATCCCGTCCATCGCCATTCCCAACCATGGGCAAGATGTTTTTTATGGACAGGATCTTTTATAAGACCAAAAGATCTGTCCACGCTGAAAAAGATCCTGCCATCCGTGAAAAAAGATCCCGTTCATCGCCATTCGCAACCATGGGCAAGTTGTTTTTTACGTGGCAGGATCTTTAACAAGACCAAAAGATCCTGCCATCCGTGAAAAAAGGTCCCCGTTCATCACCATTCGCAGCCATGGGCAAGGTGTTTTTTACGTGGCAGGATCTTTTGGTCTGAATAAAGATCTGTCCACGCTGAAAAAGATCCTGCCATCGTGAAAAAAGATCCCCGTCCATCACCATTCGCAACCATGGGCAAGGTGTTTTTTACGTGGCAGGATCTTTAACAAGACCAAAAGATCCTGCCATCCGTGAAAAAAAAGATCCCGTCCATCACCATTCGCAGCCATGGCAAGGTGTTTTTTACGTGGCAGGATCTTTTGGTCTGAATAAAGATCTGTCCACGCTGAAAAAGATCCTGCCATCCGTGAAAAAAGATCCCGTTCATCGCCATTCGCAACCATGGGCAAGGTGTTTTTTACGTGGCAGGATCTTTAACAAGACCAAAAGATCCTGCCATCCGTGAAAAAAAAGATCCCGTTCATCACCATTCGCAGCCATGGCAAGGTGTTTTTTACGTGGCAGGATCTTTTGGTCTGAATAAAGATCTGTCCACACTGAAAAAGATCCTGCCATCGTGAAAAAAGATCCCGTTCATCGCCATTCGCAACCATGGGCAAGGTGTTTTTTACGTGGCAGGATCTTTAACAAGACCAAAAGATCCTGCCATCCGTGAAAAAAAAGATCCCGTCCATCACCATTCGCAGCCTTGGCAAGGTGTTTTTTACGTGGCAGGATCTTTTGGTCTGAATAAAGATCTGTCCACACTAAAAAGATCCTGCCATCGTGAAAAAAGATCCCCGTCCATCACCATTCGCAACCATGGGCAAGGTGTTTTTTCCTGGCAGGATCTTTAACAAGACCAAAAGATCCTGCCATCCGTGAAAAAAAAAAGATCCCGTCCATCACCATTCGCAACCATGGGCAAGATGTTTTTTATGGACAGGATCTTTTTTAAGACGAGAAGATCTGTCCACGCTGAAAAAGATCCTGCCATCATGAAAAAAGATCCCGTTCATCACCATTCGCAACCATGGGCAAGATGTTTTTTATGGACAGGATCTTTTTTAAGACCAAAAGATCTGTCCACGCTGAAAAAGATCCTGCCATCATGAAAAAAGATCCCGTTCATCGCCATTCGCAACCATGGGCAAGATGTTTTTTATGGACAGGATCTTTTTTAAGACGAGAAGATCTGTCCAGGCTGAAAAAGATCCTGCCATTGTGAAAAAAGATCCCGTCCATCGCCATTCCCAACCATGGGCAAGATGTTTTTTATGGACAGGATCTTTTATAAGACCAAAAGATCTGTCCACTCTGAAAAAGATCCTGCCATTGTGAAAAAAGATCCCGTCCATCGCCATTCCCAACCATGGGCAAGATGTTTTTTATGGACAGGATCTTTTATAAGACCAAAAGATCTGTCCACGCTGAAAAAGATCCTGCCATCATGAAAAAAGATCCCGTTCATCGCCATTCCCAACCATGGGCAAGATGTTTTTTATGGACAGGATCTTTTATAAGACTAAAAGATCGACGGGGCAAAGGTCAACAAAGAGTGACTGTTGAGTTTAAAATTTGAACATTTAAATCGTCGACATTTTTTTTACAGATCGGATAAAGAAGCTGAATTTCAATATGTAATAAAATCAAGATGAATACAGATCATGTTAATGAATTTGTTTTGAAAATAAAAAGATTTGTCATTATAGATTATATGATCAAAAATAATATTAAAAATATAAATATAGAATACAGAAAACAGGATGAGCAAATCCATATAATTGTAGATGATATATGAATGTGTCTAGAAAGGTATCGTCATGATTTAATCTATCGCGTCATTCATGCTACGTGTGTATATGCGTGTACTTCGGAATACTCAAGAATGACACTTGTTCATGCTGAACGAAATTCCCAACAATTTGTATACGGTCGATCAGCACTACTACGACATCTGCCACAAATCGTAAAAAAGCTGGCTCTGCCAAGGTATTTAGTGCACGATCCATGGAACAGGCAATAGGTATAGTAACATTAGCCTGATGTCCCTAAGTGCAACTGTTAAAAACGGATGATAGGAGAGCTCAAAACTCACGTTAAATCCCGTGTCGCTCCTGGGACAACTGCATCCAATGCGCTTTATAAGATTACTGCGAGTCGATTCTTTCGGCGAACCATTACTGGTTTTGACGATCAATGAACATCTGCGTCCCACGTCTTCAAGAAATTACCATGTGGCAGCAATCCAAAGATCCAGAACTATGGGCTCCACCACTCCTGGAAGCACTACCAATAAGCACTTACAACACAGATTGGAACATTGGGTATTATTTACAAAGATATTGGTCATGCGAGACTGAACACGCCGCTGTCAACATTGATCCAATGCTTTGTCTGTGGCTTCCAAGTTATATTACGGCAATAACATCTACAACAGTCTAGCCTACTCGACAAAACGTACGAAAAAGCTTACATCATTCGTTACAGCTATGATACCGGTTGATGCCAATATGCCAATCGTCACACCCCAGTCAAAAACGTTTGGCGAAGATACTTCGGGGAAGCGCTGCTATTCTTGTACATGTTCATGAAGGTAAGTACAGGTGGGTCCGTATAAGCATAGTGTCGTATTTTTTAATGAATTAGGATGGAAAAAGTGCTATGCCTACTAAGGATCATGGAAAGAGTAAAGGTGAATGGAACTGGAGTTTTATATGGAACGTCTACTCACGGATCAAGGATGTATGTCACGGATGCTGAACATATCGATGTTCGCTTGAATGATGAAATCTTCAGGGTACCCAGACCGCGTGTACTATGTTACCGTGCCAAGGATATAGGAAAAATTGAACTTGGGCTCTCTAGCCATTTGGGACGGTAGCATAAAAATTATATTTAGGGCGAGCACGATTAACGTGATTAGATTGTGTCCGTTGCGCCTTGCAACAATTTGATGGAATTGACGTATAATAAGACATATAAAAAAAATATAAAAAGATATCGCTAGCAAAAATGTATCTAAACAATACGACACACAATATAACAAAGCCTTTTTAAGGCAATAACACATTTGTCTTAGACTTTAACACGACATTAACATATTCGGTTCTCACAGGTAGCTGTGAAGTTGCGCTGACCATCCTGTAGTCTGCAGATAACACTATAGCACCCAACAGATTGGGAAGCATGCAAATGATAAATCGATTGCTGGTAAGCACAATGGACTTGTCAAGATTTCTCAATTTAGGTCAGGTTGAGCGCAAGCGGGACACAAAAACAGTCCCATCTGCGCCTAAAATTTGGGCAATTGTTTGTTGGGCAAACTTCAGTTTCAAATCGGATTTTGTTTCCCAGTAACAAATCCTGCAAACGTCATGCTAACTCTAGGCCAAGCTTCTTGTTTGGTTCTAGGGTATCGGCCCAACAACGCCGAAGAACGCGAAAAGGCGAAACAGCATTTGCAAAAAAGCGGTCTTGTTGCAGCATATCAGCGCAGGCATGACCAATTTCGCCCTATGGCCATAGGTGTCGATGTGATCGACAGAAATCCCTACACCTTCATTTCGTATCCAGAATCGCCCAAACTTTCCACCGCATATATTCCCAATACAACCTTGCCTAACAGTGACTTGGGCGGTGAAGACGGTAGTCAAGATAACGAAGCTGAAGATAACCTGGCTGATGGAAAAAATGGCGATGACGGCGATGCTGGTCAACACGGTGGAGAGAGCGGTGAAGAAGCAAGCCGCCAAAAACATTCTGGATATAAAAGAGATCACGGTGGTGTAATTGTGCCGTTTTGCAAGGAGCGATTATTGCACATATTGTGCACCATCGCAACCCAAGAAGATCCCCACAACGAAGATTGCTATGTTGAAGAGTTCGTGACGACGAAGTCACAATATGAATTAATGGAGTCGATTTTTCCAAACCTGAGGCGTCATTGCTCGACCAACCAACTACAATACTGGATCACGTACGCCGGAATTTGGGGAAAGCCAGCAGACGCACCATAAATGGCGTCAAAGTCTCTGGCCGCGATCTTTGGGTCGTCAAAAATGAATATCGAGGTAACTCGTTCGAAGAAAACGATGAATTAAAGCTCACATAATTTTGTAGAATACTTGGCGGACACCTGTGACTCAGTTCAAGCGTATTGGTCGCATATCCAAAGTTCTGATCTGATAACCATCGGATATGCTAGGAAGTCGCCGACTAACGAGACATGCGTCTCAAGAACCCGTCTGCTTCAACTCATGATCGATAAATTGTACTTCCGGGGCAAATGTGAAGAAGTGTTTGTCAGTCCCTGCTGTCTGGTCCACCAACCGATACTGGAACGGGATTTCCCAAGGGCAAAGGAAATTTTAGAGTCCCTGAAGGGTTGCCGAGGAGACATCACCGGTGGGTTTTAGTACACGCCTAATTAGCCGCTTTAGTTTACTGACAGAATGTCATAGATCTCACAGCAAAGCTGCATTGTACGCCGAAAGGGATACGCCTAGTCATCATCGACTATGCCGGACTGTCCACTTGTCCTCGAGATATCAGGAAGTTCCTGAAGTAAATAATAAGATAAAAAGCTTGCGATACATTATACTGATTGGTTACGATAGAACATATGAGAACGTTCATGAAATTGCCATTGATCATGGATGGTGGTTCGAGATCTTTTCTCGCCAGGAATTGCTTGAAACAAAGGCTCTCCAGAAATTCAAATGCCGCGAAAAATATGTACAGCGATCACGAACTCCAATATGAATTCACCACTCCAACTATCATTATCCCATCCTACTCACGGTGGACTTATGATCAAAACAATATCTGGTGAACGTGGGATTTCTTTTAACCAAGCAAAAAAGAAGCAAAACGATCCTCAAAACTAAACAAGTACGTCTTTATTATTCTTTTTCCTTGCTTTATATGTCATCAACAAATCCGACAGAAATTTTACTCTGTTCTTTTGAGTTTTATTTCCCAGCCGGATTGTATATGCCTGATAACCTGTACATGGTGATCAAAAAACAATTCCCTTGTAAATCCCATAGCGAAAAAAGGATGAACCCCCGTGCCATTTATAATAAAACAGCTTACGCAATCATTGTCATTACTACTGAAAGAGATGTTTTCATGAAATATGTTACTGCTTCAAACGATGACAGACATACGGACACCGAAAACTTAGGCTTATTTGATCGAGAACTTTGCTTCAAGTGTTATCTCTTTATGGACAAATCGAATGTCTAATTTACAGGTGGTCTGTTTGGAGTACCCAAAAATGTGGTCTAAATTTGGTTAAGAGATACCCACGAGAGCATGTTTATTTTGTGGAGTGGATCCTTTTTTGCGGACAGGATCAAGTTTTTTAGCGGAACCCTTGTCATTAGATAGTTCGCCTGGATCATTGAATGCTACATTTTTCTATATAACGTTACATTTTTGGAAAGCGATGCAGGCAATGCCAGAAAAGTATTTACTCTTGTGTTGATCTGCTGCTTTTCTATGATCATTTTATTTTTTTGCATGATTGGTTCAGAAAGCGACATTGGGATATATTACGTCGGAGTTGTAAATATGCAAACTACAGGAGCCAACGGGCCAGAGGTGAATTGCAAATAGCCACGTCTTTCCCTCCAGTGGCCGATACATCGTGAAAGCGAAAGAGCATGGTATAAAGTATGCTGTTAATGGCATTATCACGCGTGCTAAAAAGTTTCATTTTCTAGTCTAATGAAAGCAGACAGAATCTGCTGAGTGCAGACACCACCCTATCCGTCGATGATCTAGAAGCAGGCACACCGGGTCGGCAGCCTTCTGGCCAGGTGAACTCAGATACAAGGCAGAATGCCATTAAAGACTATTTCGAACAGTCAAGGTATTTTATGGTTCTCTTGCTTGTTAATGCTGTAAGAGTAATAGCTAATTCATCGTGTCTCATTGTAGTCATCCGATTGCTGCGTTTTTCTTTCTTGCTTTTCGTCTTGGAGCCATTCTGATGTACTTGCTTGGCTCCTTCTTCACAGATAACTTTACGCTCGTTTTTGTGGTCACCATTCTATTGCTTGCATTCGACTTTTGGACCGTGAAAAACGTCTCTGGCAGATTGTTAGTGGGCCTTCGTTGGTGGAATGAGATTCAGGAAGACGGTTCGAATAAATGGGTCTTTGAGAGCGCTCACGTAAGTGGAAGGCGGGCAAACACAGACGGCTTTGGATGCATTGCTAATATGGAACCTTTTTCTCTAAAAACATCCTTGGTTGTTAGCCAGATCGTCAAGGCAACAGCGCTGACGCTCGATTATTTTGGTGGGTGCTTTATGCCACACCGGTGCTGTGGATTCTGCTGGCTCTCACTTGTATTTTCACCCTCAAAGGCTCGTGGCTGGTGATTGTCGTGATTGCCATCATCTTAAATGTCGCCAACGTCTATGGATACACTCAATGCGATAAGGATGCTAAACGAAAGTGGGCCACCGGTCTGGCAGCTCAATCTGCGTTCAGTTCTCTTGGCGGCGGAGCAGCTGGGTTGGTGGGCAAAGCCGTCAGCTCTGGCATTGGCAATATTTTCGCTAGACGTTAAATTCGTGTAAACGCTTGCATTCGTTTATGAACGATCATGTGGCAAAAACTTGACTCTTATCATTGATTTCGAGTTATTGCAACTCAATACCTGTAAATGAAAAAATAACGATTTGATCTAAACGAACGACTTAAACCAACAATAAGAAGAAAAAAAAAACGACCAAAAGAAGCAAGCAAATACGATGCTTTTGAAATCGGAAATTGTTCTTTTTTTCCCTTTTCCGAGTATTACTTCTTTTAAATCAAGACTGACGATCGTTTCATTTTCTTTCGAACTTCGGGGAGTTTGCTCATCCCTTTGCCTTTTGCTTCTACGTTTTTCGAAACCGCATCATAGTTACGGTAGTCCCTGGCCTTTTTCTTTTTTCATGTGGGTTTTTCTGGCGATATGGTTTACCGTGTTCGCTTTTGCTCCGTCGGGTTATGCGTGTAATGGGCACCAATCGTTCTGTGCTCGTCCATATAGCAATATCACCCAGCTTGTCACTCACGACTCGTATGCTGTGGGCCAGAAAGTCGCTGCTACCCAGAACCTGCCCTTGATTCAACAGCTGAACGATGGGGTTCGGGGAATAAAGCTCTCGGCGGTCCCGAACCATATTGACCCTTCTCAGATGCACGTGTGCCATAGTATGTGCATGGTGCTTGACGCTGGTCCAGCTGTCAGTGTTCTCGATGAAATAGCCGATTGGCTAAAGGACAACCCGAACGAAGTGGTGACGATCATGTGGAACAACTTGTACGATCTCCATGCCGATCAGTTTGAGAAAGTCTACAATCACAGCAACATCATGCCATACATATACACTCATAACCTTTCCAATCCTACATCGTGGCCGACGCTTCAGGAAATGATTGACTCTGGGAAACGCGTCGTCAACTTTGTCGATTCATGGGCCGATACCAAAGCCGTGCCATGGTAAAACCACAGTCTTTCTTTACCTTTATTGACGGTTCTGGATGATTGATGTGATGCTGGTTTGGCCCATTCTTTTTTTACATAGGTTGATGGAACATTTCTTGCATATATTCGAGACACCCTATCAGACCACGAATGCAAACGATTTCCGATGTGTCATTGATCGTCCTGTGGGGTTACAAAATGGGACAGGGATGATGTACCTTGTCAACCACTTCCTTTACGGTGTAATTAATATCGGCGAGTATCGAATCGATATACCCCAAAGAGACATCGCTTTGCAGACCAACAGTCAGTCGCTTATCGATCACACCGAGCAATGCATTCGAACCTTTGGCAGACCGCCCAATTTCATCGAAGTAGATTTCTACGACATGGGAAAAGCCATGGAATATTTAGCCAGACTCAATGGCATTCCCTACATTGCGCCTGCGAATGTATCGGCTGAAGCGGGACCCGTTCATGCCCAAAATCTGAAATGGCCTACACATATGATCATTGATAATTCCTCGCCAACCTTGTCCATCCCGCATACACTTTTCTTGAGTTGGTTTTTACTGACATCAATGCTCCTAGTTCTCTTTTAATTGTAAATTTAACCTCATCCATATTCGCCACTTATTCTGCATACTAAATAATCAATTACCATAGAAACTGATTTTCTGTCAAAAACTTGAAAAATATCCAACTCGACTACCATTCTTAATTAAAGATGTTATATCACCCTCGAATGTTGATATCATATGTTCCTCGATTATTGCCATCAATCACCTCTTTATATACGTCGGCAAGGCCAAGTCCACATCATGGTCACTTTATTTGCGCAGGAGCAGCAGCATTTTTACTCTCAAGTCTACGGCAGTTTTGTCAAGAGTTTCGTTGAGATGGTCCGTAAGGAAAAATAAGGATGATTTACTTTTTAAGCTTCACTGTTTGGCTGGAAGTCTTTGTAATGCACGGCTTGACTCTGCAACTCTATGCTGTTCTGTATGAAAAAGAGAAGTATACAAATGCCTACAGTTTGTCTCACTCCTCCAGAGCACCCTCAACTGAAACATATCCTGATCAATTCTCAGTGCTTTAAAAGTGTATAATTTCTAGGAATACCGAAAGATGCAGGGGCAGTACATACAGTACGTTGATTCGTCGGCTTGGTTGTTACAACGCGACGGTTGAACATTAATACAGCTGGCTTAGAAATGCGTGACCGATTTATATTTTTTTCCTCTATCATACATGTGTTGTGAATATGACATGGCTCTTTCCGCTCCCGCTCAGTCGGGGACCCCATCACCCGATGGAGGTCCTCCTACCCAACCACTTGGATCACTAGCTCTCCCCATGCTACGACTGACTCCCAAGGTTCAGTCTCTGGTCCTTAAGAACGTGTTGTAAATATGACAGACGTTTGAAGTGGAAAAAGGGCATCTCAAAAATGGTCGACCGAGATTTACATATTTCTGTCTATTCGTACGAGCTTATAATATGACAGAGGTCTGATGTGGAAAAAGGCGATGCCACGCCGCCCGCTGTGCAACATGGTCCTTGGGAAATATATCGTGGATGAGCCGGAGTCTTAGACGTGCGACTGCTCATACCTGCGGAAAACACTCCTGATACTCGCACCCACGGCAAGCGAAGTCGGAGTGATCCTGGTAGACAGTACGATCACACCAAACAGTAGCCGCGACATTGTCATCTAGTCGATAAGTCATGGGTTTCAACGTACGAGTGAATTGCATCAATACTACGACGCGCTTCACTATGTCCTCATGTTCCCACATGGTAACCTCGGTTGGAATATCCACGCACGCTCCCATAGCGGTCGCAATATCACGGTCATGCAATGGTACAGCTACTGTTTGATGGTGCGCGATAACGGCCACGATCTGCATTTGTATGGACGCCTATTCCAGCAGTACATAGCTGATATGTACGCCAAAATGGAGCATAATCGGCTGACGTATCTACGGCTCAATCAGGCGTGGGAGCTCCATCTCTAAGGCACCTTCCACGAATTTTTCCTGCCATGCACAGAAGGTAGCTCCAGACGATACAATGAGGCATGATTACGTTCATGACTTACCATATAAGGTAGACTATCGGAGCCGCCAATGGTACGAAATTTATACACATTTGGCGGACCATTAAGCCACGGAAGCAGTTACCAGTTGAGTATCCCTTAATTTGCAGCTAATTCAAAAAGCTAATTACTTTTGTCTTTGACTGCATTCGGCATTTGTCCTCCAATATGCCGAACTTTATGCTTCGTGTGTGGGAAGCCTTCAGGCGTTACGAAGAATACCACGGAGTCACCCTTCCACAATCGGCAAAAACAGTGGGTAAGTCAAGGCTAATTGCAACACGAAGATTATAATGTGAATTAACTTGCGTTTATAGGGAAGGAAGCCGTTCGCGGCATTCAAAGCTATAAGCCGTTTTCATCTGAGAACTTCAATGTTCCGGGTGATATAGAACATCCGCGGATCTACGAGTAAGTTTGCCATCGTCTACGCATTCATCTCTTCCTTTTCATTCTTTTTTTTTTTACTTGTATTAGCGAAAACGCTGAGGAATACCGAAGAAGGTCCCGTTAAAAAGCGCTGATGACATCGAAGGGCATGCTGTCAGAAACATACAAGACCTATGGTGTATTCTGGGTGGGTGCACCGAAAAGTGAGCCTTTTTGGAGGACGGCAATGGACCACGTTGCCTATGGCTTCCCGACAAATTGATAAAGCTGCCTGGTAGTCGGACCCCATCGCGAGAGTAGTACATCAATACAGCCATACCGTTTCGATGAAACAGGCGAACTCAGGTGATATATAGTGCAGAAAATCCACCACAGAAAACGGGTATCTCTTCCACGATCAAAGTGTCCATATGCTGAGAAAGGTGATCAACACTCCGTACAGCGGCTACATAGGGTAATCTCCATTTTAGTGGCATGTGCTGCGGAGGCTTCTTCCAATCCTTCCGTGGTTCGACATCACATATGTTCATACGACTTCTCTTCTCACGGCTCTGCCAATCAAAAATATGTCTCCTCCACGTTTCGGATGTTGTGGTCTCTGTTCTTCTCCGCCGTTTTGGGGCGTCGTTATTGTTCTCGCTTTAGCCTCGTATCACTTCTTGTTTGTATCTTGTCATAACGTGTACAGCAACATCGGGCTGCTTGCTTCCTACAAAAAAAAAAAAAAATTTTTTTTTGCGGGCATGAATGTAATATGATAATGAGCTTTTATCCCAGAAATGGAGAACCTCAAATGGTTTCTGGGTCTGATTAAGATAATGACTTTCTTTACCATAAAACAACCTGCTCATCAAAACAACTCTGTTTACATTTGCTCGAGGTTATTCTTTGCTCTTTTTCTTGTACTATGATAAAGATTTCTTAAAGGTCATTAATGCTCTTAATTATATACAATCCTAGTCATTAATATAAAAGGGTAGCCGGAAGCAGCGTAAATCAAAATTCTTTCGATTCTAGTTTCAAATAAAAAAAGCTATCGACCATATTATGGATTAGTTCCTTTTAAAATTTGGTATTATGACTGTGTCGACTGTCTTTACTCAGTAGAATTACATAAGAAGCGTTATTGCTGAACGAATGTCTGCAGATGCAGCTGATAGATAGAACACTGTCTGGCCGAAAAATCGGAGCCTCTTGGACTTTGTTCTGTCTTTACCCGATTTGATCCTTTTTATGTGAGATACTATAGAAACACACATTTTTCGCACTTTTCGCTAATGCATACCTGTTTTTTCTACTCCATACACATTATATATGAACGCTGATGCAGAATCATATAGGAAAATTGCAAAATAACCACTCCTGAAGGAATTTGGTAAATTGAAAAAACTTCGGAAAATGTCGGAGGGCTTATAGCTCAGCGGTAGAGCGAGGGATTGCAGATCCCTAGGTCCCGTGTTCAATCCACGGTGGGCCCTTCGTTGTCTTTTTGTCGATTGATTTTTTTTTTTTTTTTGGTGAGGCTCGTCGTTGATTTTCTATATGGCAAGATCACTAGAAGGAGAATAAATGTTGCCCAGAGATTTTTTTGGTTGATGCTGGCTTCATTTTTTTTTGTTGCCATATTTTGAACGCCGTTGCAGATTATGGCTTGTCTAAGTGTCAAGAAACGAACAAGAAAAATTGCTAAAGCAAATCTCACAGTACAAAAAAAAGCCTGTAAAATGCTTGTAAGTCTCATCCAAAGGCATCGTATTGCGTGAAGAAGTCATACTTTTTGCTTTGGGAACAGAAACGGATGTCCTACATCAACTTATGCTAACGTTGCTCCAGGTCTGCTTTCTCATGCATTGCGTAAGCGCATGGTTGAACAGAAAAGAAGTATTGACTGTTTGTTTATGCTAGGCGATATGGGCTTGTTTAAATAAGCTGCAAACTGAGGGCATTGAAAAAAAAAGCAATTGAATGATGCATGGATTAGGTAATTGGGTTGAAAGCAAGGACAAAGAAAAAAAAATACATATTAGGGGTATCTGGGAAGTCATTATCACAAAATGAGAAATACATTGGACAAGTGGAAGAACGAAGTCCAGATTTTCAGGAAAAAATTAGGATGGTAGAATCAACATGCAATGAGAAAAGAAAAACAAAAACGGGTATCTGTCTATAAAAAGAGAGGATTGCTTTTGATTTACAATCGGTATATAAAATTTGGATCTTGGGCATCAGTGATATCGTCTTCTTCATTGCATGACACGGACGGTTCTCGAAGCCGTTTTTCATTGATTTGATGCATTTGCCATCGAGTGAAGAGGAAGAGAGCGACGGCCAGAAAATCCGCAATGACATAACCGAGCAACCCATTCACGGGAGCCCCATCCTCTGTCATGTTCATCAAAAAAGGACCGACAAAATTGCCTATGGTATAGAAGATCATGGACATTCCGTTGTAAAAAATTTTCTTTGTGTAGCCGGAAACATTGGCGGTGGTGGTCGCTACCAACATCACATAGGCCGCTGCGTAACCCCAACAAAGGTACAATCCTGCCAATTTCGCCTTTTGAAGGGGAATAAATTCAAGTAGCAACAGTCCCGTCCCAGTGCCTATGAGACAGGCGCAACCGACGTAGATGGTCTGACCTGTTTTGGTGGTGACCCAGGCTGCTACACAGATGTAAATGATATCAGCCACACCTGTAGGAATTTGCAGTAAAATGGCATCCAGATCCTAGTTATTTCATGGGTGACAAGCGTTAGAGTCATGAGCATCCTTCTGGTTTGTTGATGCCAACTTACTTGGTAGCCAAAACTCTCTGTTATCTGAGCACTGTAATTGGTAAGGGCGCCATTTTGCATATTGGCTAAAAAGCTGATAAGGCAAAAACACCAAAATCGGGATTCTTTCAAAGCTTCCCATATTTGGTCATATTTTACATGCGAAGTTCGCACCACGGCGTTATCACGAATCCGCTCGTCGACCATGATTTGTTCCTCGGCATTGTGATGCCAGCGTAAAGACCGCGGATCATCAATCAGGAAGAAATAGGTGAAAATACCCACTAGAACAGTAACACCGCCCAAAATGATCATGAACCTAATTTAAATAAAGTTAGACAGATTGATTTCCTTTTTTTTATGGAAATTTTTTTTCTTTTTTTTTTTCGTTTTGGGAGAACAAACCATTGCCAAGCGTGTAAACCTCCGCCATTCAGGTGACCGGCACCATAACCGATAAGACCACCAATAGCAAGAGCAAAGCCGTTGCAGAGCCAAAAGATGCCCAGTCGCCACGTTTGTTCAGCTCGTCGGTACATTGTGCTGATCAGTAAGATCAACGAAGGATAGATCCCGGCTTCGGCAAAGCCCAGCAGAAATCGCATCGCCGCCAACTGGGAATAAGTTTTACATGCAGCTGTAGCCGCCAGGATTGACCCCCAAACGATCAATAAAATACCCATATAACGACCAATGCGCACATATTGGAGACAATAATTATTGGGGATCTGTTGAACAAAAAAATCGGGACATCAGCGGTTCGTTCGTTTTTCGTCATGAAATGGGTCGATGGAAAAAACAGTTGAAACTTGTGGATACCTGGTAGCAAAAGTAGCCGAGATAGAAAAGTGAAGCGATCACGTCATATTGATTGGGCGTTAAACCGATATCTTCTTTCAATCCCATGAGCGCGGCATAGTTGATGGCGGATTTATCTAGAAACTGGAATGGCCGATCTAAATATCGAGGCGGCCTTCACTCATGGCAATGGTATGTTTGAATCTGGACACCATACCTGTAAGAAATCGATAATACAAACGAGGGGAATGATATGCAGGTCGATTTTCCAGACAAGAGCCCGTTCTTCGACCGATCGATCTTTGGAGTCACCGTATAAGAGCGAACATCCCGATTCTCCGCCGGAACCTAGCGACTGGCGACGTTGCGAAGGAGGGGCCGAGATATCATGCAACTCATATTTGCTGTCGAGCATGGCCAGGTGAAAAAGGACAGGCGCAGAAAGAAGAGCATCCAAAGGCAGTGTAAGCTGCAAATTAAAATTATATCTCGCTTTGTGTAATTTTTTCCTTGTGTTCGTGATCGCGATTGAGTTAATTTTTTTTTCTATAAACGTTCTTAATTATCATTCTATTGACATACTCGTTTCAGACATGAGGAGCAACAGTGTGACGGTCGACCCTTTTTTTCTTAGGTCCAAGCGAAAAATGAAGCGGAATTAGAGATGCACAAGTCAGATTTAAGAAGGAAGGAAGTCATCATACTTCCATTGATAACAGACGTGCCATCTATTTTTGCTGGAAATAAAGTTGCATGACATATTTAGACATAAGCATTTCCTCTTTGGGAAGGTTTGCAGGAACACACTCCCGAATGCTAAAAATATGAGAGATGTTGTTTCGACTGGAATGTGGATCGTGGCTACGATGGATACCTTGACGAAGTGAAGGTTAGTGAAAAATGCTGATTCGTCATGAAAGGGAGGAGCAAAGGTCCGCTATTTAATGGAGAAACACTTGATGGCGACCAAATGGCACAAGAAATAATGAAACGTTTCACAAGCACATTGTTTTTTTCGTAGGGGTCAATTTTTTTTTATTGGGGTCACAAGCACATTCTTTGGTTCAGCACTATCGTGATTGCTTTCAACAAGCCATGTCGCGCACATTTAAAAGTGGCCTGGTTAGATGTCGTTTGCTGTTCAAAAATCAAAAAATTTGCTTTTTGGAAATGCAGGTCTTATTTCTTAGAAAATCATGTCGCTTATTGTTAAAGATGATATCGTGTCACAATGATTTCTTGACACTCGAAAAAAAAAAAAGCATGAGCAGAGAATGTAACTTTTCGTTGGAAAAAAAAACCGACTTTGAGGAGCGATACGATCAGGTTCGCGAATGGGGAAATAGAAACATGGATTTTTGCGTGTTTCTTGAAAATTGACATCAATACGAAACGCTCGAGAGATTGGTCCTAAAATCATGCATATCGTTGTTACCATGCCTACTACATGAGCAAAACACAACGTCTATGCCGCAGCGTTTTGATTACAGTCGATGTAAAATGAAATAAAAAACCAGACTTGCGAAGAAGAGAAAGGCCGAAGGATTCATAAGCTCAATCACCGCAGCAGACGACTGTATCAGTTACTTAAAAACGATACTTGATGAAATGGGAAATAGATCCGCATATGAAAAGCCTCTATACAGTATAAGCATGAAAACAAAAGATAAAGACATGTAAGGATAGGTCTCTAATGGAAGAGTGTTCTGAGCAATGGACGTCAGACAAAGAAAATTGCATCAAAACTATAGGCGGTACTGACTCATATGCAAGCATGTCCACAGAAAAGTAAAGAGCAAAAATTTTGGCGTAGCTTATGCATGCAGCGTAATTTGTCATCCATTTGTCATAAGCAAGAATATGTCCTTGCTGATGACACATGGTCAATGTTTAGATATGATTCAACCTTACCTTTTTGATGGTTTGCACCGAAGAAATCAATTTTTCCATTTTTGCGACTCGGGAAAACAAGGGATTTGAGAAGAACCTTCTTTTTATTTAGTGATGTTTGTTTCCATGCCGATCCATACGTTACATATTGCAGTCTACGCAGTCGGAATATACTGCATATTTTCTTTTTCTTTTACTTTGGGGGGAGAGGAAGACGGAGACCAGAAACTGTAAGGGCAACCAAACATAAAGCAACGCCATGATTGCACGTTCCGAAAAAAAAAAAAAAAAAAAAAAAAAAAAAAACCACAAAATATACCCAAGTTTGTCAACTTCCCAAGTTTCTGTCTTCCAAAGGGGATGTATCTCTACTTTAGGGAATGTGGAGGTTGCCATGCTGGTTCCTGCAGGCACAGAAACCACAGTTACCCCGAAATAAAAAGTCCATTTCAGTGAAGAGGTCCATTTCCTTTTCATACAGGATTGCCATGGAACCGAAAAAACACGAGTCAAAAGCCAAATATATGAGGATAGCAATTGTAGCATTCGAACTGCATGATTATCCAGTCAATCGATTCTTACCGTTTGTATGAGCTAGGCCGAGTTTTCTTACGTCTAAATTCGAGGAGATAGAACACATCTTCTTATTAGATAGGTTGTTCGCTTTATTTAACTATCCTGACCGTCGTTGACTAAATGGTATTAACGTGAGTGATCTTTTGCTATTTACTGCGAGTCAGTATTAATTCACTTGTAGATAGAGGATGAACTCACAGAACAGCTGTCACTATGATTTATCAGGTGAAGGAAATTTGGAACTCACAGCTTGAAAGCGCTCTTCTTATTCTGAGCCTGTTCTATGCCGGTCCTAAGTGTACCGATCACCAAGGAACCTTTAGTTGTGGATATTGGTGGACATGAAACTGTGCGATGTCGTCTTGTTCAAATTACTTCGGAAATGGCATTGAGAAAAGAAACTGCATATGCATGTAATATTCCAGTAGATATGCAAATTTTGATGGTACTATTTGGATATTTTAGATTGAAAACGAAAAAAAAATCGCAATAGGGGTATATGAAGGTTTTAATACAAGTAAAGTAAGGGAACCAAAAAAAAAAACATATGACCAGTGGAGGGAGGAAAGTAGACTTTAAAGTTAGGAAAACAGAATCAATATTGTTTGTCCAGGAAAACAAAAAGGAAAGTATTTTGCATTGATATACAATAATTAAAGTTCGAGCCTTGTGAATGCGTAGTATCGTGTTCATAAACCGCCACGGGCGGGTTGTCGAAGAGATATCTGTTTATTACTCGGTAGGCATCTGAAGTAAACAAAAAGAAGGACAACAAAGGCAAATGCGAAATGTCACACCCAAGCACTTCATCCGCAGGAGTTTTTCTTCTGCAATGGAGTCGACGGGACAGACGGATCCCTGCGATGTAAAAAGAACATGAAGGTCCCGGGTAGTAAATTTTCTTTACAAACGTCTGTAGCTGCCAACATGAAACCGTAAATAAATACCGGTTGAATAATCAATAGATACATGCTCTAAGGCGACAGTGAATAGGATCTTTGAGGTAAAGATCATCAACGCATTGTTTCCATTAGTACAGAGATGGCTGCGGGTACCCAACGAAAAAATCGCAGATGGACTCAATCCTTCAAACTCAAGGGCGCAGCATCGTTGGTAGCTGGTTTATGTTGAGCCTGGCATAATAGACCTGGAGGGTCAATGGGGATCTTGGAAAAAAAATAAAGAACCTTGAACGTCATGTGACTATGAACAGTACCTATAAATGGGACCATTATGCAAGCGCGCGGAATCATATGCAGGCCAAACAAAAGCTTGTTCCCGGCCGATCATAGTTTTGAGCAAAAAAAAAATCGCCATCTCCGTTCTTTTCCTGCAACTATGAAACTAGATGACGGTGAAAGGAAGGTCTCGACTCTAGGAGCGTAACAATTAGAGAATATGAGCAGAGAGAAGGACATTCAATTGCGCTTATGATGAAAATCTATTCTGCGCTTGGGGCAAGTAAATGACACCAGTGGTAGATAAAATGTTTTCCAGGCGGGAAAAATGGGACTTTCATTTGAGCCAGCCGCTTACCCGACTTTCCTGTGGCTCCGGGTTAGCGTCATGAGGGGCTTGTATGCCGATGGTATCATGAACGCATCACACGCGATGAAATGCGCTTTTTTTCTTGAAAAAAGGGGTGATGTATTTTCGCCATCGAGAATCAGAAACTGAGTGATGTGATTAAACTCGAATGGCGCCTGATTTTTTTTATTGACCGCCAGACGGAGGATCAGCAAGTGGGCGTTATTAGTTTATCCTTGGTGTGAGTGATGGGTTTTATGTTTGAAGAATAAAAACGAAAACGTAAGAACCGAAAAGAATCGAAAAGAATTGTGATTGTACCATTCGAACACACAAGTAGTCTCGGCAACTGTCGCCATACAAGCAAAAAGAGAAAGCCTGTCCTACCGAGGGATCATACACATACTATATAATAGAAAGGGAAAGAATTGGTTCTCTTGTCTCCTTTTCTTTTTTTAGTATTTTTAGTTTTAAGCGTTTTTCGATAAACATTGAGGTAAAAGCACATGGCCGATCGTGCAGAAGAACATCAAGGTTATTGGAGCTCCGTATCGAAGCTCCGTTTGACTGGTAGAACATTGTAGTCATTTGATTGGCCAACATCGATGAACAAGAAACGAGAAATGAGATCATAATGATTTAAGCGTAGGTCAGCAAATTATCGTCATTTTCTTGGTACATTGCCGGGTTTGGGAATACGTTTATTCGGTGGAGGGAAAAATCTGGAGAAGATCTTTTCTTTTTGCCGTCTAGCGAGTTTCTTATTGTTATTTTTGGCTTTAGAGTTTGGGCAATTGTTTATAATCGGACTTTTTTTTTGTGTGGCGCTTCATTACCGTTCCCTTGGTTAGCTTTTTGTGTTTAGGTTATCTGCTGTTGTGGTGGTTGGAGTTGGCAGGCAAAATGCATTGCATGAACAGTAGGCTCAGGATGGAAGTAAATATTGATGTAATCACTTGCTGATCCTCCAATGCTGCAAAACATTCAGCATTTTCATTCCATGCAACGTTACAATATGAGCATCGAAATGAGATGAGGTAAAACGGATCACTTTGATCGTATTTGGTAAATCTGTCAATAGACCGATTCACGGATGGTTTTTTTCTGGTTCCTTTTTTTATGATTTCATGAATCCTCAGTTAGGTACCTCTCATGGTGTGGACGACTTGCTATTTGTTGCGGCTATTGTTAGGCAAAGACGGCCATCATGTCTATGCATATGCGGCCCATATTAGTATTTATTGCGCCTTTGCAACGTTATCATGAGTCAATCCAAGGGTTCAATTCAGTTTTAGACATTCGTGAGTTTGATTGCAACTTGGTTTTTTTTTCCTTTCTGTGTAGAAATTTCGGATGAATCTTATTAATCTGATTTTTATATCATTTATCCGTGGGATAATTTGGATGAAGGATGTGGAGTTGATTAAGCTATACAAAGAGACGGTTTGAGACAGAGCTGTGGCAAGTCTTTAAACGGAGGAGCTCAGTGACGCGATGATAGCGGTTAGTGTATGTATGTGTGTGTGTTTGTGTGTGTGTGTGCGTGGTTCGACAGTAAATTTTTTTGTCATGTGCATAACTATCTTCCGAAAGCCTTTCAGCAAACATGCATGGTATATTGTCATTGTGACGCTGTGAAAATGCTGGTTTCTTATTTTGTCGGTCTTGATCGATTTTTGTCGTAGGTGGCACATTTTGGTAATTTATTTAGGTTGTGAATCTGGGGTGAGTCATGTTTAACATTGGCTGGTGGTTTTAGATGTGTGTGTGAGTCTTTCCTTTTCACAACATGCGGGCACCAACTTTGGGTTGCACAGAAGCGAAAATTGTGAAAGCTTGAGCATCTGGGCGATGTCATTCCACATGTTCAGACAAAAAGCAGCACAGAGAATGAAAATATAGGGAAAAATACCAGAATGATAAATGACCATGATGAAAATCGCAGTATTTTTTTTTAATGCATTCCTAGATATAAGGTTGGCCAGAGAACCAATAACGTGGAACCAGTCCGCCAAATTGTTTTTCTCCATGTTCACTTTTTTAGGATAGTGATAATACGAAGAGTACTAATCAAGCTAAAAAAAAGTTTGCTTCAAATGGTTCCTTTTGATGCCATTCGATATGACGACGATTTCCCGATTATCATGTAACAAAGAGTTCGCAGTCTCGTACAAAAAAGTAACGATGGACTGACAGAAACTTGTAGAAAAAATGCGATTAAACTTTAAAAAACAGCCTGTGAGACCCAACGTCGGTAACAACAAGACAAAAAGAATGGCAATTGATAAACCGACTTTCCCGCCATAACCGAGGATCTGGTTGGTGTCTCCTTTTTTTGCTATTTTCTGAAATCTTTTTTTTTTTTTTTCGAAAAAAACCCCAAGTTGATATCATGCACGTTCCAGAGCTAAAATCGGCTCTGCAAAAAAAAAAAAAAATAGGCAACCTTTTTTTCTGAAAAATATTTCACCATGCCATGTTTCACCGTGTGACTATTTTCTGCACAAAATTGCATGCTGCAAAGAGGTTAAAGTAAACAGAGTTGGAGTTTTTTTTTCCTTCCATTAAAGCGACACTGTACTACGTTAAAACCCCCCTTTGGCTTCATTATAACCTAGATATTTCCTTATTGGAACAAGTCTGGTTTATGTGAAAAGGCGACTCCCCCAAGAATGCTAGTATTTTTTTTGGCTTTTTTTTTCTTTTCCAAGACTCCCCCCTTTTTTGGTTTTGCATGAAACATTTTTTTTTTGCGCGCCTTTCGGTCTAATAAAATGACATAATACGCTGATCATAGAAGAAAGTTTCAAGACGAAGCAGCGTTTTATAAATATCCATCATCCCCATCTGCTCTTTAAGTTTTTTTTTGTTCATTTTGTAACCCCTTTTCTGTGATTCCCTCTCTCATTCACTGATATCTTTTTTTTCCATTTTCTACATTTTTATTTTCTTCTCTCTTCTATCTCTCTCTCTCTTCTCTTCATTTTTTTTACACCGTTTTTTTATTATTATTTATTCTTAGAGTCATGGAAACCTACATTGGATACATCAAGACCCCTCAAGATGCTCTTGTTGTCTTTGAGGCGTGCCGACGTGGCCAGTTGTCCCGTGTTCAAAGACGTTTATCATCAAAGGAACGTGTCCATATCCAATCGGGATCAGTGTTTGCTTGGGACGAACGAGAAGCCGGTATGAGACGATGGACGGATGGACGGACCTGGTCTCCCAGCCGCGTCCTTGGTAGTTTTTTGACCTACCGTGAATTGGATACGAAACGGCGCCCTCGTCGACCTTCTTCCAGCAGCAATCACAGCAGTTGCAGCAATATGTTATCGTTGAGTAAAGCTTCCGCGGCTTGCTCTTACAAACGAGACGGATTGATCAAGCAGAGCTTTTCCATTTGCACAGCTACGAATCAGAAATTACACCTTATTTCGTATTATTCCAAGGCCGATGTTCTCGCTGGTCGTTTGAAGCAGCCTTCCATGGATCCAATGCTTGGTCACATTATGGTGCCCAAAGGTCTTTATCCGGAATTGAATCCCCTCGACACAAGTGGTGGTCATTCGGCCACTATTCACAATATGCGACACGATTATGCCCATTCCCCGTCCAACTGTGCTACACCTACCAGTGAAGTGTCTCGTCAAATGTCGATCGATGCTACCTTGATGGACAGAAAGTCGTCAAAGTCACCGTCGCCTCCACCTTCGCTTTCGTCGTCACCGTGCTCATCGGATGATGACATTATGTCTGATCTACCTTCGCCATCGGTCCCTGCCTATCCGTCACACACTTATTTAAAATCCTCTCCTATATGTTCGACCTCACCGCAATCTTCCCTTCTCCTGCTGCCAATCCAAGACATCGCTTGGGGAAAATTACCGTCTTCTGAAGATCAACGACAGCTTAGAGCCATTCAGGGACAATTACGGTTATAACCATCTAGCATTCTCTTTCCTTATCCATCTCCCTTATTTCCCCCATTCCCTCAAAAACCCACCCCAAAATGTGAAATTATCACTATCCACACACACCCCACTATATTCTCTTTTCTTAATTATGTCATCCCATCGATTATTTTACATATACACACACACATATATACAACAATGCTTACATGGATTTTTTTTTCCTCTATATCAATTATTTTCCGCAATTTTTTTTTACCATCATGAATTTTTATTAGGTTTATTTCTTTGTTGTTGCGAGTTTTATACTTTTGTGATTTAGACAGATATGAAAGAGATGGCGAGACCTGTTGTATTATTCATCAAGAAAAAAAACGAATATATTTTAGAACCTTGGGTTCCGGAGCGAAAAACGAAATTTGGAAATTGGTACGGAGGATGATAGTTTAAGCTTCATTCATGTTTTACTAAAAATTTTGGCGCGCAAATAATAAAAAAAGAAAATAAAGAAAACAGAAAAAGGCAAAAAAAGGAGACATGGATGAAAGAGAGATGAGGAGTTGGGTATGAAATTTGTCCAAATGAGAAGGTTTCTTACTACATGCTGTCATGCATTTTTCGCACTTTCACTGGTTATTCTTTATTTCTTCAATTTCCCTTATTTTCTAAAAAAGCTTAATAACGCGTAAATAAGATATACGGTAAACAAATAGGGATGAGTAACGAAAAAGGCGAATAAACAGACAGTGCTTTTTTGTTGACTGTTTATCGACCATTAACAAAAAAAAGCGCATTTTGGAAAAAGCGTGTGTGTGTGTGTCTATGTGTGGGTGGGTGTGTGGACAGTGCTTTTTGTTTCCGCACCCAATTTTTGTAAGAGCGGTTTTTTTTTAATCGATCGATCGTGGATCGTTATTTTATAAAATATGCTGATTTTTCTATTTAGGCAATCTTTTTGTTCTGCACATTTCCATGAGTGGTCAATCTTGTTTTTTTCAGCTGGTGCCCACATGATCCATTTCCACAAATTATTGCATTCTTTTTACTCTTTGCTTATGTGTTTATTAGTCATATTCTTGATCCTTTTAGATGTTACCACTGCAATTATCCTTTCTAGCCAGGTTTTAAAGGATTTTCATCTTTGAAGAACCTCAAAGAAAGTAAGGGAATTTTTTTTCCCTTTTTTGGGGGAAAATGGTTGAAAATGTTCAGCATGTTTCCATGGTTTGACTAGTCTATCTTTTCATTTCATCTCCGTTCCTGAAACAGCAAGTGACACTGGCAATATGACTATTTTTTACACCTCAAAGGCAGAGGCTGGGCAGAAATTGAGAAAAATTTAGCATCGTACCGACCTGCATCCGCGTGAATTTTCACACATCGAACATCTGTGAAGGGAAAGGTCTGAGATGGTGGGTTTCTCTGCGTTGGCTGGAAGAAACGTGTTCGTTTTCTAAAAGAGGCACATGGATGGAGCGAACCTTCTGGATGATGTCTGAATTGCGACAGACCAAAGTTTAAAAACTGAGGATGATGACATTATCGCCTTCCATAAAAGGCATTGATGGCATTTTTTCAATTGTCCATCGTGGTTTGAATTCAGTCAAAGTTCCGGCTAATCGTTTTTGTTGCCGATCTGTGCTCTGAAAAAACTAGCGTCGCCATCATTGTGAAACCCGGTCCGAACCTGGACCTAATTTTGTCCATCGATGATCCCTTGACGCGCCATCGTGGGCAATATTGAGTAACCTTTATCCTTTTCATAGAAAAGAAAAGAAATGGTCATCGTTTCAAGTGAAACTTCCAAAACAGAAGTTAGAGTCACACTTGAACTTTCATTATTTTTATCTCGGTATCTCGATCCAGAATCCCTTCTCTTCGTGAGACAAACATGCTGAATGACGTTTTGGCCATTGCCCACTTATTTCAAGTCTAGAACTTCATCATCAAATCGCGCGAAAGTCTTTACCTAAATCAGCCACAAATTGCAAAGCCACCCATGTTCTAATGCCTTTTTTTTTTTTTTTTTTTTCCCTCACATAATGTTATGAGCGATATGCATAGGTTTATAAAAGGCAAGCAGAATTAATACAAATAGATTTGTGAAAGGAGGTCAAGAATAGTGTGGTACAGATAAATTTCAGTATTCGGCATGATCACGCAGGGTGGGATGACGGAAGCGAGTGAGGAAAAAGAATTTCATTTTTTTTTTTTCTTTTTTTTTTGGGAAAATAGAAATTTGTTTATACCCATCAAAATGAACTATGGTTTTATTTTTATTGCGTGATAATGCTAGTGTAAAAAGGGAAAAGTATGAGAATGTGATTATTATTGGGTTACATGTTTAAAGAGGGAAAAAGAGTCTGTAAGAGGAGTCTCCGCATTTAGAGCTTGGGACCAGCAGCCAAGGTTTCGGGAGCGGCTTGATCTTCATAGGTCTTGAAGTTCTCAACGAACATACCGGCCACCTTGTGGAGCGAGGCATTGAATTCCTCGGCAGTACCTTGCCAGATCTTGCGGGGATCCAAAAGCTCATCGGGAACGTTGGAGACCTTGGTGGGGACCTTGAGGTTGAACACATCGTAGTCCTGGTATTCGGCATTTGCAAGTTCACCGTTGTGGATAGCATCCAAAATAGCACGAGTGTACTTGAGAGGGCAACGCTTGGCCACGCCAGCCTTGCCACCGATCCAGCCAGTGTTGATCAACCAAGCGTTAGCCTTGTGCTCGGACATCTTCTGAGCCAACATGGTAGCATAGCGCTGAGGATGGAGAACCAAGAAGGGAGCACCGAAACATGCAGAGAAAGTGGCGGTAGGCTCAACGATACCATCTTCGGTACCAGGAACCTTGGTGGTGTAACCAGAGATGAAGTGGTACATGGCCTGTTCGGGAGTAAGCTTGGACACGGGGGGAAGGACACCGAAAGCATCGCAAGTCAACAAGATGATGTTCTTGGGGTGACCACCCATGCAAGGAAGCTTGGCATTGGGAATGTGATAGATGGGATAAGCGCAACGAGTGTTTTCGGTAAGGAAGTCATCAGAGTAATCGACGACACGGGTCTCTTCATCCAACACAACGTTTTCCAAAATGGAACCGAACTTGATGGCGTTGAAAATATCGGGTTCCTTCTCGGCCGACAAATCAATGCACTTGGCGTAACAACCACCTTCAATGTTGAAGATACCCTGGTCGGACCAGCAATGTTCGTCATCACCAATAAGCTTACGCTTGGGATCGGCACTGAGAGTGGTCTTGCCGGTACCAGAAAGACCAAAGAAGAGAGAAACATCACCATCGGGACCTTCGTTGGCAGAAGAGTGAAGAGACAACACACCAGCCTTGGGCATAAGGTAATGCATCACAGTAAAGATCTAGAAAATCGAAAACCGCAACTTAGCAATCGGATCATTATCATATCCAGCCCTCCAGTTCACGCATTCTCTCTCTTTTTTTTTTTTTTTTTTTTTTTTTTTTTTTGCTACTCCATCCAGGACAAGCAACAATATACCGCCAAAGGAAGCCGCTTTTTTCCTTTCCCCAATACTTACACCCTTCTTCATTTCACCAGCGTATTCGGTACCCAAAATGACCATCTCGGCACGCTTAAAGTTGACAGAGACGGAGGTGGTGGAGGTCATACCGGTGGTGTAACGGTTAGCAGGGAATTCACCAGCGTTGAAGATGGTGAAGTCGGGAGTACCAAAGTTCTCGAGTTCTTCCTCGGTAGGACGGATCAACATGTTGCGCATGAACAACAAGTGGTAAGCGCGGGAAGCGACCACACGCACCTTGATACGGTACTTGGGATCCCAACCGGCGAAACCATCAAAGACGTAAAGGCGAGGACGAGTGTTGAGGTAATCAATAGCACGTTCACGGTTGATCAAGAAAACCTTTTCGCTGATAGGGGTGTTGACAGGGCCCCACCAGATATCCTTTGAAGAGGTCTCTTCTTCAACAATACGCTTGTCCTTGGGAGAACGGCCAGTCTTCTTGCCAGAGTAGGCACAAAGAGCGCCAGCAGAAGAAATAACAGTACCCTGTTCATAGGTCAAGGCTTCTTCGTAAAGAACAGCAACGGAAGGATTGCGCTTGATGGTGACCTAAAGGAAAAACGATGAGTATGATTATGTTGTACGAAATGCAAGCTTTTTTTGTTTTTGTTTTTCAGGGATTTACCTTGTCGTAGTCGATACCGGCCATTTCGTGCAATTCTTCTTCCACCTTGGTGTGAGTGGAACCGGAGCTGGAAGGTCTACCGGCATAAGGAGATCCAGGTCTAGGAGTGGCAACCATGGTGATGTTGATGTTTTTGAGGAGAAGAGAGAAGAATTGGTGTTCTTTTTTCATCCAACGAGAGAAAAAATATTGGCATTTATATATTATGATCTTCCTCGGAAGCGGATTCGTCGTATTTCGGAATTTGTCATTGGTCCCGCACATGAAAGGCTCCTTTACCCTCCTTTTGGAATAAATCACGGGCCATCCCACCGCTCGCTGGAGCAAACCGCACACGGCTTCCGACATTGCCCTAGTCAACCCTTCCATATATGGCAAGTTTTAGGCCCTGGGTGAAGTCGCACCATGTGAAATTTGTTATTTTTAAATTCATTTTTTTTCTGAAAATCCATAACCGTTGCCGTTTTGTCAACAGGGCGAGGAATGACTAGTTTTTCCCTCTTTCTATTGCATGCGTGATTATGAGTTTATTTATTATCAGCAAGGCCATTTTATAATGATGGCCATTTTCCGAAATACGGCATCAGCGAAAAAGCTGAATTTTCAAAGTCTACGTCATCCGGTTGCACAACCCCGCTCGATTTTTTGAAGAGAGAAACTGGCCCCTATTTCTCCACGGCTTTGCTTGAGCTTGCAATGCCGACTTTGAGGGAACACTGGTGATATTTTTCTTTTTACTTAAGTTTCGCCATTCTCGGTATGGCAAGTACCCTTTTCAAGTTGCTTCCCCACAAACGAAATAAATAGCATCAGAAAGTCCGCCAGCGCGGGGCAATTTAGTCCTCCGAAGATGTTTAAACTTTTTTTTTTTTTAGCACTGAGCGGAAACCCAACTCCTTTTATTGTTAACATGGTTATGTGCGAATGAAAAAATGCTAAAGAAGGACTCCGCTACGCCGTACGGTTCTTGTTGTCGGCCTTTGTATACCGTACCATTCTTCACATGAATATGACAAGCGATTGAAAAGTTGCCGCCAAGCCCTATCACAGGGAGTTTCACTTTGAACCTGTAGCTGTGGCTTCATGCCAATTGTCACTCTAGCCTATGTTCTCAAACGTTGATGTGGCTCATAAAAAAAGAAAGTCAATATTCTCGGAGCAGAATCAGGATCGGCTTCAAAAATCAGTGCCATAATTCACAAAATACACAGTCTATCCGATGCTATCTCCAGGATCCTTATGGACGAAATTGAGAGATAGGTTTTCCTCCCGTAAGCTACCCTTTTTTGCATGTGAGCATCATGATGATTTATTGTTATGGAAGAACCGAAACAATGGTTTTCAAGTGCAGTCCAAGTCGGAGCCCGTAGGCAATGACAATACGTCTACGTATCTCAGGTCGTGGCAGCCGTTCCAACCATGAGATGATGCATTAGAATGGATGGAAGAAGCCATAGGAATATAATTTTGAACCTGGTGCTCGCTCAATCAGCATCTGTGTATATTAAAGTGGGGGTACAAAAGCACGCATGATTCAAGATAATCGGTTTGATCGCCTGTGGTTTCGACTTTTCGAATACATCGGAACAATAAGGTTCACATAGAGTAACACATATAGTACGTTTCAGTTGATGATCAATTCGTATCCTGGTTCCGATGTTTCAACCCCATGAGTTCTTTGGAAAAAGCAAACCGTTCAAAAATAGGCATGCTTCGATTAATGAACATTGTTTCCTATCTTGATTTCGTCTGTATTCAATCGATTACACAACCAAAAGGAGATATCATGTGTGAAGAAAAAAAAAACCAAATATGTTGCCATTGCAGTTATGCAGCCGATCGCATTATAGCCATTCGTTTCGCGGGATGGATCGAATGCTGTTGAAATGTCCCGATCCAGCCACCGGCCATCCATGGCGGAGTACCGGAATTTTTCCGGACAACACAAGTTTGCAGGAGCAAAAACAGGGTGCACGGCTTTTTGACTCACCACCACACTACTTTTCGTTGGGAAAAAAAGAAACAATGGAAGAGCAGACGGACGATGTCGGTCTGCTTCGCGAGCTGGAAGGCACATTACATACGCTTCTTGCTGACGAGCTGCTGCAAGATGTTCCTCAGGCACCGACTCTGGAAGAGATTGACACGCTCATCGCGGTAGAACAAGGACACGCCTATCAGATCAAGATCGATCGTGGTCCGCTGGAGCCTATTTGTATGTAGAAGTACCAAGTACCAAGTGGGATTCGGTGCTTGTTTGGTCTTATTGAATTCTCTTTAGTCATTGTCGTAGGTCAAGCATCCACCGTGAGTGATATTAAAAAACTCATCCAGGTCAAACTTGAAAGACTGGAAAGGCAAAAGAAAAAATCCATCAGCTGGTAAACCCCTAAAAAACTTCATGATTTTGCAGCAGCGACTTATTGTTATTTTCGTTACTCCAGGAAGTACATATGGCGATCTCATTGCCTCATGCTCGAGCATCAACGCTTATTAAACGACTGCGCGGCTGTCAGTCAATTGGGTATTCGTCAGGGCAGCGTACTTCATTTTGCAAAGCTTGCTCACCAAAAAGGACAACATCGACGCCCTCGCCGTTGGTATAAGCGTTGAAGGATGGTTTTTTGCTGCCCATCCTTTTTGGCTTGGCAGTTGTACAGGGATTGCTCTGTCTATCCACGGCATATTACGGTTGCAAATCTAACCGGCGGCTCCTGAGAAAAAGAGAATTACCCACCAGCATCGTTCTCACGACATTTCTCTTTGCAACCAATATCGGATCAAGATTTACCATAAGCAATACCCGAACCGTGATACTACTCCTTACATGGATTCGGTCCGCCAACAGATCAGGGCGCTTCGTCGCTCTACTAGCAACTTGGTTTTCAGAGATAACCACTGCGTGAAAGAAGGAGGATGTGCGTACAAACTTTTTTTGTTTGTCCATTTTGCAATAAAAAACAAAAATTTCAGTTGAACAAAGTCAATAATTGGCCAAAAAAGGCAATTCATTCAGCTCATTCTCGGACCAACCAGTTTGGATCGTTTTGTTCCGTCCTTATGACATGAATCACCACATTCGTCGCGCAGCCCAGACCACTCGACATGTCTTTCGATTACCATGCGTGTTCTACGCACGACGCCTTGTAACAACACGCTATGCTGTTATCGACTCACGGACACGCAGTCTCCTACGTCCCTACACTACTTCTTGCACGATGGACCGATCCGGCATGTCAGCTACGATTACCGACAAAAACTTGGCACCCCCTGTTAAAGTATACCCAAAGGTACTTTTGCATGCTGATTTTTACCGGATGCTTGAGCCGAAAAAGGTGGGGAACTAATCCGGTTTTCCATAGACATTCAACAAGCTGCTGGTGGCGAATCGAGGTGAAATTGCGTGCCGAATAATCAAAACGGCTCGAAAAATGGGCATTCGAACTGTTGCTGTCTATTCGGATCTAGACGTGAATGCATTGCATGTGCAAATGGCGGATGAAGCGGTGCACATTGGCGGTGGGCAAGCTGCAGATTCGTATTTATCCATTCCCCACATTCTGGAAGCAGTTCGACAAACAGGGGCGCAGGCCGTGCACCCGGGATACGGATTTCTAAGCGAAAATCCTGCCTTTGTGGAAACCTTGGAGAAAGAAGGAGTAACCTTTGTGGGACCGACAGCTAAAGCGATCGCAGCCATGGGTGATAAAATTCAAAGCAAGCTTCTGGCCAAATCCAGCAAGGTGCATTGTATCCCTGGCTTTGACGGTCAAATTCACTCGGTAGCCGAAGCGGCCAAAGTGGCTCACGAAATTGGTTATCCCGTCATGATCAAAGCTAGTGCTGGTGGAGGGGGCAAAGGCATGCGTATTGCATGGTAAGCAATTGAGAGCGTCGATGAAAAGATGATGGATCTAGACAAACGACATTTTAATAGGAACGACAGCGAGCTTGCTGACGGGTTCAAGTTGGCTAAGCAAGAATCTCGATCGGCATTTGGCGATGATCGACTGCTCATTGAAAAGTACATTGACAATCCGCGCCATATTGAAGTGCAGGTGCTAGGAGACAAGTTTGGAAACGTGATCTATTTACCGGAACGTGAATGTTCGATTCAGCGGAGAAATCAAAAGGTGATTGAGGAATCACCCAGTGTTTATGTTGATGAAGAAACCAGACGCCGCATGGGTGAGCAAGCGGTAGCGCTGGCAAAACATGTCGGGTACAACTCGGCAGGTAAGAGAGAAAGAGAGAGAAAATTCACGGATGATCCCAATGGCTGATTTGTGAAACCACAGGCACGGTTGAGTTTTTGATGGATTCATCTCGCAACTTTTATTTTTTGGAAATGAATACGCGATTGCAAGTCGAGCATCCGGTTACTGAAAACGTCACGCAGTTGGATCTCGTGGAACACATGCTGTATTCTGCTGCGGGGTATCCTTTAAAGCTTCAGCAATCCGATATAAAGATTCATGGCTGGTCCATTGAATCTCGCGTGTATGCCGAAGATCCGCAAAAATATCTACCTTCTGTCGGTCGTTTGCTGACGTATCAAGAGCCATCCACGCTTGCGCGATGCGATTCCGGGTTTGTTGAAGGGTCCGAAATCTATGTGGAATACGATCCTCTGATTTGCAAAGTGGTTACCCATGGAGACTCCCGACAAGAAGCGGTCGATTCCATGATTCGCGCTTTGGACGAATATGTGATTCAAGGCGTTACACACAACATCCCTCTCTTGCGAAGCGTGCTCGCTCATCCTCGATTCCAGAAAGGCACCCACATCACCACTCACTTTTTGGCCGAAGAATACCCAAACGGTTACACAACAGCGCCCATGTCCAAAGAAGCTGTTTTTGAACTTGCTGCTGCAAGCAGTGCATTGTGGGCGATCCAACAACGAAAGCGATTCACTTCAGGGCACGCATCTTTGAACGCATGGGATGTCTGGGTTCGCTCAACAGATGAACAATCCAACAAGACCAGGAAAACCAAACTCACCCTTTGCTATTTACCCGACGGTCGTTTCGAGGTAAAGTTCGGTCAATATGTCGTCGTTTGTTTCTTTTCAGATGTTCATTAAGGTGTAGGCTCTGTCACCTGAATTTGGCAAGTTGTGCTTCTCGACTCAATGGCATGAAAATGATTTATTGGCCTATTCATCCTTTGATAATGACCGAAAATCCGTCATGCAGTATTTGGATGTGCTGGACTTTGGATTCAGAATACAGTATCAAGGCACCAAGGTATGTTTTACGAGTTTTCATCCCCAGTGCGCGATAGTTCCTCCATGGCTGAACCCACATAATAGTACAAGGTGGCTGTGTTGGACAACGATCAATACGAGCTGTCAAAGTATATGAAACGAAAGGCAGTCGACGAAGAAAACAAACTAATGATAAGCCCAATGCCGGGACGCATTATCAGTATAGCGGTTAAAGAAGGAGACGAGGTAATAAGGGAGAATGATGACGGTTATTCTTTTTGCGGTGCACTCAAACAAGGTATCATAGGTGATCAAGGGTGGAGAGTTGGCGGTGGTGGAGGCCATGAAAATGCAAAATATCCTACGCACTTCACAGATTGGCATTGTCAAGTCGGTCCACGTCGTTCCTGGTGATATTGTTAAAGCTGGTCAAGTCCTGATTGAATTCGAGTCCTAGACCTCAATTATCCCCCTACGCATTTTTATTTTTCGTAATGGTTTCTGACATTCCTAAACAGTACTCTTTTTTGGGATCCAACTATTCTTGCATTTTTTTTTCTCAACTCTTTAATATTGCCTCGTCAAATTGAACATGTTAATCAATAGAAAGCATTACACCCAAACGTATAGCTCTATTCTGGCGCTGACAACTGTGCCGCCCATATTCAGACCATGGTCTTGTTACACTGGCGTAGAAAATATTCGATACACAGAAAAAAAAAGAGTATTGTTATTGGCATTCGTGAAATCGACACAAAACCAAACGAGCTCTATAAAATACAGACTATCTCTATGAACAAGATGAAAAAGATAAAGGAATAAAAGAAAACAAGATGCAGGAATTGGAAGGGATTATTTGTTCTTGGTGAATCGGTACGAGAAACGCTTTCGGGTAAATGAGAATTCACCGAGTTTGTGTCCAATCATTTCTTCGGTAATGTGTACTGGCGTATAGTCTTTTCCATTGTGAACGAGAAATTTTAAGCCGACGAATGAGGGAAGAATCGTACAGCTACGAGCTGTTGGACGAAAAGAGAATAATGTAGCAAAACATATCAATTGAATCAGTGAGTAAATCGACTCCAAATCAGTCTCAATATTATACGGTACCTTGTGTAGCTATGGGAGTACCGTTCTGAACAGCTTGACGGAGGCCGGGGAAGGCAACGAAGAAGGGACCCTTCCAAGCAGAACGTGGCATGGTAGAACTCGGTGTGAAGTTATTAGTGTGCAAAGACCAAGTAACCAAAAAAAGGGGGAGCCTGGCCAAAGTCGAAGCTCAGCCACCGGACTGCGTTTCATGTTCATGGTTTGCTTTGTTTCATTTTATCATACCATGGGGGAAGTTTTTTTATTCAATATGAATTGGGAGACCTACTCCTTTGGCAAAACAAGAAATTCTTAGCACCTACAGAAGATGCATTGGAACACAAGTGTTTATACAAAGCTTGTTGAATAAGGATACGTTGGAAACTTTTTTGAAACCGAAGAGGGAACAGCGAAAGCGACCCAAGGTTGCGCAAAAAAATAGTCGGTGTTGGTGCGATTCTACGGATAGGTATTATAACTCCGCCGCATTCAGCCTTTGCTCATCATTTTCGTTTTTCCTTTTTTTTCTCTTCCTCTTGTTCTTTTTTGCTTGCAGAACGTCACCTCATGAAGTTTGGTCACACTCTCAAGACGTCTCTGAACCCGGAGTGGACAACCCACTATGTTGGTAAGCACTTGTTACAAAACGCATGCCGCAGTCGAGATTATGAATTTCCGCAGAAAGAAACTCATAAATGTTCATACTTGGTGCTTCATTTAGCGTACGACGACCTCAAATGGCTGTTAAAGCGCGAGAATGCTCACGGTGAATGGACGGAAGAAAGCGAGTCTAAGTTTGTGGAAAAGTTGGAACAAGAACTTGACAAGGTCTACAGTTTTCAACGGATTAAATTGGAAGAAATCAACCAACGTATCGAAAACGAAGCGCGGGAAGTCGATACATTATGTCAGAAAGAAAATCCCGACGAGGACGAGTTTACAGCTTCCGAACTTGAATTAGGTCACATTATTGCTGATGTGCATGATTTGGCCAAATTCAGCCGTCTCAACTATACCGGATTCTTGAAAATCATTAAAAAGCATGATGTAAGTAATACGTTCAAAGCTGATCACCGACCCATGGAGACACTTGCTCACTCCCAGTCGATCTGCAACAGAAAATGACACGATGGACTTTGAAACCAATGTTCAATGTACGACTGAACGCCAAACCATTCTACAAAGAGAATTACGACGCCTTGATTGTAAGAATTTCCACATTATATGATCGCGTGCGAACGCGAGGTAAAGAACGTGGCGGTGATGCAGCCGCCGGTGGCAAACAAGCTGCATTTGTTCGCAACACCACCAAATACTGGTAAGTGCTGAACGGTGGATGGAACTTAACAACTGATGATGAATCATGATTGCCTCTAATGTTTATTTATTTATTTGGGTTAGGGTGCATCCTGATAACATTACCGAGCTGAAGCTGATTATCCTGAAACATTTGCCTGTGCTTGTCTTTAACCCAAATAAGGAGTTTGAATCTCAGGATTCCGCCATCACCAGTGTTTATTTCGACAATGACGATTTCGAGTTATACATGGGACGATTGGAGAAAACCGAAGGCGCTCAGGCTATTCGTATGCGATGGTATGGCGGTATGGACAACAACAATATCTTTGTCGAGCGCAAGACCCATCGCGAGGATTGGACCGGTGAAAAATCCGTCAAGGCTCGATTTCCAATCAAGGAAAAGTACTTGAATGCTTTTCTCAAGGGCGAATATACCACTGATGAATTGTTTGCCAAAGCCCGAGAACAAGGCAAAAAATCCGAAAAAGAGCTTCAGGAACTGGAAGATCTGGCGCAACAAGTGCAATATACCGTGCTCACAAAACGATTACATCCGATGATGCGCACCTTTTACAATCGTACAGCGTTCCAGTTGCCGGGAGATGCTCGTGTACGTATCAGTTTGGATACGGAATTATCTCTGATTCGCGAAGATAATATGGACGGACGCGTGCGTGCAGGAAATAACTGGCGTCGCATGGACATTGGTGTCGATTACCCGTTCAAACAACTCCCCGAAGGCGACATTTGTCGATTCCCCTACGCTGTTCTGGAAGTCAAACTTCAGACCCACGTCGGACAAGAGCCACCGCAATGGATCATGGAACTCGTCAACTCGCATCTTGTGGAATCGGTGCCAAAATTCTCTAAATTTATCCACGGTTGCGCCACTTTATTGGAAGATAAGATCAATGTGTTGCCATTCTGGCTTCCTCAAATGGATATCGATATTCGTAAACCGCCTTCCAAATCATTTGGCTTGTCGCGTCCCGATGGTGTGGGTATCAATGTCCCGGATGAAGACGATGACAACGAAACAAAGGGTGACGGTAGCAAGCTCACGACGGATGAAGATGTGCGCATTCGTATGGCCGATGCTACAGAAACCACTCCTTTAGTGGAACACGATGAAGAGCAGGGTACCTCGTCCACGCCGCGACGTCTACTCAAAGAACTTTCGCCTGCTGGTCTGAGTACATTGTTCAAAAAGTCCAAGACCACGTTCCGCCGACGAGGCAGAGATAGCGCAAGTAGCGGTGCCGGTGCCGGTCGCGCCCGTGCCAGCATTCCTCAGAAAGCGCCGCCTGTCAAGACGTACTTTGCGAATGAGCGTACCTTTTTACAGTGGATTAAATTTACGCTCTTGCTGGGTGGATTAGCGATGGGATTACTGAACTTTTCGGACCGGATAGGACGCATTTCCGCCTGTCTTTTCACGGCGCTTTCCATGGGCGTGATGATTTATGCTCTATACAACTATCATGACAGAAGCAGTCGCGTAGAACGCAACGAACCGGGAGAATATTCAGATAAATATGGACCCGCCGTGTTGACAATTTTTCTCGTCATCGCCGTGTCCATTAACTTTTACCGTAAGTAAAACCTAATGGACAACTGTAATTTTTGTTATGCTGACCGTTGTATTTTATAGTTCGCTTAACGACGGATGGCGATGTAGAATGGCATCATTAAATATGGACCATGAACCTCCCTTCTCAGATGATTTCAATGCAAGTCATCTCGTTGATACATGTATATCTATGTCCTGTTTGACCTTTTTACCTTTTTTTTTCCATTAAATGAGATATGAAAAGTGTGCATAGAATTGCATCATTCTATCTAATATTGTTTATCAGTCTTGATTGCCTTTATTGTTTGAAATAACGATCCTTTTTAAATTCGAATCCCGACAGTGAAAAACTGCCAAATTTTGGTGCAGGTTTCCCGTCCCACCTGCTCCATCTTTTTTTGAATTTTCTGCAACAGTATGGGTGATGGAGGGTAAGAGTTTTCTTTGTTCTTAACCATGGAAAGCCATGAATTTATCAGCTAACGTAATTTGCCCTTGAATTTCAGTTTGAGTCAAGATGACTTTCGTAAATTGTTGGCTACGCCTCGCGCACCACCTTCCGGTGAGGAAGCTTCACCGTTCAAGATGCCTCCCGCCAAAACACCGTAAGCAATCCGTTTTTGCCTAAAAAGATTGTTCCTCATCAAGATGCAATCAACTGATTTACGTCATCTTTTCAGTCGCAATACCGGCGCAGTCTTTGCTAAACCTCGGCACGTAAAGAAGAAGCGACCGGATTCCAATAGAAAATCGTCCGAAGATAAATCTACAAACGAGACTTTACACTATCGCGATCGTGCGGCCGAACGACGAGCAGCGGAGGATGATCCGGAAGCACCCCTTTCCACGGAAGAGATTCTTTTAAAGACCACCGTTGAAAAGGGCGACACGCTCGATGCCCAACAGGTTTACGAACAATCGAAATATCTTGGCGGCGATGTCAGTCATACCCATTTGGTAAAAGGTCTTGACTTTGCCTTGCTGCAAAAAGTACGCACAGAAATTACACAAAAGAAGCAAGAAATCAGCGAAAGAAAAGCAGATTTAGAGGCAGAGGATGAGTTGGAAGCGGTGATGGACAAGATCAATCGAGGAGAACGGATTGCCGCAGGCACGAGTGACGATGAAATGGAAACAGAGGAAACGAATGAACCCGTCTTTCATTCAATCGTAGCACGGAATATCTTTAATCTTGTTCACTCGACACCTCCAGCGAAAAATGAAACATTGACGCCTGGGAGAATGGCCTTCGTTTTCGAGTTGGCGGATGAAGTCGGTCATTACAGCGATGCGTTTGCTATACCAACCGCAGTGATACGGAGTAAAGCCGATGTAGCTCTGCTGCACAAAAAGATGGGCTGGTCGGAAGATTTGCAGGCAGAATCCGAACTGGTGATCTCCAAAATCTCCCAGGTCATGACACGCTTACGGACCGAAGAACGATTACCCAAGCTACCGGGGCAAAAGACAGTGAAAGTAGAAGGCAAAGGAAAAGAGCCGACCCATGTGACGATACCGGACCATTTAATGGATATTGATATTTTTGCCGGCGCGGGTCGTGATTATACGTTGGATGAAGCCTCTGTTGAGCAGAAAAAGAAAACGCAATCACCTAGCGACGTCAATGAGGAAAGCAAACCCACCAACTATTTCTCTGGCATCTCTGATGAAACTCCGTTGGATGCTTCACAAGATGTCAAGCAGGATGATGAGATCATGAAGGAGACAAAGCAAGAGGTAGCTGCGTTGTTGAAACGAGCCAACGCTGAATCCTCGGCGGAGGCAGCTGATACCAGTGCAACACTCAGCAGAAAACGTGGTTATGATCAAGTGCCGGAAGATGCGGATGCGAATGACATTGACATGTTTGGGTTAAGCACCTCGGCACTACCGACGTCATTTGAGGAACGAAAACGCACGGTCGTTTATGACGGCGAATCGGACGAGGAGAAAAATACGCACAGTTCCCTGGTAGATCAAGGCACTCACCGGAACAAAAAAGCCCAACTGACGCGATGGGATTTTGATGACGAAGAAGAGTGGCAGAAATATAAAGATTCAGTGGAAATCCACCCCAAGAGCGCTTTCCAGTTTGGCGTAAAAATGGGTGATGGGCGAAAACGCAATCGAGAGAATCGACGTGGGATGAGCGACAAGCAGAAATTGAATCGAGAATATCAACAAGTAAAGAACATCATGGATAAAAAGTACGGCAAATCATTGTAAATAAACTTAAATCATCATGCCCCTATATTTAACTGATATTTCCCCCATTCTATTCTTCGTTTCCAAATGTGAACTTATCCCCCTTTCTCAACTTTTGCTTCACACTCGGCAAAGTATAACATATTCGATGCTTTTGACGCCGACGGGAAGATATCATTGGCAGCGACTCTTGTTCGGTAACTGGATTAAATTCGATATCCATCTTTTCGCTTGCTCGATCCACTTTTAAAGCTGATTTTGATGGATAGTCGGTCGATATATCGAGAGCCTCAATGACAACTTGCGGTGTCGTCACGGATGTTAGTAGCAAATGACTTGATGAACTATTCGACGGAACAGATTGGGACGGCGAAGGTGACGGTGACGGTGACGGTGACGTTGGCGAGCTGGGGGATGGCGATAATGACGGTGAGGGTGGAGAATCTGGAATGAGGGGCTGAACAGGTGCAGCACGGTGAGTGAGCGACAGAAGTTCCTGTCGTAGTTGAAGGTTTTCGTTCCGCAAGGAGATGACTTCTTTTTCAAGTCTTTGAATGTGTTGAGTGTATATGGCATTCGCTCGTACAAGCTCACGATTTTGACGCAAATGGGTTTGTTTGAAAGCTTCCATTGTGTCTGCATTCATGGGCATCCGTCTTTGAATAGCAAAGCATACAACATTTCAAGATGTCCGAATCAGTTGCAGGAATCCAGTGTAACTTTTTTTGATCAATTATAACTTTATGGCATTTAAACTCCGATATCAGTGCACCGCCAGTCAATTCCATCATCCAAACAGAATAATATTCCAGCATGCCTCTTGCATTGTCGCCCTAATATTTTGCACGGTAAATTGCGCGTTGATTTGCGCTGCATATCACTGTGTAGTCTGTCGTGGTCACTTGGTTGGGCCTTTCGGGTTTACAAAGGCCCTTGAGGTTTACAGGTAGGCTATCCAACACGGATTATTATTGAAGCAACTATCGATTAATCTGTTACTTGTGGACCAATAGCTAAGAGAAGCTGCAACCACACTTTGCATAAATGAAGTAGTGGAAAAAGCTGCATAGCTGCTGCTGTCAAGGTTTTGTCGGATGGATTTATTCTGTGCACACCGATCGCCTGTTGGATTACAAGCGCTCAAGGAAATCAGATCACATCGACTCAAGGGTGGCTGAGTCAATTTTAATTCCCAGGTCTTGCTTTTTTTTTTTTTTTTTTTTTCTTCGGTCAACCTTTTACTTACGGTCGTTCTTGAACATACCCATATATCGTTTGTCCCATGCATATCGATCGTTGTTACTTTTGTTCAGGACCATGTTATCCTGGTCACGGTACGATGTTTGTCCGTAACGACAGCAAGGTAAATTACTCGGGCTCCACCTTTTTTTTCCTAACACTAGAGGAATGGAATCGGGATGGTTTTTCTGAGATCTCTTTTTTTTTTCTTGTTACTAGACTTTCCGTTTCTGTCGATCAAAATGCCACAAGAACTTCAAGATGAAGCGTAATCCTCGCAAGGTCAGATGGACCAAGGCATTCAGAAAGGCCAGCGGCAAGGAAATGGTCATTGTAAGTAATTGGGAAGGAAGTGTGTGTGCCATTTGGTGAATCTTTTGATCCATATTCGCCGAGCCAAATGCTGATTGGTTTTTGATTATTAGGATTCCACCTTTGAATTCGAAAAACGTCGCAATGTGCCTGTTCGCTACGATCGTAACCTTATGGCCACTACGATCAAGGCCATGAAGCGTGTGCAAGAGATTCGTGCTAGACGTGAACGTGCCTTTTACCGTAACCGTATGTCTGGCAACGCCGAAAAGGAGAAGGCCGACGATATCAGAGTTGTCAAGCAAAACATCGAATTGGCTCCTTTGGAGGCTCAGAAGCGTATGCAAACCGTCAAGATCGAAGCTACCAAGGCCGAGAATATGGACATGGAAGAGTAATTCGGCAGCAGTTTATATTCCGTCCAGCTTTTGTATTCCTTAGTTCACTTTTTTTTTTTTTATTCATTGACACTTCCGCCTCTATATTTCTCGCTTGAGGAAAGCGAGATTTTGCTCGATTTCTTTTTTTTTTCTTTCTTTCCTTTCTCATAATGCATCATTTCTGTATATACAGTACAAAAGAAGTTCCTCTTTAACCATCCGTATTTTATGTCTTGTCCTTTTGATTGTTAGATCGTTATGTATTTGGAATTGGAACACAAGTTCACATTTTTCTGGCTGTGTACGTTTTGGAGATTCAATGTGAGCTGAAAATCGTCGGATGGATCCTCGTTCATTGAGATACGCATATCAGTATATGGAGATCAGTGAGTGACTTGCCCATTTATATTAGTAGACTTGAACTTTCATGAGCTAAAGCGTATGATACTTGGCTGTGATTTGTCCTGAGATAAACTTGAATTGGGTGAGGATGGGATGCCATGAAAGCAGTGGCCGCCATTCAAACGGCGCGCGCACAGATCGGCGGATGGAAAGCCCGTCACGAACATCGCGTTCAAGACAAGACGCGGAGCGCGCGACGTTCGTATGGCGTGTGATTCCCGCCATCGGTTCTTAACTTTGCCACATGGAATTCACTCATGCCGTCGATCGTTTTCACTCAGCCTTGAAAGATATTTTTCTGAAAAAAGCAAAGACGAATTCACAAAAGCAAGCTCTGCAACGAGCCACCAACATTCCATGGTAGATCCAGAGATACATTGCAGGGCCGCAGCAATGAGGCCATTATAACTCAACAAAAGATTTTACACAGGTCCTGGGTCGCTGTATGTCTTGCGCAATTGCTCATCGAGTACCCAACAGCTATTACAGAAACCATTATTCTCGGTGAGCTGGAGCTGCAGGTACGCGTAGTACAACTGTCATTGTATGAGTTTTTCTTTTTTCAGATTGTCTCTAATTCATAAATGATGTCGCGGAAGTAAAGTGGGAGCGTGCTTTTTTGAAACGGTATCGCGGTCTTGACAGCAGTAAGTGACTTGAAAGGGATGGCACACATGATCCGCTTTTGGCACTGATACAAGGGCCTGCGTCTCAGATTTTGGTACAATTCAGGCACTGTATGACAGTAGCCCAATACGCGCCGCTGCCTTGGAAGTCACCGTCAAAGAATGGTCCATTGTACCAGAGACCAATATCTATATCCTTTTTTCCTGTTGTCGCTGCATTTCTTGAGTACTCTAGTGCACTGTGGATGGTGTAGGCTTTGCTTTTTTTTTACAACATACGTATGATCCTTAACCATGTCAATACGGCTTGTCACTGTAGGTGAAGCGACGTCTTATCAGGTCTTGGATATTTATTTGCATCCCAAATTCAATCAATGGGTCACCCCTTCATCCTCATCTCCATCTCAGCCTTCCAATCAAACAAGTAGTCCATTCTTAAAGGTACAGTCAGAAATAGTCAAAGATGTCAAACACAGGGCTGATCGTGATACACGAAATATAGGATCGATCGATTCGCATGATCTGTTCAAGTTTGGTCAATACGCCTATCAAAACACAATATCACAACAGCAGCTTAAGTCGCATCAACCGCATTGGACGCGCGCCTCCAACTCAGTTATTGATGTTTATGCTCACGAGCGAAGATGGGCCGTTTATTCGTCAAGAATTCTTGCGTCCAGGCAATCGGCTGGAAAATGTCGTCCATCCTACCGGTCTTCGTTCGCGCAAAGTGCACCGACTATGGCTAAAGGTAGACTTATGGAGATACATCATGATTCAGATCCAAGGTCCATATTGACATGTGGCTCTAGGTGATTCACGTAGAATGTATCACACACACGTCTCCTATCGCTTCCATCCAAACCGCTTCCCAAACCAACGGAATGACAAAACTGCAGCGCACCGATATTTATGTGGTAGACCATATGGGTAGCGACGAGCCGGCTTTGTTCTCGCTGTATGATGAGCAAGCGCAATTGGCTACCTTGATACGCCGCGTAAGTAGAACCCGAATTTTTTTTATTTTTTTTGAGACGTGCTGTTCCTGTGTGTTTTAATGTTGCATGAATTAGGGCGATTATATAGGATTATATAACCCGAAAGTGTCTGATCGCTGTACGCAGAGTCAAGAGGCCCGTTCAGATATTGTGCTCGAATACGATAATGAAACTGTGATATTTCTCATGTCCGACAAGGACGCACGTGTCGTGGACGGAGTCAACCGCGATTCTCAGCGACCTGCTTCCCTTGTTTCCAATGGCTCCAATAGCCCGATATCCGAATTCTGGAACCATCCCTCACAGAAGAAAGGCATTGTCGAAAGTGACGATGAGGTATAACCATAGGCTTTTGTGTTTCTCTCTGACATAGTACAACAGAGCGTGTTAACATTATTACTTGTTAGGGATTTATGGACTGCATCAATTATATGGATCGCATTTTCATTCGTGACTTGGATTCATGCATGCTGAACGTCACTATATTTGGACGCGTCGTGGCAATGGCAAGTAATGTGAGTGACAGATTTCATATTTTTAGATCATTTCATAGCCCGCAACTCATGCTCACGGATACGGCACGATAGAATCCATTTACAACAAACGATGGACTCACCAAAATGGATCGATACGCGATACGAATCGTTGATGTCACTGGTAAGGACAAAGGCCACGTGCAACAGCCTTTTTTTTTAATTACTTGTCGGAGCCTCAACTGATACCGAAAAAACATTCAGGCAAAATGGATGTTACGTTGTGGGAAGAAGCAGGTCGTCGAACACGCCAATTGCGGCCCGGTCATTATGTACTCATGACCGGTTTAAGCACCTCCGCCGTCCATATGGGTCCGAAAGACAAGCCCATATGGTACGTCAATGGCAGCATTGTATGTGGTACCCAAGTCTTTAACGGTAAGCTTTTTTTTTTGTTTTTCGCTGCGATCAAACTTTTAATTTCTTTTCATATTCCCCTTTAATAGTCTCAACCATGAACAGTCTATTGGTGAGCTCCAGCTTACGGCACGTTACGCCGTTGGAATGGTTGGATAAACAAGATCATACGCATACGGAAGCCATTGTAGCGGGTTGGGAATTAAGAACGTGTGAGTCCCCTGATTTGGCTCTTTTGAGCGATGATTACACGGACCGGCAGGGTTTTTGTTGTCACCAACCTATCGGAAATCTGGGTGCTTTGGTGATTGCAGATAGCCGTAAGTGAATCAAAGACTGAAGAAATTGTGGTGGCAAGAAATGGATTCTGCATTCTGTGCTCATACTACGTTGTTATTGCGATGCTCCTGTGTTTTATGCTGATGGTTTTTTTTTTTTTTTTTTTCGCCCCTGGTCTCCCATGTATGCCATGGGATTGCAGATGCAGCCTGTCTTCGGCCGGTGACAACTCCGACAGGGCCACAGGGAGCGAATCACAAAAAAGGTATACGGATGTGTGATTTTTGCGGTCATTCTATCGCGAACGATGAAGTGGTACAGACATTTCGCAGTCGACCGGACAGTATTTCAGGCACGGGGTGGATCGAGTGGCGATTGGATGATGGAACACGTTCCATCTTAGCGTATGGTGGCGAAGAGGTAAGCCAAGAACGAAAGCAGGGGATTTGAGTTTTCTTGTTGCGCGTGATCAAGTTGAAAGAAAAAGAAGAAGAACAACAAGCGCAACTTTTTAAAGGAGTGTAAAGTGGGGTGCGACGATACCAATTATAGTGGATTGGGTGACATTTTTTTTTTTTTCCTTGCAGACATTACTGAATATACCTGCCCGGCAATTTAAGCTCCTGTCACACGAAATGCAGGTTGGGTTTCTCGATTGTGTGGTGGGCAAACAAATTGTTTGTTCTGTTTCGCGAATGGTACAATCAGCTGAATTAAAAATATCGACCGACATGTGTGTGTATGTGTGACATTGACGAACGGTGTTTTCCCACTTTTTTTTTATTAGGCTGATTCCTACCGCATTGATCAAGTTGCACTGCTGTAAAAACTATTGAACCACGAGTGGATTTCGTCCCATCGTACCGTCATACAATTAATTGAATCAGGATTTGCTCTTTATGCTTTCTTCCCATCTCTACACTTGAAGCCACCATGTCAAACCTCCCGATATAGATCCATCTCAACTCCCTCTGTCTCTGTCCTTTTTTTTTTTTTCGTCTCCTCATCTTCCAACATTGCCCCTTCCGCGCGCAACCAAGAAAAGAAAAAGAAAAAAAAGAAGCCACGGAAATCCTTTTTTCATCTGCGTCTCCTCTCTCATGGCATCTTAGGCAACAGCTGAGACAATTTGAAAACGTGTGCTTCTTTGTTCCGAACATCATCATCATCTTTCGGTGCCACAGGGATTATAAAAAGACACACTCCAAACCCAGCCAGTTTCTCATATATAAAGTGGACCCTCCGTTTGAATAATTTTTTTTTAATTTTTCGTTTTCCTTTTGCCACCCGCGTCCCTTCATCCATCTCATTTCAAGCTTTTTTTTTCGCTTTTCACGCAATTCGTCACCTTCCTTTTCCTTTCCGTTCATTCATCCTCTAAAATACACAATGAAGTCCGTGTTTGTTTCTGCTCTTGCCATGCTCGCTGCTGCTTCACAAGCTTACGCCGCCATTACGGTAAGATTAGACCCAACCCTTGGGGATCCAAATCAGGAATGTTATTTGAGCATGTTAATTGAATTATGCCGTATTTAGGTGGTGACGCCTTGGGCTGATTCGCTTTGGGTAAGTTTTTTTTTTTTTTTTTGATTTATGCGTACTTCATCTACTCCATGGGAATGACCAACTCACTCCATCTCTAGACTGCCGGTGGTCATGGAAATATCACTTGGACTACCACGGCTGCTGAAGCCAATCTCAAGTGTGAAATTCAAATGTTGAACGGTAACAACACCAATGCCAAGTAGGTTTTCTGAAAAAAAATAGTCGGGTGATGGTTACGTCTCATTAATTCTGTGATCTGTAGTCTGGTTGCTTACGTGACGACTCCCGGTACACCTGTTGATTGTTCTGTGAAACAATACGATATTCATCCTTTGAACGATTTCGCCAAGGGCAAGTACTGGATCCGTATTGGTCAGTCATCGACCAATACTTGGGCTTATTCTGGTGTTTTCAATTTTGAGGGCAAGGGTACCGCCAACCCACTTCAGATCGCTACCAATGGCAGTATGCCAGTTTCCCCTTCGGGTGCCGCTGCCAAGAACGCTGCTGCTGCCGCCAGCACCACTATCGCTACTACCGGTTCATCGAGCGGTAGCAAGAGCTCAGGTAGCAATTCCGCTAGTACTACTCCCGATAATGCTGCTGGTCAGATGTCCATGAATACCAAGGCCATGGTCACCATCATGGGTGCTGGTGTTGCCGCTTTGGCTCTCCTTTAATAATTATTATGCGTGATCTTCTCTCATCTCTCTCACTGTTAAATGCAAGCCCAGCATGATTCGCTTCTCCTGATAATCTTGTTTTTTTTTTTGATTCGCTGATACATTCATTGTTCGCGTTTGATTTATTGCCCTTTTTGCTTTACTAATATTTTTTTTTTTTTCGTTCTTGCTACATCATATTAAAAAGTGTACAACATTCTGAATTCGCTAATTCTTTTTTTTTCTTTTGCATATTCTTTTAATTTATTTGCATGCTTTCTTTTTACTGTTTCTCGGTCCGGGTTCTCGCTCTCATTCCATGTAGGATGGTGACACAAGGAATATAGAAGCGTATCAAAAAGTTTCTTTGATGCGATTGGATTCAAGTAATAATAGAGAAATCTTGATCTCCACGTGGAAAACAAGGTGTTAAGGTGTTCAAAAACGACAAGCGAGTGGAATGAACCTTGATTTACACGTGCGAGATGCATTACCGCAAAGCTGAAGTAGAAACATAATGGATTGAATTGAACCTTTTTTTCTGTTTTGCATAGATGGAGGGTGATACATGAAGAATTGCCACTCGGATGATGATTGGTTGACCAGCTGACGTGGATCAAAAATGCATGTTTGTTGACAAGCATGAAACGCTATGGTGGGTGTCTTGCACAATTGAGGCAAACTAAAATGATGCTGGCCAGGATCAAACGACTACAGAAACCTGAATCCCCAAAAAGAACAAGACGATCAGAAAGGGGGCGAAAAGGATGAGAAAGGGTGCCTTCTTTTTGGCTCGTTTTTTATTTTTTATTTCTCAGATAAATACGCCGAGAAGAACAAGAACAGTAGTAAGCCGAAGAACAAGAAGAAGCTCCCTGTTTCCCTCTCTGACTTTTTTTTAAGTTCTCTTTTTCAGTTCTTGATCTTCCTTTTTCTTTGCCACCTAAAAACGCATTGCTTTTTTTTTCTTCAACGCCCCTTTCCCAAACATATACTTTACTCCTTCTTTTTTGGCTTTTGTTTTTTTTTTTTTTTTTTCTTGGCTCATTGCTAATCTACATTGTCATCTCTTTCATTCTCCTTTTTGCATCTTTACTTTCATAATACTTGTTTTGCGAATTCTCGGCGCTTGTTCAACCACTTTCAATTTTGGCCGTCAATATGATTAAATCGATTATTCCACAGACCCTGAAACGAAACAAACATCATTCACTGCCGTTGATGAAAAAGTCGTCCGATACCGCCGCTCACCCTCCACCTCCGTCTAATAATAACAATAATACCACCTCCCACAGCAATCATAGTTACGGTCATAATACCCAAGCCTCGCCCAATCATAATGATCACAGCAATAATAACACTGATTCAACGAGTTTTGTAAATAATCAAGATACCCTCCTGAATGGCATCGGTCCATATACCTTTTTAAAGCAACTGGGAAACGGAAAGTTTAGTCGGGTCATGCTCGCCACTCACTCTGAAACTCAAACCCAAGTGGCGATTAAGGTAGGTTGAAAATTAGTTGCTACCCTATCACCACGGGGGTTTTTCCTTTATTACTTTATCATCATGCACTTTTATATGTGTAAAATGAAAAATGCATAAAACAATCAAGGAACAAAACGACCCTATAGATTACATTGAGCAATGGTTTAATAGAATGGAATGATAGATCATCAACAAGCAAGCACATGATTACCGTGTTATGTCGCGCTTGGTACGAGAAATCAACTTGATGGAGGTATTGGATCATCCGAATATCGTCAAACTCTTTGAGACATACGAAACGTGTGATTCGCTATTTCTGGTGATGGAGTATGTTCCCGGTCACAACCTGGATGAATACCTGCAAAAATCGGGGGGTACTCTTACAGAAAAGGAGGCACGAAACCTGTTTCGACAGTTGGTGGCGGCTGTCAGTTTCTGCCACAGCCGTTGGGTGGTTCATCGTGACTTGAAGGTAAGTAAAAAATATATATTCTCTTATTGTTGAACAAAGTTTGTAAACGTCTACATTGTCATAGACACCGAATATTCTAATCACCCCCGATGGCGTTGTCAAGCTGGCCGATTTTGGGTTAGGCAATAGATTCGGACTGCAACGATTGCGAACTATTTGTGGTAAGTCGAATCAGTGACCGAAAGCCACTTTTGGACTATCGAAGTCTTTTTTCCCCTGAATGGATCGCCCGTCCTTCTTATTTTTCGTATGGCTTTCTAACTCGTCATTCAGGTTCCATGTTATATTACAGTCCAGAAATTATCAGCGGTCAAAAGTATTACGGACCTGAAGTCGATTGCTGGTGTCTTGGTGTGGCCCTGTTTCGCATGACGGCCGGATTCGAACCGTTTTCCCATGCACACAGTAAGTGAAAAATATCATTGGCCTTTACCATCCTTGCATGCCATGTGTATGCTTTTTTTTTTTTTTTTTTTTTTGAATGACGCAATATCTGATGATCTCCGTGTTTTTTTTGTTTCTTTTTCATTTCTCACATTTTTCCAACGTGAGTTTAGCCGTCGGCGAACTTAAAAAGGATGTATGCAGCTGCAACTTTCCGATGCCATCGAATTTGTCAATAGATCTGCAGCGTACGATTCGGAAATGTCTGCAGGTGGACCGCCGACGACGCATGAGCGTGCGTGCCGCCCTTCAAGATGACGCTTGGTTAACAGACAATCACCTCCTGCCATGTCCCATTACCGACAGTCACAAACCGACGGCGATGCCCGATGAAGCCTCCACCACGGGTCCAGTCAACGAAGACGAAGCTGTCCATGCCAATGGACGCCCAACAGATTATGCACGAAGACAGTACATCCGAGATCTTGAAAACAGCCAGCACAGCTATCCTGCCGTCAAGCGAACGGTTATTTACCATCCAGTGAATGCATCCACCTATTTTACGACCAAAACGTGCGGGGATCTGGGGCCAGTCGTCAATGGAACTGCCACCCACTACAGTTCCAGCAACGAGCATTACCATTATCAGCATCAGCGGATAGAAATGCTACGTTCCGAAATACTTCAATCCATCCGTCAACGAGCACGTCGTCTGGGGATGCGATCAACCAAGTTGATCACGATAATGCCATCTTTCAAACTTGACAAGGGAAAACGATCGTTGAAATTGTCGGAAATGCTGCAACGGTATTACAAAGATCAAATGTATTGGTTTCAACTGACGCGTCCCGAAGGGTCTCGGCCGCCTTCGCTGTCTTCCGGATCGTCCTCCACGTCTTCCATGTCGACCGTGGGTGCCTCGGATAATGAAGATATCCCAAATCCGGCCATGGCCGTATGCAATGGTGACAGAGTAGCCCAAGATGTCATGACCTTGGTCAAAGAAACATGCCAGTTGATGGGCATTACCTTTGTTCAGGAATCGCCCACCCAATTAATATGTGTTCTCACCCTTCGCGATGCACAAAAATCTGATGCCTCATTGTCTCCTCCACCTCCCGTGCGGCGACGTGAAAGCCGAAACAGCAGTCGGTCCACGACAGGGTCGGTTGCCACAACGACCAACGGCGCCTTTTCCATGGAAGAAGATGGTTCACGGGCTCAAACAAAGCGAATGTCCTTACCGCTTCTGTCTCATTTGACCTCGTCCATGACCACCTCTTTCTTTGGACGTACCAAGCAGCGACATTCCATCGATGGTCGAAGTTCCAGTATTTCCGAAAGTCTTCGACGTAACAAGAAGAAGGACGGGGTAGCAGTATTTACCATTGATATCAAACAGACCCATCGAAAGAGTCAGCTGGTGGGTTTGCGGTTTTCCAAACAACAAGGTTCATCCAGTGTGTTTAAAATGGCCGGTGGCTGGATCACAGGCGTCATCAGTATGAATGATTTTAGATAGATAAGTATCAACATCATAACTGAAAAAAAGTGGTTCCATATTTATCAAAAAAAAAAGAACAAGTTAAAAATCATATTCAATTTTGTCTCATTGCTATCCTACTTGTTATTCTCCTATCCACCTTTGTTTCTGTATATCATTATGACCCTTTTTTTTGTACGAGAACCAAACATGACAAAGATTCGTTTTTTAATATCAAACTTTATGAATAGTGGGATTTACTGAACTTGCATATTACTGTAAAAATGTTATAAATACGTGTGAAAGGATCGTGTGATGAAGATGATGAGATGTTAGTCATTAAAGAGTATAAAGACCGTGAATCATAAAAAAAAGGGAACAATGTGAATAGGAAAAAAAAAATGAATAAATAGAGTAAATAAATAAAAGATGATTCCAAGATGACAGGTAAAAAGAAAATCATATAGATCATGAGTACGGGTGCGACGCGGGCCAGAAGATTTCCGTGATGAAAGGATGAGAGGTGATAGCAGGCAAAGTGAAAGAGAAGAAGGTTACGAGGAGCCAGTGAACGATTGGCTGTTGAAAAAATAGGCCCATTGATCTTGAAAACGATCCACCCACGCTGTGATGGTCAACACTCTTTCACGCAGGGAACGCATGGAAAGTAACTTGAGTTTCTCGTTTTCATCCAAAGGCATCATATTAGCAATCCACCAGGTCAGAATCACCCGATCACGACGAGGACCACGTGAAATGGGCGGATCGCCCATGGCAGCCAACCATTGCGAGAACCGATCGTTTGTATTGGGTATCTGCTGGGAAATCAAGCGATCAATGAACGAAGCCAAATCATCCAGCAAATCATCAGTGCTTTGTTCCTCTCTGTTGACGGTCGATGATGAGGCCACTTGAGATTGAGCTGGTTTCGCCAACGCCGACGCCGACGAGGAAGCGAGGGCGGTCGACTTGGGTTTCGCTTGCTGGTAACTGAGGCCTTGGACATGCATCTGTAACCAAGGCGATCGAACCGTCGGATTCTGGGTCTGTGGATGAGCTTGAGCAGCCCATGAAGGTCGATGCGTACCTAGCATACCAGTCATATAAGGACGACTGCCAGCCGCAAGTCTCATTTGCGCAGACGGTGTTCCCGGACGAACAGAAGCCATCGCTGTCGGCGGTCTCACAAACTGTTGCACTTGCTGTTGCTGTTGTTGCTGCTGTTGTTGTTGCCTTGCTCTGGCCGCACTAGCACTCAAAATCTGCTGTCTCTCTCGAGCCTGTTCTTGTTCCTCGGGTATATCATCAATGCGTTCCACTTGACCCACATGATAACCATCCACAACACTATGTGAACTGATCCGAAAGCGATGAGATCCAATCGCTTCTACAATCGATCGTCCATCCACCAAAGTCTGCACATGAGTTAATTCCAACATGGTACCATACTCTGCAAACGGTTCCCCATCGCCCGCCGACGATCGCTGAACAAGACACATGGCAAATCGGCGACGGCATGATTGCATGACTCTTCGTAACATGAGACGATACCGTGGTTCAAATATATGAATGACGCAACGCACATGAGGAAATGCCAATGATCCAATGAGAATGGGCACAGTGTCCTCATCTTGCTCCAATTGCATGTCCATTTCACGATCCTGATCATCATCAAAGAAAAGACCCAGCCAATCGCAAAGCATCTGACAAGGTTTATCCACCGTCTTTACCGGTTGGCGACAAAATGGACAGCTGCGTTGATGATCTACCGAGCGTAGCAGACATGGTCGACAAAATGTGTGACCGCATGGCGTCGTGGTGGGTTTGTAGAAGCGATTGCAGCAAATGGCACATTCCGATGCGTTGATGATGTGAGGACGGAGATTATCGAGAGAGCACTTGGGGGTGGTGGCGCCGGTTTGCGTGGTATAGATGGACTGCAATTGCTGGACTAAAATATTCACATTCATGGATTGGCAGTGGGTGTGGATATGCGTGCAGTAAGGACAAGGTCGGTTCTCCAAGGCTTGCGTGCATTGATGACATACAGTGTATCCACAAGATAAAGTTCGTGGGCTCTCCAAGCTAGATTCACAGACTGGACACTGTAGGATCGTTGCCAGCGTTTCCTCGACTGCGGATCGGGCCCGTTTCGCATGGCCGAGTACCGTCGAAACCTCCCCGTCGTCGTCGTCTGCGTCGTCTTCGCGTACTCGTTTCTGCGAAAGCTTGAATTTTTCCAATTTCGTTCGATAATGGAGCCAACCTGATCAATCAATGAAATAAAAATACCAGAGACGAAAAACAGGTGCAAAACAAACGATCAACCCCAATTAAGAAAAGGCGAGAATTTTTGAAATGAAAAAAAGCCAAAGAAAAAAAATTGGTAAACGGATCAATTTGGAAATCAAAAAAAGAAACAGTCAAAGCCCGCATCAATGGAACATGCAAAGAAAAAAAAAGATTGTCAGTCTTCTGTTGCATATTATTGTTACTGAAATTTTTTTTTTCGCGCTATTTACATAGTGTGCTTCCATAGTTCATCAGACAAATCAGCTGCTTGCCTTTTGGTGTAGGCGGCTTTCCACCTCGTTTTCTAATTGGATGCACGGTTATTGCTGCGATTACCGACGAAGGAAGCCCGCCGACAACGGGCGAGGGGGAAACCACCAAAGAAAAATAAATAAATAAAGAAGGATAGACGAAAAAGAAAAAGGATACCCACAAAATGAATGGTCAATGAAAATGACAAATCAGTAAAAAAAGGTCTTTTTTACCTCGTCCATATATGCAAATGTATGGATTCTATTTATACATGAAGGACCGATCAATGGATGGAAAGAAAGAAGGATGCATGATCGATGATAATGAACAAAAAAAAAAGAATAAAAAGGGAAAAGTAGGAAAAAAAAACAAGAGAGACCAATTGTAAAAAAAAAATGGCGCGTAAATGTTGAAATTTTTTTTTCTCGATCGATCGTTTCGACCATTCGGGACGGATTTGGAAATGTTCATGTCGAATTTCATGGATGGAAATTGCCATCGATCGGTTGCGTGGTGGTGACAGCAGCCGTCGCTTGTTTCCCAGGCACCTTCATGACTTTGACTTCTTTGTTGGTATAAACGGGATGCAATTGCCGTTCAATGTAACTGGAAAACGTGCTGTCCTTGGTCCCGAAAAATGTGTGTCCTTGAGCAGAAATCATGGCGTCGAGCATGGGAATCAGATAGCTTGTCAATTTCACTTTCTCTTCCACAACCTGAATCCGTTGCAAATCGCTGAGTTCTTTGGCGAAATCCGACAAGGTAAATACACAGGGGAAGGTGGCAAAGATTTTGCGCAACAGCGGGTTGTTTCGAGGATCGCTGGCGTCGGTGGCAATGTAAATGACCGTCTTTTGGAACTTTTCCGTCACTGAATTGGCGGCCTGACACGGTAATGCAATCTCCGGCCGCGGACCCAACACCTTTTCTAACTCGGCTGCAGGAGGGTGATGCACCTCCACCGGCTTGGCAGTGTCTTCCAAGGGTCGGAACTTTCGCAATTGACGGACCTCGTAATCGGTATTTTCCTGACGATCTTGATCGTGCTTGTATTCCTCCAACGCCTTGACTTGACTTACATCTAGATCGGTGAACTTGTTCACCAATTCGTGATATATGTCGTCCACATTGATCGATGCACGGACTTTGAATAAACCATCCCCTACTCGTATATGCAATCCCACAAACGACCCCACGCCACCTAGCTGTTCCACAATTCGCGCTGTCGTGTCGACGAGAACCGGGTTTTTGAAGATCATGTGGGTGCGAATAAATCGAAGCAACTCGGCGTGCTCTTCCGTCTGCGCAAGCACACGATACGTGCCAAACACGGACCCAAAATGGATCAACGGCTCCTGGATGGCTTCCAGCGACGCTAATTCGATCCGGTTCACAAATTTGGCAAGAGGTGTCGTGGAAGCGGGATTATCATAAACGCGGAATTCATACGGTGACATATCCCTCATAAACCGTACATTCTTTTCTGTCAATCCCAAGGACTCGTACATCCATTCCAAACTCAAGTCGTTTCTTTGCACGATCCGTACTTTATCTTGAAAGACCCCCATGTCGTAGAAAAACGACCAAGGCACGCTCGTCCATCGAAAATAATTCAGACATTCGGCGGGGATCGATTCGTCTGGTTCAAACCGAGGGCAATGCTCGAGACCGCGCTTGGTCTGCAACAATAAACGTTCGTACATCTTTTCGTACCGCAGCCACGGCATGGCCGGATTGCCGAGAAACACGGGCGGCAACAGTAACGTTCGATTCAGATAAGATGCCAGCAGTAACGCATTTTCAAGTTCAATGCGTTGATTGTGGAATCCGGAATGGGGAAGATACGTGATGTATTTTTCACCGGGCGTTGGTTGATGGAAAGCAAAAGGATCAGGAAATATCACGGCAATAGGGGCCGGAGGATCACGAGAAGAAGGTGGTGGTTGACTGTTCGATGAAGACGAGAATTCATAGTGGCCCACGATGTTGCTGTTCTTTTGCGAATGAAGGGTATGACGAGGATACGCCGAGAATATCATGAATATTAAAAAACAAACGCCAATGCTTAGAAGAGCAACCACTCTCCTTCGCGAAGAAAACACCATTTTCTACAGGATGACCTGCCTTAATTTGCAGATGAGAAGAAGGATGAGGATCAAAAAAGAGGTGGCCGACCAAATTAAAAAAAAAAAAAGTGTCAGTGCAATCACCACACAGTCCAAAAGATTCACGATCCGAAGAAATTTTTCATACTCAAAAGGAGGTCAAAAGCATATTATGGCTCGGCAGTGATAGAAAGCTCCATCAATATCATTTAAAAGCCACTCACTACTTGTATATATTTAACAAGATCCATTAAAGCTTGAAGCTTCGGCAGCTTGATGTCGACGAAGAAACAAAGTATTCTAGTATGACAAGATTTTTATTTCATCATCAAGGTAGTTTAGCACGAAAAATGGAACAATAACAAGAGAACAAGATAATGGATTGGCGTTGCTGGTACGCTTATGGTTTGTTGAGATCAAAATCCAAGCCAGCATGTTGTCGCAGGGCTATTGAATAATAATGAGTATTGGATCCATCGGGGGTTATAGCCAATGTTATATGTGTCTCTCTACTTACCACCTACAACGGCTGACAGATCCACATCGCCTTTGACAGCTTGTGCTTCATCGAGATGTTGTAACATAAGGTCGGTAATAGGCAAATCGACGTTGGAGCTGCGAGCCAAGTGCAGGATATGGTTGACATCCTTCTTGGCCGAAGTGATGGGGAAGTGGACTTCGCTGTTGTAAGTGTTCTTCAACATGCGATCCGCGTACGCCCCAAGAAGGGTACCAGGGAAAACACAGTGTAACAGCTCCACGACCTTGTCTTGTCCTGCACCGGATTTTTCACCCAGCGTAAGACCTTCAGCCAGCATTTCAATCACGCTTGTAATGAAAAAGTTGCCGCATAATTTGAGCTTGACCGCCTCTTCAACGGGCTCACCCAACTCGATCAGTTTCTTGCCAATGACATTGACCAACAATGGCTTGATGGCCGATCTTTGTGGAATGGGTCCGGCCATGAGAATGGTCAAGTCGGCGGCTTGAGCCTTGAGAGGAGGGCCCATGATAGGACACGCCATATAGTGAGCACCGACGTTGGCTACTTTGCTGGCCAGTTCCTGTGCGAGGACCGGGTCAATAGTGGACTGCTCGACGAGAATCGTATTCTGTTTCAGTCCTTGGTCCAACAAACCCTGAACCACCTCCTGAACCGCTTTATCATTTAAAAGGCAAGTGAAAATAATATCGGCTTGAGCCACTTGTGCCAAAGAGTCGACTACTTGCACGGGGTGCTTTTCCTTTAGTTGTTCCGCTCGCGCTTTGGTTCGATTGTATGCCAACAACGGAGGCTGACCATCATATTTCAAGCGATCGGCAATATGCCCGGCCATGGCGAATCCCATAGCTCCCAATCCAACGTAAGCAATTTGCATGATTTTCGGGATGATACGATAAAAAGAAAAAGAGGCAAAGCGAAAATGCAGTGTGCCAAACTGTAAGCGCAGTTTTATTTGTTCACCTCGAATGTGCGCGCGTTAAAATTCATCCCAAAGTCCGCCATCTTTCAAAAAAAGACCCCAGCAAAACATAACCCTACAAAACCTCTTTTTTTTCATGCGTCTTTCTAAGTCGTGGCATACGGGGGTTCGCAGCGGTTTTTTAGAATTTTTTGCCTTCATGGCACGCGCCGATTTGTAATCGATTTATAGTATAACGAGATACACTGCTGTGAAAGTAAGTCGATCAAAACCGCAATGGCATCATATTGTTTTCCATGACCACAATAAAAATGTCGCGTCTGTAGAACTTGGCAGCGGATCTCACTATCAGACATTCCGAAAACTATAGTCACTTTATGGTTCAATTTTCCTATCTTGGATCAAGTCGTGTGAACATGTCTGTTCCTAGCAAAGGAAGCGGAAAACTTTGCGGAAATCTTTCGATCATGCTCCAATCTTTACATCGTATTAAGTGAGTTCAAAGGCTTTGTTTAACATTTTCATAAGTATGTGGACAAGTGCTGTAATAAGCAGAGGCCTCTGAAAAGCTTGCCAAAGTAATTTTCTAATGACTCTCGTTTTTTCTTTGGCTATCTGAGACAACAATTTACCACATTTTTGAAGATTCCCCTCCTCTCTTTTTCTTTATTATATATACATTGATTTTGGCTTCTAACTACGCTTGGGATTATCGCTACGCAGTTAGGGAAAACAATGGCAGATGCTGTACAGTAATGAGACATGTGTGTCTGTGTGTTTCGGGGGGGGGGAAAGATGTTGTTGACGTTATCACTCAAAGCGTAATGCGCAATACCGATGCCGATCCTTGGTGGAATCAATCAATGAGTAAATACTAGAATGTGTCGGGCGGCGTTTCGTCTCCTCAAGCTCTTCTCCTTCCAAAGGTCGGCACGACCGCCAAAAGGTTTCCGTTACCATCAGCAGAGTGCGTATGTTCTTCGAATTGATAAATGATGCTAATTCCTCCAAGGAACGTGGAAAGGTGGTCTGGCCAATTTCTTGATAACGTAGATTCTGTGATATATGAGAGAATTTAGAACAAAGGAGACAATGAGAATCCTTTGAGACTGTTGGATGATTTTATTTCGATTAATGTGATCTGCCTATTTATACTTTAGTCTTGAGTCGGAATTAATAATTATCAGTGAGTAGTCCTTGGTTATAAGGTGTATTAGGAAGGATCCACATGCTGTGATGTGACAGCTTTACCCGTATGAATTGATATAGATCCAAGTTATGGATGAAGAGGCTCAATCGGTGTTCTAATGGAGAAGCTCACTCAGAATGGAAACACGTCTAGATCCCGACCTTTCCTGTTTGGGAACACCAGTCTAGGATGGATAATACGACAAGTAGTGGATATACCACACTTTATCTTTCCCTTTCCACCTTTTTTTTTTTTTTTTTTTTTTGGCCATCCATCCCCCCAAATCTTTCTACTTTGTTCGCGCACCAAATGTGGCCAATCCGGTTTTTGTCGTCAAAGGGCATTGTCGGTGGTGTGGCTCTCTTTTTCATCGGTAGCGCTTACACGTCCTCCTGAGATTCCTCTTCTTTGATTGCCACCCGTGGTATCGTCTTGATATTTCTTCCCGACCATTTTATTTTGTAGTTGTAGTATGTATATTTGTATTTTAGTTATAGTCTTCCTGCACTCTTTTCCTCCTTTTCTTTCCCACAGGGTCTTTAGGGGGTTTTTACAGACGCACCTATTGTTTTTTTTTTATATTTGTATCGTTTCTTTTTTTTTTCGGTCGCGAAGGTCTCGATATTTGCTGCATCGAATAACAAAGGTAAAATATCTTGACGACACTTCAATCAATCAAAGAGCTTAATAACTCATTTTTTTTAAATACCCAACATATCCACACATCTTTGTAGATCTATCATAACCTTGAGCGGGACATGAATGGAGGGGGTCAATAAGTGCTGCTTTGTTCATTAAAAGTATTTCATGGTATGCCAGAGTATTGACATTAATATACCAAAGTTCCATCAAGAGTCTCGCCCAGGTTATGCCGTATTGCGTTAGACTTTTTGTCTCACGAATGTCACTCAATGTAAGAGTGTGTCATCCCAGTAGCAGGTGGTATCCATTGCACAGCGGGTGTACGACTTGTTACGATAAAGTTTCATACCAATAAATTCCAGTTGACGTTCTATCATAATAGAATTTCATACCAGGTTAATGATTCCAGCAAGATATTTTGATTATTTTTGATACTAGGTCGACTGGCACATCAATGGTATCACCCGTAAATTATCATACCAGGAGCAATTTTCCCGCAGTGGAAACCCCCCCCCAAAAGACATAAGGGTTTGACAACGTTAATAAAACGGGTTGTTGTTATTGTCTTCCTCTTGAGAAAATTTCAAGCGATGTGTGAGAGTTATCTATCTACTCTATGTCACTTACTCACTCAAGGACCTGAAGAATAAGTGTCCTTGAGAGTGGCACACTGCAGAGGATCAATTTCAGGAGCCGACCATGGATGAGACTGTGTTTTTGAATATGTGGGTGGCTCCAATTATGCGGAGGGATTCAAGCGAGTTGTGTTCTTTGGCTTTTAGGGCTTGTTGATTCATGGCGAATGCTACTGCTTCCGCTTTCCTACACAACCTGGATTGTCTAGGATTTCGCCCAAGCCTTCACGCCAAAGGTGCATTTGCCAATATTTCCTTCACTGCCGATATTTTCACGCGCCTCGCCGACAACAATAAAGCCTTTGAAGCAACCAGCCATTTTTTGTTCGAAAAGCTGAATCCAGCACGAGCCCGTACGCATTTTCGCCATTGTTGGCCTATTATTCATTACACTTCCCAATCGCGCTTGTATCGCTTGGCCGCATTTCATTGGCTACAGGAACTCAAACGTCAAAACCACTTACCCGCTCACATCCTCTTGCGCCGCAGTTACCTCGAAGACTGTCACGGTCAACACATGAACGATCTCATGCTCGCATTCTCCAATTATGTTTTGAAAGCCGTTCAAGAACGCAAAAAAGCTCACAGTAAGCAAACGATTAATGGTTCTTGTCAAAAATGGAAATAGCTGATTGATCTGGACATGAATAGCAACTTTCGTGCCATCCATCGATGCCTCAGGGACGGGTGATAAAGATACTGGAATAAAACAGACAACGGTAATGGATGTCATAGATTTCTGATAAGTGCTGCATTTTTCTCACATGTGTATCTAGATTCCTTCAAGTGCAAAAGACGTAAGGTTACGCGCAGTCACCTCTGATAATCGAGAGGCAGAAGCCTTGCCATCATCAGCTACTGCCTCGGACGACATGGGCTCAAAAAAATCACCTTTACTTGTAGAGGAATTAAATCAACCTTGTTCACCGGAATCGCCACCCTTCCACGTACCATCATCCCCGCTGGCATCTAGCACAAAATATACAGCTCCATTATCACCGTTCCAGGCTGACAACGGTTCGCCTCTGCAGTTACCGTCATCATCATCACGAAGAAATGGGGATGATCATTCAAGCTGGAGTCATTCGACCACCAGTACCACTTGTACTTCCTCCTCTCGGCGTATATCAATAGAGCTGTTCAGTCCCCGGAGGGCAGCTCAGCTGATCGATGTATCGAAATTTTCCCGCGCCGTCGAGCAGGCCAAAATACAAGGAGTCTACCACTGTGACGAGCAAGACCGGGCTTTGTCGAACCCTTCATCAACACTCATCACATTATCCGATGATCAAGATCCAACTCAAGATATCATCGCTGATGTATCATCGAGTCATTCTCCTGATAAAAGGTAAACGTCACCCTTACTTATGTCGCATACTACTTGGCTGATTTTTCTCGCATTTTCAATGATTTTCAGTTATGCCATCGATGACCGTTCATTGGTGTTGGCTACGCATAACAAAACTCCTGCGCAAAAACGTTATTTATCAGAGGAGGCTAGTCCATTGAGATCCGAAAAAAAACGTATCCGTCATGAGGAATTTATGGAGGCGCGGCGATCTGAAGTCGATCATGTATTGGAAATACCATCGATCCAGGCATCCCCGAGCAGTATCGATGATATTTATGCTTTTTGCCACGACATTGTCGAACAAGTAGCCCACGATCTGCAGCATAATCGCACTCCTGTGAATCGGCCCTACCAGTATCATCCTCTCAAATATCCAATGAACCGATACCAAGAATTACCGACAAAACACGATCCATCACCACCACCCGCGACGAACAAATCTTCCACCATTTCTTCTGCGTACGATCCCATCGACCAGTTCTTTCTCGCTGAATGACATCCCGGCGATGAATTTTCACCTTTCAACTTTTTTTTTCCTCATTTTTTTTTGTCTACCCTCGTGTAAAAATTGAAATCCATCTGTTACCGTACCCATGATCATCCTGTTTATCTGAAATTTGCCACACACACACACACACACACACACACACACACGATAAATTATAACCCTTGACGCCACCCAAACCATGGTTGTACATGGATGCAACATGGGCCTCTGCTGAAAATATGGTCCGCTGTTTGAATCGATGGCAGACTTTGTGGACCCATTTTTCATTTATCAAACTATGTTCGTCTCGCACTTCAAGTGTCTCAGAGTCGCAACGGCTGCATACCTTGCTCGTACGAAACTCATCAACGCAAATTAATGTCATTTTCATTTTTCTGATGTGACACTCGTAGGAAAAAGATGGCTGTAGAAGTTAAATTTTTCTGTTTCCTGGATGAAGCAATTCTAAAATGACCTTTATTTGTATCTCGTCCAGCGCAGCAAAGCTATATCATGAGTCCATTGCTATTGCATATATGCATCCAAGTCTTCTTTTTCTTTTTGTACGATCCAATTTTAAGTTGTATTTCAAAGGGTTGTACGGATTAGCAAAAAATATGGTAGCATGTAATGTGATCCCGCATACGTGGATCGGGTAGTGTCACTATTTATTGTTTGTGTGAACGCGAGGATCATGAGCCTCGACGGACCGTATCCCGTATTTGTCATCTGGCCACACCATGACGTGACCTGGTTTCTTTTTTCGTGGACGCACCATCACTTGCCAACCTTGATTTACTGTGGCATCGCGTACAAACACAGGCACGCCTACATGGTCAAGTCTTCTGTGCAACTGCGGATACTGCCGTTATCGTTGAAGGAAAATATGTACCACGACACTGTATACCAAAGCATGAAAGCCAGCACAATTTTGATATATTGATTTAGTGATCGTTGGTCTTCTTGTTCGTCATTTGTACTAATAGGCAACCAGTGATGATGTCCCGACCAGGAAGGGTGGTGGGACAAGGCTGTCCATGATATGGGAGCTGACGCCCGTGCATGATCTGTGCAAATGAAAGAAGATTATGAGATCATAGTTTTCATTTATCACCATGACAAAAGGCAAAAAGGGATGGTGACGGTCATGGGTAAACGTACATGATTGTGGATGAGAAGGTACGTTTGTGTAATGACGAGGGCAAGGTGAAGGGTCCATATGAAGGACAGTTGTAGGACGATAGCTTCGCTCGGTGGATCCATAAGCAGGATACTGCATATTGTGGTACGTAGCGGAACTCGAAGGCGTCAAGGGTGCATAGTCGGATAAAGGTAACGCAGCAGAATATGGAGGTGGTGGTAGGGATAACGGTAACGCTGTTAGGGATCGCCGTAATTCGACATTGTGACTGCAAGGTGGATCTGGGAACAAAGATACAACAACAGGGAGGAAATTAATACACGCTATCTTTTGTTTGAATGCTTCTCAGTGTTATAAACTTTACCTGCTATTTTGCAACAGTCTTTCGGAGCCTCCGATGGTGGGTTGGACTGAGCGCTCATCTCAAAATAAACTCAATATACACAGGAAAATTGGGCCCGGAGACAGGAAAAAAAAATCAACAATGTTGTGGGCGCTTGCAATGACCAATAACAGGTAGGGAGAACTTGGTTTGATGTCAAACCTTCAAAATGAAATAAAAGGGAAGGGGGGAAAAATCAGAAATAGTGCATGATCCCCTTCTTTTTATTATTTGGAATGGATCATCAGCCTTTATGGTTCAATGGTGACACCAACTTTTTTTCTTGCTCGCTTTGTTGAAATGGTCCAATGGCGACGCCAAATCCAATTTTGAATTTTTGGGTTCTTTCTGCTTGGCTCCCAATGTGTGCACCAACACCATATATCACGCCACTCTGCAATAAAATTTTAAAATGACGTTAACCTTTATTTGGCCTTTGTCCTCTTTTATTTTTATTTTTACAGATGAAAGAAACGAGCTAATGCTTGCATCCCATCGATACAAAATGGACCCTGAACTGGTTGCTGTAGGTGGCCATCTCCTTGGCAACGGTGACCCGCATTGTTATTTTTATTCCCGTTGAGGATTGCATAAAGAGGGAGACTTTGGCTACACATGCTATTTTCAGATGATCTGACACCACCACTAGCTAGCGCGTGTGCCCTCTTATTCGTTACTGCTATAACACATGGACATTATTTGTCAACTGGAACAAAGATAAGTAAAGACTATCCATGAGCCACCAAAAGCGCAATCCAAACGAAGCAGTTGCACTTTTTTTCTTATTTTATTTTATTCATTCCGAGTTTTTCAAAGAGAGTAGGAGCTGGGTTTCACACTGGGGATCCGTATAGCATGTGGAGACTCGTCGAACCCGGTTTTCCACCATTTCAGCAACGACGTCCAAGTGGGCTTCATTTTTGTCATCAAAGGCAATTTTGCATGCCCCGGGGAAGAATGCCAGATGCTCGAGGTCACCGGCAAACCCATAGTTCTCGCTCGTATGATTGTGCATGTCTTGTACAAATTTCGCCAGCGTTCTGAATTTCCCAAAATTCACCAACGGAGGACCCTGACCGGGGTTCTCCAATTCCGTCGGATTGCCGTCCATCAAAAAGGTCAAATCTTTCAACACCATCGGAAAAAATGGGATCGTAGGCCCGTTGGCTTTGGCCAACGCTTGGCGATAAATGGCCATGTTATTACCGACATCCAGCATGTTTTGCAGCGCTTGATATGTGTTGGCATCTCGATTGGGCAACGATTGCCACTCTTCCAACTTTTGGACAGGAAGACACAGTAACCCCATGGTGATAACCATGCTGGTGTGAAAATTATTCCATTCCACACAATACTAAATCCATGCGGGTTACAGGGTGGTACAAAATAAAATAGAAATATACAGTGAAAAATTCTAGATGAGTCCCTCTAATGTTGTCATAGCAAAAGTAGAAGGTAGCTTACCTTGGCTATTTCAATAAATTTTCTCAGTGTCGTTCGTCGCTGTTTGGACGTTTTTAATGTACATAACTCGTGCGCGACCCAATGACTTAGCTAATGGAGACCCATGTTAGCGTGCTTCAAAATGGAGGACCCAGAAATTCGGCATTTACCATATTAGCACGCTTGGTTAACATGCCAATGTAATCATTTTGGCAGCAGCATTCACTGGATTGTGTATTGTTGAGACATTTATTGTCAGTATCTCGCCAACGACCTCGCAAGTATTCGTACGAGGTAATGCATTTGAAGATGTAGAAATCGGCCAAGGTCAGATACTGGGCAATAAGTTTCGATTCAAAAGAAAGCAACGTCGATAACGATACGCTGGCCGTCAATGACAGCGTAGCGGGGTCAGCAACAGGATGGTGAAGAGGGACCAACGATAACAAACTTGGTGTAGTAGAAGGACGACGGCCATGCGTCGGTGACATGGGTGCAGTGAAGGATGTAGGTGACGCCGGATGCGATAGTATCATGCCTCGGGACGACGTGGCCAACAATGAGTGTCGTTTGCGAGCATGTTGAGCCAACTACTCCGTCGATCCGAGAAATTTTTAAAATTCGAATGCTCGTTATTTTAGATGAAAATTTTGCATGATCTGGATGATTTTACCTGAAACTCGAGGGATTCCCTCATACGATTGGCCTCTGCAATAAACCCTGTCTTTGGCAGATCCTGATGCAGAAAAGTTTCCAGACTCTCCAACAGGACATGACTGTTCTTGAAATCTTGAAACTGTAACTTGATCCATCGCGAAATAACATTAATAACTCTATATAAAACGATGTAATGAGAATCATTGCCTCATGAATTATTTCTTGGTCATGTCTCTTTAGCGAAAATTCCAAACTTGTCGAAACAGTAGAAATAAAGGCAGAACCATGGTTTTGTAAAATTACACAGGGTAAAAATTTAAAGAAAGCTTACTTGACTTGAATGCAACGTTGCCATTTTCTGTAATATTCGATTTCACCAGGTACCGGCTGTAAATGAAATCGGGCCACGAGGTCATTGATCAATTGCGTGGATGGCATGAAAAAATGGTGATTCAATAAAAAGGTATCAATGTAATCGAGGTCTACCAAGACCAATAGACTATTTCAATGATGGGCGGCTTCGGATGGTTTCTTTGTTTTTTGGTTTCACGTGGGGATTTACCTTCAGCGGTCTCGTCAGCAAGTTTAGCAAGCAGTTTGGCCGATGTACCTGCAACGACAAAGAGCTTGCTAGAACCCATTTCCATCAGGAGAACATCTTCTCCGTTTTCTGACACATGCAAAAGATTGCCTTTACCCTTGCGGGTTCGCTTGTATTGATTGGAGAAACCTACACGAGCTCATTCAATTTTCTGCGTGGAGTCGGGTAACTCACGCAATCAGGGTCCTACACTCACCTTGCAGATGAAGATTGGCCAATGGATGAATCTCCTCGGATCGTTTGGAGGACATGATACTCACCAGTGACTGTTTGGCATCGGATCGTTTCATTGCCATGCGCTTTGTTTCACGTTTGTATCTATACGATGATTCCTTGGCGGCGGTGTGAAACGAAGGCATACTGCTCGTCCTCGGTGGAATGTGAGGTGGATTCACCCAAGCTGCCGATTTTTCAATAGGTACAGAAGGTCGGCGCACGGTGAAAGGCGATCCATGATCTTCCTTGGTGATCATCTTTTGCATGATACTAGACGCTTTGCGTCCAGGTAAACTTGGAGGCGCATCTTTGAGATACCGAGTCGGTGGCCTTTGAAATCGTTCATGCTCTTTGGTGTCCGGTACAGGGGACGGTGGAGGATGATTTGAAGGATGAGATGGGGTGATCTTATTAGCGGATACGATGGTGGTATTGGTGTTGATAGGTGGTAATGCAGAGGATGAAATCGAGGATGCGGGTGGTGCAGGTAGCTCCTCAGTTAATTGATTTGACTGGGGTGATGTCAATGGACTTGCAGGACGGCCGGCCTTGCGTAAAATAATTTTGCTGGAGTACCCATCCATGGGAGGATCGGCTGGTCGTTCAGGTGACGCGGGTGAAGAAGCTTGGATCACGGTGGTTTCAGATGTGCCGACGAGCAGTGAATGCAAGGTCGCTTGGGAAGAAAATGATCGAGCGGAGAAATAAGATGAATCCGAGGATGACAAGGCTTCTGAAAAGTTGTGATCGTTCGTTTCACTGTGATTATCTTCATTATCCTCTTCTGGATCGACTTGGTCAGCCACGGCGGCCTTGGAAGCGTGATCAAAGGTATCATAATGGGTGAAATCATCGACGGTCAACTTCGTGGGTGGAGCGGACGGAGGCGGTGACGGTAAATCGTCGTATTGGAAAAAATGAGGATCATCATAGTAGTGAACGGTCATACTGTGTCGTTGGTAGGGCGATGGCGCATGAGGATGGATGGCATCAGCAATGGTCATGTCGTTGCGGGTGGAATCGATCATGTGGATTCGCGTTTGTTTCCCAAAAGGTGAACGCAAGGTTTGCACCGCTGAAGACGGCGGGCCTTTTCTCATGGTGAAAGAAGGCACAACTTCATATGGATGGTCCGCTCTATTTATGATATTACTTTGGGGTACAGGCAATTGGGAGGTCGTATAGGAGGGATGAACTGGTGTGTCTAGTAAAGTCTATAAGGAGATCAGCCTAAATAATCCGTTCCCCTCAATTCATTGAGTGGCAAGATGCCCAAAAGAAAAACAATAAAAAAAAAAAAAAAAACTAGGTGAAATTCAACCCAATTGGAAAAAAAAAAAAAGAAAAACTCACCTCCTGGAACCCACTGGTACGATAAAAGTTGCCTGATAAACTGTCCAGAGGCGTGGATGCCACCGCTTTATGACTTGGCTGCATCACAACAAACAGATCTTTCAACCCGCGGTAAGGTGTCGCCGCATCACCAGCACCAGCACCAACAGGATGGCCATTGGATCGAATGCCAGAGTGAAGACCGAGGCCGGCCGCCGCTTTGGATCCATAATGATCTTTTCGTGACCCAAAGATATTTTTCAATGTATTACTACTTTGAGAACTCTTTGCGCTCTTTGCACTCTTTGTACTGGTACTACTGATGGCACTCAGGGATGAAGAAACCACCTCATTATTGAACTCATTCCACGTCGTCGAATAATCCGAGTCCTGCGAATACCGCCCACATGGATGCTGCTGTGGCGGCGGCGGCAGCTGGTGCGATGGTGATTGTTTGTGGTCGTCCGTGTGTCGATGATGTGAAAGAAACTGAGCCATTGAAAAAGATGGTTTGCTTTTAAGAAGGGTAATGGTACGCATAAACCGCTTTCCCACTCCATACGGCGTATTAGTGCTTGAAAAAAAATTAAACGTAGCGACGTATATGAGCTGGCATGGCAACTTACTCGAGTCTGGTTTCGTCGGAAGATTGGGAGTTTCCACGCTTTGAGCTGGCCGCTGTTGCCATGCAAACATAGAGGATCCCATCGAATCACTGGCAGTACGATTCATTTGGTGAACAAAGATTTCTTCTGCGGATTTTCGACTCGCGCTCATGGACCGTCGGGCCAGAGGCTCAGGCACCAGCAATGACATATTGGTGGCGGAATCTGGCGTTTGGCTATCCAAAAGTAAAGCTGTTGATTGTATAAAAAGTTTAATGAGCCATCGTGTCTCTGTCTCCTCCTATGTGCGGGGCGGGAAAAATATGAATTACTTGAATCGGATGAGGACGCGGAAGATTTCTCCAAAGTCGTCAGTGCAAATTGCAGCAGGGCGTCAACGAGATGACGAGCGTGCATGAATAGAGATGACCAATGAGCCTGCAACAGTAAGATAAAGTACATTTTCTGATGAAAAAACAGTGGCAATTGCATACGGATTGTCGTGCCTATTTTTACCTGGCGGATCGTGGCTTCATCATGATTGATCCAAGTGTCTGTCTGATGATACTTTAACAAACTTCGTATCCGTTGCACTTGGATTAAAATAGCATTGGTTTCTTTTTCGATGGTAAAGATACAGTTTTGATAAAGTGTGGATTGTGAGTCTTGGGATGATTCGATGGAATCAAGGTTGTCAGTGACCAGGAATGCGTCCGTGGAAGGTGTGGCAATAAGACCTCGAATCACTGACGATAGGAGAGCCGAAGCACTCAATATGGTAACTAGCTGTGAAGACGTCGTGCTAGTGAAAGTCGTGGAGTGAAGAACGTGCGGTATTAATGTAAGCACAGTTGTCAATGCGGATATCAATGTCTTCCACAATTGGTCGACCTGTAATGAAAATCAATGGGAAAGAAAAAATTGGTATTGCAGGCATCAGTTGAGAAAGTCAACGGGTCCCAAGGTAAAAAGGTCAGATACGATGGCTTACTCCATGGGTCATCTCGTACGAAGTACGTTGATGCATCAATTGCAACTTGGCTAAGAGGTTTTCCACATCATTCTGTGAGCACGCCATCAACGAAAACGAGAGAAAAAGGAAACAAAACGTGCTTATTTTTTTTTAGTTCCCTCAAAGTGATGAACAGAGTCTGTGATGACAAAAAAAAGTCCCGTGGAGTTCTTTTCGCCCAATTTTTTTTTTCTTTGACTTTTTTTTTCCATCTTCTGTTTGTGTTGCTCCTCCCTTCTTGTTATCCCCTGATTTCTTATCTGGCTTTGTTTTTACCATGCACAGTACATCAAGACGTGAACAAGGAGATTCAATATGCGCGCGCGGAATACAAATGCGTTCAGGGGATCCAAGATGATCCACGAAAAAAAATTCAAGGATAATGTCAAACCTGAAGGAGGCTAAACCAGAAGTCTAAAAAAGAAAACCAACTAGACAGAAGCCTGAAAATTCTTGGAATACTATACTTGCACGCGATACTGAATGATTACAGTAAAGATCCTGATTGGTAAAGAAACAAAAAAATACAAATAGTCGTCATTGACGATAATTACTGTTATTCTGTGGTTGCAAACTCGATGATACATATTAGGATTAGTTGAAACTGCAATTGTGCAAGATCATCCATCCCACATATCAGCTAGTTTTAACAGGTTTTATTTTTCCTGCAGTGGTTAACGCATGGATGCGCACATACTTCATCTTTTTGGAGCAACTATTTTATACGTTGCAACCTATTTTCGTATCGTGAACTACACGAACAAAAAATCTTTCTGATCACAGTTTGACGACAAACCGTCCAACTCCACGAGAACGCTTTTTCTCTGATGCCTTGCCGCTATGGCTCTCAAATTTTATTGTCACAGCTTTGTCACAGACAATGCCAAATCAATCTCCAAAAGTGTTACCATAGTTTTGATGACATATGGTACTACGTTAGGCTGCACGCCATTGCCGTAGGTAGTGGTGCTGTGGTTCCTTTGCTATGTTAGCATATGCATGCAGCACCATTGGGTTATTGCAGATTCTATTTATTCCGTGACCGATAATAGATCGTTCCATCGCAACCCTCCAGGCGTTCAGGGACGTTAAACCGTTAAAAAAATAATATCGTCCGCAATATAAAGCCACTTTTCTCGGTCAATGTTAGCTCAGCCACGGTTACAACACAAAATTTGGTTATTCCATCGTCGGATCTGTCTGACTCTGTATGGTATTGTGTATAATGCAGCGGTGTTTCTACGGCGATTACACCCTGACTGTATTCGCATCACTTGTTTCCATCATAATTCTACCTTTTTTTTCTAAAAAAGTTGAATCAGAAAGAGCAAGTTGGATAAATTTTAATAAACCCGTTACTGATGGGATCACACCACGTCTACTTTGCTGTGTCCTCTAAAAAAGGGCGATCCTCTTGTGTCGGGGCTTGTGAAACCCAAAAGTTGCTATTATTTGATCTCGTAAATGAAAAAAGAAAATTGAACTTTGTTTTCATATATCGAAGCATTCATTGGATGCATAGGCACGATTTTCGATTTGTTCAATATGGTCTACTCATTGTCATAGCTTTACTGGGATTCGTCGCCATGGCGTGGATTCTTGGTGGAAGCCACGATGAGCGGGATCCTTGGCGCAACACTGTGACGTTGGAGCGTCAGGCTTTGCAACAAACTTCAAGTGATAACCGAGCTTCAGTCACCGAAAAACTATGCTCATGCCACAATGACGCCCCATTTGTCAATTCATCGAAACACTTACCGATACCTTCATTTGCCGAAGTGAATCCCATCATTGTACCTGAAGTCATGCCTTCTGTGCCCGAGGCCATGACGGATAAAATAAACGCCAACTTGCAACCGCAGCGCACACTGATCATCACCATTGCCGATTATGACAACAGAGAGTACACATACAACTGGGTCGAATCATTGAAACGCACCAACGAGACCCGGTTTATCATTTTCTGTATGGATGAAAAGATGCATCAACACCTGAAACACGCTGGATACGAACCGCAAAGTATTCTGATCTCGAATCCATGGTTACATGGATTGCCTAAGAAAACACAGCAGGGCAGCGGGGCCCATTGGAGTGATGTCTCATCGTTTGTCATACAAAGACTCTTGTATTTTGATATCACGGTGTTATTCGCCCAAGTTGACACGGTGTGGCTGGCTCCCCGAACACGCGAGTATCTGAGGACCTTTTTAAATATTCGGCTTGAAACCCACGCCATTTTTCAGGAAGCCCAAGTCGATAAGGTCTACCTGAATACAGGATTCTTCATCATGCGACCTACAGAGGCCATGAAACGATTGCTGGCCGACGCCGTTTACATTCAAAACCATCGCGTTAAGGAGCAGGAATCCGAGCAAGAAGCGCTAAGTGTAGCGTTGCAACATATGCCGATGGATATTCGCTATTCCAAAATCAGCTCGCTAGACGTCATGCATTTTCCGAATGCACACTCCTATTTTACGCATCGTTTACCCCAATCCCGAGGCGTTCAGCCATACATTGTGCATACTAGTTATTTGGTAAATGCTGCAGACCACTTGCATTTGGGCTGTCGAAGAACGTACTAACCAATACATGGACGGTTAGGACCCTGATAAGAAAAAAGAAATTTTAAAAGACCACGATCTTTGGTACATCGATGATGCCTATTGCCGTGAAATCGATAACCAAGTGCAACAATCTTTGGAATCCCCGACAATTCACACGGATCCAGCTTTGGCCAATGAGGAGAATTAAACCCGGTTATCGTTTATATTACGAATCTTATTTTTGGACTTGATTGATTTCACCATTAGGATGTTTAAGAGTCCTTCATGGTCGGACGAGCAGCTGCACATGTGTTACTTTTCATCAATTACGACATTCGATCTCCGCAATCACGCGTGAATGTCAACGTACCTTTTTGTATTTATTCGACCGATGGTATCCTCTGTAGCTACTCATTGCAGTTCAAACGAATCGGGCGCCCTGCTTATTGTGTTATTCTTTATGATAAAAACAAAAGAATGGTTCTTTTCCCACCCCAACGAAATGAGTGTGCCTGATTCTTTTTAAAACACAGTGATCAAAAGTAATGGGCAGTCAGGAGTAGGCAGGCTAGGCTATTGATATTTTCGGATCCAGATTATCATTGAATTTAATGCCGCTGAAAGGAGACATCACTTCATGATCATGCTAGAAAAAAAATCACGGGTGGTCCGATAATTGTGAGGTTTATCTCCGTTTTGTCTGCAAGAAAAAAAAAATGACGCATTCACTGTATCAGTGCTTCCGCGTCTCCCGCTGAGTGCCGCAATGCCTCAGGTTGGGGGCTTTGGAATGGGTTAAGCTTTTTTTTTTCTTTCTTTTGTATTCTTTTTTAGATGAGCCATTCTCTCCTCTCCCCCCATTGCACCTCCCAAGCAGCTATTTTTGGGAGGGCGGAGTCTATCAAGGGACCTGATCTGCGTGCACAGCCTGTACCAAGCCGTCTTGTTACCTTGGTTTTTATTACATGTTTTGCAGAACATTAGCAAATGACGACGCATCCTTTTATCCAGATTAATTGGAATCACAAGTGTCCCTGTTTTATTTTTGTTTTTAGTTACTCAGCACGCCAGCTGCAATGGAAAAAGGCGACCAAATGGCAAGACAACAAAAAAAGGCCTTTGGCCAACACATTAAATTAAAACACGTTGTCTCATGGCTGCCATTTCCATCACTAATTGTTTGAGAATCTATCCTCCCCTTTTTTTTTCCTCTTCTTTTTATCATCCAGTTTCATCACCATCAAAATGTGATCCTTCACGTCATAATCACATCAAGAATAAGCAATAAAGGAGCAATGACCAGGAGATGAAAAGCTCCAAGACAGAAAAAAAGAGGAGCCAAGGTTTGCAAGGAGCTGCAGTTGCAGAGAGAGTAAAAAAAAAAAAAATGATGAATAAAATAGTCGTTAAGCGGGGTATATTTTTTTTTGTCTCTTTACTTGATTAGAAACAGGATATAAATAAAAAATAACCGTATCACCGCTTTGAAAGTCCGTTCCGTGGAAGCAAAAAGATGGAGGTGTGCATGCTTGTTGACAGCTTCCATTGGGTTGGGCTGTTGGGCTCTGGTGCCCCTAGCATGTCCCCGCACTTTACCGACTTGTAATTTTTTTTTTTTTGTGTGATATAAATAGTGCAGTGGTTGTTCACCAGGGAAGAGTCTTTTTCCTTTTCCCATCACTCATCTCTGCGTCATGACTGTTTCTTCTGCTCTTTTTACGGAAGCCCAACTCGAAGCTCTCAAGGCCAAATTCCAGCAAGCCGGCCAAGGTCATGTTTTCACATTTTTCGAGCAGCTTGACGTGAAGGAACAAGAAGCGCTTTTCCAGCAGTTGTCTGAATTGGACGTGCAACGTCTCAATCAGATCTATACCAAGGCCATTCAGGGCGCTGAGGCCGCCGCTCAGAATCAAGCGGCGTCACTGGAACCTCTTTCCGAACAAGTGTTTGACTCGGTCCTTAAAGCCTCATCATCCACACTCAATGACTGGGAAACGATCGGTTTGACACAGATTGCTCAGGGCAAGGTCGCCGTCATCCTCATGGCCGGTGGTCAAGGTACCCGTTTGGGCTCATCTGCGCCCAAGGGTTGTTACGACATCAACCTTCCATCCAAAAAGACTCTCTTCCAACTTCAAGCCGAACGCATTCTCCGCTTACAAACCGTGGCAGCCAAGTACGCCACCGACCCCAACTCTGACATTGTCATTCCCTGGTACATCATGACTTCCGGTCCCACTCATCAGCCCACCTATGACTTTTTCCGTGCCAACAACTTCTTCGGTCTCAAGGAAGAAAATATCATATTTTTTGAACAAGGTAAGCGTGGACTTTCTGTGGATCGTAAGTACATAAGCATGATGATTAACGGGTATTTGCTAGGTACTTTGCCCTGTTTAACTATGGACGGCAAGATCATCTTGGAAACAAAGAGCAAGGTAGGCGAAAATTGGGTGATATCGGCGAAAATGGAGAAACATAAAAGGAGTGGGATAGAGAAGCCGAGTGATGAGGGAAGAAATAAAAAGGGAAATCAGTTTTGATCGAATCCATCCGAGTCGATTTTATGCTCAATACGACATGAAAAATTTAACTCTATCCGTGTATTATTGTAGGTGGCGATAGCTCCTGATGGCAATGGTGGTATTTACGCTGCTGTGCAGAACAAGGGTGTGATTGATGATTTGAAGAAGCGCGGTATTCAGTATTCGCATTGTTACTGTGTGGACAATTGCTTGGCTCGTGTGGCGGATCCCGTGTTCATTGGTTATTGTGTGAGCAAGCAGACTGATTGTGGTGTCAAGGTGGTGGGTAAAGCCATGCCCGAGGAGCCTGTCGGTGTGGTGTGTGTCCGTGATGGTCGTTACGGTGTGGCCGAGTATTCCGAGATTTCAGCTGAAGTGACCGAAATGCGTAATCCTGATGGTTCCTTGATGTTTGGTGCCGCCAACATTGCCAATCATTTCTTCTCTACGGAATTCCTGGAACGTGTTCCTACCTTTGCCGCCGACTTGGAATATCACATTGCAAAGAAGAAGATCAAGTACACTGATCTCGAAACCGGTGAACAGGTTGTGCCCAAAAGCAACAGCGGTATGAAGTTGGAATGCTTTGTGTTCGATGTGTTCCCCTACGCCAATCGCATGTCTGTCCTTGAAGTTGACCGTAAAGACGAATTTTCTCCTTTGAAGAACGCTCCTGGCTCCGGAGCCGACTGTCCTGAAACTTCGCGACGAGACATCGTTGCACAACACGTGCGCTTCATTGAAAAAGCCGGTGGCAAGCTCGTCGGTGACAATGTGGACAACTTTGAACTTCTCCAATTTGAAATTTCGCCCTTGGTATCCTACGGTGGTGAAGGACTGGAAGATCTGATTCAAGGCAAAACCATCACCGTCCCTGCTGTCATTGAATCAGTGGAAGAATTGGTCCGTTTGGCCCAGTAAGCATGCTTCACCACTACATTGTTTCCATGCATATTTCTTTTGTTTTTCTCTTTTTTCCATACCTCTTCTTTTCTATCCCCTGCCATCTACCACTAGAGATGGTGAGTTCTTTTTTATCTTTCTTGATTCCTTTTTCTTTTCCCGTACAGTCTTTGATTTTCCCTTCTGTGTACAAAAAGTCAATTCATTGGCTTGACGATGTTTTTCTTCTTCCTGAAAACACTAGAAGGTATACCCCCCAAACAACAAATGGCATTTGTACAGAAAATCCAAAAATGAAGAAAAAAAATCACAAGGAATGAAAAGGATCACTTTTTTTCCCCTTGTCATGTCATTGAACTTTTTACAAAGCAATAATAGCAGCTGCGTACAAGATTATTTTTAAATGGGATTGAACCATCGTTTATTCTTTATTGATCATGAAGAATACCATCGCATCAATTCAATGGTGGTATTCTATCATATCTATGCAAAACATTCTGTGAGTCGCAGAAATAATAGATATTCTGCAGATGCTTGATGTAATAGGTCATGAGGATCATTTAGCTTATTGGAGTGATAGACAGATGACAGCATTAAGATTTTTTATTTGGGAACATGTAAACATGTCGAATTAAAGATGGGGTGTAAACAAGATAAGGAAAAACAACAACAAAAGAGCAAAAAATAATAAAAGCACAACGTGCTTAGTTTTGAGGTAAATTAAAAAAACAAAAATGAATTGCATATTTACAGATGCCGTGATTAGTATAGGGAAAGAGGTGGGAGAAACATTGCTGCTCCAAAAAAGATGGTTTTAGTGGGCTGCCTGGGCGGTGGATTTTGCATCCAACCGTTTGTATGGCGGCGGAGGAGGTAAAAGTTCGTCACTGTCTTGTCGATGGGCCAACCATTCTTGACGACGTTTTAACCATTCCTGACGTCCGGTACTGGTGCTTCTCTTTTTGAATTCTTGGTAGCAAGGACAGATGAAGAAACCGGCCGCGTGATGATTGGTGCCAGTGGGATCTTCCTGATCTTCCTCGTCAAACGTGGGATCCGAAAGCGCTTCAGCATACGTGGGCAACACACTGTAGTCTTCCTTGAGGCGACAGTCGAGGATGGTGATGGGCGTATCCAGATGAATGTGGGTACGTTCGGTGGTCGAGTTATCCTTGTTGGGCACGGATAATTCGATGTTGATCTTTAGGTAATGGACGAAATTCATTTCATTGAAGAAAGTGGTGTGATTCAGATGGACACAGTTGGGCAGTGTGAAGATGAAGCGGTATTGGAAAGGATTGGCCACGAGAGGGATGTGAGCGTTTTTCGCCGAAAGGGCGCGACGCAAATGTTGAAGAGGAACATCCGAGCAAGGGACTAAACCTTGCAAGGAAAGAGACTGGTCGGCCATGTTGGCGACCGAAGCCAATTGCAATTTGAAATCATACATTTCTCCTCGCCGTGCTTGAAATTCCGGTAGTTGATAGACTCGTTTTTCGGACAGGACAATCGACAAGGACTCCAAATGAACGTTTTTCAAGTGCGGTGAAATGACAAGCGAGATTGGGAACTGGGTACCGGAAGAGACAATGGATTTTTCGATAGCAATCGTAGCGTCACAGGCATCGAGATGTCGTTCGGCAATGATGGATGTGCTTGGTAAAGCGTGCGAGGTCAAGGCGGAATCGGACCACGTCAGAGTTCGTAAGAGGAGCACATTGCGACGAGCCCGAAGCACAGGCGAGCCAATCATGCTGATCTTGTGAACGGTGGCCGAGATATAGTAGTAGACTTTGGCCATTTCGTCTTCAATGGTTTCTACCAAGCGGTTGGAGATGAGAAATTCAAAGGGCCAGCGACTGAGACCGGCTGGCAACACTTTATCTCCTTGGTAATCCTCAGGCCAAGATTGTAAGATGATATTTTGCTCGTGGATCGTCTTTTCATGGTATACTTTGGTGCCTCGGGCGCCCAAACCTTCCGGCCACAACATGTGGGATTTGCCAACCAATTTGATCATGACCGCGGATGCTGCCAATGGCTTTGACAGCACCAATTCCACTTCTCCTCTGAGGACATGCGTGGTAGGATCGCTCGGTAGGCCTCGTAAAATAATAACGGGTTCAGCCAATTCGATCGAGAGCTGTTTACCTCCAGAGAAGAACGGGACAGGCATGCTTGGAAACGGACAAATTTGACAAACAACAGTTCCAGAACACAAAAAATTTTCAGGTTCGAAATATAAAAAAAAAATCGCTCATTTTTTTTTTTTTTTGGAAAAATTTCGAAGCTTTCAAACGACGCGACGGAGCAAGTTTCTGATCTTGAAGGGCCGATCTAAACCCCGTTTGGAAAAGCGTTCCTTCCTCTGCCTTTTCTTGCGGCGGATAATTCCGAGGGAGGGCCTCTGGTTTCAATACCCGTTCACAGGATGTTCTGAGCAATTGCACAAAGAGGTGTATGGAATCGCAATAATAAAATATATTGCCAGTTGGAACGTACCTTACTGCCGGATCTAGCCGTACATGCTCCGAATATACCTCATTCTAGTTACATCATCGTAACAATTTGTACGCAAAAAGTCTAGAATGTCGCGTTCAAGCAGAAAGATTTTCGTGCTTGTGGCACCGGATGGCGTGGTATTAATTGAGCTCGATGGTTGTATGGTGTGCTTCGTTCGATTCTGACAGTAACACGGGGATCTGACTTTTACCAACGATTCACAAATTTCGAATTGAGCTTTTACTGGGTATGATTTGAAAATATGTCTCATTTCCTTTTTTTTTCTCCACTCTTCCAAAGGCCCGCAACAACATTATGCCGCTCCTTATCTTCGTCAACATAAACTAAGCACCCAACCATTGGATCCATAGAATTAGAAAGAATGAATTGATCGAATTTAAACACGTTTTCTTCGCTTGACAGGGACACATAAACTCTGCAATGACAGTTGCCGGTAACTTTCTTAAAACCGAGAAATCGGAATCACCAGATTTTTTTTTTTTTCAGTCTCAGTGGTCCAGCAAAAAATTGACCTTTGAAGCGGGTCGCTGAAGTGGCTGTTGTGAATAGACATAGATCCTGTGTATGCAACACTTTTAAATAAAGAGAAAAGAAGTTTATGGTATGTGTAATGTATCTTTCATACATTAAAAGATGGGCATATGGCAGGCGGTGAATAGGGGATCCGAAAAAAAAAATTACGCTGACAAATACTAAAACGGCCGCTGACATGACTAATATGGGGTATGTGGAGCCAGCTATTGGTATTGTAAATAACGGACAAGTTCTTTTGCCACATATTCGTGAACCTTGGATGTCGGATGCAAGTCGTTGTGCCAAAAGTATCTGCCAGATGAAGTTTTCTTTAGAGTTCATGTTTTATCAAGCAGATTACTTAACCACACAAAAATACTCACTCGTCTTCCGGTAGACAAGATCCGTTTCTGTTGCTATATATTTTTGGTTGGTGAATACAGGTATGAAACCATGGGCATGTTACAGGAGCACTCACCTGTCGCCACAGTAGCTGTCAACGTTTTGAAATCCGTACCGTGACGGGTTATCCAAGAGTTCGGTAAAAACACTCCAAACATCAAAATAGAAATATTTTCCATCGTTGGTATTTTGGAAGGTTCGCGCCATCATTTTCATCTTCTTATTAAAGTCTATCGTAATGGCTCAGCAGCTATTCTTCATTAGCTAACATATTCCCAGTGATTCACTTTACCTTGAACTCGGCTCTTGATAACGTTGGCCGTCGACGGTCCATGGTTTTGCCACATGGGAGACCGATCAATCGGCGGCACACTAAAAAATAGGAACTGGCTGGCACCATGCATATGCAAGTCGTTCTTTATGTTATACAACAAGAGGGCCGACACATGATCTCCTTGTTAGCACAAACTTTGGTCAAATTGATACTTGTTGGGTCTGCATTTTTTATTTTTACCATGAGTTGAGCATATTGCTGCATGATACGCTGGTCCAACGCGCTGGTGGCGTTCCAGTCATACGTCAAGTCAATGTCGTTGATGCCCACCCATACTGTATACAGGGTATTGCTGCCATTGGCTGAATCTAAAAATTTGGCGGCTTTCTTGATGTATTGAGGAAATAGTTCGCTGACTTGCTGCGTTACGTCAATAACGGATCTAAAAAAACCTCGTCTAAAAATTCTGTCGCTAGATCCCATTTTGCTTGGAGACTTACGATCCTTGCTATTATGATTTTGGTGACATATACACAGTGAGCATTATCGAAATAAGTTGTATGAATGGCGGTTGCAAATGCAATGCACAAACAGAAAACGAACAAAGTCTTTTTTTTACGCACCTGTCCGACGATTGCATTGGATACTGGTGCACTATTATACGCTAAATTCCAATACGTAATATTGATCGACCAGCTAAAGTATTCAACCCAATTCGGCCCTCCGGCTGATGTACAATTGGTACATCCGTACTGCAACGTCGACACATCCAAATATTGCGTTGTGTAGGAGTCGCCAAACGTGACCAGATGTTTTACTGCATCAAAGCTGAAATGATTCCTTGCACTAGCCAGGAGAGACAAGCATAATACAGAAATCAGAATCGATGGAGAAATAAAACAAAGCATGGAATCGGTCAAGCCAAGAAAAAAACGAAAAAGAAAAACGAAAAAAAGAGGAGAGCAATGGTTTGCCGGCTGAACTAAGTGATGAGGAGTTAAGAAGCATCAACCATGCATATCACGTTGATACGATACACCAAGATTACGCCCTGCACACTCTCATGACTTTTTTTTTTCTATTTCTATTTCTCCCATGGACGCTTGGCATTCTTTTTGCCCTTGGTCTCTTTTTTTTTGTGTTAATCTCTTTCCTTTTTATCTACCCTTACCAGTCACCTTCTTTCTCTCTGTGTACATGTTTCGTTATTTATGGCTGTAGCAGGGCTTGTCCCCCCTCAAGATACCGTTGTCTATCCGCTCGTCATCATAAGAGTCGGTTCAACTGCGGTAAAAGACCCAGGAGAGCGGATTTTTTCTTGGCCCCATCCCCATCATCCAGCCCAAAACAATCAATGCAAACAGGTGCAGATACGACCTGTTCGGAATTCGACATCCGCAATAACATTCTTATTGCCGCGTTCATTTCCCACTGCATCCTCTCCTAGAACGCTCTCACCCCACAGTTGTCCGACAGTCTTTGATTTCAAGAAAACGGATGAATCGTCGCTATGTCTAAAAGAATCCTGTCATTGAAAATCGAGCGTTCAGCTGCGTTTTCATGTTGCGTGCGAAAAGCCGGTTTATTCGTACTCTTTCCACCAGATGAGATACGAATTTTTTCTTTTTTGCCGCACATCCACAGACGATTAGTCGAAAAAAACAATTTCCTGCCGACCACTTGACGCTGGCAAACACTACCAGCAATACCCCCACACAGTGTCTTGTTCCCATGTCAAATAATGTGCCTGAATCATTCAATTGCCAAGTATCACACAATAAGGTTAAACAAACAGACATCACACGGCTAAAAGCGGTGTTACACTGCGTATCGTGTATTTACTTTTAATGCTGTAATCCCGAATCTATTTCGTCTTTGTCTCACACACTTTTTTGTTGTATAGCAAAACTAGATGGCTTTCTTGTATTGTTGTAGTTGGCGTTGTTTACAGTTTGGCTTGAGCAGGTGCTGATTCCTTGAAGAAGGTTTGGCTGACGACACGACGTTGGATCTTACCGGTAGCCGTCTTGGGCATCGTTTCGGTGACGTAGATGCGCTTGGGCACCTTGAATTTGGCCATCTTGGTTTGACAGAATTCTTGCAATTCACGCTCAATCGCCTTGGGATCGCCCTTTTCCTTCAACACCACCGCTGCATGCACTTCTTGTCCATACATCTCATCAGGCACGGCAAAGCTCACTGCTTCCGCCACCTTGGGATGGCTCAAAAGGGCAGCGTCCAATTCCAAAGGTGAAATCTTTTCACCACCACGGTTGATCAATTCCTTGATACGGCCCGTCAAAACCAAGTAACCGTCCTTATCCTTCTTGCCTTGATCGCCCGTACGGAAGTAACCATCCTTGGTGAACGACTTGGCCGTGGCTTCAGGGTTGTTGAGATATCCCTTGGTAACATTGGCTCCGCGAATACACACTTCACCCTCTTCCACGGGATTGCCCGCTTCATCCAAAATCACGACTTCGACACCTTGGCCAAGACCGACGGAACCAGGCTTGTGAGGGCCATACTTGGGTAAGGGGTTGGAAGTCATTTGGTGAGAAGCTTCGGTCATGGCATAAGCTTCCAAGACGGGAGCATTAAAGTGTTGTTCAATAGCATGGAATGTGGCAGGGGCCAAGCTAGACGAGCAAGAACGAATGAAACGGATCTTGGGTACTTGCTTGGGAGGGTTTCGGAGCAAGATCTGATGAATTGTAGGCACTAGAAACGGACAAGTTTTGATACAGAAAAAAAAAATAAGCAATCCAGCTGACATCATGCTATCAATTTTTGCGCATCATGACGTACCTGCAGTGTACCAGTTGCATTGATTTTCACCAAAATCTCTCCAGAAATGAGAAGCGCTAAACTTTTCGGGAATAACGACACCACCACCTGATAACAACGTGGCCAAAAGACCGCACAGCAAACCATGAACGTGGAAGAGAGGCATCACCAACATGGTACGATCCCTGGGCGACAATTCATAGGTGCCCACAATATTCTTCATGGAAGTAGCCAAGTTCAACTGAGTAAGAGGAACACCTAAGCAAACAACAAACAAAAAAATGCATGAATACCGCAATCATTCTACCTTTTTTACATTTCTCCTTGATCCCCTTTTTACTCTCTCTTTTTTTTTTTTTTTGTCTAGCCAGTTTCAATACTGAATGGGCCATCTCCAAATTTTACCTTTAGGTCTGCCGGTGGTTCCACTGGTGTGTAACAGTAAAGCGACATCATCCGGCTGAGGTTGAAATGCTCCGAGAGCGCGGCGAGCGTCAGAACGAACAGGCGAAGTAACGTTGACCTCCATTTCTTGACCGTTCCAGTGTACTTCAACGATCAAGGCTCCCTGTTTACGAGCAGCACGAACTGCAGGAATATTGGCTTTCACGGAACCAGGCGGCACAATCATCACGGTGGATTTGGCATCTTCCAAGTAGAAGTTGAATTCGTCTTCAGTATAGGAGGGATTTAAAGGAGACGAAATGAGACGGAGGAAGCCTGTCGCCAAGAACGACACAACAAATTCCAATGAATTGATGTAAGCAATGGAAATGGCGCAACCAGGTTTCAAGGCGTCAGCGGGCAATTGTGCACACAACTTGCGAGAAAAATCGGTCACAACGTCGAACAACTGTCGGTAAGAAAGCGAAGTAGGAATCGCAGCCGACTGCGGAATCACAATCGCCGTTCTTTCTCGGTAATCGTTTTCAAAGACGGATAACAGAGTAGTCGGTGCCATAATAACAAATACACCCAATGGTTTATTTTGTGATAATCAAAAAAGAGATGCAAAAAAAAGTGTGAAACAACAAATTTCTATGATGAGCATTTTATATTTTAATGCTCGTGACATCACGGGCTTACATATTTCCGGATATGGAAATTCGTAAGATGAATCCGCTGAAAACGCGGGAAATGTGCATCTTTCAATTACAAGATCTTCTAATTTTGCGTATATCCCCAAATTAAAAAAAAAAATAAAGCCAATCAGTCTTAATTAAACCTACTCGGCAGACACAGCAGCAGAGTTGAGACAAGTGCGGATTCTATAGTGTTCGTGGACAGGTACTGAAATCGATAATTGCCAGCAACCAGCACGTTGTCCTTCTTGCCTGTTGGAAGAAGCCTCCGCAGCATCTAAACCTAAAAAAAATAATTGTCAGCAACAGTATCAAGGTTCCTATCTCAGAACAAACTATGCTACCAGTGTACGGGTGGTTACGATTCTATTCAGCATATGATTCATGGCTGAATTTCTTGAAATTGGGTGCAAAGTATTCCTGCCAAGTAAGAAGGCTGTATCAGCAAGAGCAATGTATGTTGGAGCTTAGACGTCGCAGTTTTGAGTAGCTCATCCTGTTCAATACCACATGCAGTCGATATTTGTGCATAATATGAGTCCATGGAGCGCGTGCAGTTTTGAAGTTGAATCTTGGCTCTTTCTTCGGATAACCGGAAATAATGATCATATGCCAAATTTGCGAGCTACCGAATTCGTCGGTCATTTCCAGCGACAGCATATTGGCGATCGTTTTTCCGTAGCTTCTTGCCGGCACGTTTCGCATGGTCTTTGTCCCGACTGCCGACTGACGTTTCCGCGGTTCCAGTCATTATCAGACCAGCGATCTTCTGGACCCTGCAGCACGTTTGATGGTAGCCCTCTCATTGGCTGCGACCCGTTGATATGCGTGTTTCGTCGCTAACTCTTAAAACCAGGCGTCTCGATGGGTGTTTGCGAAATGATAGAATCCATGGATGAGTCTTTAACTTGCTTGCAACCTGAAATAAGCACATTAATCCACTTTTTAAAAAATCACTTTAGATACACACCTCTTGCACGGATGATGGTTGGTTGAAATAATCCGACGTCATGGATAGCCTTGATTTCTTTTGGCTCGCTCAAAAAATAAAAAGGGTAACCAACCATTTTTTTTTTCTCTTTTCTTCTTTCTATCATCTTCTCGCTTTCGTGCGAATTCTTCTCGCTTTTGAACGAATTGTTTAGTGAACTCTTCTCGCTTTTTTAGCGAGCTCTTAGAATGAAAAGGAAAATGAAAAAAACAAGCCAGTAAAAGCATGACATTGAGCATTGGCTACATTACTGGCAAGCCGGGCTTATCGACGGAAAAAACATTTCAAAAAAAACACTGGGCCATCAATTTGGCTATACATAGTCATTGGACCTTGGAGATGTGTCAATCGCCAGTGCGAATGACAGCTTTAATGGGAACTGTTTCCGTGATAAAATAAATGGGCAGCTCATCTTCGGTGTGTAGGGTAAATACGTGGCAACCACTTTGTACAGTATGTATAGTATAGTAGGATGGATAATACCACAAGTAATGGATATACCATATGGTGTGTCTTATTCCTAAGAGATAATATCGACTAGATCTCCGAGTGCACAGATTGTAATCCATACAAAATGGGATAGGGCTCATCAAAATAGTGACCTATTTTAAAAAATTGCACGGTATTCCCAAAACTTGACTTCTTATCACCGACATTCAGCAAATCCGGTCAACCTGCAATACTCGAGGTTGCACTTTAGTCGCTACGACAATTACTAAGCAGGCAGGTATCAATCAAATTCACATGAGCGAAATAAAAACGGGAAAAAGTTTCTTCAGATTTCGAACTCCAAAAGAAAGATTGTGACAATTCTGATTGAGCGACTTTGTCTGCTGCGCGTAAGCTTTTCCTGTACTCGTCTTCGATGAGGAAGTCACGTGTCTAGATTAGTAACTATGATACATAAAATTGCCTCATCCATTCACGCACGTTCTGTAAAGCGTTGTATGCTGTTAATATTGTATATGCACGTAGATGTATGGATTTAAGCATTTATTGGTCGAAATCGCCACAGAAGCAGCATAGCATGGGTCATAGGTATACAATTGAAGTAAAAGCAGGCGCAGTACTTGCAACCGTTTGCTACAATGAACCAGGTATCTGCATACTTTGTTCTTTATATGAGACTCTTTGGATGTTGATCAATTCCTTGGGAAAAGGCTTTTAAAGAGACTCGCTGATTTCAGAGCTCTTCGTTTACGACAGCCTTCAAATTTTGGTATCATTACTGAAGATTGAAGAACTCGTCCGGTAGTCCGATGTAGAGCAGTGCATTTTAAAAAAATTTGCGTTCATCGGCCCAAATCAGGGCCTTGCAAGTCTTACAATCAACTTATACAGGTGAAAGGAATGTCCATACAACGCGTTTCGGCCATCCCTGGTTTTCTCTCTAATGACACCACCACCAACACCACCAAAAATAATGCGCGATTCAAGTGCTTAATCTAATCTGTAGAATGCTGTTGAGTTGTTCGTGGGTTGTTTAGCGATAGATGGTTCTTCTCAACTTCACCATCAACCACAGGAGCGATAAATCGAGTACACTTCCTTCGCTGACATAAAGCATGGCTTCTTGCTTCGGCATTGATTGTTAAATGCACCATTATACAGAAGTTCTGCTTTGCTTTGCTGCAGTCTGATCTTATACGCCCAACAGCAGAAAAAAGACCATCTTTAATATGGTCGAAGAATTTGCCTCATGAGAGCTTCTTGCTCCTCCAAGCTTGCAAGTTCTCCCTTTAATTCCTCTAACTTTGCTCGCTTTTCCGCGATCTCAGCAAGAAGCATCTCATGCGCCTCTGCTTGTTTCCTGGAAAAAAAAGAAAAAATGTAAGCTAAAAAAAAGCGACTTCAGCTAACGACAAACCTTTTCCATCCAATAAAACTTGGAGGATGAGATGCCAAAGACGGGCCGGGAACCGGGGACAAAGGTGCAGCAGCCGCGGTGGGGGCAGGGACGGAAGACGAAGCCGCAGAAGTAATGGCAGGGCCAGGGACGGGCGACGAAGGCGCAGAAGGAGTGGCGGGAGCAGGGACTGGAGACGAAGGCGCAGCAGTTGTGGTGGTTGAAGGGACGGGAGACGAAGGGGCAGCAGTGGTTGAAGGGCCGGGAATGGATGGTGACGGCCTTGTGAACGGGAGTTCTACTTGCGAGTAATGTACGTTGTCGCCAGTCGGCTGCTTTGCTGGCTGTACTCTGAAATCGCTCGTTCCAAGACATGATGTATGAGCCGTGTGCCGGCGAAAGAAAACCGAAGCATTTTCGTGTGAATCAAAGTGAAGAAAGCCGCAACTAATCCCAAGTACTGCATCAAATGCAACAAACCACGAAACCAAGTGATGATTGTAGGCGAAACCTTACAAAACAGAAGTGATACTGAGGTTTTCAACCTAGTCAAAAATCATTTGAGGCCTGCCGGACTTCTGCATGTGGCCAAAAAACCAGGGCATTCGTATGTAGTTCCTAGCTCCAATTTAACACAACAGGCTAATTTCTTTTCTGGGCACTGGATATTAGAAGAGGGCGCTTGCATTTTGTTGACTGTGGCATCCTTCACATGCTTAATCCAGCATTCATATCACTGTTCGTATCTGGGGCATCCATCAGCTCACTGTTATGAAATCCATAATCAAGATTTTTTTTTTAATTACCCAAATTTTTCGAAGGGTCATTTTCCGAGTGGCATTGTGGGTACAATCGAACAGGGTAAATGATGCTCTTGTACGAATGACCTAACCGAAACATCAGATTGCTGCTGTACAAATAATGCCACATCGTCTTTACCTGCTGGTCTTCTCTCTATGCATTGAGTCGGTTAGCGTAACGCGCTTTTGCCTTTCTTCAGACAGCCTTGCCTGGCTCTCCGACCAAGGCGCTTCAAACACAAGTACTTTCGGATGATGAAAAAAGGAAAAGGACATATAGTCAGTGAGCGTGTATCTCCAAAGAAAGGTGTGAAAGGTTATAAATTGGCCTAAATGGGCCAACAAAGATTTCACCATAAGTGAGTGACCAAAAATAAACCCACTCGCTCAATGGGAAAATCTGTTAACCATGGTAATAAAAAGGACAACGAAAAGCATCATTAACTCAAATCACAACTTCAAAATTTAGATGTAAAGGTCGGCCGAAATGAAGCATTTCGCCAGATGGAGGTGGCAGGAATAACGATTAAGTTTTTTTATTATGACTATTTATTGGAAAAGGCGACAACGCAGCGAGTCCATAAATAAAAAATGGCGCTGTTGGGTGAAAATCATTTGCTTTGCTTTGCATTGTTATGAGGGAACCGTCACTCCCTGTGGTCGCATAAACTAATAGCGTTTTACGAAAATTGCAGTACAGTGAAGGTACTTTACTCAAAGCGTGCCTTTTTTTAGTTGAAATAGCGAACAAATTTTTTATATCAAGAAAAAATGCAAATAAAGAAAGAGGAGATTCTTCCGCAGGTACAATTCAGCACGCTAAAGTTGTCCGTTTCTGTCGTAAAAGATTGCTTACCGTGTCAAGAAATCCTATTATATCACGTAGTTAAGAAATCCGTTCGACTCGTTTATTCGTTTTTCTTTTCATCCGATCGTACAACCTTTCTATTTCCGCAGTCAAGCAAATCTCTCTCATTCCCAGTCACAACAGCATGTCGTGTGAGTTACATCGTTTGGTCTAGTCAAGTCACATGCAGGCGTGCGAACATGTTTCCTATTGGCTCGTTCAAAACATAAAAAGGGGAACACAACCCGAATTTTTTTTAATTTTTTCTTTCTCTTTCTATTTTCTTCTCGCTTCCGAGTGAATCTTCTCGCCTTCGGGCGAATTCTTCTCGCTTTCGAGCGAATTCTTCTCGCTTTCGAGCGAATCTTCTCGCCTTCGGGCGAATTCTTCTCGCTTTCGAGCGAATCTTCTCGCTTTCGAGCGAATCTTCTCGCTTTCGAGCGAATCTTCTCGCCTTCGGGCGAATTCTTCTCGCTTTCGAGCGAATTCTTCTCGCTTTCGAGCGAATCTTCTCGCTTTCGAGCGAATCTTCTCGCCTTCGGGCGAATTCTTCTCGCTTTCGAGCGAATCTTCTCGCCTTCGGGCGAATTCTTCTCGCTTTCGAGCGAATTCTTCTCGCTTTCGAGCGAATCTTCTCGCTTTCGAGCGAATCTTCTCGCCTTCGGGCGAATTCTTCTCGCTTTCGAGCGAATTCTTCTCGCTTTCGAGCGAATCTTCTCGCCTTCGGGCGAATTCTTCTCGCTTTCGAGCGAATTCTTCTCGCTTTCGAGCGAATCTTCTCGCCTTCGGGCGAATCTTCTCGCTTTCGAGCGAACTTTTTTAAAAAATGAAAAATGAAAATGAAAAAAAGTAGCCTGGTATTGAGTACTAGCTACACTAGCTCGGCAAGTCAAGTCAAGCATATCGACGGCAAAAAAAAAAGATACCAGCTTGTATTGTACACAATGTCCGTAGCCAAAATAATGTAATTTATTAATTACATAGGTCAATAAATACATAAAAGAAGTGGTGATCATACATGTTTGATGGACAGCCTTTTTACCAACAGTATTCCTTTTACAGTTCTAACAAGCCGTACACCCGCTGTGCAATGGATGCCGCCTGCCACCGGAGGCCCAAATTATATAGATTCTTCAGGGTTAGCAAGTAGCGGTGACTCCAACAGTTTGGGGTAGATAGTGTTGTTGGTTTCTGGATTGCGCCCTTCCAGAACAATGCAGTTAACCCTGTGAAAGTGCGACTTGATAATTGTTCGTGGAATATATGCTTTCTGATAAGGATCTTGCGATTTGTCGATTGTCATTGCAAATAACAGCTTTACTGGAAACTACTTCCGCGATAAGATAAACGGCAACTCATCTTCTTTGGTTTGCAAGATAGTACGTGGTATGCTGAAAATTTTTCTGTGGAAGTTTCCGCCCATTTATTACAGCTGTTAAAGATTGCCCGTAACCCTTTGTACAGTCATTCCTTGCGCCGTTGCGCAATCCACCTTTTGGGTATAAGTTCGTTAGCAATATGATGGGTGCACAGATCTTCAAACTTAGTAGTGCAGAAGGCAATCCAGATAGGTTGATGCGCTACAGGTTCTCTGGAACGACCTGGTCAATGACCTGTACTTCATTTGCATCGTACGAAAGAATGCGAGAGATTGCTAACGTTTTCATTTTGCATCTTCTGCAGCAACCATTCAACAAGTCCACGCGATCATTGGGAAAGCCAAGATGAAGAAGGCCCGTTAAAAAGTAAGACTTTTTTATTGATGGGTTTTGGGGTGTACGCGATCCATCAGCTGTTCTTCGTCCTCTGTGGTATAAATTTATTTTGAGCAGCTGCAACATAATATTATATATCGTCGGATTATAGGCCAATCTACCTATCCATTCTGCAAAGCTTCAATCTATTTCTGATCCTGGAGTTCACGCGCGTATTGATCGGCAAGTATAGTTTGCGCAAGTGTCTCGGAGTGAATGATCTTTTTCAAAGATATCTTGTCAATATCAGCTCTGTTATCGCCTCGCGCGACACTGCACCAATTTGAGCGAAATCTTCACCCAATCTGCCGCAAATAATTGATTATCACATTGACACATGTCTTGTAGTGGTCAGTCAAAGGCTTCAAAATCAGAATCGAGTCTGCATAGGGACTTCATCGCAGATAATGAGCGATGCACGACGTAGGAAGCTTGCCAACTGGTATTCTTTCTAAGGTTTCGATAAATCATGGGAAGCGGCCATCATAAATATGATATTCATCATCTTATGGCGGGGCAAGCAAATTTATGAGGCCTCCATGTCCTTGTGATTTATTCCTAAAGAGATACTTTGACTAGACCGAGTGCAATAAATATGTAATCCAAAATGGGTAGGCTCATGGAATTAGTGAGCTATAATAACAATTGCACGATATTCCCAAACTTGACTTCTACAATCATCACTTGGTTTCGTGGTTTGTTGCATTTGATGCAGTGCTTGGGATTAGAAGAAGGCGTTTGCATTTTGTTGATTGATCAATTGGAAAAGCGGGCCAAACACTTGGTGTGCTCGTTCAGTGAATTCACTCCAAATCGATTAGCATGACGTCACGCTAATGAAAACGAGTGCCTGATTACTGGTATGAATTAAGCCCGACGCTGAAGACTAGGGACTGTGCTTTTCCAAAGAGAATTAATTTTCAGGATCACCTCTTTTCATCTATCAGCAACATGACCAACGTTTCTAAGATTACTGACGCTATCGAGGCTTTCAACATTCTTGTGCAAGAAAGGAAACAGTGTATTTGCCCCTACGTGAATATCATTCAACTGCCGACGTTCCCGACGCTGTCGTCGAATACGAACGCAAGTTCAACATCGTGCTCAGTGTCAAACGATCGAACGACCGTGTAATCTGGTGCACATTTAAGCATTAGGGAGAACGTAGAACTCGTAAGCGTGGTGCCGACGATGAAGCCTTAAGCCGGCCATTTTATCACGGGCGAAAGCCAGAAAATTGGCTACGAATGCTTCATCAACATTAGACACTCAGAGTTGGGCAAGTAGTATGCTAAGAACTGGAAGGTGGTTGAACACGAAAATGTCAGATATGAGGTCATAAGGGTACCCAGCCCATACAGACAACAGCCGCAAAAGTCGAAACCAAGGTCGATACGTTTTTGAAGCTGGGCGTCACGACGACGATCATTTTGAGGTGCTAGAAGCTGAAGGTATCAACAACGTTACAGAGAAAGATATCGAGAATAAGCATTTTCGGTTTTTTAACGGGAAAGGCAAGAAGACGCATGACTATGCTACGGGGCTGCAGGGCAAAAAAATTACAAGATCAAGTACAGTTCTTGATCCATTCAGGCACTAACCAATCTCAATCCTAGTCCCGAATCTGTGAGCAATGACAGAATCTCAGCTGTCAATGTGCAAATTAGATCATTAGCTTATATGCAGTCGTCCCTCCATAATTCAAGGTCAAGAGAGAGGTCAAGTCCCTGGAAAATAACTATAAATTAATTTTCTGGGTAACTGGAATGTGAAATGGCACTTTGCGCGTTATGTATTCAGCCTTCACCTTACGCAAAGGAGGGCTTAACCCATCTGAAAATTGCCATATACTTTTGCACATAGGCAGATCATGATTTTCTAGGATAAAAATATCAGTTTTACGTTATTGTTCATGAGTTGGATTCGCGTAACACAGAATGTACATACTCTAACAATGCCTTGGTCTGAGGAGGACATCATAAACGATAGCAGGAATATCCGGACTCATGGAAGGAAGTTTTCCATGCCAATGAGAGGTCGGATTTGGTGACGTCCTAGTCGGATATGTAATTTATCATGTTGGAATATAACAGGAGCTACAGTCTATGGAATATTCAAGGAAGCATGTATCGCACGCAATTTACTGCAAGACCATCGAAAAAAGTTACATCTATTTGAGGAAACCATTCATATTTGCACGGATCACAGTTTACAACGTCCGATCGTGATGGCCTTGGTTCATGGTGAAATGACTATGACAATGGGATGAGGACGAGATATCGTGGGACCCTGTATGATAATCTCTGCGCCGATAGGTTGCAGTACACATATCAGCAAGCGAACAGAAGCAAAAGCAACTTACTGTAATCAGCATTATCGGAGTTGCGTTCGTATACACGCGTTTTGGCAAATTCACATTCACCTCAACACTGCTTTGTTAGCCAAGTAAATTTTAGTGAAACTGTATTCAACATGCGATTCACTGGTTGGCTTCTTTTTAATACGGAAGAATCCTTATAAGAATAGAAAGAGGCAAAAGGGCAAAAAGGGTACAGGGACAAAAAGGTGCAAAAGGGTAAAAGAACAAGAGAGAAAAAATAAAATAAAAGATTACACACGTTCAATGTTCGTCTGTCGATGTGATGTCTTTACTCTTATGAGGCATAGGGTCGGAATCGGCGCCTGTTACAATGACTTGACCTTGATGGGTGAGGATGACGGGTCGTACAGCAGGGTTGGTTTTGGATTCTACAAGCGGGAAATGCTGTCTAATGACATCGGTGTGATGCTGGTGAGCCGAGGCATAGACGCCGAGACCAATATTCATGTAAGGCTGATAAGGTTGTATAAAATGCAGAGGTTCAGATGCAGAAGCTTGGGATGCAGAGATGTAAGCTTGAGATGAAGAAGAGGAAGAAGAAATGTCGGATGAGGATGAGACTGCTTTGGTTTGTGATGATAGTACATTGGTATGGTAGTTATGGTGGATTGAAGGTGGGGATGACGAGGCGGGCGGCGGATCTTGGTGTTCCAGGGAGCTTTGGGGCTGATGGTCGGAAAATATGGAATAAAGCAAATTATCGTCCGTTGAAGACGATAGCTGCGTTGGCCATGCCGGCCGATCGTCGGACACTGTTCCGTGAGTAGACGAGGGAGCATCGGACGGTTTGGATGAAGAAACATAGGCAGCATGATTGATTTTTGACGGATCATCTTGCTGTTGCTCGGTGAACATTTTACGAGCTCGGTACAAAAATGTGTCCATGGTGGAAATGTCGCCATGTCGAGGCCAGTCATTTTCCATGGGGGACAAAAAATCGAGCGGATAAGGGTAACGGTACTGCATCAGCATGCGATCGGTAGGCATTGGTTGTCGCCATAAGGGGGTCATATTGCAAGAAGTGGCATAAGCCGGAGTTGATTGGGAAGTTTGGGGAGCATGCGTGGCGGGACCTGATGTCATGGATGGAGGGGATAACGATCCCGTTTTGACCGTGCCAGTGGAAGGCGGGGTCACCAGCCCGTACGTCGTTGCGTAATGAAAATCATCTTCGGAAAACGAAGGAGGAGAACTCGGTTTGTCAGCTATGGCTTGTTTCAATCCAGTGACAAAAGAAGCCACTTCGGGAATGTCTCTATCGTCAACCAAGTGCCGAAGAGCTTGGATGGATCGTAGAAACAGAGAATGAGCGGCTCGTCGGTTTTCTCCTCGTGCAACATTGAGGAGATGAACTTGAATGGCCGATTTCAAAGCAGAAGCGGTGAGGAAATGTTCAATGGAAAATTTGGTTTGCCGGGTGAGTAAACAAACAAGTTCAGTGATGTGAGATGCAACGACGGTGCTACGTTCCAAAATGACTTTCGAAGAAGGTGTGACTGTGGATGTGTGCAACACTTGGAGTTGGACAACGTTGTACGCCAAATGAAGATGAGCCACCATGGCATTGGCCGGGGGTTCGCACGAGACGCTTTGACCGGGACGTGATAATGGAGTCCAATGAAGATGATTGGGCAATCCGTGAAGCCAATGCAAAAGTTCGTTATCAAAGGCAAGCAAGGTTTGCTCGTATTGCTCTGTGCGCACAATAGGCTTGGCTTGTTGTAGTACACGCTCACAGATCATCATCAATTTAATGTACGCTACAAACCCGCCCAAAATTTCATTTTCAGTCGCATCATCGCCCGGTTGCAACAATGGCATGTCAGGATCGTGATCGGTACTGCGAAGCAAACAAGGCTGTTCCGTACAAGCGCTTTTGATTTTGTCCAGACAGTAACATCCCCAGTACACTCGTTTGCGTAATTCGATGTCTTCCTTGTTCTGGTCGATGGGCATATCGGTAATGTCTGTGCACATACGGAGCGCCATTGCACCGTACGCGGACGAACGGGTGATACTAGTTTTCGCGGCATGCTCGAGTTCGTACACGGATAACAAACAAAGTGCCACGACGGTGCTAATGCGCGCGGTATCCAGATATCCGTCGAGAATGGATTTGGCGCGTTCAAAGTAGGTTTCCTTGTTCTCCGAGTCGCTAAAGTAAGCTGCGTGGGCGTACATGCTAAGAAGAAGGAGAGGGGTAACGAGATCGGTTTTGCGTTCGAAATGGTCAAGGAACACGCGTTTCGGTATCACAGGAAACAAGGCGTAGCAATGTTTAAAATAGAGCGAAATCAGGTGTTGCTGCACTTTTTGCGAAGGCATTTCCACATGAATAGGAGGTATTGAAGGTTCGATAAAGATTTTACGCTTTCTTAATACTTGGTCATCGACCGTCCATTCGTGGAAGCTGTCTTCAGGAGCTGGCATTTCACACAGAAAGTCTAATATGTCTTTTGTTTGCCGACGTTCAAATTCTTCCGTCTCATTACTGTTTTGTTCTCCGGTTTTCGTTCTCGTATTCTGCTGGCCGTTGCATGGAATGTCGTGAGTACCTGCTACACCGTCGTTGCCATCATCTCCAGCTTCGGAATCCGAAGGCGAATTCACATCGGAAAAAGAGCAAGGACGTCGACGAGCTACAAGATAACGAACAGATAAAAGGTTAGTCATGCCTTTCTCATGGTTCTCTCAAAGTAAGTGTCAAGATGGGGCACCTTTACACTACAAGAAAGAATAAGCAAAATGATTAGTTGTGTCGTCAAGACAAGATGATGGTGTTACGATGATCGTACCTGCATGCATGGCTGCAATCCATCGCACTAGAAAAGAACATTCAGAAAAATAGTAGATGAGTATCTGCCAAGTGGGATCGTAACTGATCGGTCATCTTTTTTACCTTGATTTTCTTTACACGGCAAGTGTAACAAGCTTTGCCTACTTTGAAACGTTTCTGTCTTGGAAAAAGAGGGGATTCCTGGGCTCGTCGTTTCGCTAACGGAGCGTCAGAGGCTGGGCAAACGGACATGACGTCGATGGATCGCACTGCAATAGAGTAAAACCGCTGCGCATCAGAAGCGGAAAAGATCGTAGGATGGTGCTGTTGTCTTGCAATAATATAGCAGACGAAAATTTCAAACTCCTCCACAGCCCATTAGTGTCGAAAATCCGTTTTCCCCTGTGGAATTTTTTATTTTTGGTTCCAGTCCCCAAAATGAGGAGAGAAAGAAAAATAGTACACTGTAGACTCAACAAAAACCACGGACTATATATTCCATTCACCAAGTGACTTGTTCTTTATGCGTTATTACATTGCATACACTGAAGTGATCCAACATGACGCCAACCGACGCCTGTAGGGCCCCCACTGTGCTCGAACTTCTTATTGTTCCTCCAGCCTAATTTCGTCATGGTTTATTTTAGGGGACCAGCGGTCCTAATTTTATCTGAACGGCTGATTTCGTGCACCGGCGTGAAATTATGTTGTACAGACGCGAATTAATGTCATGCTGTCGGAAAACGATGTCGCAAGGTATAAAAATAAATCTCGTCATCCTGATAAATTGGATATCGCATTTTCTTGATGTGTCGCACAAACCTTGGCGTTTCTTAACGACCTGGAGAAAATGAAAGTGTGCTAGTGTTCCCACTCAGGTCTTCCTTCTTTTTATCATGAAATTTTGTCGACATGTGTGACAGGCCTTTAACTCATGAATCATTTTGTCTATGAAGAGCAATATCGCCTTGAAACATTGAGCTCATACAGAGCATTTGTCTAGAAGGTTTCATGCAGAAAACAGCGAGACAGAGGTTATCCACATAGAAATTGATGTAAAGGCAGGCACCGACGTTGTTACGACAGAAATTTCAATCAAACGTACCGTATACGTAATACGCAGACCAAGATAAAGTGAGATTCATTAAGCTGTTGTTTGAGAAGTATCTGGGTGCTTCTGCTGCTGCCTGGTGCTTTGATCGGTGATTTGCGGTGTAGACTTCGTGGCTGCTTTCTCCCTTACCGGCACCGCATATGACACACTTGCCTCCGCAGTTCTCCGCACAATCCATTCTTTTTCGCATATATCTGAAGACCCTGATGCAAGTTCTTCATTCGACACCTTTTTTATCACCTACAATTTTGGTATTCAGCCCATTTGGTAAGTAGCGCCCACACATGACCGTCATCAGATGGCTATCAAGTAACCAACATCTTATTTCAGCTTTGATGAAACCCATTTTGGCAAATCGTATTGTCGATACATTATCCTTCGCGTCTTTGGAAGCATTTCAGCAGTGCGATGGTTTCCGATATCACCTGCTCAATCAAACAAGATCCGGTAGTGCAAGATGTGACTACCTTCACTGCCTATCGCATGCAAGGAAAGGGCGCACAACGCCAAATATCAGCAGAAGAGGGCGTTCGGCGAGTGCTGCGCATGGCTGTCTTTGATTATCCCGGCGCCGTCATGGTAAAAATCAACCGTGCCAATGGTGCCATTCGTTTGGATATTCAGCACGGAGAACATAAGCGTCCAGACCGTAACAGTCAAGTTGCAGGGCCTCTACCGCTTCCGAGGTTTCCCCAGCACAAGTAAGCATAAAAAATTTCGAGGCTAGGGATAAGGAACTTACTCTCAGCTATGTGAAATTTGATAATTGATAGGACGCATGTCAACGTGCCTCATGAATCGTCATCGAGTTCAGCCCCCCTGACTTGCGCTGTTCAATTGCATTCGCAGACACATGATATCAGCACCACTGACGTGACAGGAGAAGCTGCAAAAGATCTGATAAACCTAAAACATGCAGTGAGACGCTCATTTACTCCGTTGCTCTTGGAAAAAAATGGCGACTATGTGGACCAACGAAAACTCTGTTGGATTCCCTGAACTTTGACTTCGCTGTTAATCCCTTCCTCCTGCAAGCAGTCGCGAAGCTCCACACTGGTACGCTGATAGTCGATACGGAGTCTGTACATTTCCCAAACCAGCTGGAGCAAAATGGCGATTATGTCGAACCCACGAAAGCGCTTTTGGATTCCCTCAACTTTGAATTCGCCGGCAATCCTTCCCTCCTCCAAGCAGTGGCGAAGCTCCACCCCGGCGCATGTTAGTCGATACGGAGTCCGTATATTCCCACTGCTGGAAAAAAATGACGATTACGTTGAACCAACAAAAACTCTGTTCGATTCCCTGAATTTCGAATTCGCCGTTAATCCCTCCCTTTCGCAAGCAGTCGCGAAAGCTTCACATCGGCGCGCTGTTAGTGGACCAAGAAATTGTATATGTGGTCGCCGCTGAGGCATAGGCGCGATCCAAAGCCACTGATGTGCATGGTGAAAGTGACCAAAATCTGTACCAACTTCCACATCAAGGTATAATTCATTATGCATTGGAGTATACAGTGAAGCCGAAGGTGGAACGACAAAGCGCAAATTGAAGATCGGCAGTAGAAAAAATGAAAATTTGGGTTACCATGGCGAGCCTCGTGAATGGCGACAAAAAGATCGATATCGGCCCAGAAACCAGTACCACGATGAATCAGATCCGACCATCGCATGCGAAATATTTTATCGTGTCAAAGAGGTGGAAGAATTTTTGAGAGTGATGCGCGATCCACAGGCGTATAAACCGTCGATGTCAAGTTCAAATATGAATTCAATCCGGCAATTAAGTTCTGGATATAATGACCAGAGCACCTTTTAATCCTTGGCGAGAAATCCATGAGGATTTTGACAGCGATCTGACGGTGCCAACGAGGATTATGGTAGGCACTACCCATGATAACTCAGTTGGCGAAGCGAAGACAGAAGAGGTGGTAACGGCCCCCCACTGTCCGTTGGTATCGACGAATCCTCTCATGCTTCAGCTCCACGGTCAGTTTAGTAACCACATTAAAAAAATTTTCACACATAGAATAGCAATAATAGACCACCCAATTCGCTTAAAAAGATATTGAGATAGGTCAGATTGAAGAGTTTTTTATTATTTAACTGAAAATAAAGTGCGGCTCAGAGAGAGCAGTACCACATCTTTTGTCTTCGCTTCGTCAAATAATACTGTAAGTTGCATTATGTCCGGTCGATTCCCAGGACAAAAAACTTCGAGAAGAGGCGGTACAGTTTCATCGGGCCTATCGTCACCGGGAGAAACGCGCTTTGCTCGAAAGACAAGGCAGATGACCATGCACACCCCGTAAATCTCAAATCCAGCGCGATTGAGGACGCTTACTACTTTACCGTTGTAAGGGGGTTTGTCATGGATCCTGAACACCACCACATCGCCCTCAAGGGCGCTGTTTCGATCGTAGCGATCTCGCAGATAAATGTCAGTGGGGTCGTTGGATTTGATATATGCGTCGCATCCATTTCTCTCGTTGATGTGGACGACGCCACGCTATAGTTCCTTCGTCATCAGCATGGCTTGCACAACGATTTCGTCGATCCACGGATTATACGTTAACTTCGGTCGTCCAGCTGATGTGGATAGCCGGTTGGAAGGTATATACTTGGCGGATATGTCATCGATAGGTATCTCCGATCGGTCGCTTATCGAGTAATGATATGCATCATTGGCAATCTGGGATGCTTCTTCTGTTGCTGATGCCTGTTGATTGCAAGCGGTATCAACGTTCTTTAAATTGTCTGGCATGATAGATTCTTAGTTCAGAAAGGAAAAAGATGAAATCTTCGCATCACTTTCTATTTATGAAACATTTCCTTGTGAACAGCACAGGGTTGTCAGCTGTAAGAAAAGGAGAAACCTGAATTGTAAACCTGCTATTGCATAGTTTGTCACCGCAAACGCGAAAATAATGATCTTGCAAAGACCATCTCGGGAAGGAAACAAGATATCATCTCGTTGTTTGCCTAAGGTTTTTTTTATTTTATTTTGGAAAAGGATCAGGCATTCGGAATCGTTAATCTAGCTACAGCAGTGTACTGTATCATCAAAAATCACGATTCAAAGAGTTTATCAGTTTGACGATCAATTGGACTCAAGTTATCGTTGTTTTGATTCTTTATTTGCCGCGCAAGAAACGATGATTGATCTTTAGTCATTCCCACTCCCAGATTGATGGCTATTCTTTGATCTGTACAATATGATTTTTCATATCCGTATGCAGACGCTCCCTTTCAATTTGGTTGATTTATATAACCCTGCAGTGAAAGCTCATCCAGCATCATGCAGTAAACGAAGGTTAAAATGCAGGATTCGCACATGGTTTGATATCCAATGGAAACATCTAATTTTCATCATTATGAAAAAAGAAATAAAGAAAAAGAGAATTTTTAAAAAAAATATATACAAAACTCATCAATAAAAAAATGGCAAAGTGAGTAAAGAGGAAAAAAAAAGGATTGAAGAGATTGGGGTATTTCGTTGGCTTATTGCGAGGATTTCGGTGGGTCATAAATAAAGAATTGAAGGAAAATCTATCATGACAAAACAATCAATCCGTAAGTCAGCATCAACAAACACGAACCACCTCCGTTATCTCGCCATCCGTTTTCGTTTCGCCACTTACAATGAAATCAAACACCAATGTGCCACAACTGCCAATGATCCATGACAAATTCAATAAAACGTATTGAGGATCCGTCGAACGGAAAAATATCGACTGGTGGAAACAAGGTTAATATTGGGTAACTCGCTGCCGCCCGATAAATAAATAAGATCCAGGTAACTTACAGAGGTAAACAGAATGTTTCCCAGGACAGCACAAACAAACATGCCAAAACTTAAGCCTTCGGTACTCTTGTTACGCCAATTCTTGACGATCTGCGGTATTCGGCTTCCGACATACAAAACAGCACTCGTCCAACCAAACAGCTGGGGTAATAACGCAAATTCTTTGGCATCGCCATCATAATCCGCATTGCTGTGAATGGAATAGTACATATAGCAGGAAACGGCCGTCACCAAAAAAATAGAGAAACCGGCCACCGCATTGGTCAAGCCGTGATGCTTGCTGGTATGATGCTCGTCGTTATTTTTGAATGCAGGTCCGCGACGATCGGGGCCAAGTAAAGGTGCAGATTCGCTGACAAACACGACTTCATCACCCATCGTTTCCGAGCGCCGATAATAGTAGAGCACCTGCCAGATGAGCCCCATATCCGCCACCGTGTACCATAATGCCAAAAGAAACTACGCATAATCCATCAATTCATTGTCAGCATGCTGAGGTTTCACCAGTCGTCTAAAACAAGTCAAGACATTGCTCCAAAAAGGAAAAAAGAAGACTCACCATGGTTGGCAGCAGATCTTGGAGAATGACGCCTACAAGATTGAAAATATCACCAGCTAACCATATCACAAGAAATGTCAGCGACAATCCGTCACCGCTCTGTCGTCGATAATTCTCCCATAATTGACTAGACACGGAGCATGAGCATCTCTGACATTTTGACACAACCTGTCGTTGCACCTACGGTGTAAAAACGACAAGCCAACAAGCGATAGAAAGATAACCGGCTGTCGATGATGCAACCGCTGGATTCCACATGATAAAAAATGAACAAGCGAAAAAAGGGGGTGGGGAAAGAAAAGAGTAAGAAGAAAAGAATAGGCAAAAGTTGGGAAACGAAAAAGAAAAAAAAAGCCAATGCTGTGACGGGCTTCCCGCTTAGCAAAGCCGACCAAAGGGTCGACCAGTTGGACCCAGCACAGATTGGGTTTCAGAACTGAGCCACGATTCATAACGAATTAAGGCCCGTTCCCAAAATACGCACTAAAAACAATATAATGTTTTATTTGCATTTAGGGTCGAACTATGGAGCAGGATGCGTTATGTACATGTAGTAGTATTTTCTGATAGATTGGAATAAATTCCCATGAGACTGAATCGACTATTTCTTCTTTTTGGAAATCTTTTGCTGTATTTTCTGGAATTCCTCTTCAGAAGGTTCATTCATTTCCGGACGTCGCTTACGTTTGGGTCCTTTTGATCTTTCAGCGATCGAGTTGATGATGGAATCCATGTGTTCTTGTCGGCTTTTTTGTCGTGCCATAATCAGTTGTTTCAAGCTGTCTTCCGGATCGTTGGCTTCTTCCCTTTTCTTCTCTTCTTCGGCTTCCTCTGCTTCCGCGGCTTCCTGTTTCTCTTTCTTTAGCCGTTTCGCATGCGCAGCATCGGTCGTGGTTGGTTTGAATCGTTTCAGGCGCTTCACTTGTTTTGACAAGATGGCTTCCTCAATCAGATCCTGAAATCTTTTTCCGTCCGTTGCCGTCGACAACTCTACGTGGGACAGGATTTTATCCATATCGCCGTCAAATTCTTGGTAATACTTTAAAACATCGCCTCTTTCTTCGGCCGAATCTAATGTACAATTGCACACGCACGATAAGTCTGACCAGTTCAAAAAGCATCTGCACACTTAACACTTACGTCGATATTTCTTGGCATGTGCATCGATTGTTTCTGCGCTCACCACGCCGGTCCACAATTCTTTGAAATATTCTGTCCAGTCTTTATCACTATCCAAGAAGCCGTCGCTGTTGATGTTCCCTGTGCGATCGTAAATGGCTTTTTTCTTGGGATCGCTCAGAATGCTATAAGCAACGCCGATTTGCTGGAACATGTCGACCGCTTCTTGCTTTTCATCGTCAGACACATTACTCTTGAGTTTGTCGGGATGGTACTTGAGTGCAAGCTTTCGGTACGATGACTTGATTTGCTTTTCGGTAGCTGTTTCACGCTCCAGCCCCAATAGTTTGTACAAATCCTTCTTGGCATCACTCAAAGTAGGTGACATGATCACAAATGAAGAGGAACACAGAAAAAAAAGGATCAACTACATGAAAAAAAAACGCGTGCGCGAAAATTGAAATAAAGCTGTGACGTGACGCGTATCGTGTCATTTTGTGCTGCCTTGTATTCACACATATGAGACTGGCAGTTTTTTTCGGAATCGTTACTGCAGGTAATAGACGATCTGTGACAAATCACACTCTTATCACAACAACGCGGTCAAGCCAATGTCACGGGCCACACAAATTTGCTGTGGAGCTAACCCCACTTTTGCTTACATTGTATGCCACGAGGGCAGTCCGTCAAGGCGGCATATAGCTCGACAAACAGGATACAAAGTGTGTACAGTATATCAACAGCTTGGTTATTGACTTTGATTCTGCCGGTATGCGCAGTGGTAGTGAGCCATTCGAGCAAAAACGACTATTTGGGCGATTTTTCACTGGATCTTGGGTTACAGGTGGGCCAGGCTGCCTGTATCACTTATTGCACCTGTAAACTATGACAATGTACACTCCTCCATCTGCTTTTTTTTTTGGTGTAGTGCTTATGTTAAGACCTATTTTTTGCATTTTGTTCAGTAAAGGAGACACTTTTTACCTAATCATGCTGTGACTTGAAAACCCGGCTTGAAATGCCTGGCGGCTAAAAAATTTGGGCGTCACGTCGACCAGTGCGAAACTCGGAATTGCTGTTCTATTTTCTTGACGTTCAACGATATATAAAGACACACCATGGCGACTTCGCAGCTATTACCTTTAGGTTCTTATATCCGTAACACCTCGCTCACACGAATCTGAACTTACATTGTCTGTATAGAACTTATCGATAAATGCATCGGATCGCAAATCTGGGTGATCATGAAAAACGAAAAGGAATTCACTGGCAAATTATTGGGCTTCGATGACTTTGTCAGTAAGTGTCATGACCAAGTACAACTTTCCAGATTGATCATTTGCTAACTTTTATCAAAAGACATGGTGTTGGAAGACGTAACAGAATAGTAAGTACATCCATTGTATAACCACAAAAGAATGGCATCGCTGATCGACATGTTGTGTAGTGAAAAGACCACGGAAGGATACAAGACACAACGATTGGACCAAATCTTGTTGAATGGCAACAATATTTGTACAGTGAGTATCAAAATGTGATAGGCAGGTGACGAGTTCAAAGAAAGATGCTCACGGAAACGTTCTGTAGCTGATACCGGGAGGCACTGGACCCGTTTAGAATCTTATTCTTCACGCGCACTATTCTTTTTGCATCTTTTCTTTCCTACCAAGCTGTCACTTGTTTATCCTTCTATCCTTTCCTGCAGATAGGTTCAGCGTTATTAAATGATAATGTCAATTGACCTACGTGCATCACATTCTGTGGTTGACCGATCACGATTCTTGTGCAGCAGTGGCAGTCAGAGGTGGACATTTTGCAAGGATGAGAAGTTTTGCATGGAGGAGTTATATTTTTATTAGAGAAAATGGGCTATGGGGGGAGGAGGATAATTTTCTTAATGTGTGGAACGCATTTTTCAATGGCCATTGGGAGTGCAGCGTGAAATGGGAGCGGCTTCACCTCCTTGGGACCACAAAGCAATGGTGATGCCAGTGGTGTAGGTCATGGATAAGATACCGAACAAAAGAATGGCAATGTCGATGGCTTTTTGTTTCCAAGTACGTGCAATGGCTTTCAAATGGAACAAGGGCGGGAAGAGGAAACAGAGAGGCACACAACACAAGGAACCAACCAGTGACACGAATTTGTCGAGATCGCCCGACCCCGCAATCGCGATCAACGAACACACAAGCACGGCGGCGAAACGGAATCCATTTTTCTGCCACTTGACGATAGGATTATGTTTCCCTGATCGGGTAAACAAGGCATTCTCTGCAATACGAATGGCCGGGAACAACTGCAGAGGAATCGACAGACAAATCGCCATGGCGTACAAAGCCTGCACTGTATTCACCATCGGCGTGTCAGGCATATTGAGCAAGATGACCGTTTGCACTTTGCTGCCAAAAGCAAGGTACGACACAAAGCCCACCGACAGGAAAATCACCGTAATAAATACCATGGTTCCCGACAACACCTTGGGGAATTTCTTGGGTTCCGCCATTGATTCCGTGATTGGAATGACTGACAATGAAGGTGAGCTTTTTTCCCCCATCCATATTGATCTTTGCTAAATACTAATCAACTCACCAAGACCCACGCCTTCATATGTGAATACAGCGGTACCGATAAACATCGGGAACGATTTACTATTGATGACCCATTCGACATCCGCCACGCCGTGAGTGGATAGGGTAAAGATGTCAAAATAATATAAATAGACGAGACCGATGAGGATGAACAGATCGGCAATGAGGGCAAAAGACGACAATTTTTGGATTTTGCGAATCATGGCCAAAGGAACGAAAATGGCAATTTGGGCCACAATCAGATAAGCCAATGGAATCCTTAGCTCGCATTGGAATATGGATTCGATCAATGCTTGTACGTTTTGTGCAACAAATACCATGTAAGCACACACAAATCCGATCTAAAAAAAAGAACCCATGTGATTCGGTTCCTCATTCATCAGCAACAGAGAACAAAAAAAAAAGCTTAAATCTTGCTCCCACCTGTGAGAACGTAATCGCTATCAAAACCGCCATTCGCATAAACCTTCCAAACAAGATGCCGCCAATATCACCAAAGGAAACAGGCACTTTGTTGCGCGTTTCGACCAATAACAGAAATGCATAAAGAGATATACATGCAATGGCGGTCAGTAATGTCGTGGAAAAGAAGAGGCCACCATTGTAAAACCTAGTCAAAATAAACAAGCAACATGAGTAACCATGTCAACCATTGATAGCGTCATTTACCATCATGTGAAGCCCAATGACATGCTCGATGAAGCAAAGGGAAATTAGCACTTACGCTTTTGGAAGGAACATGACACCTACACGATCATCATACTCAAATTAATTCAGGTTCCGCGACGACAGCACGTTCTTATTTCCATGTTTTAATGCGTACCTGTGCCTACAAAGGATTTCAAAAGGAGAAACACCGCCTTGGCTGGAGTGGCAGTGCCTTGGACAGCGTTGGCTTGAGCTCGACGGATCAAGGGCGAGGCTTCATCTTCGTCACTGTCTCCTCCTCCTTCCTCCGATGATCTTCGACGACGATGTCGATACCGTAGACCGCCTTCCATAAAATCGTCCTCGTCCATATTTTCATCCTCATCATCACTCAAATCTTCGCCACCAAAGTGACCGTAAAGTGCCAAGAAATCAACGAAGGTGCGTGTCATCCAATTGGGCGGTTTACGTCCTTCACGTGCGGCTTTATCCACCACAAAATGACGTCGGAAGCCTCCGGGATCCTTCAATCTAGCCAACGCAGGGTCGGAAGGTTCCTGACGTGGAATATATACGGATTGTGATCGCTGACGTCTTGCCAGTTGTTCCTGTTCTACGCCTTCGGTCCATTTATAGATATCATGCGTGATCGCCCCACCAGGGAGTTGATGCACGGAACGCACTTGTCCTCCGTCGTCGTCAGTATCCTCTGGCTGATATATACTGCGTTTTGGAGATGAACTCAATACAGACGTCGCCGGTGATGTATCAATGAGATGGCGTTTGACCACCCGTGCAATCTGATCTTCCGGCAAGTCGGCGGAAATTGTATTATCTTCGTAGTTGTATGTCGGGGTCGACAAGGGCCGAAAAAGACCACCACTGGCATTGGTCATGACATGGTCGAGATCAGTACTCCCGTAAGTATGGGCCGACATTCCACCAATACTGCCCTTAGGTGAAGAGCTGTACCGCATGTTAGGGGGAGCAGGACTGGAACCTAACATGGCAATCGAAGCGGCTCGATTGAACGAACCGGATGGACCATCTTCAGCTGTCCAGTTGGGCTCGCCATTGCCATTTTCTCTGTAATGCTGCTTGGCATTAGCGGGTAATGGAGAGGACATTACGTAAAGCTTTCAAAGTAAAGCAAACAAAATTTGAAGAAAAAGGAAATAAGGAAGAAGAGCAGCTGTCGTTGGATAACAAATTTATAACCGCGAAAAAGGCAATTGGCTGGATTTCCTTTTATGTCCACTCCTTCTCCAGAAAAAAAAAGTGCCTCCACCATTTGACCCCTTACTTTCCGTTTCCTTTTTTTTTCTTCTTTGCTTGCTTTTATTTTCAACGACAATGGTTTTTGTCAAATCTTTGGTTTTTCTATGAACTTTTTTTTTGTTACAGGGATTGAGCGCTTTTTTGCTACGTATCAGCCCGCAGCATCTTGCAATGGTCTAAAGATGGCATGGATCACAGCCTGGATTTGGAAAACGTCCCCGATCCTAGGCTCATCCAAAAAGATTAATAATTTTTTCCAAGCTAGTCTTCATTCTTTGGTATGCACGTATCATGAGGTATCAAATATATCATGTATCATGTACAGAATCGGTTTTACGTGACGGAGTAACGTTGATAGATTGGCATCAATGCAAAAGAAAAGAAGATGGCCCAAGACACGACAAGCCAGAAGCAAAAGATGGAGACATAGATAAACGTTCGTTTCGTTCGTAGTTGACTTCCCACCATTCTCAAGGAGGATTTCAAATGGTCTGACTGATAAAGCGCTTGTTCTGCTTTGACAGTGTCAATGCGACGTTGTCGTTCTTTTTGATTGGCTTGCAACCATCCCTGAAGTTGGCGACGATCCATGAACCAGAAAATCAGTGATACGAAAATCGAGCCACAGGCCAGGACCAGATAAAAGACCATGACGCCATCGTAAGCGGTTTGCAAATCGGCAGTGTTATCGGAAGGATCACCATCATGATATGTCAAATCTTGGACATAACCCACCAACACAGATACGATCGTTGTTCCGATATTATTGGCACATTTGTGGAGTCCCATACCGGTGCCTGCCAATTCACTCGGGAGCAGCAACGGTGTCGACGATAACACGGCTACCGGGCCCAATGCCACAGCCGAAGAGAAAATAATCATCCCCACAGCCGGTGTGACCCATGTATAAGCTAAAAGCACCATCGAAATCAGAAGGACAATGGTGCCGAAAAATACTAAATTCGGAAAGTAAGATTATTGGCATCCATGGTCATGTGAAATGAAATCGCGGTGTGCTCTCCTCCCCCAACCCCCGTTTTCCCTTTCATCTTCCTTTCTTTCACACTTTTTGGATAAAGTACAGAAATGCTGCACAATGATGTTGTTGTTGTTCTCCCTCCCCTCACCCCCCCCTTTTTTTTTCTTTTGGAAAGAAAAAATACTTACAAATGGTGAGTCGCTTGCCGTAGCGGTGAACATAAAGCCCGAGCAAGGGAGCGGCAACAATAGGAACGACTTGGGTTAAGCTACTTTGATAACCTGCCATGACACGATCCGTATTGAAGCGAAATTGGACAAACTCGGTAGCGACATCATCAAAACTGCTAAGCACACTTGACATGATGAGTTGGACCCAGGGCACCATCCAAAAAATTCCAGGCACATAAAGAAACAAGACGGATGACCAGCGAAATGAAGGCTTGTGTGACGATGTGGATGGGACTTGGTCACGGTGCAGCTTGAGGTCATTGGCATGAAAGGAACCCGGAACTTGAATTTCTTTGCCGAGCATGGTGGCGCCACCGTGATGATACATGATAGCCCAATAGACGATGTTCATCAAGACACCTACAGCGCACAGAATATTGGCAATAATAATAGGCCAGGCATTGGAACCAGTAGCATCGATGATGGGATAACACACCATTTTGGCCGCCCACTTGGTCAGACGAGCAATACATAACATGATGCCGACCACCACTGCCAATTGACGGTCTCTGAACCAGCGCGATACTATGGCCTCCTGCATGGTCACGATCATGCCGCCACCTAAACCATAGATAATCTGCCCCGTGATCATGATCGGATAACTATTAAAGTGGAAAGCGATGGAGACCAGGATACTGCCGGTAAGAATGACACAGCTAACGAGGGTGGTGGAACGAATGGAGCCGAGCCCGGCGAGATCGTCGACCATAGTTCCCGCCCACAGCGGAAGCACGGTATTGACAAGACTCACGCAGGATAAAAGAATACTAAATTGGGTGTTGTTGATGTGCATCGTCTAGGTTTGAGGTTTGAAAAAAACAAAACAATCTGTCGGTGAGATTGACATTCATTGCAAAATAGATAAAAAAAACCTCATCACTCACCTTTTTCAAGGTCGTTTTCAGTGTACCCATCGTTGCTTCCATATAATGGCATCCAACTAACGGACAAACCCGTCTTTTTTAGCTACCAGGGGTTTTTTTTTCCAGTTTTTATTCTAAACCGTTACCAGGCAACCACAACATGCAGGTCAAAATGAGGATCTTCATTTTCAACGAAATATCGACAATATCCCGACACTGCGGTGGTTCTTTGTGATCGTCATCGATGGGCGTGCTGATCTGCGATTCCTGAGTTCCCGATAAGCTTTTACTGTGAAAAGAGGTGGTGGAACCATCGGTTCGATTATCTCTGTCCGCCAACTTAATGACCTCGTTTGGTTCATTGAACTCTGGTCGATGGGCAGAGGGCATAGCGCACGGCAGCGATCGTTCAGGAAAATGCATGGGACATGGGAGCCTGAGTTTTCGAAAAATAAGTGTCAAACGGACTAAACACTGCCTAGAAAATCCACAGCTGAAATGACGCTGCGGTTAAAACGGGGGCAGTTTTGATTTGTCTCCAGCCATACAAATCGTACCGCTCTTATTTCTTCATTACCATTAAATCTGTCATAGTGCTTATATGCAATACATTTAAATCATCATCATAACAGCAAATTGTACGCTATATGATAATATGACCGTGTAGAAAATAATCAATGTAGAAAGACTGGGCCAACCAGAAAATGGCCAGTAGTGCGTGATGAGCTTCACATATTATGTTCTCCGCTGATCCTTTGTTTGTGATGCTGCAACAATATCACTTGCAGAACAAGAAAAAATAACGGTTCGCACAGTGATTGAACCGTATGCCTAAGGCCTTTTATCGTCATGTTTTTCTCAACAAACAACTTCCATGTTTCAGATATGACATTTTTGCTTTTATAATGAAAACGGCAAATGGGCATTCTCGATAGTTATGATAAAGACAATGCAGATGAACGGTTAAATAGCAATAAACCTAATTTATTCATCCCTGGGAAGAGATTGCGTAAAGATCAATATATTCTTTTAAAATGAACATTAGGTTGGCTGCGCTCACTCTTTTGGGGGACAGATGGATATCAGCATTGTTGACAAGGCGGTCAGTAGTTCGTCTTCTTCAAAGATCGTACCTTTGGAATTCATCATGATGTATAGTAAAGTCCCATTTTCAACTTGCTGTATATCTGTGAGATTGCTTTAGACAGAGTGTTAACCTCGCTTTCTGAGGAGGAAAAATCCCAACCTTTTGATTCAAGACGGAAAAAATCCTGCGTTTGTGGAGTCACGAGCACGCTAATTTTTTTTTCACCGCTGGTGCGCCAGCAGGAAAAGCGTATTGCTGATTTCCGGGCTATTTTTTTGATTTCTGTCCATGTCTATTGTGTGCAGATGGTTGGCGCTGACGCTGCTGCTGGTGGCATCATGTGCCGCATCGTCTATCAAGAATATCGTTGTTTTTGGCGATTCGTATTCGGGTAAAGCAAAAAAAAAAAAAAAAAAAAAAAAAAAAATACAATAGAGAAACAACCGTTTCGTTCCGCTCGTCATACTTATTGTCTTTTTGGTGATCGATGCGACAGACACAGGGAATTTGCAACAAATGAGTAATGGCCCCATGTGGCTGGAAACTCTGGCTGTAGGCTGGAACGCTGCACTATACAACTTTGCCTTTTCCGACGCTGTGTGTGATCGAGGCTTGTTCGATGAGGCATCGGTTGAAAATGCTTCTCCCGGTATCAAAGACCAACTGGAGATGTACTATCGTGAAGATCTCAAGTTGGATCCCAATGAAACGGTGTATGTTGTTTGGGCAGGCATCAACGATATCGAAAAACTGCTTCGCCAACGAGGTAAAACCTAAGCGGTGTGGGGATTTTTCTTTTTTTGGATGTTTTTCTCTGACTTAACATAAACACAGCCCACAAGGATGAAGCCCCACAAATTATTCCTGACATCAGTCCTATCGTGAATTGCCTTATTCAACAAATCGTAAGTGTAGTAAACAAGGGCTATTTCCCGCGATGTAAGCTGACTGTCCCTGCCAGCGCAACATCCGTAAAGTATTTGGTGGTCATCGATTCATTACATTGAATACGGTCCCGTTTGAGTTCTCGCCCTATTTTTCGGACACCGCATTAGACGAGAGGCGAAACAAGGCCATCCATCGGTTTAATGCTCTTTTAAAACAGCACGTTATCCGGCTGAACCAACAGCACAGCACGCTGGAACTTGATCTCGTGGACGTGCACGCGTTACTATCCGATATCGCCAAAGACCCGGTCACATTCGGGTTTAAAGAAGGGAAAAAGGCCTACTGGGACGTATGTCAAGGCCGTTGCTCGGATGATGTCGACAGCTACGTTTGGTGGGACCGGGTCCATTTGACAGGAGGTAAAAATTTGCCTCTTTTCTTCGTCAGGCAAAAGAACTAAATCCGTGGAATTTTTGTCCCCTCGTTAGGCGCGGGTCAAACCATCGCGAATAGTGTTTTGTCGTCAGGGTCGATGGAAATAGCTACATCTGTTGCATCCTTGGCTGAGGTTCGAACTCTGTTGAATGAAACCAACTCGAGCTTCAAGTCGCCGGTGTTCAAAGCCAGGTATCACACGGGCGTCATCGAGGAAATCATCCAGGACAAGAAAGCGAAACAAACCAGCGTGGAATCTTCGATGGATGAACCGTTCTTACCCGAAAATCCGCATCCTTGGATGAAATCCATATCAATATTACTGTTTCTTCTCGGTTTTCTGTGCTTGGGCCTGGTCATTTACAAGAAGCAAAGAAGACGAACCGGGAGTGGTATTGCCGCCTTATCTGCGCTTGTTCAAACCAATCGCCAACAGGGCCGTGGTCAATTCATGCCATTGCACAACACGGATGCCGAACCATAAACGGCGGATAGGGTTCATTGGTCATTGGAGTGACTCACCCCCTTTCTACAAGCTTCTTATCGCTTCGCGATATGCTCTCGTTTTAACTTCTTTTTTTTTGTTCGTTTTTGTTTGGGATGATTTGTTTGTTGCCTTTTTTATTCTATTTATTTCATGATTCATGTGAGAGAAAAATCACTTGGATATAAAAATTGAAGTGCTGCTGTCGTTTGACATGACAGACAAGTTTGTTGCTCTACGTTGCTTCATACAAATTAGACAATTAAACAACAAGGAATGCGTTCAGAGATCGGGGCTGCATGATTTTCAGACACTTGTAAAAAAAGTAAACCGTCTTCTGACTTTGGTTTATGGTTTCTCATATAATTATGCATGAATATGGTCTCACAGACCATGAGATCGAGACGCGCGATTATCCGTTCCAGACGATCGGTAATAGCCACAGATAAGGGCGGTAAATACTTTTTTTTTCTTGTTTTGGCTAAACACAAGCCATGCTACAATTCCATACGAAGAAATCTTTGGACGCCACATCAATTTGAAAGGGTATTATAGCTTTGATAGAAGCGGAAGGTTTTTGATCGTTGCCGCAAGATCGGCGGCATCAAAAATACCGTGATAAGGGGCCCTGGTCTTCGATTGCTGGCGATGACACTGCTTCTGGATCAGAGAGTGACACATACTTTATGCCGCCCGCCATCTTACATAAACAAAGGCAAAAAGGGAGGGTAAAAGAAAAAGAGTCAATGTGCGCCATGATTCAGACGATTAATGTGCCTGATATCTCATTGTTCTCAACCTTATTTGTCCTTGCCAAATGGACATCTCCCTTTCTTTTTTATCTTTTCTTGCATAATAAGACCATCGAAGCTCCTCTTTCTACCTTTTCGTAAAGTTTGTATCTGTTGCGATATTTTCATTAGTGCAAGATGTTTTTCTATCTACCTAACGGAATGCTGACCACCTGTTCGACGGCCACCACCGACTTTTTTTGCGATCAACCGCATTCATTCCCAATCAGCATTGATCCCGCGTTACTCCTGTCAACAAACGAACGGTATCGTGATGGCTCCGCGTACGGCAGCGCGCTCCAAGTGGCCAATTTATTCTATCCCTCGAATCCAATGCGTCATCGAGACCACCCGGAAGATGTCAACGCGTTGTCGTCAAATACCGTGGAACTGAATACCATGGTTATCCGGACACTTGCTGAAGCCCTGGCACTTGTTGCTCAACAAGCCGTATCGATTGATCTCCTTCCACCCACGCCGCCTGAACAAACCGACGCCGACATGACCCACATCAATGAATCGTACCTGACTAGTGACTGCAAGGAAACCCAAGAAAAGGAACAAACACAAGGACCTCACTATCGTACTGCAAGCTCAGATCAAGAATGGCACTTGGCGGAAGAAATCAATTACACAAAGGAAGGCAGCTGTGGGGAAGAAAACAATGGCACTGTCGATGACGATTTTTCAAGCGTGGAAGCGACCGTTGATACAGACGACGAGTATGTTCCTGACGACAGCCTCCCTGATGACAGCGATGATGATGATTCCGTGAGTGCGTCCAGCAGCTACAGTATAGGTATCAAGCGCCGATTACGCCAGCAGTCCCCCGGCCGTCGTGGAAGCAAGGCATCCGGCTTTAGCGAGTACATCAAGACGCCTTCGCCGGCGGTGAAGCAAACCGCTACTTCGTACGATCCGGCCACCACACAATATTTGAAATCCATCTTTTTCACCGAATACAGTAGAAGGCCCAAACTCACCAAAGCGCAGCGACAAGAGATCCAGAAACATACCAAGTTGTCTTCGCGTAAAATCACTTACTGGTTCTCCAACCACAAGCGCCGATTCCAAGGAGCACTGAAAGTGTTCAAATCGCTTGTCGACGACACCACCAACAATGTTAAAACCTATGAAGAGTTTTTGCAATGGCGTCGAGACAGGAATCTTCCCCTGGAAATCACTCAAGAAGAAATACGCAAATTGGATGTCTAATCTGGCTTAATTTCTTCTCTTTGATTTTAGTCCATCTGAACTTTTTTTCCAGCCTTTTATCATGTTCTTCCCTCCTTTTTTTTCCTTCTTCTTTATCTGTCAATGCGAATTATTTTTCTATCATGTAATTTTCTATAGCTATAAATAAACTCTGATCATGCGTCCGTAAACAATAACGCCATGACGAGCAGTCTCTTTCAAAAACGTCCTTGGATGCTGTTTTGTCCCGCAGTGTTGATGTCCCTTGTCCCGCTCAATCAAGTGCTTTCACAGCAGTGATTGATATTTGATTACCTTTTGCAGTAATGTCATGATGGTAATTATGGTAATACGGAATCTTTATTTACATGAGTTGCTTCTACTTGTCCAAACTTGCTTTATATCGTCTCAACTCGGCCACTTCATTTTCCAATGCACTGCATGCAATATCCACTTGAAGATTTTGACTGATAAGATCCGACCATTTGTTTTCCAGCGAACGTAGTGATCCGGCTGCCTGCATCTGTTCCATCGATCCAATCAGTATCTCCCATGGTGCATCCTTCTCCCCGGCTGTTTTTTCCTTACCTGATCTGCCTTTCTTTGCCTGTTAATCTCTCGAATCTGGGAACGGTATTCTTCGGTAGCCTTCTTGATATGTTTCAGATAGTTTTCCATCTGGTAGTTGTGTACTCGCCAAGCATTGGCACCGTATTTTTGAAGCAGTTCCAGATTGAACATACTACGCAAGTGAAGTGTAAATGGCATTGCCCATTTCGGATCATTTGGCATGCTGTGTTTACTCGATTACCTATTTGCTTGTGATTCCAGTTGTGCTTTGGTGTTATCGACCGCGGCTTGCCACGCTTGAACATCGTCTGCTTTATCGTCGGTTGGTCCTTGCAATTCATATCGTGTGGTATCCAACGCATCCAAAGGTTCTTTTTTCGATACACGCTGCCATTCTTGACTGAGGCTTTCGTTATTCTGGAATAATTCGACCTGCATTGGCAAGCTGGACCGATCCTTTTTCTTCATTCGTCGCATTTCCTGTTCGATCAAACGATCCACGGTCGCTTTCATGTCTTGATTGTACAAACAAATTGATTAGTATAAAAATGCGATGCTTTGTCGTGCCACGGAAAAGTCTCGAATGCTATACCTCCTTCATCGATCTCCCGATCCACATCTACAACGAAAAAATAAGTAAAAAGATTAATGAGAGAAAATAAGAAACAAAAGCGGTCGATTGTATGGGCCAGTTTTTCACTTACAAGGAAGAGCATCAATGTCACTATCTGTTTGAATGGCGGTTTGCGCCGTAACGGTGGACACAAGCATAGAATCACTCATAGAGACCAACTTTTTTGACGGCCAAAGGACTAACGAACCAAGAAGACAGAAAGCAAGTCCCCGTCACTTGCCAAAGCGAGGCGGACTTTCACTCGACGTCATCCATTGCTTTGCGCTGATTGGATAATGCGACCGTGCAAGCAACGGCGTATTCCGTGGTCAACTCACGCGCTGGACTTGTTCAATATGCTCCTATTCTTCGGTCATTAATCAATTAATTCCATCAACCCTTCATTGAGGACAACAATTGGGTCCTTGTAATGCGTTTTTGAAGTTGGGCACCTTTTAAAAAATTAGTTACTACGAGATTTGCAAGTGTAGGGTTTGGTGACGACGTTGAAGGAGATTCGCAAGCTTGGTCAACGTCCTATGTTGTCACAGGTTATCGGATTGGTCTACTCATAAGCATACCATTGCACGGTTTTTTTGCTTTTTGCTTTTTTTTTTTCTTTTTTGGTAAAATGTGAAATAGACGGACAGTGTGTTCAATTAACCAGCTGAGCAAGCACCAGCCCAGTTCTATTTTGCATCACCCGAATAATTTTCCTATGCACGCCCCACTGTGGCTGCATCGGATGGTTGCACGGACAGCCTGGAAGCTTGGTGATCCATTGCATCCATCAAAACTTTTATATTTGTCCCACTGTGGATCTTCTCATCATCGATTATCCGATAAACGCATTTTGCATCAACACTTTCATGTTCAATCGACATACCATACAAGTTATGCCCGCTTCGAACAACCGTCACCTCAGCATCCATGGATCGTCGATGAATCGGAATTGCAAAGCCAACAAATATCGCGATGAATGGGTTCATCCGTGTTCTGTGGCCAGGTCTGTTTTAAGAAAAAAAAACACGTGGCAAAAGTCAAAAAACAGGCAAAACAGCTTACAGGCAACAACAAACATTTCCAGTCTTACTGCTCTTGGTAATCCAACTTTCAATTATGAAGCAAGAACACGCGACTTTGAAAAACCGGTAAAATTCGGTGTCCCACCTAGCCATTTTTTTTTTCTTTGGTGGATCTACTGTTCATCCAAGCTTTCCGAACCTTCGTCTGTGCTTTTTCTCTCATCTTTTCGGAAAAGATCGCTGCGCCTCTTGACGAGACTTGCTCGTTTTTATTCAATTTTTCGCCTTCAATAATTTTAGTATCAATTGCCTGGAATAGAGGTCCATTATTGTCATATCATTTTTCGATCACTTGAAAAAAGTTGCAATCGCTTTTTTTCCTATTTTTGGAGGCTACACGTTTCATTCAATGCAATCGAGATCACCTCACAGATCAAACGTTTAAGTAATACGCCACACAGGCCCTTCCATTGGAGCAATCAATCAACTTCTATTGATTTCCCACCGTTATTTTCATTCTTTTGCTCCTCCATCCCTGGAATTTTTTTTTTTTCCACCTTGCATACGTTGTCCGTAAATTGGGCTCAGCGTCTGCAGTGCAGGACTCCAATTGCTATAAATAATGATTTTTTCCCTATTTTGTGTCGGATGTCAAAACTGGCGCTGCCGCAACAAAGCACCATGGAATCCACGGCACCTTCTATTTTCGGCCTATCACTTTGATTGGCTAGCCAATAAATAAGATCTGGAGGAGAAACCTGCCTTTTCGGGAGAATTTATCACCGTGTAACATCATTTTTTTTTTCGATGTTTTACACGATGCTAATAATAACCCCTTTCATCCTTTTTTCAAAAGCATTGTTGTCTCGACCCGAAGAAAAAAAAAAACCAGTGCATCTCTTGTTCAGAAAAGTTCCGCAATTTTTTTGTCTTATTGGTGAATCACCATAGAAACAAATTAGTTTCATCACCTGAGGAATAAAAATTTATTATACGGACTGACACTTATAAGACATGTTCATATCATTGGGTTATCAAACAGGGAAACAAAGACCATACTGAATTGGGAGAAAAACGACGATCCGTAAACTGAAAAAGAAAAAAAAATTATGGTTCACCCTGTACCACAACGATGAGCCCGTTTCCGTCTCCTACGTTTTACCGGGGATCGTCAAATGTGCGCACACACACACACACACGCTCACACACATACCCACACCACCCTGTGTTCCTTCCCAGCGCGGCTGCTGTCCAAGATATATTTATACACCACTGGAATATTGGATAAGCGCTGATCTTGGCCTAAATACAAGTGCCTTCCCCGCGCTTCTTTTCCCCTTTCCTTTAACGATCTCTCTTTCTCTCTTTTTATTTTTCCTTTCTCTTTTTCGATTTCCATCCTTCTCCATTTTTTCTTTCATCCTCTCTCACCCTTTTTAGATCCCACCCTTTCATTTTAGTTTTCTCTTAAAACCTCAATCACTTGGAGGCAATAGAATTAAATTCAGGATGAAACTTTGGGCTATCACTAGTTTAATCGGTGTGGCCTTATCCGGCGCGATGGCGGCCGATGTGCAATATGCAGTGGTCGCTTTTCCTCAAGGGCAGCAAACCGTTGCTGTATCTGTTGGCGGCAAGAACTATCCACTGCAAAAGAGTCAAGTCTCTGCGAACCTCTTCCAGGGCAGTGCTCCTGCGGGTGAAACTTATCAATATGTCTTGACGGATGGTCAGAATAACCAGGCTGAAACCGCTCAGCGCAAATTGATTCAGGGTGCAACTTCCACTGGCAACGAGTTCTTCAACCGCTCCCAAACCCTGTACAATGTGCCTGATCTCCCTCAAGCGTATCATCCCATTTATCCTCGTAAGTACAAAAAAAAACGGCTCTTTACTTCTTTTTTCAACCTCATCTATTTATCCGAACTCCTGTCGCTATCCCTTCTGTTCTCCTCATTCGAGGATTTCTTTTTTTTTTTGACTTTGATTCGCTCTTCTTCTTATTCCCCCCCCCCCACCCTCCTTTCACCCCCAATGAGAGAAGAAAAAAATATTTCGCGTCTCATCTGACAGCTCACCATGTATTTTGATTAGCCCTGTTCACTGGCATGAACAAATCCAATGAGATTGCCACGTTGATTTTGCAAGTGAATGCCAGTGCTTTTGACGCAATTTTGAAAGCCCCCAAGGAAAAGCACGAGGATGCCGAAGTCACCCAGATGACTTACATTAGTCACAGCGAAGTGTACTCTTATACTGGTGCCGGGATTTCCAATAGTGGACAATCCACGAAGGACTTTGCCAAGCAATCATTCGCCATCAAACTCGGCAAATTCAAGAACTCGACCGAGAAAGATCTTTTGTTTGGTCGCACAACCGTTAAATTGCGTGCAGAAGAAACCGATCAAACCCTCGCGTACGTATGACCAATATTCTTTTTGCGTCCATCCTCATGATGGCATAATTCTCAACTTGATGGGTTATTTCACATGAGCATGTGTGAAAGGAAAATGAGTAAAAAGAAATAGCTCCAATTTTCTTTCTCCCCCCATCAACCCCCCGTACGCAACAGTATACTGATATTATGTAATTTTTCCTACAGACGCGAAAAATTGACGCTCGACTGTCTCTTGGCTGCTGGTGGTGCCTCGCTTTCCGGAAGTTGGACTCGCGTGTTTGTGAACAATGAACCCCTTGGTCTGTTTTTGTTGATGGACGATGCTTCCACTCACTTTATTGATAATGCTTTGCACGGTGGCAACTGGTCTTATCCTTATACTGGTAAGCGCATATAACCCAATATCGCACAAACAAGAACGAACTCCTTAAAAAAGAATTGATCGTGCTGCAGGTGTTACCTACAAGGGCAATGCGCTGTCTCCCGAAGAAGAAGGAAACCTTGTCTACCTCGGCGACAGTCCAGCTGCATACCCCGAAGATCTGTACAAGTTAGAAGACAAGGGCGAAGACAAGACGGTCAGCAAGAACGATTCTACCGGTCCTCTCATTGATTTTATTCGTCAACTCAGCTACATTGACCCCAAACTCGCCAAGGATGCCCAGAACCAAGGCAATATTTCCAACTTGATCGATCCTACCCACACTCTTATCCATATGTCCATCAACTTCTTGGTCGCCTCTTGGGACGGTTTCTGGTACCAGGCTAGCAACTACTACTTGAACCAGGATTTGCAATCCAAGAAATGGGCCTTGATTACCTATGATTTCGATGAAACTTTTGGCAACGGTGCTGAAGAAGGCATGAACACGGTGTCTTACCAGAACTACACCCGTCCCGGTGCCAAGCGTCCTCTCGTCGATGTTTTCCTCCAGTCCCCCTACTACAAGGCCGAATTCGAAAAGATTACCCAGACCATCGTCAAGCGTTTCTTCAACCCTCGTGTCATGAACCCTCGCCTTGAGGCCTGGTCGAAGATGTTGAAGGAGGATATCGAATGGACTCGTGCTCTTCCTGGCCGCTCCCCCGGAACCAAGACAACCTGGACTGTCGAAAACTTCTTGACCAACATGAACACCACTGATGGTGGTACCATTGGCCTTGCTGACTGGGTCAAAAGCCGCACCGCCTCCATTACACAACAATTGAATTTCAACGATGCCGACGACCTCCCAGCCTTGGGTCCCTACACTGGCGGTAACCGTATGGATGCCACGGGTAAGGTCACCGATTCCAAGGGTAACAATGTTACCCCCAGTGGTAGTCCCTCTGATAAGGGTTCGACCCAAAATAGCAAGGATGCTGGCAATGCCGCTTCCTCTCTTCTTCCTTCCTTTGGCTGTGCCACGATCATTGCCGCCTTGGTGATGATGCTCATTTAAAACTCCTTTTCCCTTGTGTGTTTTTATGTCATAACTAATGTTTAAAAATATTTTTTTTCAACGTGGTTTTATCCATTTAGACTTCGTTTGTGGACTATTACATTTTCTTTGTGTTTATTAGTTATATTTTTCTTTATCTATTATATTTTACTCGTTGAAGAATATCTGTCTCTGCACAAACTTGGATAACGAAAAGAAGAAAAAAAAATGTTATCATACGTAAATTCCCGGCTGACCGTGCTATCTGAATCTTTCACAAAAAAGAAATATTACAGATAAGGTTGAAATAGAAACGCATATCCTATTGCTAATACATGCATTACAGTACATCGTCTGCATGTGTTTTCCTGTCAGGGTGTGTTTTTTGATGTATATTGCTGTATACATCACCTGCTTTGTCATCCCTTCCATAATTTTAAGCATATGATTCCGATACTATTTATTTGATGCTTCATTGCAGGGCACAGAGGTCATCCGATGACATTAAAGTACATCGATCGATGCAGTATCGGTCGTGATTAGGATTTTTCGGTCCCCTTGACACCGCAACATTGATGCACACCTCAAAGTAGCACTGCTATGATGACGCGTATGTGTCACATAAACTGGCTTGGCAAGGACAACGGATAAACTATGTTTCCATGCTGCATGCCACGTGATCTGCATGGGGCTCTTGTCAGGACGCGTATTTGATATCGTAGAAGTATTCGGTGATGAAGCAAAATGATTCATAACATTCCATTGTCCATTTCCATCGTTGCATGAATAAATGATGATTTGCACCGGATCAACGGAAATGCTGTGGGGTGATCACACAGAGATCGGCATTGTTTTCACCTAATGAACAATAAGCTTAGGATTAGCACGGCTAATCGGCACAAGAGGGATCGACACTCATATAATAAGCTCCGTTGATCTACGCTTTAGCATTGACATTGAATAGGATGTGTTTCTTGCAATTGTTTGTTTCTTTCTTTTAAAGAAGCCACTCAATGAACCATTTTTGGTGCCCGTTACAAGTATTACATTAGCTAATTCCAGCCACTCACCGTTCACCCCTTCTAATCCCCATGCCACCGTGCTTAACCAATCACGTCGAGCGATTAAACGGAGAATGAAATACTGCAGCCTTGTCGAATGTGTTTTGTAGCTGTTGATGTGTGTGATGATGGTTGTTGGATGGTTGTGCCATCAAGAGATGCATTGAATCTTTAGGTGATGAAGAAATGAAAAAAAAATTCTGTGGAGAACGGTTTCACATTGCATTTCATAAGGAATCGAAATAAAAATATCGGCCATTGTGACGGATCTTGTACACAGTTCTAATAACCGACTATCATGGCATGTATCGTAAGATGTATTGTTTTAGATATGACGGAATGAAAGCAGATTGCATGGATATGGTAAACCAAAGGTCATACAAACGACATGCGACAATTTCTCCAACCATGGCTTGGCGTGTGTGGCTCGGTTTGGATATTAAAACCCGCGCCACTTATTTTTTCAAAAGGAATAAACAATATCCCCAGTTCGCAGTAATCGGTATTGGAAAAATATCCACAAAAACCAAGGCCCGATGAAAAGAACCGGGAAAACCTGCAAGCTGACCACTACGATGGTCGGGTCCTGAGCCGGGGTTTGAACGCGGCCTTTGCAGCGGTGTGCAAAAGAAGAAGAAAAAAAAGAACGATGGCTGCCTTTTTTTTTTAACACTCTTGTGCACCCACGTTTCACACATTATGACGTGTTTTGGTAAATTGGACGTCGCGTTGACCATTGCAAGCGAACGCATGTCATGTCGATAAAAGGTTCAATAACTAATAATAGAGAACAAAAACCTCTGTTTCATGTCAACTGAAAAAATGGGATGGTTTGAGTAACCCAAGTAACAAAATGAAATGTCCCCTATCCATAATAAGTCTGGTGTCGATTGGGAATCGTTGCGACATGAAATCGGTTCCAATCTAATTGTAGCTTTTTTAGGGTTTTCTTCCATAGAAGTCTGTGTATATTTTAGCTGCATTTCCTTTTTCGACCGACTGAGGCCCAGCTCCTGAAAATAAAGAGGAAGAACTCAATTCTTTATCAATTGAATGCACGAGACGCAGAAAAAAAAACGAAATTCTGTACGATCTAAAATAAAGTATCATTGATGGCGTTCAAATTGATATGTTGCCATGGTGCTATTTCCACTCCTTGTCTGATCACCTGGTTCTTTATTTTTCTCTTTTTTTAATTTTTTTTTCTGGCTGAGATGTAATAACGCGACGCAGGTTTGACACCCGACTACGTGCAAAAAAAAAAAAAAAACGAAAAAAAAAAGAAACACCTCACTCAGACCTCCTCCCATCGGCCAAGCAATACAATCACAACATATTCTTGGAACAAGAATTGCAATTGGATGACATAAACATGAGCGGGGCAAGCACATCAAGTCTGCACGCGTACCTTGAATTGTTGCCAAGGGGAGTGATGAATTTCTTCTTTTATGTATAAAACATCCTTTTTAGATGGCATGAAGATTCTGTATTCTGCTTATGAGAACGGTTTCTTCCCTTGAGCAAAAAGTGTAACACAAGGAGCAATTTAGTCCATTTCAGGCCGCGCCGACGATCTAGGACCCAGTGAAGGAACCGCTTGCTTTTTTTTTTCTCAGCCGTGCAATCTCGGAAACACATTCAATAAAACGATATAAATATCCCCTTTTCATCAGTGATCCAATGGTCTAGTGCACGGTTTTCTCTCCTCTATCCTTTTTCTCCCCCTTTTCTCCGTTGTCATCATGAAATTGTGGGCCATTTCCAGTTTGGTGGGATTGGCTTTGACTTCTTCCGTCCACGCTGCTGACGTGCAATACGCTGTGATTGCTTTCCCTAAGAATAATGAAAATGTCGCTGTCTCTGTAGGTGGCCAAAACCATCCTCTTCAGCCGAGTCAACAACATCCCAATCTATTTGTGGGTTCAGCCCCGTCGGCCGATTCCTATCAGTATGTCTTGACCAACGGGAACAACAGCCAGCCCGAAGCCCATCAACGTAAATTGGCTCAAGGAGCCACGCAAACCGGCAATGAATTCTTCAATCGTTCCCAGACCATTTACAACGTGCCAGACATGCCTCAGGCTTACAATCCCATCTATCCTCGTAAGTGGACATGAGATTGTGTCGCAATTGCATTGGCAATCGCATGATCCTGACAGATTTCTTTGATTTTCTTGTTTGTTAGCTCTCTTTTCCAACATGAACCGTTCCAATGAGATTGCAACTATTATTGTTCAAGCGAATAGCACGGCTTTCAAACCCATTATTGAAAAGCCCTTGGAAGATCACAAGTATGCCGAAGCTTACAATGTGACATATATTAGCAATCAAGAAGTGTATACTTTCACCGGTGCAGGCATCAAGAACAGTGGTCAATCTTCCAAGGATTACGCCAAACAGTCATTCAAAATCAAGTTGAACAAGTTTAGCAACAAGAACGCTACCAAGGAATTGTTGTTTGGTCGCACCGTACTCAAACTCCGTGCCGAAGAAACCGATCCTACCATGGCTAGAGAAAAACTGTTCATGGACTGTTTGGCCGCTGCTGGTGGTGCTACGTTGTCTGGAAGCTGGGTTCGTTTGTTTGTCAACGACAAGCCTTATGGATTGTATCTCATGGCAGACGATGCTACCACTCACTTTATTGACGCTGCCTTGCACGGTGGCAACTTTTCTTACCCTTATACAGGTAAGTTTATTTTTGTTTAGTTGTTTTTCATAGGGTGACGAATGTACTTAAAAAATAATGTTTTAGGTCCCACCTACAAGGGTAACGCCATGAGCGACAAGGAAGAAGGTAACATGATGTACTTGGGCCCTGACCAGAAGAACTACAAGGAAGATGTTTACAAGCTGGAAGACGATGGTGAAGTCAAACTCGCCAAGAACGAAACATATCTCCCTCTGATCAGCTTCTTGCAACGATTGGATTCCATTGACCCTACTCAGGCCACGGATGCCAACAATCAGGGCAATCTTTCGTCGCTTCTCAATCCTCAACACTTGATGATCCACATGGCCATGAATTTCTTGGGCGGTTCCTGGGATGGTTTCTGGTACCAGGCCAGCAACTACTATCTGAATGAAGACTTGCAATCCAAGCAATGGACTCTGATTTCGTACGACTTTGACGAAACCATGGGAGTCGGTGACGACAAGGGACTTTCGAAGGTCGCCTATCAGAACTACACCAAGCCCAATGCCAAGCGTCCTCTCATTGATAAGATCCTCAAGTCGCCTTATTACACCTCCCAATTCGAAGACGTGCTCAAAACCATTATCAAGCGTTTCTTTAACCCTCGCGTGTTGAATCCTCGTCTTCAAGCTTGGACTGAGATGTTGCGTGAAGACATTGCATGGGACCGTTCTCTCGAATCATTGTCTCCTGGTGAGAAGCCCAAGTGGACCTTGGATGATTTCGTGACCAATATGAATACCACCATCAAGGAAGGCACCATTGGTCTTGCCGAATGGGTCAAGGTTCGATCGCAAGCTACCTGTCAGCAATTGAACTTTAACGATACCGACGATTTGCCGCCTGTGGGCCCTTACACCGGTGGACGCCACATGAATGGCAACGATCAGGGCGATGGCAACTCTGGCAACCAAGGCAATGGCAATGCCGATAATGTCAACGGCAATGGTAACGGTGCCAATAACAGCTCCAAGAACGCTCAAGGCTCAGCTGACAGTGCGGCTGTGTCGTTCTTGTCTTCCTTGAAGATGACCACTGGTTTCCTTGCTATTTCTTTTGTTTGTCTTTCTTTATTGTAATAATTTAAATTTTCTATTTTCATAAACTGGATGTTCATCATCATTACGCCATACAACATGCATTTGTGCTTCCATAAGATATTTTTTTTGGTTCGTGTCACCTAAGATATGTCACTAGTTCGTGTCACTTTTGGTTGAACAATCGAACATTGTTCCATGTGAGGATGAGCAATTTGGATCCCCGGTTCCGCGCGCATCGGTTCCCTGCATCTCTGTGGAAGGCTCAATCTAGTGGAAAAAAAATCCATGTGTCTGGAAACACATGTGGCTAGTTGGATGGTTTGTCGTCTTTTACACAACACGGACATGATTTTATTCAAATAGAGAAAAACGCCGTGTGGAGTTTTTTTTCTTTCGAATGTGGATGATTCTGGCTTTTTTTTTTGCGTCTAGTGCAATGACGGTCCATACAATGGTTCTGGATCTATCTACAGTATGCATTGCAAAATACTCATGGCGGCGCGGGTTTAACATCTTGTGAGGCGGGCCTGAGATTGGTGTGTTGTTCCAGGAGAGCGGCTAATTGTTCACGGTTACGAAGGAGTTGTTGCTGTAATTCCGGTGACAGTTGGCTGTATTGCGTCGCAAACTGTGGATTTTGCAGCAAGGCACTCGCTTGGGCTAATCCATTTGCGTAAGCTGTACAAAAAATGACACCATCCGTCAATCCACGATCCAGAAAGTTTACTTTCATACATGCACAAAAAAAAAAGATTAATGAGGCTAACCTGTATTGGTAGTAGGCGGTGCAGGCTGTTGCGATGCTGCCAGACGCGCTTGTTCGGCTTGAAGACGTAGCATTTCCTGCTGTTGAGCGGCTTGTTCGGCAGCAATTTTTGCTTGTTCTTCGGTGAGTAACTGGCGTTGATCTGCTAACAGTTGACGCTCGATCAAAATCTTGAGTGGCGTAGACGCTTCGCTCTAAAAGACGGGTCACTTTCAGTAAGACGTTGCACAACCATCTTGGGCCTCCCCCCACCCCCAAACTTGATGTGCAAAATGAAGCACGGCACTTACATTGGCAATCTTTTTGATCACGGTCGCGTACTTTTCGAATAAATCGGTTTGACACTTAAATATCTCGAGCATGGTTTTATCTTGCAGTTCCATGGGGATTTTGTTGGCATTAAGATCTCCTTTTGGGTATTGATATATGTGGTAGGGAAGTAAACGATCGATGGCGTCCTTGAGGGAACTAAAAGGTGTCTCGTAGTCGGGCTGTGTTACGGCTTTGTGATCCGAAGCCAGTGATTCGTTAAATCTAGAAATCAAATCATTCATTAGGTATCCATGGAATCCTTTGCTGTTCAGTTTAGTCATACCTTCTTTTGATTTCCAAGTGATGCAATTCTTCTTCTGGTAATCGTTTTGTTAATATCGGTTTCATTGCCATTTGATTGGACGGCAGAACAAACGGTTTGGCTGTATTGAGAGTATTCGGCGCCGCGGCATTTGCATCCATTCCCACTGGCATTGTCGTGTTGGATGCTGCTTGCAACGACTGTTGTAAAGCCAGCAACTGTTGCTGTGTGAGTCCTTGTGTATGATTCTGGGCTTGGGGTTGCTGCTGTTGCTGTTCATGTTGTTGATGTTGTTGTTGCTGCTGTTGCTGCTGCTGCTGTCGCTTTTTCGAATACTTTCCAGTTTTCACGTATTTACGCGTCGCTTTGACTTCCGGCATACCAGATAAGTTGGACCGGAATTGTGTTTGTGGTTGCGCCTGGGATGGCTGCGCCTGTATTGGTTGCATTTGTATCGGTTGCGGTTGTTGTTGTCGTGCGTGTAATGGCTGTGCCTGCAGTGGATGCGCATGTAGTGGTTGCGATGACGGAGGTTGCGGTGATGAATACTGTTCTTGCTGTCGTTGTAGCTGGTGCTGCTGCTGTCGTTGCTGTTGTTCCAATTCTTCTCTCAGTTTGCGAGCCGTTTCCTGCAAGGCTTCAGCATCTGCGGTGGATGTTTCTCCAGGTATGGTAGCAGCAATAGCGTCTTGTTTGGGTGCGATAACCTTGGTGGTAATATCGGTCCGCGGTGGCGTCGTGTTGGTGGCCTTGGCAGCCGCAGCCATGGTGGCTTTATGAAGAGCTTCAATTTCGGTCATGAGCTGTTTGTGCTTTTCTTCGCCAATGGAAGATACGCTCACGTTGTCGGAAAGTTTGTAAATTATCTGATCTCGCTTTCGTACCATCAGTACTTTGAGACCGGCCAATGTCAATGGCGTAATAAGCTGTTCATCGGCGGCTGTTGCACCCGAGTCATCAGTGATAATCTGTGAAGAAGAAGGATGATCCAGCGTGAGATATCAAATATGTGCTACAAGTTATTCGTAAACGCTCACCTGCTCTTGTAAACCACTAGGTGATGGACTGTTTATTGATGAGGCCATAACGGAGATGCTTGACTGTCAAGTACATGAAAAATACACGATTGATGCAAAGAACAGTTGATCAGATACAGTACGCGTAGAAAGAACAAACTTAAAAAGGGTCCAAGGAAACAACCAACGTGTCTTTTCAACACTTTTCAGCGGCCTTTTTTCAACTATCCTTTTTGTAACTCACTTTTTTTTTCGCCTCCCTCGGATTTGGACTTGGAAATGCCTGTTCGAGGGTCGTATGAGCGCAGCCAAAAAAAAATTTGCTTTTGCGCGCCATTTTTTTTTTTTGGAACGCAACGTCATCGTTCTTTTTCAATCCAGGTCGCTGATTGGCCAACGATCATTTGCGCAAAACCCGAGTGATTTGCCCACCTTAACTTTTCTGCTCAATGACAAGCGCATCCAGTCAATCGCGACCTGTCATTGCAGAGAAAAGGGAACTCCACTGGCTGGCAAAGCTCTTTGCGGGAGTTTATTGCGAAAGCAAACAAAAGGATGAGGAGACTTGGGCCGATGTTTTTGTGAGAGAGTACTGGCGACCGGCTTTGTTGACTTTGGCCATCGGGGTACCCGTGGGTTATGTATTTATGACGGTATTGGTTGGGAAACGATATCCTACGGCAGGACACATTCCGCCGGAAGCGTTTGCCCGACAGGAAATGATTCGCGGCAAGGTCCTGAAAGTGGGCGACAGCGATAATTTTCGGCTTTATCATACGCCTGGATGGGGATGGGGCTGGCTCCGAAAAATCCCCACTACACGAAAAGGTGAGCCTCATCACTAAGTGCCACGAATACCAGATTATCTTATATCCGTAGAATTAAGGCAACAAACCATCCCTATTCGCATAGCTGGTGTGGATGCTCCCGAGGTAATTATTTTGTGGTGAAAAAGCCCGATCATCTTCATTACTAATTTGCATGACAGGGAGCCCATTTTGGTATGCCGGCACAACCGTTGTCTGCTGAAGCCAAAAAATTCTTAACGAATCTGGTCCTCAATCGCCACGTTCAAGTTCAGCTATTGAGCCGGGATCAGTATCAACGTATTGTGAGTGTCTCCGAGACCCTCAAGCGCCGCTGATGACGCTAACGAAACGAACACATCCTTAGGTGGCCATGGCGTATGTACGCAAGCCGCCCTTTTATCGTTTAAAAAATGTATCCGAGGAAATGCTCAAGGTGGGCCTTGCAAGTATGTACGTAGCCAAAGGAGCACAGTACGGCGACGCTCAAGCACAATTGGAGAAAGCGGAAGCCCGAGCAAAGTGAGTATTGATCCTATCGTATGAGAGATGGGAGCATACATGTTAAGCTATCTATATTATCAGGCTCTTACGAAAAGGCATTTGGGGATTAAAGACATACGTTTCGCCCCACGCACATAAAGCAAGGTAGGCTTGACGGTGTTAAATAGGCAGATCATGTCAGTATCACTAATGCATACGTGCCAGGTTTTTAAGAGGTCAAGGAAAGTGAATCCCTGCATGGCTGTCCATCGCATGAATATGAAAACCCGATGGAGCTGGGAGGTTGAGTTATAGAAAAATGAAATGATAGACATGATTGCTTGCTAATAACTCAAGTCACACGCTATCGTTGAACTATATGTGGGGATAAACATCAACTATTGTACTTAGTGAACAACCCCATCAATAACGAACAAGCAAAAAAGAATAGACAAGTCAAAATTGGTGACACTAATGCAACTGTCGGTTGATGTTTTTTGTATGCTCCGAAAACTCGAATTGTGAAATTTTATGTATGCGATTGCAACTTGTCTTTTCCCATGATCGAAGTATGGCAGTATACGAGAGAGTGGTTCTTCGAGATCAGGTCGTTTCTTCGCTAATGCTGCTGTCGGCGGCGTCATCCCAGAGGCGGTCCCTTAACTCGGTCCAAGCGACACTCGGTTTTGTATAGGCGCTTTTCTCGATTCGTAGAGGGACATGAAGTCGTACAATATTGAGTCGATTGATGTGGGATGAAAGGGTTTTGCCCAGAGTCATCCCGAAATGACAAAAGACAAAGGCGGTCATGTAGGCATCAAAATGAGCAGCATGATCTCTTCGTTTTTTCGGTTCTTCTTGTTCGGACGTGGGGGTTGGTACATCTGCCACAGAGTCCTCCGCAACGGTATTCGTCGAGGTTTCATTTTCACTCTGGGTGTTATCACTAGTAGTTACAGATGCTTCGTCTGCTTTGACCGGTCTGGGTGGAATATCATCTTTATCAAGAATCAGCTGTAAATCATGCGACCGTGGACAGCTTTTACCACGATGACACCATCCCTTTTGCTAAAAATCAATGCATCAGTTTATCCGCAAAAGATCCAATACAATAAAGGATAACTTACTGCATACTCCGCACAGACACCACCCTCTGACGATTCATCACCCGCATCGCGTCGTAGCCGCCTTCGACGTTTCTGTGATCGACTTAAGGGTGTGGAAGCGTTGTCGCGTAGTCGTTTTGGGGACTCTTGGTCCGCTAAAGAAAGTTCTGGCACGGGTAAAGGATCCTCCACTCGGATCGAGAAACTGTGGTCCCCATGATTGAGACGATCATATTTGCAGTACAGGTAGGCTAAGAATGTTTTCGGTTCGTTGGTGACGTGCGAAGCAAGATATTTGGTATCATAGATGCCTCCGGAAAAGATTTCGGTAAGATCGGCGATGAAGGGTTGTAGTGCCTGAGGCAAATCGGCAATAAAACTTTGATAGATGTACATGAGATCAAGGATACCGTTGTGAACGACGATTGGAATTTGTTTTTGCCGAATGATTTGAAGAATGCTACACCATAATTGCCGCAAACTGTAAGGCTCCGGATTACTTTGGGTCCCGGCTTTGTAAGGAATGCCTACCGAAAAGTGACGAGTGAAATCCAGCCCATTGTCGGCCAGAAATTTGAGATTCTGCGGCGTCACACAAAAGTCCTCCTGATTGCTTGTGAGGAATTCAAAATTGTGGACTGAAAATACATTCGGCTCATCGGTACGATTGATGATCGTCATACCAAAGGATAAGATGGCGTGCGTTCGTATGACGGCACTGATGGTCTTGTATCGGTGTTCCATGTTGGTGGCGACTCGTTCACCGTGACCGGTGAATTCAGTGTCAATGGCAATGTAACTGGCATGGGCTATTTTCTCGAGTATGATAGGATAGAGCGCCCTGAAATTCTCGGTGGATACTTCATTATATGCGATCGCCGGTTCAACTACTTTCGGTGGCATGCTCTTGGGATCGTTTGAAATGGTTTGAAAGCAAGGAAAAAAGAAAGGCGCAGTGATTTTTTTTTAACTTTCTGCAGCATAAGTGACTGTTTCGATAGAGTCTAACATTGTACCCAATGGTATGCCCATCGCCATACCATAACTTATTATCAGCACCACCAGGTTTCGACAAAACCTATGCGTGCTATCATTGCTTTGAATGTCGTTAATAAAAAAATCGCGTAGACACAAAAAGGGTATGTGCGAGGAAGGAAAATGGTTTGGAGTGTTGCAGGACTACGGGAGCTTTTTTTTCCTGCGACTCAAGGTGTCATCATTCATTGTTTATTACCTGGTAAATTGCCGTAAACAGAAAAGCAAAGAGTCTTTGTGAGACAATACAGAAGGTTTATTTTGTTGTTGTTGGCCATTACTTTTTGCTTGCATGTCAGAGGGTGGTTATATCCTCCTCCTTTCTCAAGTCTCCTCTTTTCTCTTTTGATCGATTTTTTTTTGGCAGAGCTGGCGTTCTGATAATCACCCTTGTCTCCTTTCCCGGGTCTTTATCGTACTATCGTCCTGCAGCTGGCAAAAGTTATTACTGCTGCCTGTCTTCCGTGTTGCTGTTCTTTTTTCTCTCTCTCCCTCTCTCTTCCTTTTTGTTCCTTTCTTTTCGTTCGCTTTTTTTTCCGTTTTGCTCAATATTTTCCCCTTTTCACTTTTTCTTTGCCTTGTTCACTTTAAATTTTTCTTGCGGTTCTGCCCTTCTCATTTTGCTTCTTTGAAGGTGTCTTTTCTTTCCTCTATACACTGTCGTCCGTGTCCTTTATGACATCTCCACCGACATTAGCAGAGTGTAATGAATGGGTGTGCGAACACTCGGCTGCATTGATGAGTAATGTTGCCAGTCGACAAGATGTTGCTATGCTACTCGACAGTTTGCAGATCCTGGTAGAAGCTCTCGACGCGCCCTTGGCGGTGCTGGAACCACTAAAAGGCCGTGTGCGGCAACTCAAAAAACGTCTAGCCAATCAACAGGACCAAACCCAGCTTAAGGATGTGGTACAGTGTCGGCTTGCTATGGCTTGTGCTTAACATGTCTTTTTATGAGATCGGATAATAATATTTTTTTTGCGGTTGCCTTGGTTTCGATAGTTGCGGCATATTCAAGAACTGGGCCAAGAATGCCAGACAATCGTGGACAAACCAACGTCGTTTGTGAAAAAAGATCCATCACCGAACTATTATATTGAACCCAATCGAATTTTGCCTTCACGGACCCGTGCACAGCAATATGCGCATCCGTGGCCTGATCAAATCGATACCAAAGCCTATTGGTTCCGACAGTACTTTGTTGGAAAGCCTTACGTTACATTGATCGGTCCTCTATCCCCATCCTCCGTACCAAAGGAAGAACAAGAACATGCCATCATCTCGATCGTGCGGGAACACGAAAAAGAGTTTGCAAAGAAGGACAGCGTGTCATTTGTGGGAAATCGGTACAGGGTTATTGTCCGCGGAAAAGAGGCAAGTCCACTGTTCACAAAGTTTTGATGTTCTTTGCCAGTTTGCCAACCCATAATAAATATCAGACTTTTCTTTCGCGGCAAGTGGTGCACGAAACGGTTGCCAAGGCAGTTCAGGTGCGTCTGGAGGCAGTGGGAATGGCAGACTGCTTAGATTGCAAAGCGCCCAAACCGAAACGATCACGCCCTTTACGAACATTTTCATCAGCCCTCAGTAACGGACCGCAACCGAACAGCATGACACGCACAATGCGGGCTGCACTGCTCGCCATCTATCCTGATGTGGATCTCCGCTGTTTTCACGAATTATCTGCCGAAGAAACCATTCTTGCTGGTCTCGAAAAAGAGTTTCTACGGTTTGATGAGATAGGGGTAAATCATCGCGGCACAGCTGAACGGATATCAATACGACTACTTAAAATATACCCGCTTGATAGATTCCTCGTAATTACAAATTTGGCGTACTGACTATTCGCAAGGATCAAAAAACAGAAGAAGAGTGGTTCAATAATTCAGGCATGTCGGATGATTTAAGAGAGTTTCTCGAAACTCTTGGGACTTGTGTGCAGTTGAAAGGATACAAAGGTTATGCAGCAGGACTGGACCCGAAAAGTAAGATCGAATAACCCTCACAATGATGTATCTACCCCCCCCCACCCCCAGCTTTTTCTCTACACTCATATCAAAATCACAGATCACTTAGGGTAATTTACTGATGACGTTTTGCTGTAGCTGGCGAATCGGGAGATATTTCGTACATGACGACATGGGAGGATCATGACATTATGTTCCACGTGGCGCCACTGATGCCGGCAAGAGACAACGACCGACAGCAGGTTCATCGAAAGCGATACATTGGCAACGGTAGCACGATAATCATAATAAGGCTTGTACGGCTATTTACCAAAACTTGACATTCAGATATCGTTTGTCTTGTATTTATCGAGGGCGACTCATCCGAGTTCCATTTCAACGCCATCCGTTCGCAATTCCTTCACGTCTATATTCTTGTCCACGCCGAAACCGTTGCTGGTCAACGTGCGTGGCGGTAAGTTACATCTTTTCGGTGCTACTATTATCATTTTTGATGGTGATGCTAAAAGAGCAGGCTATGTTGTTTAGTATTGAAGTGGTGCGGCACAAGAACGTACCTGAATTTGGACCCCATATACCCAGTCCTCCTCTTTTTTATAACAAGGAGGAGTTGAAACGATTTTTGACCGTCAAATGTAAGAGTTTTTAGTGCCACAGAGCAATGGAATATCTCTTCAAACGGAAATTGAGCAGAATAGGGATATGGATGTAGTGGTTAATGCTGAAAATGCAGCATTGAAATCGGATAAATTCCGTATACCAAATACAAAAGCACGCAGTAGTATGTTTAGAACATTGATGCAAACGGGTTTGGAAGCCAGTCAAACAGCGCAATCTTTCCGTTCCAGTCGTTTAGCTAGCGACGGTAATCTCGTCGTCAAAAGCAACTTTTACCAGACGGAGCGACCCAAATCGGCCGGTGCGCAACGATCGCGAAGCAGTTTGCGCAATTTACGTGCTGCACATGAAGGATCGGTACGATGTGCCACGCCGGACATGGGTCCTATGCCTGTCAGTTCACGCTCCAGTATACTGCGCGATTTGAAAAGCTTGGCAAAACACCGAATCAGTCATGGTCCCAGTCTCACACGCCCATCGCCACCTGCAGATGATAACTCCAGTCAGGGCTCTACGAGCAGTGATGAAAAAGGTAAGTTCCATCGTCAGCCCAAAAGGAGAAATAATCCATGTCGAGAATCCTTTTAAATTAAAAAAAAAACTATTGTTATAGACAGAGGATCCAGTAAACTGAACGGGTGTAAGAAAGATAAGAGTACTTGCAAATCCAAACCGGAAACCCATAGTATACGATCTCGCGCCCAGAGCCTGATGTCCAGTGTCATGGGACGTCGCAGCCAGAGCAATCACGCTGTGTCTTCCGCAGCCTCCTCGCTGCGACCCTCCACCAACATTCCACGGTCGAGAACCTTTATGAACGGTCAACGCCATGATTTTAAAGAAGACGACAGTTTACATCCTTGCTCATGAATTGTTGAATGTATGGTTGAATAACCACCGTATACCCCCATTGACCGTGAACGTGATTATATTATGAATCACTGCCATGAACCTTCTTTATCTGTTTATCCATTATTATTAATGCCTGTTGCTTGACGATTAAAGTGTTTTGTAATGCCTCGCTGTGGTGGAAACCCAATCAAAGCGACTTGGCTTACATTTACAGATGCTATGTTGTACGTAATATCCATTTCTGCGGCGATACAGTATGATTCCGGTGGCCCAAACAGGTATATGCTTTTTGCTCGGACTTTATGAAATAGGCGGCGGACGAAAAGTTTTCTCACTGAGTGAACCATCAATGATTGATTCTCTAAAGAAAGAAAATACATGGTATGGTAATGTGAGAGTTAGAAATAGGGCTTTATTTTTGGTTTGTACAAATGACATCAAGGGGAGAAAGAAAAGAAAGAAAGCGCTCAGCTGCATATAAATAAATTATGGATTTGGGGGTGTGAAGTGAACACATAACAAGTAAGAGTGAGAGGTACGAATTATAAAAGACCAACATTTCGCAGATTTTCATGGACAATGATATCGTTTACAGCCGACATGACAAATTTGATTTGTTTTGTATCGGTTGCACATGTGAAATGAGTGTAGATTTGTTTGGTGTCGGCTCGTGTATTCAGGGACACGAAGCGTTGTAGCAGGAATTGGCAAGCTGCTTCGTAGTTGTCACCACCATGATAATCATCAAAGTAGTTGGATAGAGGGCTGCGCGGCAGCTTCTGAGCAAATAGGTCGATCTTATTGAGGAAGAGGATGATGGATGTTTTGATGAACCACCTTGAGTTGCAGATGGAGTCGAAAAGTGTTAAAGCTTCCTGTAATCGGTTCACACTTTCGTCTTCGAAAAGCACTTGATCGTATTCGGAAATGGCGACAAGGAATACCAAAGCAGTAACATTTTCAAAACAATGGATCCACTTTTTTCGTTCCGATCGTTGGCCACCCACGTCAAACATTCGGTAGGTTAGATCACCAATGACAAATGCTGTTTCCGTAATTCCGGTGGTCTTGACGCGCGATCGCAATACATCCTGATCGCTCGGCATGTAGTGAGGTTGTCCGATACGTAGAATGGAATCAAAGTAACTAAAAGAGAAAAAGATCACCCACCGTCAGTTTTCCGGATTTCTCATGCAATGCCGATATCCCAAATAGGCAACCATGTGCAAAAACTTACTACTGTGCGGAATCATTGAGCTGGAATTCATTTGCTCGTGCTACGCACTCCTGTACCCCAGCATCATCCCAAAGCGCTGCAATGGCTTCCATCAACTCTTGTCCGAGGTAATCAATCGGTGGCGGTGCCTCAATGATCAGTCGTCGATACACTTCGTTGTCTTGCTTGACCAAAGAAATTCCCAACTCGTCCATCGCTTCCAATGTCACTCGCATCGATTGTAACGTATTGCTAAAAATCACTTCCTTGAAATTTTCGCGTTCCTCCGAGGTATAGCCCCCGTCGTGAATAAGCTTCATTTGCTTCAAAATCGTCGACTTGCCAGATTCACCGGCACCTAAGGCGCAATAAGTATTGAGAGTTGACGACAAACTGTCATTTTAGTCTCACTTACCCAATAGTAACATCTTTATTTCAGTCTTCATATTGGCCCGGTCTCTTTTGAGTTGAGCTTCGATTTTATCATTGCGTTGTTTTTCTTCAACATATTCTGTAGACTGACAGCATCCCATGGTGTAGCGTAGTGATGGCGACAAAATATTAAATGAATAGCTGGGTGAAATGAAGATAGATAGGAGGGTGCTGGGGGAAAATTTTGGACAGACTAAAACCTTGACAACGAATCTCTCAATACTCGAGACAGATCAGCTAAGAAAAGAAAAGAAAAGAGCTGTCGCGTCAAAATGGCAAAAGGTCAAAGATGATGATAACAAAAAAATACAAGACAAAAAGAGAAGAAAAGAGACAGAAATACGGTTGACTGGCGGCGTCAAATGAGAAGCGATGTATTTGCGTTACTTTCTCGTCTGTTCGCCATTTTGCTTTCGGGCAAGACAGCGCCAAAAAAAGACTTCAAAACAATTGGGGGTGTGCACCCAGCCAGGGGTGTTGCATCGTGCGGTTGAACTTTGCAAACAACCATGAACCATGAAGTGAAAAAGATCACAAACTGGTTTTTTGGCTTTATATGGAAACTGTTTATTGAATGAAATGACCTTTTGTCATCCCTGAATTGCCATTTTTGAGTTGCATCCCCTTGACTGCCTTTGTATCTGGATCCTTCATTTCTTTCCCATCTTACTGCTCCACATGCCTCTTTTTTTTTTTCTCTCTCGTTCGGTGATTGACTCGATTTATCGATTTACAGATTCTTTTTTGTGTCGTTCTCGCTCCGCTTGTAAGTTGGTCAACCAATGCAATTTGAGTTTTTCCATCCTTAATTGAGAGCAAGCCAACTGACGAATCGCCTTGGTCATTTCCTTGGGACGGATGCGTTGATAATGGACCAATTCATCGGATATCATTTGATGAGATTGATTAATTTGACTTCCCACCCGTTCGACTTCCGTTAATGTCTATGCACAGATGAATCAAGCAATGAGATTAGCTCCTTAACTTGCATGGCAACAGAACCCTCCAATCTTAAAAAAAGTTGCAATTTTCTCCCGAATACCTTGAATATCTTTTCCTTCTCCTGCTCCGTATTCACACGTTCAGAGAATAACCCAGCATTCCATGCATTTGATTTTCGAAAAGCTTCCCGTTGCACCTCCAGGTCTCGACGCAAGTCAGTGCGTTGTTTTAAAAGTGAAAAGGGTCGTTGCAAAGCCAGCTAAAATAGAGTTTTTTTGCATCGCATAAGTACGCTTTGAGAATCCGTGATCATATCTATTTGACTTACCAAGATACCATCAGTAACGTCTTGCAACGTTTGCATCGTTGCATTTAGTGTATGCCATGTGTATGCGTTCTAGTCATATTACTAAGTTTCTGGCTGCAGTCGCAAAAACCTTAATTCCGTTGCTATCCTTTTTGTACATCCTTCGCTTTCTTCCGTCCTCTCCCCCCATAAACGCTATTCCCCTTATTTTCAATGTCCGCATTTGTTGTTGTCCCCCTTGTTCCTTACCGTGGTGTCACCAGCAAGGCTTGCACAGACTCTGATCGTCTCCAAGTCATCCGGTCGCAACCCGACCAACGAAGCTCCTTGTTCATAACTGTGTAATACCTCTGATAATTGATCATGTAAATCTGTACGATGGTGTTACTCTCGGTTGAAAAAAGCATCCCTTCTCCTTTTTTTTCGGCAGTCTTTGCCAATAGTTCTCTTTTTACCTTGTTCGTGCATGATTGTCTGTCTTACAGCGTGAACCAGTCGTCGGAATCCTTCTAGTTGCGGCTTCATAAGCATTTGGATGTATGAAAAGAAATATTCCTCATCTCCCTCGCCACTTGGTTTGGATGAATAAGTGTCGCAGATCTTTTCAATCAAAAGATTTCTCTTGGCAAATGATCCATCTTTGATTGTGGCTCGCTATCATGAGCGGACATTTCATAAGGAAAAGAAAACACAATAAAAGAAGAAAACGTCGTGAGATTTGGGATAGTCTTTTTTTTTATCATTTCTGTTTACCTGGATTTCAGGCACGCGGACGAAAGATTGGACTAAATCATGCTGCCGCAAGCTGGGATGTTGCTGAAGCCACTCCATGAACCAATTCAACGTACGAACTGATTCTTCCGTTAGTCGCGATGGCGGAGGTCGGAGATCTACCGTCATTGGGTCCACAAGATGTTGCAATGTCGGCAGAAACGCTTCAGGCATTTCGTACAGAATTTCTCGCTGCAAAAATAAAAAGTCCTCCATGGATCGACGGATCGTTCGCATAGTTTCAGGACGCCCTCGCTAGGAAACAAAAAAAAAATGCTTGGCGTGAGTATGAATAACAAGAAACTCTTTCCTCGAGAGTCAGACTTACATGACCGCTTTTGATGATGTATGAAATGGCGCTCTTTTGACCGTTCCATTCCACGGCAGCGCGAGTGAGAGCCCATGAATACTGTGCAACCGGAAGTTCAAGGGAAGATGAGGTCGGCTTCGGATGATTTTCTAAGCACATCTCTGAGAGAACAATGACACATTAGTATACTCCGCCTCGATTGATTTCTCTTGGTCTCACGAGTGCAACCATACACAAGTATTACCATCGAGATAGTCAACCAGTGACGGAACTCGGCATAACCGAATGGGGCGTTCGTTATGATCGTTTAGCAAGTTTGGGTTTGCGCCAACCTGAATAAGTGCTCGTATAAATTCTTTTGCTCGATCCAGTCGTTTGCGCGGCGAGATGCCCGTTGTCGCTGCCGCGATATGAAGTGGTGAATCACCATGAATACGATCCCGTACTTCTATGAGATCCTTGAAATGCTCAATGAGGCCTCTTACACTTGCTGATCCCACAACGGTCCGATGGGACAGCGCTTCAGTCATCAGATGCAGCGCAGACCGTCCGTCACGATCCACTTTCAACCGATCCACATGAGCATGACTGAGGAATACCTCTACGAGATCGAATCGTCCTCGAGCGCACCACGACAATAACGGTGTGCGTCCATCATGGTCGGCCAATTCCAATAATGGGGCTGATATCTGCTCGAGGTACTTTTGAAGAATATGTCGATATTCGCACAAATGAAGAAACGTCTGTCCTTGATGATTTTGCCACGTTAGCATATGATCGGGGCTGTTTTGTAATACGAGTTCCAGAATTTGAGCCGATGTTTGACATGCAATGTGCACAGGACTGTTGCCTTGATCGTTTTGGACATCCATCGAAGCGCCATGGTCCATCAGCATTTGTAGAATGAGCTCGTTTGTTTGTCGACAAGCCCAAAGTGCGGCAGTACTGCCTTCAATGTCCTTGGCATGGAGTGTTTCTTTCACATAGGTATCTTCAAGGAGTAGGCGAACTATATCGATTGCATCGGCTTGGATCGCTTTCATAAGCGGCGTTTCACCCTTTTCATTGACATCGGAAGCACCGACGCCACACTGTCGACAAAGAACGTAACGTGCAATAGGTTCGTGACCGCCCATGCAAGCGAGCAGTAATGCATTGTTGCCTTGTTCATCGCGCGAATGACATACAGTGTAGCATGGTTTACTGGGCGAGGGATAAATACTGGCGGATGAACTTCTCCTTGGAAACGCCGGTGGTGACGTTATATAACCAGCACTATCTTCTTCCAAAGGACTGTTATCGGTCTCTTCAAATACGCGTTGGACTTGTTCCAAACGGCCTTCGATTAGAGCTTCCCAAAAGCGGTAATTTTCATCCGAAATTGCCGTCAACTGAGGTTTGGATTCCAAGACGTAATTAAGAAGCCCTTCCAGGGTACTGAGTGCAAATCCACACTTCCCAGTCGATACATTGCGGCCGAATGTATATTCCTATGCCAAGCAAGAATAAGTACAAGCATTCTAGTTGAGCTATTCTTCGATTTTTGCACCTTCATATAGATAATATTCGCCAGCCAATGCGGTACGCGGCTTCGGACGAGTGTTAACAGGAGAAGAGGTATAAGAGCATCGGAATCGAGTTGTTCATCATTGTCTTTTTGACCGGGATGGGATGAAAGCACGGTGACAGTTTGTAAAAGGCAATCTAGCTTCTCCGCTGGTGTGCGAAAAGCGCCAATCTTTTCTAAAATCATGACGGCCATGTGGACCCGCTTTTCTGCCCCTGAAATCGATGGCAAACCCACTTGAATAAAATCCAGGTATTTCATGTCCGTCAAGGCTTCCGTGAGTTCTAGGTCGGATGGGAGCACCAGTTGTATAATGGTAAAAAAGACCACATCATATGTCTGCTCCATAAGATAACTACCCAATCAAAGCACGATATCAATAAACTCGATCCAGTAATACCTTCCTTTGAACGCCAATGTAAACCTTTCAAACGTATCGTTCAGGAGTGAAAGCGCTAGAGGATCAGGAAGCAATGAGGTATCACCCAACGTATGTTCCAGTTGACGGCGAAGCTATTAGCGAGTGTTAATATCATGTTACGAGGCGTAAGACCTGTTCGATTTGAACATTTGATTGTGTATGTCACTCAACTGAATACCCTTCGTGCATAAAACCTTCTGTGCGTGTGTGCAAGTCATCAAGGTCACGGCTGGTCATGGCCGTGTCACAAAACTTGCGGATCAGTTGACTGAGATCGGTTTCGATGGCTGACGTAGCTGGCCCTGGAAGGAGATCAAGAAGATGTTTGAACCTTCTTTCTTGAAACCATTGAGTTTTTCATTGGCACATTATCCTTAAGTATCATGCATGAATAAGCGTCCTACCGTGGCGGTTGAGTATCCGGATGGAGACCCTAAACCAATAATAAGGGGATCAGTTCAGCAGCTGGAAAAGGGAAACAAATCATGGTGGATGCTTACAGGAGCGGTATTGACGATGATGATGGGATTGTCGAGATACAGTAGAACATGGGTGATGGTATCGGTATTATAGAGCATGGCGTCCCGTTGTATTTTGGTGGCGCTTGGATTGTGAAAGCCAGAATGGGTTCTTATGATGTTATTGTGAGCGATGAGGGTTTTATCGTTCATGGTTGTCAATAAGGCTTCCTTTTGCGCTCCAAAACTGAGCATATCCGCATGGCTGCTGCTGTGCGCCCGTGGTCTGGTGGTGGCGGCAGGGGAAAATAGACTGAGCGTTGAAGTGAACAAGGGCGAAGACGGAGGTTTGACTTTATCGGTTGAAAACCCCCGCGAAGATGTGAAGCGCGACAGGACCGATGATGCCGATGTTGAGGGTCGTGGTCGCGGCATGTCTGGTGTCAATGAGGACGATGCCGTTGTACATGTGCGATCGAGAGGAACCACATGAGAGGCTAACAGAAGTAAGGGTGAGTAATGAACCGGTTTCTTTTTTTTTCTTTGCTTCCTTCTTATCAACAAAGGGGTGTGGGAGCAAAAAAAAAAAAAAGTACCTAGAAAGTCGAATGTTCTTTGTGAAGACGGAGGTAATGAGCCAACTGGAGGAAGGAGAAAGAGTAACAGCTTGTCCGCTACGGCAAAACGTGGGTCCTCAAAGACAGCTTGTAATAAAGGATGAGAAAAAGCCATATTCTATGATTCTTCTTTTAAATACACATGATGAACAAACAAAATAAAGATAAACCCGATTCTGAAAATTTATGCGCAACGCTCATTTGATACTCTTCTTCGATTGATGTCGTACCAGAGAAAACAAGGAGACAGGAGGTGCTTGTATTCCTTCTGAGCATATCAAGTTCACCCACCTTATTTTTTCCTCGCTCTTTCTCTTTTTCTCTTTTTCTCTTTTTGCCGTTTTCTTCTCGTCCTTTTTCGCCTACTTCTTTTCTTTTACTACTTTTCCTTAAACTCATCACGTCATTCAAACTCATTGCGTCATCTAAAGTCATCATTCACCATGGGAGCTGTATGTTGCAAAGAGGAACCTGTCGACCTTGATAGTGAAGGTAAGCACTTACCCTTTTTATATACTTTTTGTACCCTGCCATGGTTCAATATGAGGGAATTCATCGAAAATAAGCTACAACTGTCAATCTGTTGCTGTGCATAATAAAGTAACCTAGCAGTGAAGGAGCGGAGATCATAAAAAACCTAAAAAAAAAGAGCACCATGCAATGCCGTTTGTCATTTTTATAGAATTTGCCCATTGAAAATTTTTATTCTTGTTATTCTTTTTTTTTTCTTTAGTGGACCTTTCACATTTCATTCTTTTACGGTCGGTCGGCAAAGGTGCATTTGGCAAAGTCCGAGTGGTGCAGCATAAAGGATCGAAGCAGTTATTCGCATTGAAGTATATCAATAAGGCGAAATGCATCAATATGCGCGCGGTGGATAACATCATCTCAGAACGTCGATTACTGGAACAGATTAATTACAGTCTCATTGTCAATTTGCGCTATGCTTTCCAAGATGATGAAAATTTATTCATGGTGTTGGATCTCATGCTTGGGGGCGATTTACGATTCCATCTCGACCAATTTGGTGTCATGGCCGAAAATTATGTCAAGTTTTTCGCCGCCGAGTTGTCCATGGCGTTACGATTTTTACATAAAAATCATATCGTGCACAGGTAATGTCCAGTAGTATTGACGTCCTACACAGCTGTGCAATCGCTTTGCTTAGGTTACTTTCCATCGTAGAGATATCAAGCCTGATAACATTCTTTTGAACGAGCAAGGCCATGCCCATTTGACCGATTTCAATATTGCTGTCTACTTTTCCGATTCAACGCCTTTATACTCTGTTGCTGGCTCCTTGGCTTATATGGCTCCCGAAATATTGGAAAAGCAAGGTTACTTTGCCTCTGTCGATTGGTGGTCTCTCGGTATTGTCCTTTACGAGCTTCTCTTTGGCAAGGTATACTTTATATTTTTCCCGCCACCTCGTCTTTCATTGTCACTGAAATTCTTGCTAGCGACCCTTCCGCGCCAAGTCGAATGACATTCTTCAAAAAAATATTATGAATGATCCAGTCGTTTTCCCCGAGGAACATGACGTCTCGGATGAAGCCGTGGATTTCTTGAAAGGTTTACTAACACGCGATATCTCTGAAAGACTTGGTGTAGGCGATGAAGGATACCATAAACTACAACAGCATCCCTGGTTTCGCGACATTCAATGGACCGCACTTCAAGCCAAGCAAGCGACACCGCCCTTCGTTCCTGATGTAAGTCTTTGAAATGCTGATGAATCAATTGCAACTCATGACTAATGTTTTGCGTAAACAGAGTAAGCGTGCGAATTTCGATCCGACTCATGAATTGGAAGAAATTCTATTAGAGGACAACCCTTTAAAAGTCAAGAAAAGAGCTCCAAAGCCCAGTGGTTCCGACACCAATCTTTCCGCGAAATCGCAATCGAATGATCCCGTGGTGGAAGAAACTCCGGAGCGCCAACTCATGGAAGATCGTTTCTTGACGTTTGATTATACCAAGCCGGAGGAAAATGAACGACAAAAGAAGCGCTTTGCAAAGAAATGCCGGCAATCCAATTTTGGTCGTAAATACAAAGTAAGCGATTGATCAGGCTTTGTATGCCATGTGCTACTGACTAGAAATTCCATGGTATCTTGTAGTTGCGGGCGGAGTATCAGTATGATTACAAGGAAGATAAAGAGGCAACGGACGACAAACCATCTCCCAATACCTTGGGATCTAACAAAACTGTTGTTGGCTAATTATCAACATCGGTTGTGACCCAACGCTGGTTGTGCGGTACGATGTCTCATTATAATCATGATCACCAGAATCTACGGGTCCGAAGCGCCACTCCACAACTTAGCATTAACATTTTTCAATTTCATTGTATCTTGGCTATTCCAATTATCTCTAATGTTTTAAAATTCTTGCCCAGTCGCCGCACGCCAAAATTTGCGAGATAAAAAACAGTCACATGGTGTTCCTTTTCATCACACGGATTTGGGCAGCTACTTCGCTTGGTGTTAGTTATTCATTCAAAGATGTTGGATGGAGGTTATGGAAAAGTTCAATGGAAGAGGAGAGCTTTCTGTAAAGGGCTATTGTCAGTAGTATGTGTGCCGTTTTACATAATATGCTTCGATCTGTGTAGCCCATCATTCATGCATCAATAAGGAGACTATTGTTTCATCCATGGGAACTCATTATATTTTGTCCCCAATTTTTTTCTTTTTTCTTTGGTTTTCTCTCTTTTTCCGTTGCCTGAGAAGCCCTCACTATCATTGCATCCTCACCCGCATCCGCATCCATCATGCGTCATCCAGATTATGGTTTATCCCGCGTGTATCTGTAACCGGTCAAGTCGATTTCTGTAAATATCAAAAAGGTACCTTTTGTGGGGTGTGACTATCTGTTCTTACAAGAAAACAAGAAAAACTTACCTTGTCATTTGTCTCTATTCTTCTGTACTTTTTGGTTTTCTCTCCGGTTTTCTTTTCGCCTGTCGAGCCATCCATCCCTCCAAATCTTTCTACTTTGTTCGCGCAAATGTGGCCAATCCGGGTTTTGTCGTCAAAGGGCATCGGGCGGTGGTGTGGCTCTCTTTTTCCATCGGGAAGTGCTTACGCGTCCTCCTCAGGTTCCCCTTATTTGGGTTGCCACCCGTGGTATCGTCTTGACATTTCTTCGCGACCATTTATTTTGTAGTTTGTAGTATGTACTTTGTATTTATTCGATAGAGCTTCTTGCATTCTTTTCCTCCTTTTTTTCCCACAGGGTTTTTAGGGGGTTTTACAGACGATCGTTTCTTTTTTTTCGGTCGGGAAGCTCTCGATATCTGCTGCATCGAATAACAAAGGTAAAATATCTTGGCGACACTTGAATCAATCAAAGGGCTTACTAACTCATTTTTTTTAATACCCAACATATCCACACATCTTTGTAGATCTATCATAATCTTGGGCGGGACATAAACGGAGGGGGTCAATAAGTGCTGCTTTGTTCATTAAAAGTGTTTTCATGGTATGCCAGAGTATTGACATTAATATACCAAAGTTCCATCAAGAGTCTCGCCCAGGTTATGCCGTATTGCGTTAGACTTTTTGTCTGACGAATGTCACTCAATGTAAGAGTGTGACATCCCAGTAGGAGGTGGCATCTATTGCACAGCGGGTGTACGGCTTGTTAATCTGCAAAGCGATTTCAAAGCAAATAAGAAAAATTTCCGTAACCGGATTTGTAACTCATGAAAAAGGAAACCAATGTTTTTTTTCTGAATTTCCTATCGATTTCCCTGGCAGGTTACTACGATTTGATTATTATTGGTTATTTCAAAAGGCTGAATGGAAATCATGAAAAGGAGAGCTTTTTATTTTTCAGAAAAAAAAGGTGGTTGATGATGTGGCCACCTAGATTTTATAGCGTCTTTTAGCTGATTATGCATGCTTTTTCATTTCTCCTTTATTCTTTTGTGATTGAAAGATATGTGAGCAGATATTTTGCACATCATAGGAAAAAAGTTTTTTGATCGAGTTCATACGACGTGTCAATCCACGCTTGGATTCTGTCTTACCTCTTGTCTGGATGTTTTAAGGGTTGGTTGGATTGGTTGAGAAACATTAAAGATCTGTCCGTAGCCGGATGCTGTGTATTGATACATTATATTGTGGATCGAGCCCTATGACGGCAATTATGCAATTTAAGCGACTTCAGCCAAGACGGTGTCCGCCACTTTAATAAGAACTGTGCTGGATTTCGCCACACCTAAAATTCCCAAACCCAAGCTTTTGGAACGCTCTCTACTTCAACAACCAAATAGAATCATATCCCCCAAAAAAATTATTAGTACAGTGACAAAAAAGCAAGATGCTAAGCTTCTGACTTATATACGAGTAGACTATTCACATGCTTATTTGGCGAATACTTTGAAAAGACCACCCCCGGGTCCTCGGTTTTTTTTTTTTTTTTCTTTTTTTTTTCAGTCAAACGTTCCGCCTTCTGTATCTTTTGTTTGCATTTGTCATCGACAAGAGGAGGTAGTGTCGGCAACCTCAATGCAATAATTCTGAGCAATATGATCCTTCAGTTAGAACGAGCCGGTGCTTTGCTCCACGTGTTGTATAGGTACGTCTTAAGTACTGTAGAACTAATTCTATTCTCTAAAAGAGATGATCTCATAATAATCTAGCACCAAAGAATGAACAATCGGGATCGAGATTTTTTTGTGCAAATGATTGTTTCACTACTCTAATATCTCTTGTCTGCTCGAATCGAGATAATCCTTATGTAGCGGCTTACAGCCCTATCTCTGCGACACAAGGAATATACCTTGTAGTGAAGGAACACTTCGAGCACATCGGAGCTGATGAAATGAGCAAACTCAATATGAGTCCTCGACAGCGTCACGGAACAATCCACCAATTTTTGCCCCAATATAGGCACCAATCTTTACGATAAACTTGATAAAAGTATCGATTGAACCCTGTTGTTTTAAACAATGCTTGTGAGTCATTCAGTCTTCATTGTTATACAATACTCTAGCAATTACCGATGGCGTCAATGATAAGTGGCGTGACTTGGTAGGGGTCCTCTTCCAGCAGATTGAACCTTTTGCAGAGTTCTGACAGTATGCCGGCGTTGGATCTGATGTTGCGATTTTGCTGCAAGACGCTATCTTCATACGTGACCGACTGCGTTTAAATTCGTTTGCAGCAAGTTCAACTGCTGGTACGCTCCTGAACAATTCAGCTCTGATGAGCATGTCGATCTTCATCCCGAAGATTCCAGTTGAACTTAATCCGTTGACATTTCAAGCTCTTTTCGTTCAGCCTTACTGGCTGCGGAGGTGGTCTCACCCCTACATGATCCAGAACTTAGTCAGCACATTTGTTTTTCCGGCAGTACATTCAATAAACATACACTCAACTGAATACTGCTGCCTCTAAACAGCATTTCTAGTAAAGTATACCAGCGATTGAGCGATTCGGCTTCCGTTGGATTCGGTTCCTCACAGCCGAATCGCACCATATTCATGCCATTATGCCAGAATCGCTTCAAGGTGCTAACACGAGTAGGCGTGGACATCACCACTTTATCTTCGCTGGATGCCTCGTGACTGAGGACCTTCCGGTTTTGAAAGTCAAACCGATACAGTCTTGCTGCAACCTCGTCTAGATTTTCGGGCTTGATGACGACGTATTTTCGAGGATACAGAGATTCGGATCTGCCAATTTTGATTGGGATGTCAGTGACAGACATTCCTGCGTCATGCAGACCTTTAATGTAGGCTTTTTACAAGAAAGGTTCTTTGTACTGTGGCATATGAGAGTGAAATAAAAAGGAGGGAAACACGTAAACCACAAAATAAAATGGCACAGGTCTTACCTTTGTGTCGAAGTATTAAATGCAAAAACTACAGTGATGTCGATGAGTGGATGTGTACAATGAGAATGTACAGACTTTTGTCAGTGTTCCTTATTAACCATATATGATGTTCGATCTAATGGTATACTGTATCCATAAATAAAATTAAACAAAAGGTGCAGGCTGCAGAGATCGATGTTTTATGGTATGATGTCTTTCTGGTTCACGAACTTCATACTACTGCTGAGATGCGGATAAGCACTTCATTTTAAAGTAATGTCACTTGCGGCAAAAATGCGCGTGGTCGGTTTTGTGGCAATTGTTCGTTCCAGAAAGAATGAACGCAATTTGGGGTGGGACAGCATTTCGGTAATTTCGAGATTTCCATCCCCGCACATGGTGCCTTCCCAATCCTTGCGTTTGTTTGCCTAACCACGTTCCTCTTTCTCTCTTTACTATCATAATTCCTGGTCCTTACATTTCCATGTCAGGTAAGTACTTTTTCCTGGGCAAACAGCTCCTACAGGAAGCAAGCTGTATTTAACCTTATCACGCTTCACAGAAACTGTTGTTACCGTCGTTGCACACCATCCCTATGAAGCCCAGCGAGACGATGAATTAGCATTCGAAAAAGGCGATGTCATCCAAGTGGTCAATAAAAGCGACCCAGACTGGTGGGTTGGCAAGAAAGATAATGGTGACTCTGGATTCTTTCCAAGTAACGTAAGTTTACTTGAATTTGCCAACGGGCATTTCCTGCATATTCAAAAACCGAACTTTCCGTCATAGTTTGTCGAAATCGTTAATGAAAAAGATGCTGCCACCGACAATGAAAAGCCTGTTGATACAAATAACCAACATCAAGATGCTGATGCCTCCGAAACTGCCCAGGAGGAAAAGGAAGATGAACAAGAGAAAGCACCTGGTACATGAATTTGGGAAGGGGAATGTTCGGAGAGTAGTAACAATGGCTAACCATACTTTTTCTACAGCCAATGTGCCCATTGGCATGGCACGTGTGATGGAGGATTATGCCATGCAAGAACCTGATGAATTAACTTTACATCGGGGCGGAATTGTTACCTTGTTTGAACGCACAGACAGTTGGATGCGCGGTGAACTCAACGGGAAAACGGGTCGCTTTCCAGCCAAGGTAACCTAGCAAGTTGTAAAAATGGGTGAAAATTCTCGGATAAAACTGAATCTATCGATAGTATGTTGAGGATATTGATATGCCTGGTCGTCCAGATTTGGGACAAGGCGGTCCTATGTACGGACAAAAGGAAGCAACCGAAGAAGGTGCAGGTAAAGAAAAGGCAACTTTGCGAGAAAAGGATGATGATGATTTCTGACCATGTGTTATAGCACGCCCTGCTTTTCGATTAGCTTCTTTTGGTGTGAAACAAGGTGGTATTGGCAGCCTTCTTGCCGGCGGATTTCCTACTTTGAAGAAGACGGGTAGCGCAGGCAAAGTGCCCACGGAAAAGTCGGAAAAACATGTGGTAAGCTTTGGCATGCTTGGGATCTGTACTTATTTAGTACTTATTTGTGGGGGCTTCGTTTCTTAGGTTGAACCTCAACCATCTTCCGAAGATGCAGCCGCCGCTTCTTCTGAGCTGGAAAGTAGACCCTCCTCAGTAGTGAGCGGTCAGCAAAAGGAGGAAGAGAAACAATCTGAAGCAGCTTCCGCAACTGTTTGTAAGTTATCGATTAATAGAGGAACGTTTTTGTGGAATAACTGAGATTTCATTTAACAGTGGGCAAAGCCATGGTATTACATCCTTATGATGCTGAGAACGAAGGTAAGAACTGGAACCTGAGTGTAGGATGGTAAGACATATAAGTTCATCCCTAATACTCTGAATGGTAGACGAGTTGACTCTTCTTCGAGGCGAGTACATTCAAATTACGAACCGCCATGCGGATGAGGGCTGGTGGGAGGGTGTGAATGAAAAGGGACAACGAGGTATCTTCCCAGCCAACTTTGTCAAGGAGTTAGAAGAAGAAAAAGCTGCACCGGCACCTCCAGTTCGTTCTCGCAAGTCAGTCGCTTCGGTCGGATCACAACAATCGATGGCCTCTCCTTCATTAACTGGAGGTTTCCGCTTACCACCCTTGCCAACTTCCCGTCCTTCTTCGGCGGCATCCAATGTCACGGCTGAGAAGCCACCCTTGCCCGAGACACCAAAGCAACGTGCCCCTCCGGTGACAGAAGAGTCTGCCGTTTCTGAAGGATCTGAAGGACAATCTGAAGAACAATCTTCAGCACCTGCTTCTTCTTATCGTGTCCCATCAACTAATGATGAACCTGCTCAGGTAAAAGACAGTCGAAATTTCTTCCAATTCTTCTTCTTATATGTGCCGAAATATACTCACTCAATATTGCGTTCTGCTATCATCCACCCAGGTTGAAGAAACAACAGGTAAAATATGCTCAGCTAGTGAAGCTATGGAAGTACGCAGACCTAGCGATCCTTTAGGGCCATCGTTGTCCGAACCCAAAATTGAGGAAAAACCGGCTACTGAGAATGTGACCGAGGCTGCTGAAGTATCGGCCAAGACTCCTGAAGAAGCGATCAAGTCCCCTGAAGAGGAATTCGACACCGTCACCTCGGCAACGCCCTTAGTTGACCTGAATGAACACGCTGTCAGCGCAGCTGAAGAAAGTCAATCTGTGAAGCCTACTGAAGAGACAAAGGAAAATGATAATGTGGAGGATGCAAATAAATCTATCCAAGCATCTCTTGAACCCGTGTCGGAAAAGAAATTGCCTTCTGAAGCACCTGTGCCTGTTCCTGTTCCTGAACAGCCTGCTAAGCCCATCGAAACAGAGACAGCGCCCGTGAAAGAATCACCAAAAACATCTCCCATCGAAACCTCAACGAATGAGAAGGAACCGGCAGAGGTGGCAACAGAAGTTAAGCCATCAACAGATGAACCGGAGCCAGAGCCAGCGGCTGCTGTGAAGGAAGCACAGACATCTGAAGATGAAAAAAAAGACAACGAGCCAGAAGCACAGGCAGAAAAGGATAAGCCAGAGCAGCGTGAGGAGGCCATCCCAGCGATCACAGAAAGCAACGAGGCATCCGAGGAACATCCGACATCAGAAGGTGATTTGGAAAAGGAAGCCAAAACTCCAGAAGATGAAACGAAGAAGACATTGGAAGCATTACCTTCTGGACCTAGATTGTCGGCTCCCAGCCGAGCTCGTCCGGGCGCCCGTCCAAGACGATCTCCTCAAGGCAGCCCCAGCGGCAACAGCAAGCATGAACTTAGTCAAATGGAGCTTTTACAGCAAGACTTGGCTCAGGTAAGAGATGCCAACTCCGGCTGATGAGCGATGACCAGCACTGATACTTACTATACGCCGTTCTTTTAGTCACCTAGCGAAGAAACACCCAAAGAATCACCTGTGTCGGATGTTTCATCCGAAAAGAGTACCTCCACATCGCCTCCGGCTAAACCTGTGAAGCCTATCTTTGCGAAATTCCCAACTCCGTTTGCTGTGAATAAGGATGATATTGCCAACAAGACCTTGAAGCCTGTGCAACGTCGCATCTGGGAGCCTGCACCTGCACATGAGCCGAAAGAGGAGAAAAAGAGTGAGCAGCAAGAAGCGCCTCGTCCTTCCGGTGTGAAGAACATCGCCTCTCGGTTCAATTTCGGTGGCGTTCCATCGGGCGGCAGTAATGAAGTACTTGAGACCAAATTGAAGAATTTCTCAAAGAACGAAGTGGAGAAAACGCGTAAAGAGTTCCAGCAGTTATTGGAAGAAGAGCGTGCGCAACGTCTTCAATTGGAGGAATTGGTGAAAACATTAGCAGCAAAAATCGAGCATTTGGAATCACAACTGTCACAACAATAAGATATGCTGCCCTTCATCGCACAATTTTTCAAGTGATACTGTCCAATGATCTGGACATAAGATTGTAAAAAAAGGAAAAATACTCCCTCGCCAACTCGACTATGTAGAATAAATGTCATAATGTTGATGCACATAATGTTCTGGCCTTATCTTTGTTTGTTAAAATATGGCTAAAAATAACGAGATCGTCAGAACGTGCGAACATTGGATTGGAGATGGAACTTATTTTATGGAGTGGATTGATATGTAATTTTTAAACCCGGTAGCGTGGTGAAAAAAAAAAAAAAATTGTTAGTTTTTCTTCCTTTTTGTCTTCTTATCTTTTTGTTTCATCATTTGTTTTTGATCATGGGTACCACTCCTTCTGAACTGCAGTTTGCTGCCAATTTTGAAGCTGACCAATTTCAGAATCAACCATTGGCTTTTTTGAGACCTGTCTCAAATCAACAAAGTAGGGATTGTTTTATAACGGACGCCTATGGAATGGATGTAGTTGAACTTTTTGTTGACTACTGCTCAAGCGTTTGTTGGCCGTCACTTGTCTTTTTTCTCTGTGTCAGTGTCTTCGTCTGCTCCTCCCTTGTCGCCTTCTGCTATCTCCGTGTCCTCATCTGTTCCTACCTTCGTCTGCTGCTGTGTTTGATCTGAATGTGCCTGCACAATCTTCCTCTACAGTTTCTAAAGAGGTTAGTATATCAGATTTTTAAACTATTGGATTATTACTTACTTCTTACGTTAAAAATACAGAGATTTGATGTAAATCAATGGCTCTGCAGCCATTCCGGAATGGATGTTGCTGTAACTATGATCAGTACAATCAGGTCCGCCGGTGTATCGGTATTGCCACGTTTCTTGGTATTTAGCCCTTGGCAATTTGACAACCTGAACTCAGGTTGCCAAACCCTTTTCCAAACTGGGACCAGCAAAGCATATAAGAGCAACCAATATGCACAGTTGTTACATAACCTGTATTATATCAACGTGCATGTTTTCTGTACTTGGGCTACTAGGTCACAGTATGTCCAGTACAGACAAGATGCTGTCCACATTCTGCAATGTAAGTTGACTATATATTCGTTTTATTCAAAGATACTAAATCACTTTATCTATTAGCAGCGGGAATTTTAGACACTGCATTTACTATGGAGCATCAACAAAGAAGGCTCCGTGGTGTAAATCGCTTGCTGCCCCTTGTAAGGGAAGTGGGACCAGCTATTATGCTGGTTCCCAGCATAAACACAATGTTGTTGAGCAAGGTAATATTGTTGTAACTTTAAATGAATATAGTATACTGATCTTTTACCTATTTTTAGCTCAACAAACAAGATTTTCGTTCTGTGCGCACTTGCAGGAAGACTTCATATTTTCAGTTCTTCCTGCGGAGATCCATCAATATCCTTTGTTAGAAAAAGGACTGATGGATCTCCAGGAAATTTTTCCTTTTGTCGAGGATAAGCTCCTTTAAATAAATTTCATTGTTGTACTGTAGTTTATCATGCAAGCGAGCTATCACTATCCTTCACTTTTAAATCATCTATTACAAAATGTGCCGATAAATAATTGAATATTTTAGCCAATACAGCAAAGAATACAAGGTTTGTATCGTAAAATACGGATGATACTAAGCTGTCCGTGCAGAAGGTATGCCTTCAATGAGGCTTCTCTCCGCTGGGTCACTCTTGAGATATGCTTGTCATTTTGCTATGGCTTATTGAAACCGCAAATATCGAAATAGCCCCTTGTGGTAACGTGGCAGGGATGCGGTGAGCTGCGTCATATAACCCATCTATAACGACAAGCACATCAGTCACGCCAGGACCTAAACCTCAAACTCTTGCAATAGTTGTGGAGTGAAGAGAGCCGTGAACACCCTCAGCTATGTTTCAAGCTGTTGAGCTCGCAAGTTAGCAGAAGATGGACCAACATCGCCATTGCAGGGACAATAGACCAGAAAGTGGCCGAGGTTTTCGCGGTCGAAACCACAACTGCGACATAAGGGACTGTTGTACCGTTTGAATTCCAAAAATGCAGTCGTTGCTGGTGCCCAACGCCATCATGTAGTAAGCGCCACCAGGGGCAAGACACCTGGCTGGGGCCAGTGGCCAGAAGATAGCCGAGATCCGACATCCATCCGTCTGTGACCCAAAAAGGTCATCAGCCATGTGATTAAGGCGTAACAATCAATTCAGAGTATCATTTTTTACTTTCTCCGCGTCATTTGATAAAACAGAACCTAAAGTGAATGACTCGATCAGTGAGAAGGCCAAGCAAAAACCGTTGAATGACATGGATTGGTGTATGGAATATGGCGAACCTCTTACGTGGCCGCTCTGCTGTTCTTTGTGCGGAATTTTCCTTTCGCGAATAAGGGAGCTGCCAACTAACCCTATCAAGATATATTATACTCGAAAGTGTTCAGCAAGAAGAGTTCCAATGCTGCTCAGCTGCGCATTGATTTTGAGCAATAGAGGGACATGGCAAGAGGCGAAGTTCAGGGCAGAACGAGATATGGCGCAACGACACGAACGTAGCAAAACCGTCTTGGAAGTAAATGCTTCCGATCTTATGACAGCCGTTAACCTACGAACGATGACCAATTACGTTGACACTGATGTGATCATGATGGCCGATGTTATACAAAAGGTTCCTCGCGTATCGATACTTCGCCAAGTATAAAAGCAGAGAATCTCAAAAACAAATTGAGGTCGACACATCCGGGCATACTTCAAGGCGGCGAATAACGAACACTACTTGCGAGCTGGCGAAGTGCTCTATTACTTTACCCATAAACTGACGCTGACGACGGATCTCAACGGTGTCAACCCAGAGTTTAGGCATACATTTGCATTGGTGCGATGTACCAGCGTGCCTGCTATCAGAATACAAGCTTCGATGAGCGCAGAATGCATGTTTGGAGGAATCCCTTTGATGAATCGGATAGGGCGTGTATTTTGCCGATTCAGCGCATCTATTCTCCCGTGGCAATTTCTACATGGGTAGACAACAATTTACGAAGTGCCTCCCATATCTCGTCCCTAGTCGACGTGATGCTCCTGAAAGAAGGAAGACTTTTCTTGCAGATTTCGCAACCGGCATGTACCTTCTGCTTGCGCGAAAAAGCAGAAGCGCCACCATAGAGTCGGTCTAGAGGAGGACTCGGTATGTCGCCTATTGCTGAACATTCTACCATATCTTTGCTGACAATCTTCACTTGTAGGCTGTCAATGCCGCTGATAATAATGAATCAGGCGACCTTAAATTACTGACGTCGATCGAATTGGGTTCGGACAGGAGCGTAGAACACCATCCCCGAAGAGAAGGCGTCTACAACCTTATTGAAGAGAACGATGCAATCGGAGAAGAGGCGTCAATTTCGCTTTCGGATGAAGATGAAGACCGTGACGTCGACATTCGCTCCCCTTGGGCATTAGGCGGCATTCATATTGCTGCAGCATGTGCGCAGTATCGAGAAGACTGCCTTGCGAAAAGCAATCCAGAAAACTATCAGATATTAGTGTACTGTAAGCTTGGAGCATATTCTTGGGAATTGACGGTACTCTTCTAGGGTAGTTCAATCCTGTAGTGTTTAGAAGTTTATAGCAGGCGATTAATAGCAATAAATCAGACAATAAGCAAGGCTTGTGAGACTCCTTTATTCTTGAGAGAGTTTTAGTGTGGAAATAGGAAACAGAGATTGATACAGAATCTGGTTATCGACGCAAGGTTCGCCTTTATACAAGAGTAGTATTTGGATGTAGGTAATCCGAGATAGAATAAACTGTGTTTTCCATGATGTAGTAATAATCGTACTTTCCATAGTGCTTCGTCAATAATCAGTCTTGACTTATTTTCCACTTAAAGATGAATGGTAAGTATGGATGACGGATGTAAGCGATTATAGGCTATGTGTGCGGTATGAGTTTGGGCAGAAGTTTGATCTACGTCAGAGAAAGTCAAAATGATGAAACATGCGGATCAGGCGCGTTTGGTGTGATATTGATACGATCCGATTTATGAGGTGATTATGAGGTCGTTGGTTCGTTTTCTCTTTTAGATTGGGAGATTGAGTTGATCATGGATGACTAAGTGGCAGATGAAATGAGGTCTTACGGACGACGGGTAAGTAAGGGTATAAAAAAGATGACGATCAAAATGAAACGAGTTTATGCAGTTTACGAAAATAAAAATGCATGAGGTCGCACGTTATGCTTTCAGTTCATTTAGACATTAAGTCGAAAACATTTATCTTCATTATTCTTGTCTCATTAAGCCAGTCTCTCAAGCGGTGCCAATATGCGTCATATGTGAATCATTCACTGACAAGAAGCTTTTACATTCAAAGCCGAAAAACAATATTACCACTAAAGGTCCTCAGAAACCAATTGATGATCACAATTTCTAAGCGTAACACTTGATTCCATTCTCGCTTGTTTATTGATATCAATTGCGAATGGCAGAGGAAGCAGATCTTCATCTCATACGGTTTCTTGCATTATTTGGGGTTGTGTTCGTTTCAGGAAGAATCAGCTGGGATGCAGCAGCTGGGACTGACAAGGCAGGTCGACAGCTTGAGCGAAGATCTTCGTCATCATCGTAGCTCTCGAGAACTGACATAACGCGACGAACGATCTCTCTGGTTGTCCATGCCATAACGATCACTGCTAATACCTTGGAGAACATTCCTACCTCTCGCGGTATTCTTTTCGTTGCGGTTCTCATCACACGACAAATATAACCACGCGGCGAATCAAGACGAAGCATTGTCACATCGAGTTCTATGCAAATGATATGTATCAGCCGTGCATGACAATGAATTTATGATTATCAAACCTTTGTGCACCAGTGCCACAGTTTCCAATGAACGGATAACTTGCTCATTATTACCAACCGAATTTGAAAGGTGCATAAACATATCCCGCATGATCTTCGGCGCTTTCAATCCTCGTTCTATCATCAATTTCGTTGTATTTTCGCCGTTTACTGCACACAACCCAACTTCTCCACAGCCGTATTCCACTAAATGCTTCCGAACGGCAAAATCAACACGACGACCAATGAATTGGCGCCTTATTTTCGTCATGCCAGGAACTGTTCTGGTCTTATTTTTTCGTTCTCCAGAAGCCTGGCTCGGTGACTCGCCTCTGTTGGTGACGGCCATTAGTTTGTTACACATTGTTGTAACAGAATATACGTATATACCTTGCAATTTCAACGTTGGGAATAATTTCAAAGCATTTATCAAATAACCTCCAGACATGAATATTATACCATTGTTCCAAATGGGGCCGCATGAAATTATAGGCTTCGTACTCAGTGACACTAGAGATATTTAATTTGAGTAATCACAGCCTAGCCATCAGATGTCAACTTACATATTGTAAACAGACTGTCGCACCCAGTCATGGTCAAAGTGAGTTCTGCGTTTGAAATCCTGATCCCAAGTTTGTGGGGAAAAGATGGCACGTCTCAAATCGTCAACATTGTCCTAAGATGCATTCAGTTTATTCAGAATATGTTTCTAAAGAGGTCCTTTTGCTTACTTACCTGTCGGTACGTTTGAATATATGAATGTAAATCTTCCGGCATCTCCGGGGTGGGCTTTGAGTTCGTACGGGCTATTTCATTTATTTCATCTTGTGTAAACGTGCCAGAAGAAATATATGCGGCATCCGAGATGTCAATTACAAAAGAATGTGACAAACTGCCATAGAGTCAGCTACGTAGCGGTCACATTAGCAATTCATACTTACTGTTCTTCAGTGCAACGCTTGCCGAAATAGTATACGGCATCCTCGACCACCTTTCCTGTCGACAATGTCCATTTGCGTGCGTTATCCATTGCTTTATAAGCTTCTTCATATCTGGATAACAAAATTCGCAAAGTAGGGGTTTCCGTGTGATTGAATTTGACATCCCCACGGTCTGAGTTTGCTGAGTAGACAATTAGCTTTTGCTTATGTTATGCATTTTTCCGTAGCTTACAGGATTTATCATGTGCTTCAGAATTGTGCGTATCTTCTTCAGTAGATGTTCTTTGCTCTTCGATTTCAGGAGAGCTCAGGTTAAAAAATTCATCTATTTCGTCGCAGATTACCTGATAAACTGTAAGCTTATCACGAACAATGATTAAAAACGCCATTGCACATACTTTTCTTTTTTTACTGGATTCAGGTATATAATTTTGCGTTTGCTGGTTCTCCAGTTCCAAGCCAACAAACTCGTGCTCGCGATTGAATAGGTCGACTGTTTTTCGCTTACGATCGAACCCCATCTCCTTTTCCTTCTGCTGCGTTTCAAACTCCTTCTTCTTCAACGCCACCTCCGTCCACACAATCTTCTGGGTATCAAGCTCCCACTCATTGGTGTCGAGTGAGCATACTGCAGTCCGGAAATGAGCTGTCCAATGATGCTTCAAATCTTCCGGAGAAGTAAGTCCTGGGAGTGATTGCAAAACGAAACTGAAGTGTGACACGATGAACTGCGATAATAATACGTGAACGTTACGCCGACGGCAGTGACATACGTATCTTTCAATCACTTTGTGTTTAAATGTTAGTACTCTAGCTATCGATTATTTAATTGCGTCTTACCGTCTCTAATACGTCTTTTTTCAGACATGTGTTGGAATGTTTCGAGCAAGAAGACAGACCTGAGATCGGGCAATTATAATGGTGCGCCCTTTTTGGGACATCCCGGTGACGTCACTTTGCAATTTCGAAATTTATCTAGTCTTCGACGACGACGCGGCTGTGGAAATCTGCTCTCTTCCCGATTGTGTTTTGTTTCCGCGCGTGATGCGGGCCTACGATATGGGCTTATCCAGATTTTGGACCTCACTTCGCCCCGTTTTGCGTATTTGCTGATTACTTCTTCCTGCCTGTTACTTAGCTTGTGGGTCGCATTTATTCGGCAAGCGGATTCCGTAAATGTCGATGTTTTGCGCGTGATGCGGGCCTACGATATGGGCTATCCAGATTTTGGACCTCACTTCGCCCCGTTTTGCGTATTTGCTGATTACTTCTTCCTGCCTGTAACTTACTTGTGGGTCGCATTTATTCGGCAAGCACTTCAGAGACATTTTATAGAAAGAAATATTGCTGTACACAAGGCAAGTTATATGTGCTATAACAAGACTTTTGAGCTTTTAATTTCTAACGAAGTCCGTAAGAAATACTCTTGTGCTGTAGATGCGAGTAGATGCGATCACAGATTGGAAAGCAGAAGAAAGGTAAGTTTTATTATGGGAGGCCTGTTTGATTGCTTTAATGTGTATCTAGACCTAGTCTCGTATTCGATGAACCTTTATAAATTTCACTCTCCGTTTTCACATCGAGGAAGGGCTAATGATGTATGATCCTCCAGGCTCGACCATACACATCCACTATTCCACAATTTTGGCCATGCGAACCAGCATCTGCTTTTGACGCTTGTATTTGACCACAATTCTAATGAGATCATAAATAAAGACAAGAAAAAGATGTCAAAGCACTTTAGTTTCTGTTCGCAGTCGGATACAATGCGAAATTGCTTATTCATTTCAACATTCATGACATTAGATAAAAGACAACGTTTATATCACACAAGCTTGGCATTAAACTGATCTTCGCTTATTTTCCGATAAGCTTGTTGACTGTAGATACAATTATGGCTGTCCCTGCCCTTCCATGCTCAGATTCCGCACGTGCTTTAATAATAGTCGCTGTCCCTATTCTGGTTGTGACAGGGTGTTCTCCAGGTGACACACTCTCGAGCGCGTATTTGGACGCGATGACATTAATATTGGAGGAGTCTTGCTGGGATGAGTTTTGATGGGCATTACAGTAAAGCGATACTCGAGTGTCGAAAAGATCAAAAGAAACATGTTGATATGTTATTCCTGATTTATTTCGGATCAAAAAATTTCATACTAAAAACCAACTACACTAGAAGTCATTGAGCGAAGTGGAGACATCACTAGATGAATAAGTGAACATCAGAAAGTAATGAAGAAAAAGGGGTATCGATGCGAGGATCAGACACAAGAATTAATAGCCACGACCATGGTGGTCGAATTTTACGACACCGTCTTTGCTTATATTTGTGCGTCCATGCATACCTCCGTTCCTGTTTCTTACCCCCTGGTATCGATCAATCCAGTTCTGTCCGGATCCTTTGCACTGCCCGATTTTTCTTGTTCCATCCCGTCATAGCTCTTACCACCATCAATCCTGATTTTGTCTTATTACAATTTTTTTTTCGGCGTTTGCAGTGGAGCTTTCATTTTGGATACGTCTTCGAGACTGGAGTCAGCAGAAAGAATCTCATTAATACAGAAATGTCTTACCGAATCCCATTACAACGTTACGAATTTTTTCAGGTAGTTAATTCTATAGCAGCATCAGTTGCATGGCATAAAGACATCAAAAAAGTAAATTATGATTTTTTTTTATTTTGAGCGTAGAATAACAGCAGAGGGCGTCAGCTCGGAATTGTTATATGATTGAGTACCACATATGGCTACATGTAATATTTCAATAAGAAAAGTCGCAACTATTGTATATAGAAAAAGAATGGGAAGGCCAAAAAGAAGATTCCTGAATTTACAAAAATGATATGTACAAAAAAAGAAAGCAATAACTAACAGCAAAGAATGGATCGCCGCATCGCAGCCCAGCGAGAAAGACAGACCCCAATATCGTTGTTAGGCGATATTAGCGTACGAGGCACTCAGACAATACCGAATAGACGGAAATTGCCTAATAGCTTAACTAAATAGTCCTCGAATGACCACAACGTCTATGACCTTTTCTTTGATTCGAGAGTATGCATTACGATCAACGAATCTTTGCGACTTCCCTCTTTTGATTTTTCCTCTTGCTTGAGAAAGCCTCGAATGTCGTGTGGGCTGCTCCTGAGATCCGCATAATCAACGATGATTAGTCTCAGTGGTGCTTAGGAGCTTACAGAGCAGGCGGTAGTATTTACAATCAGACAATAAGCAAAATCTTTGAGACGCCTATGCATTTTATCCTCGAGAAAGTTGGACACCGAAGTAGGAAAGAAAAATTATTACAAAATCGAGCTATCGATACAATATATTCTTTCATATTAGTATTTGGATCTGGTATAATCCGAGATAGAATAATTGGCTTCCATGATGCTTAGACACTAATCGATGTTTAATTTTTCATGTGAAAATGGATGGAAAGGATGGATGACAAGTATAAGGACTTATAGGCTGTGCATGCTGGTATGCGTTTGGATATGAGGTTAATTCACACGAGAGAAAATGAGAATAGTCGGACAGACAGATCAGACGTGTTTAATGTGACATAATGAAATGATCCGATTGGTATAGTGATTACGAGATCATTGGTAATTGTTTCTCTTGTAAATCGGGATATTTGGATTAATCATGAATGACTAAGTGATGCGATGGAGTGGTATCATACGGATGAGAGATGAGGACGGTATAATGATATGTACAAATACGACAGCATCGTTATATAGGTAGGGCATCGTTTATTTATTGTTTTAAAGAAGGTCACTTTTTCATCAACTTTAAAAAATTAAAAATGCAGTGATAGTAATTTACGCCATTAAGAAAAGCAGAAACATAAAGAGATACTTCATCTCATACAGTTTTTCTTGTTATTTGGGCTTGTGTTACAAGGCACGCTTCTCGATGTACCGTAACAAGGCACGAGGTAGGCTCCTCGACGGAGAATGATCCACACTGTCAACTTGGCGATGTCGTTTAGGGTTGGCTCTCCGGCTTTATGATAGAAACTTTCCATTGCGTCGCTGTTGATGGACCACTTGAACCTTCTCGCCTGTTGCCAGTCATATAAGCTAAGGTTGAAAAAAGGTTGAGGAAGCAAATCATTTCCCAAGAGTGATGACAGGTCCAATTACCTTCAGTTGTTGGAGCTGCGCAGCAACCAATGGTAATGTCCGAGTTCCAAAGAGGTCTGAACTAAAGGAAGGTTGGCTAATTGTACCATGGCATACATTTTCAGTTCAGTAACTCCATTTTAAAGGTGTATAAGCGGTTCTCCTTCACCAAGATACCGCAAACGACTGGATCAGACACACCATACCATAAAACAGTTCATTCAATACTGTTCTCATCTCCTTGCCAACTTTGATGAAATCAGATTCAAAACATTGCTGAGAACAGCATGGTGCGAATTCCGCCACCAACAACATGAATCTGCGACTCTGACCGTTGACATGAATGCCGTAACACAGTTTGTAATTGCTGTCGTTGAGCGTCATCTTTGCGCTGATATTGCAATGGAAGGTTATGAATAGGTATAAAGTAACGCGACGGAGGATTTTAAAGGTAGCGCCGAGGAGCGGCGTAAGGACACCATGGAAGAAACGTGGCCTCGCCAGTGTTTGCTAAGGTACCGCCAACCAATAAAGGTATAAGGGTTCCCACTGCGTTGCGCCAAGTATCGGTGTTCATCCTTCTTTTTCCACAGGTTGAAGGGATTCAGACCCTTTTTCAAGGCGGTCTACGGCTTGTCTCCAAGTTAAACCTTTATCGGCCAAGGTGCGCGAGAGCCACTGTTGCTGGCTTTTATAACATGTAAGCCAAAACAACAAGGATACCTTCGAACCAGATAAACTCGGGGCGGTTCTGGGAGCGAGGCCAATCGTACGGCAGGTCCTGCGAGGATAGCAGCAGCTTGGCCGACCCAGCAAGGAGGCATATCAATGCTGGTACTGAGTTAGGCTTCAGTAAGCGCCTAACCGAAATTGGAGCATGCTGAGAACAGCAAAATAAAGATCATCATCTGACGATAACGCTTCGGTCACATATGCATTTGTTGTCTTTTGGACGTCGCGCGTATTATCATAATATTTCTGTTTGGAAACAAGGATGTCAGATATGCAAGATTGCATAGCCTATTACGTATACGTACTATTGAGCTTTTGAAACGCCAGGATATTGCACTTGACTAGGTTGCGGCAAGTGGCGGAAAAGCTTCAGCTGGTTAATGATTATGGGATGGATTTCGGGGGACCCGAATTGACGCGTAATGGACGCCTTAAATCCGCGAAGACGTAGATCGAATGCATTGCTCTGTTTTCCACAAGTTGGTCAATGAAAGGTTCCGAGAGTGAATCAAGTAATTCAAACTTACAGTATGCTAATGTTTAACAACTGTTCTGGGTTGGTCTTCGCAAGGCAGTCTTCTCGATACTGCGCACATGCTGCAGCTATATGAATGCCACCTACGGTGCCATGCGAGCGGATATCAATGTCACCACGGTCTTTATCTTCATCTGAAAGCGAAATTCATTCTTCTCCGATCGCATTGGTCTTTTCGACGAGGTTGTACGCGCCTTCCCTTCGGGGTTGCCGCAATACTTTCAGGTCCGAATCCGATCCGATGTATGCCAGCTCGTCAAGTTCGCCATCGCAACTAGTGATGAGACCCTACAGGTGTAGATTGTCAGTAAAGATATGGTGTGATGTTCCGATAATAGGCGACATATGTTCCTCGGGATCCACGCTATGGTGGCGCTTCTGCTTTTTTCCCGCATCGCTACATAATTCAATAGGCGCGTTTTAAATAAAAATGATTTTGCAAGCAGGAGAACAATGCTACTTACGAATTCTGCAAGGAAAGTCTCCCTCAGTGTTTTTCGAGGAGGATGGCGCCGACTGTGGACGAGAGGTAAGTGGCGCTTCGTAAATTGTCGTCTACCCAGGTAGAAATTGCCACGCGAGAATAGCCGCGGCAGATCTTGTTCTGCCCAGAACTGCGCCTCCGGTGCGCTGACCCTCCATTGCTCAAAATCATTGCACAAGTGAGCAGCACTGGACAGTTGTTGCTGAATACGTTGGAGTATAATATATATTATAGTGCTGGTTGGCAGTTCGAAAAGTCCGGACAAAGAATGGCATTGTAAGACGTTCGCCATGTTCAATACACCAGTCCATGTCCTTCAACGGCTTTTGTTTGGCCTTCTTCTCACTGACCGAGTTACTCATTTTAGGTTCAGTGTTCATCCATGACGCTGAGAAAGTAAAAGTAATATAGTAAGCGTAAGCGCAAGCGTAAGCGTAAGAATAAAAGTAAGAGTGAAAAGTCAAACAATGAACCAGCAATTCATTGTTGATTGATGATTTTCGGTCACAGATGATGGTGTCGGGCCTCGGCCCTGATTTTTCTGGTCGCTGGCCCCAGCCAGGCGTTTACCCCTAGTGGTGCTTACAGAACTTCTGGTTCTCATTTGTTTGCTTATGTTGACTCAACAAACCGTCAACAGTATGTCTCCCATCTGCGTTTACCTGATCGGTACCAGGCTCACCAGTATTATTGTGCAGTGTTCTGCCTTTGAATATGCGTCTATGGTGGGGAATCGTTATTCATACTATTCAGTGAGTTACTTTCTTTTTGATTGTCACAAAATGATGGTTATGGAAATTCATGGAAATCCATTATATCGAACCATCCCAGCAATAGAGTTCCAATCAAAGAGTCATGGTCATAGAAATCCATTCCAGCAACATGAAATTTCATCCCCCTATTATTGTGATAAAATTTCCTGCTCATGACCATTATTTTTATAACAAGCCGTACACCCGCTGTGCAATGGATGCCGCCTGCCACCGGAGGCCGCCCTCTTACATTGAGCGACTTTCGTCAGACAAAAAGCCTAACGCATACACGGCATAACCTGGGCGAGAACTCTTGACGGAACTTCGGTATATTAATGACAACCTTATGGCATACGTTGCAACGTGATTTGTTTCTGAACACGCGCAGGGCAGCACTGATTGACCCCCTCAGTTCCATCCGCCCAGGCTATGATAGATCTAGAAAGATGTGTGGGTATGTTGGGTATTTAAAAAAAATGAGTTAGTAAGCTCTTTGATTGATTCAAATTTCGTCAATATATTTTACCTTTGTTATTTGAGTTTGCAATAGCCATTGATCGCTTGACATGACTTGGATTATATGACATTGAAAAAATTTTGAATTAGTATACGTTCATTATACATATAGCAAAGGAAAAGAAAATTGGACTTGCCTTGAACCAAATGGTGTACCGGAAAAAAAAAAAGATGATACGGACCGCCAGGTAAGCTTCTTCTTCGATGCGGAAAATAAAATTGCTGCAGGGACAGTTAAGCGATGGATCGGTGGTGTCAGCTTGAGCAGGCAAAAAATATTGACGTGGCCATAAGTGACGGTAAGTTCGAGTTGGATTCCAGATATCGAGAGTCCCCCGAATAAAAAGAAAGAAACAAATAAAGTACATGATGATAAAAAAAACAATGGTCGCGTCAGTAGTAAGCGTTTTTCTGATAAAAAGAGAGGCACACCACCAACGATGGCCTTTGACGTCATCCGGTTTCGCCAGATGGATGGATGGATGGATGGATGGATGGATGGCGAGAGAAAGTCAACTTGTAGTATACAGAACTTGTCATGCGAAAAGAAAACGGAAACCGGAAGCTGGAAGAAGGATGGAAGTAAAGGAGAGATAAGTCTGTTTTGCCGGAGCAAAATCGATGGTAGACCACTCGACGCTTACCTTTTTGAAGATGATAGTCGATTTAACCAGGTTAGATACACGGGATAAGAATGGTCTGGATGATGGACGATGGATACGGATGGGATCTTGATACAATGATAGTGAGGGTTTATCAGGTAAACAGAAGAGAGAGAAAATCAAAAGAAAAAAGATAAAATTGAAGACAAAAATATATGATTTCCCATGGATGAAACAATAGTCATCCTTCTGATGCATGAATTCATAGATCGAAGCACGTCTGCTTATGTATTATTCGATCATTGAAAATTGAAAGAGAATGAAAGGGCATATGTAGTATAACTGACAAAAAAAACAACAAATTGAATGATGCTACAGAAGAACGCCAGTCGTATCATCAACCACTTTTCTTCAAAAAGAGCTCTACTCACATTTTTATTCGAAAGACGACGATACTCTGTTTAACCACAACTGGCGCAAACGGCATCTTGCTGCTAATTGCTTCGCCTATTATCGTGAAAGTGGGCAGCGAGGCATGGTTGAAAGAACCCAGGATGGATGGTTATGGTAAGTTATGATGTGACCAAACAAGAAATCGGGCGGGCGCAAAGGATCGATGGGATAAGGAGCGGGAATGGAAGCATGCACGGACGCAAACAAGCAAGACGGCGTTGTGAGAATCGACTGCCATGCTCATGGGAGATTCCTTCCATCGATTCCTTTTTTCCCACCGAACTTTACACGCTGATGTTCATTATTTCACCTTTTGATATTCGTTACTTCACCAGTTGACGTTCGTTATCTCACCTTCCGATGATCTTCACTTCTCTCAATGACTTCTAGCTTAATTGATTTTTGGTATAAATACCCTTAGTTTGCGAACCGAATAAATCAGGAATAAACATACCGACATACTTCTTTTGATCTTTTCGACGCTCAGAGTATTGCATTTCTGCCTTTTCTTCTATCTCAATCATTTTCCGATTCAGACATAATGTGCCTTTGACTCTTTGCATTTTCTCTTTTTTTTTTTATTCCTCTTTCCAACAAAGGATACACACAATGATCTGATATAAGTCGATCTCATCCGGTGGTCATTTAAAAAATTAATTGAGAAACGCAAATCCTGCCCACTTTATCTTAAGTCGATTATACCTCTAACAACGGGTCAAGAAAGTCGTTACAGTATTTCTTTCCGCAGAAAACGGGCAAGACAAGACAAGACAAGGAAGAAATGTGTCAGAAATTGGTTGAAAGATAATCTGGAACCATTTATTATAGAGATGATGGAATATTTATATCGAAATAAAGAATATGAAAATCAGTATGCATTATATATAAGGGTGTATTGCAGAGACGACACGATCTTACTAACAAATCATGACAAAAGTCCATAAATTAAGGTAAAATTCCTTGGCGAAGTAAACACGCAACATCATAAGAATGTAAGTTGGTTGTTATTTTTTTCTTGGTTGACCTGAAGGCTTTGTAGCTGTGTTTGGCTACGAATCGTCACAATTGCAGAAGGTAAACATTCGACCAGATACAGGATATATGTGAGGGACGCCATTTTTTTTCATGCGGCGCTGTTAATCAAGCACGCACGTCTTGGCCATAGTGCACGACCATGTGCGTCATTGGTCCAAGCACGCTCTTTAACGGTTGCAATGCTGCCCCATGCACTTACGCTCTATGCTTGTCCTCGAGCCTTTTTAACGTTGCCTTTCAGTTATCCACCCTTGCCTCACTGTTGCGGTCTGTATTTCATTTATTTATGGTATTCTTGTTGTTGTTCCGTTTATATTACGTAGTATTAATATCCTGCCTGTCACAAATATCCAGTTGGCGATGGTATAAATGCTAACCGTTCGTGCAGTGTGTATTTATACAAGACAAAATGGACAGTGGAAGTTCGAAATGATGCATGATAGGATACAACCTTCATTCAAATCGGCATGTATGCCTGCCTACATATGATTTTTCCGTTGTCTGGATGAATCGTTATGAGGGATACATTCGACGATGGTATCTGCAGGATCAAATATGAAAGAGGAATGGCAGTGGACTTACTCATGTTTATGTTACTTGGGATTATCAGTAGCAGGTGCTGATGAATGTATATTTAATAGTCTTTTGATTGAAGAGGGATATTCCTCGATGAAAAAACTTGAATCGCTATTACCGCATTGTGGAAATCGATCGCCAAGTTTGTGTACCTGCCTGCCCTCATGCACAGATGCCCTTATTTTCAAGTCCTGAACGTCATACCATCACACCTTGATCTTTGCTACTTCAGCTTTTGATGTTCGTACTTTATATCTTGCCGTCGCTCCCTCACGCTCTGATTTTCAGTCCGGCATTCTTTGATTTCTTACATTCACCTGCGCTCCTTAAATTTAGTATAAACACTCAATTTCCGAACCAAGTAAAACGATCAAAAACAGACCAAAACATCTCGTCTACTTTTTGATGCTTAGAAATACTGCACTTGCTTTTTCTTCTTTTTATCGGATTCGATTTTTAATTCAGACGCAACGTGTCTCTTATTTTTTTTCGTTTTCCATCCATTTCCAACGAACGATACGCACAACGATCTGATATATGTCGACCTTAATGTATCCGGTGCTCACGCAACAAATTGAAGCAAGTTCGGCTGCCTTATTCAAAACCGTCAATAAACCTAACAACCAACGTATAGAATTGGTCGCAATTCCTCATGTCGATGCTCAATGTAATAGCCGCAAGTGAATGGTGGTAGTCCGGCTTTCGACAAGGTTGGGATTCGTATACCGACGACAGGTGAACACGCTGAAGAATGTCTACAACGCACATTCTTCGCCTCAGCAGAAGAACGGTACAGAGCATACTTCAGCACGTTTGGAGGCTCACACCAAGGTGCATTCCTTTTTCTTTGGTGTCACAGATAGTTTGACTGTCGGCAGCGTCCAATGTGCGATGCTGTGTGAATGATGGAGAGAATGGTGATGAGGGACGGTGGCAGATGACTCACGGTTGGGTGGCGACAGAGAAAAAAAAAAAGGTCGGAGTTGCAATGAAGGGCAGCCAAGTGTGGGAAGAGGGAAAATGGCCAGTTCTAGGCGACAGAAAAGGCAAGAGCAGGGAGCTTCCTAAAGCGCGTGTTCGTGTAACAGGGTGTCATTGTTTGCGCGGGGCTTGGATTACCATAAAC